AGGATGGCAGGATGGGAGGATGGCAGGATGGGAGGATGGCAGGATGGGAGGATGGCAGGATGGGAGGATGGCAGGATGGGAGGATGGCAGGATGGTCTTGCTCCCCAGCCAAGTGACTGCTGCCCGGTTCACATGCCCACCCCGTCCGCCGCCAGCAACGCAATGCTATCCATTCTGCTCATCCTCTGCTTTCTGAGATCTGCGCCATCCTCCTCATCGTCATCAGCATCGACTTCGATGCCGTTATCCTCCAGCTGCCTCAAGTTCTTCTCCATGTTGTCGACCTCCTCGCTCTTCCAGCTCTCGTCCTCCACACTGGGCACAATCTCCTGCACGGGGAGCCTCTTCTCCAGAACCTCCCTCGCATTCCGCATGTCGCTTTTCTCGGTCCTGTCGAGACTTTCCTCATAAGAACTTGAGATCCCGGCGGCGTAGTTCCGTTTCGCCACTCGCTCGGTGGCAGTTTGGATGTCTGCATCGACGAACCAGGTCTCATCCATGAGGGCATGGGCGTCACGCCATCCGTCCTCGTCCAGAGCTGTGTAGAGGCCCTCGAATATGACAATCCGCGCGGTAGGCGGGATGGAAATGTCGTTTGCGACGGGATCTTTGACTGCATGGTCGAAGCTGGGGGCAAAGATCGTGCGCGACTCCGGTTCAATGGGTCTCCGGACTTTCTCGACCATATCCAGATAGCTGTGCGGGTCGAACGTGAATGCCGCGCCACGTCTGAAGACCGCTTCTTCGGCATTGGGCATTTCGGAGAGTTGTTTGCGAGTTAAGTGATAGCCGTCGAGCGGGACGACGAAGGCGATATCTGGTTGCGAACGGTCTGGACTATTGGGGTATTTCTCATGGTAGTGTGTGTGGTATGCCTTGTTGAGTCCAGCACAGACGGAGGCGGCGAGAGTAGTTTTCCCTGACCCTGGAATCCCAGAGATGGCGATCAAGAGGCGTTGTGAGCCATCACACTTCTGAAACTTGCCTGTGATACTCGGTCAGTATGAGAAGTTACACGCTGGAAAGAGCACGTCTGACCCCATGTCTGATCGACAAGGCGTTGTACGTGAGATTCCATGGCTGAATCGATTAGGGCTTTTCCACCTCTCCCAAAGCGATAGGTATTGTTTATATGGTGGTACCTTCAGCGACCAGCTCATTCAGCCTGACGACCTTGGATGAGAGAGAGACGTATTACACACAAGAAGATTGCCCGGCCTTATCAGCAGCAGCGTGACGAGTGGAGCGTATTCGTCATTTCTTCGCTTGCGATGGAAGGCCCGTTACACGAGTTCGGGAATACACAAGGACCAGACCGGGCCGTACAGTCCAACGCTTTCATAGAAGACGGTGACGGCAAGGTGCAACGCCGATCAAGAAAATGGCCGATTGTTCGATTGCCATACTTCAACCGAGGCAGGCGAATGCGCAGCAGTCAAACGACCCTCCAGCCAGGCTTCGCAATCTGAGATAAAGCTCACGCGTGCCAGAATCGCAGGTGGGGGCTGAGCGGACCACACGGACTGGAGATACATTCCTCCAGGAAAATCACGTGTGGGCGTCTTCCTTTGCCCCTGGTCGATCGCGTCCACCCCGGATTCCTTTCAAGGGGCTTTCTCTCTTGTGCAGCCAACGACTTTCAGCCTTTTCACATTCTTTCCTTCACTCACTCACTCACTCACTCACTTCACCCACTTGTACTAACCCCCAACAGAGGCCCTCGTTGCCATTCATTTTCACAGTCACTCCTTCTGACAACCGTCTTCAATTTTTTCCCCCGCTCATTCGACGCAGCTTTGTGTTCACGCTTCAGCGCAGCTGTCCTCCACGCGTCAACTGTCAACTCCACCGAGCCTCAGACCATTCACTTCCCATTAATACACACCACGACTCTACACAATGAAGGCCTCCATCATCCTGCCCGTCTTCGCTCTCGCTGCCCGAGTCCTCGCCGCCACCCCTCCAGCATGTCTGCTCCACGCTGTCAACACGCAGGACGATCCTAGCGATCTCTCCTCGATCTGTGGCGACGATGCGACCGAAGTGCAAGGGGCCATCGCCAGCATGTGTAACGGCAACGCCGCCGTGAGCATGGCACAATCCGCTTTCATCTCAACTTGCTCGGCTGCTGGTTCATCTGTCGGTATGTGATATGTGATGCTTCAAATCACCCACAACATGTGACTGTACTGACAAGGTTTTTTTTTCTTTGTCTTGCAGCTCCTTACACCGCAACCTCGACCAAGAATTCTACCGCCTCCACGACCAAAGCCTCGTCCTCGTCCTCCGCGACCTCGGCCGGCACGTTTGTTTACACCACCGCCGTCTTCGACTCCGACTGCAGTTGCACCACTACCATCGTCGCGACTGCCACTACCGGGTCCGTTGTCTCGACTGCTCTGGCTAGTGCCACAGGTGTGGAGGGTGCTTCGTCGACAGGTTCCTCGAGCTCAGGATCAGGTGCTTCAGCGAGCGGGAACGCTGCCGCGGATACCAAACAGGTGGGAAGCTTTGCCGCGGCGGTCATTGCCATTGCAGGAGTTGTGGCTGTCTTGTAGAGAAACCTGGAGTATGGTGGTCATAGGGACCGCGTGTGGTGTTTTCCTGAACTTGGCAGCCAAACAGGCACATACGGAGACAAAAGTCGCAATCATGTCTAGCTACCCCAGTAGAAAGGACACGGACCATGGTAGTTCATATGGCATGCTGGATCACGCCCTGTCCGGAGGAGAACTTTTGGACACTTTTTCGTCTATGTCAGCCAAGTAAGCCAACTGAGCAATCAAGCCACTTGCGAGGATCCTATGTACAGACGCCGCCCTTGAACCAGCGCATTCGCGGTCTTTGGTTGTTTTTCCCAGCCGGGAATCGTCGCCGGGGAGGATTCCACTGATACATTGAGCATGAACCCCCACGCACCAGGGCAGTGACATCTAAAACAAAGCCACGACGTATCATCCAGTCGAGCCGCACTACTTTCCTCCCACCCACAATGCGCCCTCTGGTCCATCACACACGAAGCCTACCGGACACACATATCTTCGCGCCTAGGTCCCGTCCCAATCCACTTGATTGGGACACCCACCTGAGCCTCAATGAACGCGATGTATTCCCTCGCCTCGGAGGGGAGATTTTCGAACTGCTTGATCCCCGTCGTCGTAGTCTTCCAGCCCTTGAACGTCTTGTACTCGACCTGCATGTTTTCGACCAGATCCAGATCCGCGGGGAAACTCTCGAGCGTCTGGCCATTGTGCGTGTACGCCGTGGCCACACGGATCTCTTCGAAATCGTCCAGCACGTCCAGCTTGGTCAGGTTGATCTGGGTATAGCAGTTCACGGCGGCCGAGTACTTGACCAGCACGAGGTCGAACCAGCCGCAGCGCCGCTTTCTACCGGTCGTGACGCCGAACTCGCGGCCCACGCGCTGCAGGCGCTCGCCGTACTCTGCGTCGGTGGGGGAGATAGTGGCGTCGAGTTCCGTAGGAAAGGGGCCCGAGCCCACGCGCGTCGTGTACGCCTTCACCACGCCGACGATGTTGCTCCCCAGCGAGGCCAGCGACTGAGGACTCAGCCCCGCGAGGCCCGTAAACACGCCGCCCAGCCCGGTATTGCTGGACGTGACGTAGGGGTAGGTGCCGTGGTCGATGTCGAGCAGGAGCGCGTTGGCGCCCTCGATCAGTATATTCATCCTGCTCTGCTGCTGGCCACCACCTGCGCCATTGGCGGCAGTGGCAATCCCCTTGTTGCCCACGGCCTGGGCCAGCAGCGGGGTCTGGTCGACGACGTACTTTGCCAGTTCGTTGCGCCAGCCTTTCAGCCTCGCGATCTCGTCTTCGACACTATACCCGCGGAGTGCATCATCGCCGTAGAGTCTCCGATATCCCGCTTCCAAGTCGCGCAGCCGGCGTTCCCAGCGCTGTTGTTCGTTGACGAGCATCCAAAACGTCACGCCCCGCCGAGCGACCTTGTCGCTGTAGCATGGGCCGATGCCCTTGCGGGTCGTGCCGATCATGCCCTTGCCGCCATCGACGGTCTTGGACTTGTCCTCCGAGACGCCGTCGACGACGCCGTGCAGGTCGAAGCAGACGTGCGCACGGTCGGAGACGAGGATGCGGTCCCTGACGCCTTGTAATCCTTTCTCTTCCAGGGCGGCGAGCTCCTTGAAAAAGGACGGGATGTGTACGACGCAGCCGGTGCCGATGAGGTTGTATTTGCAAGACGGGTTGATGAGGCCCGAAGGTAGGATGTGGAAGTCATACGTCGTGCCGTTGACCACGATCGTGTGGCCTGCGTTGTTGCCTCCGGCGGCGCGGCAGACCAGGTCGGCCGAGGATGCGAGGATGTCGACGAGTTTGCCTTTGCCTTCGTCGCCCCATTGGGCTCCCAGGACAAGTGTGACAGGCATGGTAGGGTAGGGTAGGGTAGGGTTTCTGGTGTGACAGGAGCGTCGCCGTCCGGGGGAGAATTTGCTGCGATATCGGAGAGGGTCTACGGTTGAGGTACAAGTGAGGGAAGTCGCGGTTGAAGTGGTGGCAAGGCAGCTCCTCTGAGTCAAATCAACGTGTCTACCATACTAGCAAAGAGACAGAGAAAGATGCCGCGTTATGCAGTGTAGATCTTATTGACTGTCCACGATCTGGTGGGGGTCTAATTAACAAAGATTTCGCGCAAGACTCAGAACTCACCCGCGATGAGGGGAATTTTCGTGGTGGGGCGGCATCCGTGAGCAAACGGAAATAAACTTTGGTCCTCAGCAGCAGCAAGCCAAGCCGAGAGTCGGCTAGAAGGTAGTTTGTAGGATCAGCGTCATGGTGGATCAAGGTAGTGGCTCGGCAGGGGGAATAATAGGCACGACGCCATAGGTGGGCAGAGAGAAGGCCGGGTTGTGGACAGAGAGGATGATGCGGAAGATCTAAGCAGCAAAAGTAGCTCGGGATCAAGCTATCTGAGTGAGTGGACGAGACACCACCGAAGATCCCCAGCTTCCAAGCTGAGACTGTCCGTGATGCTTCCAAACTGCTATCAAGCACAAGTACAAAACAGGCCACGAGTCAATCCATTGTTCAAGACGCCACAGCGGAAGATCCCTTGCAGTATCAAGAACAGGAGACAGTCAGAACCGGCCATTTGCGCATTCACCAGCAGGTCGTAAGCCAGACGACGCGCCAGACACCTCGAGCTCGCTGTTACGCAGCCTTTGAAGTATCACACGCTGATCGCAGGCAACAAAAAGAAATCATAGCGATGTAGGTTCGAAGGATCACAGGTCGACTATCCTTTTCAAGGAGAAGACCGAAGAGGCTCCGACGATCGCTGTCGCAAAAACCACAGAACATGAATGTTGGAAAGAAAAGTCGACGTGGCGGTTGGGTGAGCAGCCCTCCTGGCTTCAGCCCAAAATGATCCCCAACCCCAAGCGTCATGCTGCTGTCGGCAACTACCAGCAAGGTAGGTACAGCTTCGATCGTTGTCCGTTTGCAGTTGCGAGAAACCAGGTCCGGTCAAGGGGAAAAACCACTGCCATAGTCCGACACTGGGGGTAATGCTCCGTCCATCCCGAATCACGCACCATTTCATACTTCCACATCTGGGTCACCCCCGAGACGGTAGATCATGGCTCGAAGGCGTTGGATCTCACTCTCGGCTTGTTCGGCATGCTCCTGCTTCCGCTGGCGCGACTTGCGGGCCGCCGCAGTATTCTTCTTTCTCTTGGCGGTCTCCTTGTCGTCGTCACTGTCGACATGGATCTCCGCCAACTGCTTGCGCGGCTTCGGTGGCTTGGAGATACCGCAAGTGTCTGACCGTTTGCGGTTGTGGTATGGTTGCGACGGGGGCCTTCCAGGAGAAGACTTCTGGCGTTCCATGCCAACTGACTTCTGACGCTCCATACCAGATGGCTGGGCGTGAGAGTTCACGCTGCTGAAGCTGCTCGACTTGGTGAGGCACTCCTGCGCCATGGGCTGGTTGGCGAATTGATCCAAACCGTTCTGGGGAAACAATGGCGCCATAGCTTCGAGCTCAGAGTAGTTCAGCTGAGCATCAAGGAGTCCGTCTTCCAGAGGAGAAGTATTAAGGCCACTGCTGGCCATTGCAGGAGATTCCAAGAAGCTGGAACCGGGGGTGCTCAGATTGGGGAAGACCGTAGAGGCTGGAGCCGACATGATGGATTCATCCACGAACAAGTCGGAGGGAGAAATTGTGCCATCGTTGACTCCCGCGTAGTGGGACTGAGGGCCGTTAAAGTCAAGGAGTTCGTACCCGGAGGCGCTGAAGTCGCCTCCGGGAAGATACATGCTGTCAAAGGCGGTAGACATAGCGCCTGGATGGGTCAGTGACATGGACTTGAGAAGCTGACGAACTCTATAGGTACCTTGAGGACTCGGGGCCGACAAGTTTCTACGAGGAACAGTGGTGGTGGAGTTGAAAGTGGGCACGGGCGGTAAGTCTTGCAAACGAGCAAGCTGGCGCCAATGATTGTCGCGGAGTAACTGGTTGTGCAATGCTGGACTTGTTGTAGACTGTTGAACTGGTGACGAGTAGATATGTCCTGACGATGGAGACAAGGTAGACTGTACAGGCGATACTCCGCTGTTGATGGAGAGGTGCCGAGTGCGGATTAGTCTACGGTTAGGGGCTGTACTCGATATCGCCTGCGCATGCAAGGCAGGAGAGGTCCTGGGAGGGATCTCCGGTGCGGCGAAGAGCTGAAAGTCCTGGTCGAAGGAGTGCTGCTGTTGATTCTGCGACGAAGCAGTCGATGATCTTGGGGTTGGGGAAAGCCATCTTTGCTGATGATCCGTGGTGAAAGCTGGAGAATCCAACGCTTGAATTGCGGCGGTTGGAGGTGAAAGCCCGAGACGCTTGGAGCGAGGAGCTGACTGTTCACGAGAGTCCCGAAGGAACCTGGTGAGCGAAGAGTGGAGTGGGGAGCTTGGTTGAGTGACTGGTATCGTAAGAGATCCTATCTTGCCTGAGCGAGATAAGAGGAGAAGGTGAAGGTATTCAGAACTCCATGACTTGAAGTTCTTTGAATTGCCTGTGTGTGTTGAAGTGTGCGGGGTGGGAAGAGAGGAGGAAAAGTCCAGGCGGCACGCAGGAAATCGAGGAGTTAAGAAGGCAGCCTGGGACGGGCTTGGCGCACCGTGAAGGCCACCAAAGGTAAGCACGGAGAGCCCACTGTACCGACCGTTCACGCGAGAAGGCTTCCAGTCAGCAAATCACCATTCGTCTTCACTTGCAACCTGTGCCTTAGCCCACCAGCATCCCTGTTAAGCTATTCCACTTCTGGCATTGGCTAATTTCTGTGCACTTTTGGTTCCAGCAATTGTGACTCATAATCGCGAGTGCACTCGAAGGAGCACTTCTCTTGCAGCGGTACAAACAACCGAGTACCGTGTCCTCATCATCGCGGAATTACTGTGTAGGCAAGCTTTACACTGCAGTATGTAGAGAACCATGATATCTTTTGCGACTCTAGGAGGAGACACCCTCAGCACCCAAAACGCGACCAAGCAGCCACCCAGTCTGTCGGGGTTGCAGCGTACGTTCTCGCTCTCGGAAGCCACAAGGCAGAAAGGGACATCGCGCGATTAGTGTTTTATCCCTATCCGACGGACAACGGTTTCTCTAGTGGACACAAGTCGCTGCGCAATCACGCATCGTGTGGCCATGAAACATATCTTGCGCAGGCATGGGCTCCTGACGTCCTGCTGAGCCGTGTCTAACCCCAGTAATGCGCATTCACTCAAGAATCGGACGATGGACCACTGTGACCCTTCACAAAAGAGCATGTCCTCAGGAAAAAGGGACACCTCTGATTGGCGAGCTCGGGGTGGTCTCTACCAACCAGCGATCCTTGCATGATGTTCCATCTTCCGGCTTAACCAAAGGTCCTGCCCGCGGCTGGCACTTGTGCGCCTTGTTACGTGGCTCCACGGCGAACTGACTAGGCCCAGTCTGAAGTAGTCTGTAAACGTGCTGAGTTCCCCTCCAGTTGGGTTCAAGAACAATTCATTTCCATCGGCGCATGCTTCGCTTCACCATGCTGAGCCTCCGAGCAAGCGGACGGAATACACAGCTAATTCTACAGATAGGTAGCTATCCCCTTAGAGGCTTAAACTACAATTTGCTAAATGTCACGGCTTGCACAGATAAATTGATCTGATCCCAAGACGGAGTACGAGGTACCTTGTGACTCATAACCATCTGGGTCTAAGGACGACCCTGCAGTTCGCTTCGGAATGGTGCATCCCATGCGGAATGCTCGGGGAGGTGACACCGTTGCTGCCCCTGAGTAGAGCCGCACAAATACTGTAACTCGTATCTCCTGTAGAATCAAGGTGGACGGACTCCGATACATTCATGAGCATGGTGTCGAAGCGTGCTGTGGCACACACACGAATAGACCGGGTATCATCCTGATAGTGGCCTCGTTACGACTCGATACGAACAGTTACATTGCACATCTGTGGACGATGGGAACATGAAAGCTGGGGTGGTCAGACAAGGCTGAGACTCGACACTGCGACGTCCAACTCTCACAATACTCCGCGATCAGACTGTTCGCAGACACATGTCTGACGGGCATCGATCTCCCCATGGAGACCCTGCTCCAACCGATTCCGAGTTGCAGGCCGCTACCGACACCCATTTTCGATCATCGATCCACCCGTATACTATGAAATGCAACCGCGTAGACAAGACCAAGATGTCCCCATTCGTTCTCATCTCACGCCTTTGCGCGCTTTTTATTGTCCTATCATATATTCTCTAGTTAAATTGGGTTCACACTCTCAGGGTCCCGTGGACACGTCGTTCTGTACCTGTAGGCACGTCATTGCGCATCGGTTTTGAACTCTCCATCGGATCCGGCAAAAGCGGTGCCTTCTACTTAATCCAATGTCGATGTTGGATCGCCAGCTGCGGGAAACGAGGTCATGCGCCTCAATTCGCACATGTCAACAATTCAGTGGTAAAGAACTGTCAGGTGGACGGATCTAGGAATTTCATGGACTAGTCGAGGGAAGAACTTGCGGCACTTTTTCCAGCCCTCCTGTGTACATGACCAGCGTGTCCATGTACAGTATCTTCGGGATGCAACTTCTAGAATTCCTGGGCCTTGCATTGGTCCTGCATCAAGACGCCTCCGCCCCCTTGCGCTATCCCGCCACAGCCCGTCGAGACTGGCTTTTCCGAATAGGTCTTCGTGCGGCTCGGATGTTTTCCCAGTGGATATCAACGTACTCGTATCAACGGCAATCAGGGGAAGACACGCGAAGATCCCATGCGAAAGTGAGTCCCGGGAATTGTTCGTGATCAGACGATCTGTATAGGTGGAAGACCAGCGGGATATCGTCAGTTCCACGTAAACTATGCTGCCGAAGTAGTGCTGAGCGCCTGGACCACCTTGAGCATTTCCCATGGGTTCTGCTCGCTCGTTGGATCTGGCGCCTCACCAGTGACCATCTCTAGTGCTTGACCAACCTCAGCCCGCAACAGCGTCTCCAAGATTTCCTCTGACCGCTCCCACTCCATCCTCCGGTTTTCATCAGCCCCTTTCTCATCGCCCAATCCTCTCCTGATCGGATGGCCTCTTGCGTCTTCGGTCATTGCTCGTAGCTCTTCCAGTTCTCTTTGCAACCCGTTTCTTTCTGACTCGGCCCAGTGGATTTGTCTGCGCAGGAGCCGAAACCACTGGGACGGAGGCAGAGAACGCTCGCTCTCATCCATATCCTCCCAGATGTCGGGCGGGTAGTAGTCTAGAGGGAGAGGAAGAGTCATTGGCACAATATCAACGTCGACGGCATCGACCAGATCGTCAGAGTCGTTGTCATCTGCCATTCTGACGTCTTCTGGGTTGATCCCCGCCAGGGAAAGAGTGTACCGAGTTGGTAGTGGTGGTAGATCTCCGATCAAAGTGGCCTTTTTGTCGCCATTTGTCTTGCCGCCCATTGTCAACTTCAACCTCTTTGGTGGCATGAGAGAGGCTCCTCCGTTTGAGATGCCTCCTGTATGACCTCGAGGCACAGGGTCACTAGGCCGCAATGCCTCTGTTTCGTGCACAGTACGCATATGCTTAGCTAGAGCGTCAGATCTGGTGAAACTCCGGTCGCATTCTGGCAGCTGGCACATGAACGGCTTCTCCTTGGTATGGCTTCTCATGTGAGCCTTCAACGCGTATGCGCTAGTATGGGGTTGCCCCTTCCTCACACAGCCTTCCCATTCACAGTAGTACTTCTTTTGGCGTGGTACGATATGAATGTCGTTGATGTGTGCTACTAGATTGTCCATGTTGCCCTGTTCCTGATCTACACAGCCTTCCCACAGACACTTGGTCACTTGGATGTAGTCCGCTGAGTCGGGGTTCTCAGGGTTGGCTTGAGCTGCGGCGTACGCGGTGGAGAGAGGATGTGTAGGGCCAAGGTTTGCGAATGACGGCGACGTGGGGACAGAGCCTGAGGTATCGCTTGAGATCGAGCCTGTAGGGGACCGTGGAGGAATGACGGTCGAGGCTGATTGAGGAGTGGCATGATCGTAGCTGGACGCCCCTGTCTTGCGACGTTTGGCGGGAGGCATGTCGACTGGCGCTGTAGTACTCATGGCCGATGTTGTCTCGTCATCCGACGCAGAGATGGTAGAGTCTCTTGAGCCAGAGCGCTGTCTGTTACCAAATTTGACTTCTTCAGGAAACTCATCAGAGTCGATGTCCGACAAGGGTGACCCTGATGCTGGGGTCTCTGGAGGATCTTCGTCCATGATTGCAAGAAAATCGGATTAAACACAAGCTGCGGGGTCGGAATATTACTCTGAACAATGTAGTGAAGGACAATAGCTATATTCAGAAATTTCTTACACTCGAAACGACAGTGAGCCAAATGGCAGCGAATAGTGAGGCTGATGCCAGAAACAGTCGCGCCCAAAGGACGGCTCGGCCGACTTGCCCGTTACACGCTGCGCGACCTCGCGATGTGCTTGTGTTGAATTGTCTCTTCCCTATCTACTCAGTGTTGGACTTTTGTACGGACTACCCATACTCCATAATGTGTGTATGAGCTCCTTGACTGCTTCCATGCTTCTTTGAGGTGGTATTATCAGGCTATCCACCACAAGCCTCAATGTCCACCTGGTTGTCCAGTTGGTCATTGCAGCTCTGAACCGAACAGAGTCGATAGTCTTGAGGTTTGTTCCCCTCACCTACTAATCCTCGTTAACTAGCGTGTTCTGTCCTCAGATAACCACCTGGGCAGGTAAGAGCGCTTTCGTTGGTTCAGAATAGGAGCATGCTCTCTTGCTCCCGAACTCAGCAAGGGACAACGTTACATCAGGCCTCCCCCAGCGCTTGAGCTGTGTCACGGCACAATTGGACTCGGTGTCGAGATACTTTACGTGTGATCTGCTATCTTCCTTTCCTTCTCTGCGGATCGCACACTCTCGCCTAACAGCTTCATTGAGGGTACTGTATGCCAGCTTTTGGTGCCGCATCAAAGATATCGTTGAGATCTTCAAACGCATTCCAGTAGGAATGCTCGGTGGAGATACACATCAGAGGCAAGTCTCGGCAAACGCTTAATTGACTCGCCCGAATGGCTTATATTCAGATTGTCATTGTCGGTGCTGGAATTGCGGGTCTGGCCACAGCCATCAGTATATCCCAGAAGGCGAAGCACGAAATCCTCATTCTCGAGAGCAGCCCTGTCCTGACCGAAGCTGGAGCGGGCGTCCAAATCAATGCAAGCGCTTCACGCCTGCTCAGCAACTGGGGTTTGAAAGAGCATTTTGAGGCCGTAGCCACCCGCCCAGACTTCCTTGAGATCAGACGGTACGCCGACAACGAATTGCTAGGTCTGATCCCTTCCAACGTCAAACGTTATTCGGAGCGAGTGAGGGGCTCTCCACATTGGCTCGTTCACCGAGTCGATTATCAGAGGATCCTTGCCGATGCCGCTATAGCGAACGGGGTCAAGATTCGGTTCGGGCAAAAGGTCGCAAACATAGACATCGAAAATGTCAAGATCATGCTAGCAGATGGAAGCACCGTGAGGGCCGATTTGATTATTGGTGCCGATGGCATCCATTCAAGGGTGCGACGATCTATACCCGCGCTGACAGAATACGTCCCAAGGAAAACAGAGAACTTCTGTTACCGCGCATTGATTCCACGTGAGAATATGATGCACAATGCCGCGACCCGCAGTTTGATTGACATTCGGAATCAGCAGGCGTGGGCTGGTCAGGACACGCATATCGTTGCGTACCCGATAGCTAACGGCAAACTCTACAATATGGTGATGATGGTCCCTAACCAGGGAGAAGCACCTTTGGCAAAGTACAACGAGCCAGGCGACGTCGTTGAAATGCGGAAAGTATTCAAGGATTACAACGACACAGTTAAAGCAGTGTTGGACGCTGTGGACAGCTGCGCGAAGTGGACAATTGCAGAGCTACCTCCATTACCTACCTGGTCAAGTGAGAATGGACGGGTTGTCCTTGTGGGAGATGCCTGCCACGCCATGTCACCACATGCTGCATCTGGCGCTACGGCCTCACTGGAAGACGCCGAAATCCTGGGTCTATGCCTGGCGACTTGGCAGAATGTCGAAGACCTACCAAGGGCATCAACAGAGTACGAACACCTTCGCAAACCCCGTTGTGAACGAGTCCAGGAAATCTCCCGCGAGAATGGGACGACGTTCTCAATGCCGGACGGGCCCGCCCAACGCGCAAGAGATCAAGCATTCCGGGCTCAAAGGATCGCCTTGGAGAAACAGCTGGCAGAAGATGCACCGTTGGTGGTTCCAGAGGAAGACATGACCAAACAATATCCACATCCATCGGTTGTGCAATGGCTTGTTGGGCACAATATCACGGAAGAAGCACAGGCGTATCTACGACGGCGATCTTGACGTCGACGCATGTTCCACGTGCGCAGGTGTGAGGGGAGGGCTTCGCAGGCTAGGGTAATACTCCCCCGACTACACGAATGTGAACCGAGATCCAGATCCTAAACGGGCACATGCCAACTCAGGGGGGGTCTACCAGACTTCAGCTTGAAGCACGGCGGCCGCAACGTTTGATAGACCTGCTGATGGGAGAAGTGTGAAGGCTGGAATCTCTCCGGCGTTCTGGTATTGGGCTGTTCGTTCCGTTACCAGGTACCCACTTTCCCGCATGAAATATCCCGTAGATACTCTAATTACATGATGCAACGTCAAGGTCAACGCCCATTGACATGATTTCTTCGAACTCTTTCTCGCCATTTCCCTCGAGTCACCAATACACGATACCACTTAGATTTCGACGCAGCGTGACGGGTATAGACTTCAGGTGAAATAGACCAGGTATAAGTAGAAGCGGACAAGATCGCCCACATCATCAACATTTCAGCGGAGCCCTTTCTTTTTCTCGCTCAAGAACAATATAACGATAGCGCATAAAGCATAAAGCATAAAGCACAAAGCATCAAGCATTATCGAACAAGACACTGTGTCTCGAATCCCAATATCGCTCACCACTTGCCGTTAAGGCACTACACCAACAATGTCGACGACCCTCCCCCGCACAGTCCTCGCCTACCAGACAAACGCAAAACTATACACCCTCTCAACCCTCGTCCAAGCAATCACGCCCTTCCCCCAACTCCCGGAATCCTCACAACAAGTCTTCAAGACCGCCACCCCCAGCCCTACAGACGAGGACTCCGTGGTGGTCACACGCGAAACAATCTTCCACCCGCAAGGCGGCGGCCAACCGTCCGACGTCGGGCTTATCACATCATCCACAAGCGATGGCGCGAAGTTCACCGTCTCCGCGGTCCGCCATGACGTGGCCCACGACGGCGTGGTCCTCCATCTCGGCCGCTTCGCCTCACCCACACCATTCACCGTGGGAGACACAGTGACGCAATCCATCGACGTGGACAAACGCGTCTTATACTCCCGACTACATACCGCGGGCCACGTGCTTGGCGCGGCCGTGCGGCATTTGTTGGAGCGCGAGATCCCAGGCTTCGACGAGCTCAAGGCCTCGCATTTCCCCGACAGCGCGGCGTGCGAGTTCCGCGGCCTCATTGGGGGGCAGTGGAAGGAGGGCATCCAGCAGCGGGTCAACGAGTACGTTAACCGCGCGATGCCCGTGCGCATCGAGTTCTGGGACGAGGACGATTTCCGGCGCGAGGGGCTCGAGAGGTTGATTCCCACGGACGTCGATGTGGCGCGTGGCGAAAAGTATCGCGTCGTCCGGATCGTGGGGGCCGAGGTCTATCCTTGTGGGGGCACGCATGTTGAGACGACGGATCTTTGTGGCAAGGTTGGGGTCAGGAAGATCAGTCGCCAAAAGGGCACGAGTCGGGTGAGTTATAATGTGAATTAGAGGGGTCGGAATGGCCCGTGGCATGGCAAGGCCGGAAGAAGGGCTTGGAGATACCTTATGTTCGATTAGCTGTGGGAACGAAGGTTGCATGGCATGGTGTGGCATGGTCTGCTTGAAGCTGCTCGAAGCTCTTTTTTTCGGTCGTCATACAGAGATAGAGGCTCCACGTTTCCATATCCCACAGTGCCTGTTATTGTCGTCCGGGCTGCAACTGAATCGTGCCTACACACCCACGACCGTCGTCCTGCGACGGCATGCGGACAACGTGATCTTCAGGCAGCAGGCCCGTTGACAGTCAATCGGTGTCTTCACCACTTTGTAAATCCCTTGAAAATAAAGATGGCATTGAAGAAGTACATAACGTCGCCGAACAGAGTTCAGTACGCCGGACTGACCCGAATAGTACAGAATATCCGTATGACTTTTCATCCTTGGGAGAAGACCATAGCTATTGCCCGCCATAGCCAAGCGGCGCCTACTCTTTGGCGTACCCTCCGGGCACAAGCACCATGCTCCGGTCCAGCCATAGCATCATAAGCCATGCCACATGTATTGCTCCATCGCAGTCGTCCAAGCTCCAGGTACGATCAAGCAACCTCGTTGCAACCCTGGCGCATCCGTAAAAGTACTATCCAGTTGTCGTAATATTCTTTCGACCCCCGATATGTTTGAGACGACTCTAGTGTCAAGAAATACACCAGATCAAACCTTCGGTCGTAGATCAAGTCCGTCGATGTTACAGGCGTTCAGTTGTGGACAAGTCGCCTCTAGATCCTCCACGAAATGCAGCTCCGACAGCTGTCGAACGCAGAGAGTCCCGTCGTCGGTCAATCTCCGTTGTTGTTCTCACTCCCGGGTTAGACAGCTTCGAATACACATTGAAGCGCTCGATGACCGTCCCTGCGAGAATTGTGAGGGTATCTCATCGCTAGGGCGACCGCAGTTATGCACTTCCTCTCACAACATCGGGTGACAATCCAACTGCAGCCCACCACTCATCCGGTATCTCCTCCCTTCTCTGCATGCGTTCAAGGATTACACCAAAAAGCTCTAGCTCAAGGGTCCTGTCATTACCTCTGGAGATATCTCTTGGGGGACCCTGGCGCATCACACCCTCCGTCCCTACAAGGTTGCGATCTAGGTCTCTTGGCAATCGTCCATGTCGAGCGCGAATCTCCCGGACATCGTCTTCGGTGATACCAGAAGGTAGATCCAGATCACACGATTCGTCTCCGCCAATTTCCCCAAAGCTTGTCGTCATGGTCGTTGCCTGCGACGATCTGTTGGAACCATTTCTGGAGTCCGAGCGGGTTGACATGAACGAAGTGGCAGTGCTCGACCGAGCCGGTTCCATGGTGCTTAGAAGATTTGCCCAGTTCTCCTCGACAGGTTCGTCATTTGTCGGACCTGGACTGCGGTTCCGATCTCCGAGGCCATCAAATCTGGATGCGGGATTTTCCCAAGGTCGAGGGGAAAAATGGTTGACTCGTCGCAACGGGGGATAGGGACCATCCTGTCGCTCTGGCGGAGGACTGGTTATCGGTCCATCCTCGGGGATTCGCTCAGGCCTTAAGGACTCCGAGCCCGAATGGTAGTCATTTTCGTTTTCCTCATCATCTTCTTCTTCTGGATCGGCGAATGAAGGTCTGTAAGACCGTCGAGCCCGCCTAGACCCTGGTGGTGTTGAACGGCGCGCAGGCATTCGTGGTGGACGAGAGTGCTGTGAGTTGGACTGAGAAGTCGCACCCACTTCGAATCTCAAGCCTGATTCTCTGGACGGACGTGGCAGATGCTGCGAAATGCTTTCTTGGGTATTAGGCAGAAGAGTGTCGAGGGCGAATTCGGGGTGCAGTTCGTCCCTGGTTGCGGTGCCGAAATCGGTGCGCAGTCTACTTAAGAGATCGACATCAACGTCGCTCCGGGACTCCGGTTCGGGGCGTAGATTGTCGGTGCCGATGCGCCTTGCAATTTCCCGGTCGCGCTGATGGACACGAGCGCGCTGTCTCTGGCGCCGAAGCCGACCCAATTCGGCGTCTAGTTCTTGCTCACGACTCGGTCGCGAAGGATTGTTTTCACTCAGTGCAGCTTCGCGGCGGCTTCCTAGTATGTGATCGATGAGAGAACGGCTGGAGGAAAATCGCCTTGGTCGGGTAGTGGACTCGCGCCGGATGGTAGATCTGCCTGCGGCAGCGATCCTGTCGAGCTTTGCAGCAGCTTCGTCTACGGCAAGCTCCTCTGGCTCACGAAACATACTAACACGCAAAACCCTCTGTTAGTGACTGGTGTGTGTTGTGGAAAAATAATAATGCTGACCCCGACCACGCGCAGTCGCGAGACGTGCGCAAGGGGCGGAGGCTGCAAAAACCGAAGGAGCAAACTCACGGCAATCCCATCGTGTCGCAGTTCGCGCGTCGCAGCCGGCAATGGTGGTTGTTATCGATTACTGGAGTGGAGAGTCTGGAGACACAATAGAGAGGACCGGACGCGACAAACAATCGAAAGGGAGTGGAGTGGTCGGTGGACAGAGAGAACGGAGTAGAGATGGTGGTTTGCACCTTGATTGTTTGCGGAGGCAGCGGTGGTGATAGTGATAGGGAAGTGGATTTGGCTGAGCGGACAGGGACAAGCAAACTTCTTCCGGGACCCCACGACACGGAGGCTGGAAGGGGAAGGGCATTTGGAGTGCAGCCCGAACCGAATCGGTAGGCGCCCGAGGCGGAGCTGAACAACCAACAAGGCGACGGTGATCGAACGCGACATCCTTGGCACTCGGTCTTCGCTGCCTGCCTCATTCACGCTCGCTTCACTCGCACTTGACACTCACATTAAGCTGCCTTTCAATTCAGTATCCTTCCAGCACAACTCAGCCGCGAGTCGATACCGGTGTCAATTTGGACTCCCTGAACTCACACCAGCCTCCTCATCGAAAGATCAAGCATGACAAATGCCGTGCGTCCGGTACACGATGCACCTCAGGCCTGAGACGCCAAATGCGCGTCAACGACGTCTCGTATTCGCATTCTCGCTAGCCTCAAAGCCGAACACTTGCTTTCCTGACTGGCACCGTCTTTCGTATAGATAAGCTATACAATGCGTCTCCTCTTCTCGTCTCCCAGTGTCTTCTCTCCAGACTGTCTTCATGGATCCAAAATGGTTTCCGCCGCCAGATCGTCCCTTCCAGCCAGGTGGTCAAAGCATTCTCGCTGCTGGTACCATCGGTATCACGACTTTATTGCTTCCCCGATGCCAGTTTCGCAACTTTGTTGCCATCCCTCCCATTGTTTGGATTCTGTATAATTTGCGCCAGCATACCACGGGAAAGCTTGAGGAGGATTACTTGACTGCTGTCAACATTTCCATCACGCTGGCCAAACTCATCGACGTCTCCGTGTTACATGATGCAGAACAGTCATTGCGACGAGTCAGAACAGATGGCGGTGATACAGAATCTGCAGAGGACATCCAGAGAATGGGTTTGTGGCAGAAATTTCGCTGGAACCTAGATCTCTTCACGACGATGCGCGGCGTCGGGTGGAATTGGCGTGTAAAGAACGTGGACGAGGTTCCTCCGAACATATCTCGCATGTGCAGAGCTCTCCCCTTTTGGTTGATTCTAACCTGATTCAGGCAGTCGATTTGTTCTCGACCAGGCCCTGAGAGCATCGTACTGCTTCTTGTACCTCGACATTGACGAGTGGTACATGCGGCGGACGCCCTTTGGCAATGGCACCACCCATGTGCCGGACTTCTTCTCGCTGCCGCTTGGAAAGCAGATATATCTCGGGTGGCAGACTGGATTGCACAATGGGTTCGCAATGGTATTTGGGTACTATCTTGTTACCATATTCGCGGTTGGTGCTGGTTTATATAGTCCTCACTCTTGGCCGCCTCTCTTTGGCTCGTTCGTGAAGAAAGGATATACGGTGAGAAACATCTGGGGATACTGCTGGTGGGTGAGGTCTCGCCGCCAAATGGGGTCGGCGTCACTCACATGGCACTACAGGCACCAGCTCCTACGCCGAACCTTTGAAACAGCGAATTCCAGTCTGACAAGGCTGATGAGGATCCGTAGAGGAACGCTGGGCTCACGATATCTTCAGCTCTACAATGCCTTCGTCGTGTCGGCCTTGATCCATCACATTGGCGCCCTCAATTGTCCTTACTCGGCACTACCGTGGTGCCAGTTTTACTTTTTCATGATCCAGCCAGTCGCCGTCACCGTGGAGGACTTCGCTATATATGTGGGGAAGAAGGCGGGTCTAAGGCAGTCGTGTAAGTTGTGACACAATCTTACGCCGAGTGAGCGGAAGTGAAGTTGACGTGGCATAGGGAGAACCAGAGCCGTGGGATACGCCTGGGTTGGCTGTTTCTTGAGCTACTCTCTGCGGTATGCAGCAGCAGGCTTCACTGCAGCAGGATTGGGTGGTGTCAGGCATCCATTTGTGGCCAAATTTAGTATCATGGACAGGCTGTTTGGATAGACAGGCGAAGTTTGTCTGTGCTGGCATGTCATTGCCACATGGCAGCACGCGACTCGTGATTAGCGGAAGTCTTCTCAATTCGTGATGTAGCAATAGAAGTCCACTCAATGGCGGTGGATCATCCGGGGGCAAAGGGCAACTGCAAAGAATACTTGCATGAAGCAACATTACCGCCAGTCGGATGAGTAGTGGTTAGGTACCTAGCCTCAGGTACATTAAGGGATTGCAGTCCAGAGCCCTAGAGAGCAGCAGCGTCCCTGAAGTGGGTGGAGCTTCGGTTGATAGTGGCGCCGATCGGGCTGCAGTAAGCAATGTTAGGCGGGCCTTGGACGTTTAATAAGCGAGGCGTGCAAAGGTCGAACCTCAGCACAAGCCAATCTCGTGCCTCCGCTCAATTATCGGTTTCAGGTCCATGCCTTGAATCCGCTGCTCATTTGGACGACTACGAGTACCTACAGCAATTCCCGGAGCGTGACGAGCTCGGAGTGCGCTCTGTACGAACGCAGCCTTTCAGCAACTGCCATTTCGTCTCTTGATGCCGCAGGTACAGTCTCAGTCCAAACCACCACAACGCCGTGTCCTGCGTTGGACGTCGTCCCGAGCACCAATCGCTCGCCCTCGCCAACTGAACTGCAGCTGGGCGCAGAGACGATGAGAGGCCACAAGCTTGCCATTTCGGACGTCTGACTTCTTCTCCTTCTTCCATCTTGTGCCTGTCGACCTCAGTATGCCTGCGCGCACTGCTGAGCCTCAAGATGATATCCCGACAGCGAGAGCGGTCGATGGCCTTGGCCTCAAAGCCAGCAAGACCTCCAGATCTCCCCGAAGCCCAGTGAAGAGAGAGGAAAGAGAAAGGACCAAGGCACAGGATGTTGCGGAGTTGAAAGACTACCAATTGGGGGACTGTCTAGGCAAAGGTGCATTTGGCTCTGTTTACCGGGCGTTGAACTGGGGCACTGGAGAGACGGTAGCTGTGAAGCAGATCAAGCTGGCAGACCTGCCTAAGAGCGAGTTGAGGGTCATCATGCTGGAGATTGATCTCCTTAAGAATCTCGACCACCCCAACATCGTCAAGTACCAGGGCTTCGTCAAGACCCCAGAAACGCTCAACATCATCCTGGAATACTGCGAGAATGGATCCCTGCATTCAATTTCCAAGAACTTTGGTCGCTTTCCGGAGAATCTGGTGGCTCTCTACATGTCTCAGGTGCTCCAGGGCTTGGTATACCTCCACGACCAGGGTGTCATCCATCGCGATATCAAAGGTGCCAACATTCTGACCACCAAGCAAGGCTTGGTCAAACTCGCCGACTTTGGCGTGGCAAGTAGAACAACCGGCTTACACGAGTCCAGCGTCGTAGGAACCCCATATTGGATGGCTCCTGAAGTGATCGAGTTGACAGGCGCAACTACTGCTTCGGACATATGGAGTTTGGGCTGCACAGTGATAGAACTTCTGGACGGGAAGCCGCCGTATCACAATCTTCAGCCCATGCCAGCTTTATTCCGCATTGTCAACGACGATCATCCGCCTCTCCCTCAGGGAGCTTCACCTGCCGTTATGGATTTTCTCATGCAGTGTTTTCAAAAAGATCCGAATCTCAGAGTGTCCGCAAAGAAGCTGCTTAAACATCCCTGGATTGTGAGCGCGAGAAGGAGTGGGTCGGAGAAGCCAAAGAATGCTACCGAGTATGATGAGGCGGTCAAGAGTGTTCAAGAATGGAACGAAGCTCTGAAAGATTCTCCCAATGGCAGTCTGGTCAGGAAGCCCTCCAATGCCTCAACTGCCAGCCCTGTGCCCGTGGCTCGGGACATGCTTCGATCGGCCAAACCGCAGGCTAAGTCCCCCATACCCCTCCTCAATAAGGACAACAACACGACCAAATTTTGCTCTCTAGAGGATGATGATAATTGGGACAATGACTTTGCAACGGCCATCTCAGCTAGCACCTTCCAGCTACCTCACCTCAGGCCTCATGACAACTTCGGAGGCATGCTGTCTTCGGAAAGATTGAAGTCATTTGCCGCTATAGAGACTACATGGGGAAAAGAGAATGAGTCCGTGGAGGACAAAGATTCAACCTTGAAAGCCGTGTCACCACTGGAGGTGGACGTGGATAAGACCGTGCGACTAGCAACGACCATGGCGAAGAAGAGGCCTGAGGTGCGGCACGCGCGGCACAAGTCTGAAATCCCTCCGAAGACAAGGACGAAGCCGACAGCAACGCCGCGAAAAGCTTCTTTGCCCTCCACACGTCAACCAGTGGATGTCCACAAAGTTAAACCCACCCAAACGAGGACCCAACACAACGAGCCACCAACACGACGTTTTAGAGAAAGCTCGGTCGAGGACTTCTCGGACATCGTTCAGGGAAATGAGCTGGCTCTGGACACCAAGCTCGGTCTTATGCGGCTGGACAACCAGGCACCGTCAAAGATACTCGAGTCTCCGAGCGTAACGGATCTGATACAGAGCATGAGACCGCCAAAGGTAGGCGGCAGCCTCAAGAGGCAGCCAGCGCCCAATAACAGGTTGTCCATGCGACGGACACGGTCTTCGATTGAGATACAACGTTTTGCAGAGAATGAGCAAGACGAGGACTTCTCTGATGTCTTCGCGCAATCGTCTGCGATCCTTGAGAAAGCCGCCAGTGAAGATGGCTCCGAGCTCATGTTGAGCTCCAAGATCTCGAACCTGTCCTGGCTTCCAGACGCGGAAGACGAGGACGATCCTTTCGCTCAGCTAGAGGAGGGTCTTCCAGAAGTTGATCTCGAGTCGAACATTGCTCGCGACAAGCACGCGCGTCTTAGGACAGAAGTCGAGGCCCTGGTGGGCCAGCTTAAAGTCTTGCAGGAGGACGACGCTCTGCTGCAAATCTCAGAAGATCTGATAAACTACTTTGGCATCTTTTCAGAAACCAAAAGTGTCATTATCAGCGCCCATGGCCTCTTACCGATTCTAGAGATCCTGGAGGACTGCATGCGTCTTGATATTGTCCTCAACCTCCTGAAAATTGTCAACGCGATCATCTTCAATGATGAAGATGTCAAAGAAAACCTCTGCTTCGTCGGCGGAATTCCCAAGATCAACAAGTTCGCCTCCAAGAAGTTCCCGCGAGAAATACGCCTTGAGGCTGCGGGATTCGTCAAGCAGATGTACGAGGCTTCGAATCTAATCCTCCAGATGTTCGTCAGTGCGGGCGGGTTGACGGTGCTCGTTGATTTTCTGGAGGATGACTATGACGATGACCGCGAGTTAGTCCTTATTGGAGTCAATGGCATCTGGAGTGTCTTTGAACTGCAGGGCTCAACTCCGAAGAATGACTTCTGCCGCATTTTATCACGCAACTCGGTGTTGGAACCATTGTCACTCGTCCTCAGCCGGGTCCTCATGGAGCCCTCTGATTCTGGAGAGCAGAAAGAACTCGCCGATTTGTGCGAGGGTCGCATTGCCAGCATCTTTTTCGTCTTCTCCCAGGCGGAGAACTACGTCAAGGAACTAGTCGCCGAACGGACAGTTCTCCATCGAGTCTTGAAAAACTTGAAAAGGATGGCTCCAGCACACCAAGTGACAATGCTGAAGTTCATCAAGAACCTCTCGATGTTGTCGACTACCCTGGATGCGCTGCATAACTCCAATGCTATCGATGTGCTGTCTGAGCTCCTCAGCAACAACATGAACAAGCCACATTTTAGGGAGATGTCCAACCAAATTTTGAATACCATTTATAACCTTTGCCGACTGTCGAAACGGCGGCAAGAAGACGCCGCTCTTGTCGGTATCATTCCAATCCTGATCAAGATCGTCAAACAAGAGAAGACGCCAGTGAAGGAGTTTGCCTTGCCAATTCTCTGTGATATGGCTCATTCCACACGAGCTGCTCGCCGAGAACTATGGCAAAATAAAGGGCTTGCTTTCTACGTCTCATTACTGTCCGACCCTTATTGGCAAGTCACGGCTCTGGATGCAATATTCACTTGGCTTCAAGAGGAGACTGCTCGGGTCGAAGATCACCTTCTGGAAAACCAGAATTTCATTTCGGCAATTGTTGCTGCGCTGACCAGCAGCAAATCGACATCGTTCGAAAACCTTCTCGAGCCTCTACAGAAGCTGCTCCGCCTGTCACCACCTCTTGCAGCCTCTATGGCGCGAAGCTCGCAGCTCTTTGATACACTCGGCCAGAAGCTGGGACATAACAAGCCTGCGATTCGTCTAAATCTCCTTCGCATCATTGGCAGCATATGCGACTCGACAGAAGAAGGCTTCTTCCTCCTCGAGCAATACAGTCTCTACGACGTGATCCGAGAACTTTCCTATTCCGACTCTGCGGTGCTTGTTCGCAGCATGGCTGGTGAACTCATCCGGTCGTGCGAAGAGTCCGACAACGTGAGCATTAAAAGTGGGCAGGGCGTCAATCCGGTTACGAATGGCGGTCGAAGAAAGCACCCTGGTTTTCAAAGGCGCACGAGCTCCACAACTCCTCCCCATCTCCTTGACCGTCAGATGAGCATGCCCACTTCTCCTCAGCTTGGCCGTTCCGAGCGGGCAAGCATGAACATGTATGAGCTCCCTGTGGCACAGACCCCGCGCCGGCAACGCAATGGCGTCTACGTCAACGGCGCGAGTATCATGCGGCCTGCCAGCCGAGATGGGTCGACGTACGCACGCGAGAACTCGCCAGCATTTGCGATGCCCAGCTTGACGCGCGCAAACACGGCCAGTGTGGCCGAGATGACGGTGAATAAGAGTAGGGTTGCTCGACAACCTACAGTGGCGACAAATTTGGCAGGCCAGCATCGACTCTCTAGGCAGAGTACACGAGACAGCATGGTTGGGTCGGCCAGGTCATCAGCAGAGAAAGAGCCTAGCTCGACCACGAGTTCCAGAGGTTATCAAGGCAGAACTAACAGCAGTGTAGCCGCGACTTCGACGCCTGTTTCCGAGCAGAGAGCTCGGAGAGAAGCGAGACACGTGCATACCAGCAGCATCAGCCAGAGTCGAAATGCCAATGGCAGCACCAACACGGCGGTTTCAAGACCTGGTTCCAGCCAGAGCCAGGGTCAAGGGCCGGGGAATGTCGAAGTAACTGTCGCAAGAAGGACGACAGCGAGGAGAAATGGAGCGTGGGACGATCGGTGGGGTTAAAGGCCTCAGCGTAAAGCATGAATAGCTTTTTCGCTTCACCATGATACACGCCCTGGCTTACAGGTGTCGGCCACGATTTGTGCAAGGCACTTATTGCAATTGGTCGCTAACGAACAAGAAGGTTGCGTACGCACGTCTTGGCGGGCCGGAGATTTTGTCCATAGACAGCCGCCAGTGTCAGACTCCCTCAGAATTAAAGACCAAGTTCACTAACAGTGCTCAATACTCGGAATCCTTGTCTTAGAACTACATCTGTTCAACGTTGGATCAGGCGAGCAGTCTACTGTATGAGTCCTCAAAGTGGGGCACGGAGCAAGCATGGTTCGCGGCTGTGTGCGCGGCAAAGCCCGTGCGACACAAGGAGTATGAGTTTCTTCAGAGCAGATGATGTCAGGGACCATAGTGAGCGGTGCTCAGTGGGATCTGTTCAGTGCGGAGGGTCAGCGCAGCAGAAGCGGACAACGAATCTCTCAGCCCTCCATTCCATACGTGACCCTATCACTAAATGCAGGCAGGATAAGACTCGTACTTGAATTCGACGTCTGACAAAGAAGCTGGGCTCAAATCAACAAACGTTGGTTGTGGCACAGTCTCTCGCAGCTTCAATCTGTCAATTCACGCTTCGCCCGACTCGAACAGACATGGCTACCAGATCTATCACGTATCATGATCTAGACGACCTTCGAAACACACGGAAGCGAGCCCAGACCACGCGTACATCAACTCGACCAAGAAAGAACCTCCAAACGGCTTTCGAGGCCGCCTCTCGAATGGCAACGCCGATTACAAAACCCTACGCTGGTGGATGATGAGCCAGGTCTTTTAGGGGACTCTGTTATCGAGAGACCCAGTTCAGGGAGGGTTGAGGACATCGATGATGCTCCCTCCCTCACTGGTTGGGTGGCCAGAGCCGAAGCGTTGGCTAACCTCTAGACCCTGCTTGATGGCTACAGTCGCGATCCCTTTGCGGCGTTACCGGTCATTCACTCAGGGCAGGGGCTATGTGCCGCTGATTACTGTGGTGCTATGGCTGGGCTTGATCTCTCGGCCATCTGACGACCCTGACCATCTGGCCACAGCAGTCACCCGTGTCTATGCCAGAGATACCACGTCCTTGCACTCCAATGAGAAAGGAAATTGGCTATTGAACAGACTCTTCTCTCTTGTGCTACAATATGATATGGTGTTCAAAGCCATCATTCTGTCCATGCCACGATTCCGTCCTGCCAGTCAAAGTGCAATGTCCCTGCCGGAGTTCGCTTCGCCTACATAGGACGAGCGTGATCTCTACACGTAATCGCAGGCTTGCAACTAAGGAAAAGGCTACAGCTGACGTTACCATTTAGAGAACCATCCCCTTATATCAGCCGACGGATGTCCGAGTAGTTTGGACGTTGTGTGGGAGATGATCTGGCCGTTCGGAAAATTCTTCGCGGGTCACGATGAGAATGCTGCCACTCACCTCAAAGGTTTTCAGGCTATTGTGGCCTTTTTCGGCGGGCTGGAGCACGGAGACTCCTACCGCTTCACGATATACAATCTAACAGGGCCGGGACTCGCAGTCGCTGTGCAACGATTCATGTTCATGTACTGACAGCGGACGCGTTCACAGTTGCCACGCCCTCTGTCAATTTGCTTCCGAACCTACCAACAGTGCCCAGCCGCCGCCGTTCGGCCCCAGATCGAATTGAGCTACCCCAAGCATCTGTATTCGCCAAGTCTCCGTGCTCGCATCGCCGGTCTTCCCGTCGGCTTCAGCGACATCGCAATCGACGGTTGTCTCTCGGTGCAAATCCTCAAGCTTCGGCCCCGCTTCGCTCGCTGTGCCCAAGACTCATCGTTGAGGAAGAACGACTCTGTTACTGAAGTCGACAAAGTCGGTATCGGCTTGCTTAGCGTCATGGCGCAGCGGAGCGCCACGCCACTAGAAAGAAGCACCTGCATGCTGCGTTTCATGTTCACCGTCCAACGGTCTCCAGGCGAATCGAACATTTTCAAATTGCCGTGAAGATAACGTCCGAGACTTTCATGTCGCCGGACGATTGCACGGCCGATTCCGCCATTTGGGACGTGGCAATCCTGGCAACTGTGACGACTATCGAAGGACCGGGCTTTGTTAGAAGAGGAACGCTGTGGGACATTCGCAAGGCTCTCAAGGCGACATTGGCGGACGGCGAGGTATTGGGATCAAATCGAGCCACGCGTGAAGCGGTTCTTCTTTCCAGAAGCCTGGCCGGAGGAGTTCCATGTTTGGTCGCAGGGAAAAAATGGCCGAGCACGCCTTTTTGAAATGCGGTTTGTTTTCCCCTCGGGTCATCGCGCTGCCATTTGTGCCAGTTCCGGGATTGTCTGAGAAAGAGGTCGACACGATATCCCAAAGTTCTCGTCACACTGAGCAGTTGGAGGTAGGGGTTTGCCTGATTACTGCCATGTACGAATAATACGCTCCTTTCTCCTGTCCACGCGGGACATGAGCTCCATCGATCGCCCAATTGCCGAACATCTGATGCGATGCCGAGTGTGGGGTCGGGGGGGCAAGGGGTTGGGGGGTAATCCAGATGGGCCTCCGGCCTTTACCCGTTAGTAAGTATCGAAATGCTTCTTCTAATCCCTAAAGCCCAAAGATACAGAGTAATCTTGCCGCGCAGTGATCTCGGCCGACAATCATCCTCACCAAGTCACTCTACCTGACACATCGTTCCGAAATGGGGAGCACCTCTACAGCCGGCGACGAGGTCTCCGTCCAGGTGGGAGAGCTCAAAGTCCAAGGCTTCATCCATCCCAGCACAAAGGTTGCGAATTATCTGGGCATTCAATATGCGACCATCCCTGCACGGTTCCGGCAATCCAAAGCCACGCATCTTTCCGCGCAGAGCGGTGTCCTTGACGCGACTCAATATGGGCCGCGATGCCCGCAGCTCACCGTCAACCGGCCCGAAACAGCCCACCTATACGAAGGAGTGCGACGGAGTTCTGAGTATCCGGTGGACGAATTTGGCTGTCTAAGGCTCAACATCTATGTGCCCGAAGGCTCGCATGGTCCTCTGCCCGTGGTTGTGTGGATTCACGGTGGAGGGTTCATCTTCGGAGACGGCAACTCCGAGTTCGATGGGAACTACCTCGTCCAGCACTCGGTCGAGAAGGGCAAACCTGTCGTGTATGTGGCGATGAACTATCGACTGGGATTCTTTGGCTTTCTGGCGTCAAAGGAACTTAGGGCCGAAGCCGAAGCAAGTGGCGAGACGCCCTTTTCCAACATGGCGATGCACGATCAACGAGTCGCGCTGCTCTGGATCCAGGAGCATATCCAGCACTTCGGTGGCGACCCAGCAAATGTGACTATAGCCGGCGAGTCCGCCGGTGGATGGAGTGTGCTCGCCCACATGAGATCCGACGTGCCAGTCTGTCAAAGGGGCATGATTCTGTCCAGTCCCAACCTCGACTTTCCCAAGCCAGAGGAAGCGCAAGAGACTTTCGACGAGCTGGTGGCCAGTGCGGGCGTGGCGGAGTCTGCGTCTGCGGAGGAGAAACTGAAAGCCCTACGCAACCTGGACTCGATGGAGATCGTGAAGCTGATGGTGCCACGCCTGGCGACCCCGCTGTGGGACGACAAGTGGTTTGTACATCAAGACGGAAAGAAGCCCATCGCGGGGCCGGCACCCTTTGCCCCCTGGGTCGAGGGCGTGGTCGTGGGCTCGACGAGAGACGAGGCTGCCCTGTTCGGCCTCGGGCTATGGAAGACATGGACATCCCAACAGTTCGAAGACCGTGTGCTGTCTTCGTTCTCGGACCGCCAGCTCGCCCAAGAACTGGCCGACGCGTATGGCATCTCCGCCTCCGCACCGGCCGAGAAATGCCTTGCGGGCTTCGTGGCCATGGGGACGGACAGCATCTTCTCGGGTCTGCCGTACATCGTCGCGGAACATTCTGCCGAGTCGTCCTCCCCGCCGGTCAGCCTGTACAGATTCGACCAGGCCGACACGTTCGAGCAGAGCCCTCTCAAAGGATACGCGTACCATGCCCTCGACAATGCCTTCTTCTGCCGCCTTCCCGCGGTCGCAGGCCCGAAAGCCGACCCCAACACGCGAGAGACAGCGAATCGTCTTTCCCGGGCAATTCTTGATTTCGCCCATGGTTCTCAGCCATGGGAGGCCTACGGGGCGAAGCACACCATCTTGGTCTTCAACGGCATGGACACGCGGTCTGAAGAGATGAGTGAACAGGATCGATGGAGACGGGTCACCATGTCGGGAGATCTGGCGAGGGCAAAGGGCACATGGAGGTCCGGGAATAAGTTGCTCGGTGTACGGCACAGTTCGATGGACAAGGCATAAGGGACCGATCCTTGAGGCGCGGTCGACCTGATAGCACAGTCCGTATCATGCTGCTCGGGCGGCACAGCTGGCTGCCGCGTGGCCATCAGATGTATGTGTGTGTGTGCATAAGAAGATTGGGGGATCATCACGGCTGAAGTTCCACGATCGGGTCCCAAGATAAAGACTTCGGATAGAGTCCCGAATACAGTAAATTGAATCAAACCCATCTCGCTCCTTTCCTACTTTGGGCAAGCACCTTACAGGACAGAATAGGAGTCCGAGATACCTTGATTAATTATGTGAAGACGTACGGAGTAGTGAACCTGCGGATCTGCATAGCGGCTCCGCGAACCCTGACTCCTCATTCAGGATCACACCATCCCGTACTCCGTACGTACCCCGTCCTCGGCCGTCCTCCCAAGACTGTCACCACTGTGTTCTTTCTCCTCACCTCGCTCGGCCGGCATTTGAGTTCTCCGTCCCTGCTTACGGCGGGGCGCATGCATATATGCCAAAGCACTACAGGGGGCGAATCAACTAGACACCAACCAGTCCAAGCACAAGCAGTACGTTCAGTAATTACTACGGCGTGCACGGCGGGTGCGTCCAAAGAGGCGCCCAAGCCCGTTGGGCTGCAGTGGTACAGTAAATTCTAGACTACTGTCCAGAGTAACATATGCGTAGCCTAACGGCAGACACCTACTCCGTACCTACAACAGTACTTACCTCCCCTACGCACATGTAATTATACACGACCATACGTACGTGCATACACACGTACTTGAAGGATTCGAGTCGTGGTGCGATGTGGTAGGACCGGGACGTGAGTCTCGTTTCTGACTTGAGCTCCGACGGTTTCCAGGTGTGAACGTGGGAGACCGAGAAATAGTTCAGTGGATTAGATCGGTCAGTCAGTCATACGAAGGCCCGTAGGATACACACAGACACACACACATACAACACTCTGTCAAGGGGAACTACGTAGTTGAACCACAAGCACAACACAGCACAACACAACACAGCACAACACAACACAGCACAACACAACACAGCACAACACAACACAACACAGTATGGCTACCACGGCCGCCGCCACCACCACCGGCAACGACACTCAGCCTACCGCCACCACAAGAATGGCCGCAACAACAGCTAACGACACACCCTCCAGCTCAAGCACAACTTTCACCGGCACCACCACCACGACAATCACCCGCCACACCTTCACCAAATACGGCAGAACAACCTCCTACCTCGCCGCTGGCCCCCAGACGGGTCCCCTGTTGATCTTCATCCACGGCTGGCCTGCCACTGCAGACGTATGGACTACCCAGCTCGAAGCCTTCTCGGCGCTACACTTCCGCTGCGTAGCCCCGGACCTGCCCGGGTACGGTGGGTCCCAGTCACAACCACAGTCACAGTCGGGCGCAAACCACAAATCGAAGGAAGACGGTCAGTCCCAGTCACAATCAAGAGACACTCCCGCCCCCGAACCCAAGGACGCCGACCCATCATTGTACACCCTCCAAAACGTAGTCACCCAACTCGTCAACCTGCTCAAATACGGCCTCCAGCGCGAAGAGGCCATCTGGATAGGCGGCGGTGCGGGCCACGACTGGGGCGCCGCCGTCGTGTGGACCCTCGTGGCGCACCACCCGGAGGTATGCCTCGGTGTCGTTAACATGGCCCTCCCTTACCGCACGCTGGAGATGGGATTGGGCGAACTGGTCAAGTACGCGGACCGTGATCTCTACGCGGAGGACGACTATCCGTTTGCGCAGTGGGGGTATATGGCTTGGTATGAGAAGTTGGCTCGCGAAAAAGAGTTTGGCAACGCCGTCGCCCTGTGGAAGAGGGACGTGGAGGCGTTTTTGAAGGTTTGGTTTGCGAGGAGGCCACAGGAGGTGTTTGGCGGCGACGACAAGAAGGAGGGGGAGGAGAAGGCGGAAATTGCGGACGCCGCCGACATTGACACCAATCACAAGTCAGCATTCACGGGCCGTGTTCTCAAGGATGGAGGCTTTTTCGGCGCAGCTGAGGCGGCGCCGCCCCAAATCCCCTTATCCGACACTTTACTCACGGAGGACATGCTCCGCAAGCTGTTCTCTGCGTTTGACGCAACCAGATTCTGGGCCCCCACGGCGTACTATCTCAACGGCGACGCCAATCTAAAATGGTGCGAGGATTGGAGCGTCAACGATGGCGTCGTCTCGGTCCCGGTCTTATTCATCGAGTGCTTGAACGATGTCGTGGCTGGGACATATAACAGTCCCAGGATGAAGGAGCCCATGGAGGCGTACTGTCGGAAACTGACGACCGTGGGGATCGATGCCGGGCATTTGGTGGCGCTGGAGAAGCCGCACGAGACAAACGCCGCGATACTTAGGTGGGTTGCGAGGGAGATTCCCGAGGAGAGGGGATGGCCTTATGGAAAGAAGAATCCGCTCAAGAAGAATGTATAAGCAGTGCTGTGGACCGTACTCAGTCAATCCAGATGGTTTGGTCCATGATGGACTCACTCCAGCGGGCATGTATGGTTCGTCTATGATGGACACACTCATAGCGAGCATGTGTGATTGCTCGATTCAGATGAAGAAACGGGCAAGACCTTTCGACGTCAACGTCGTTATTATCTACAATGCGGCGGCTCGTGATATTGCCGAGCTAGAAACCGTACTTTTTCGCTATCGTCCACATCCACTTCCTCCTCTCGCCATTCACACTGTATAGCGGTAGAAGGGCGACTTGTCTCCCAAGTCCAACAGCTCCTGCTCCGTGTACATTGCCTTGACCTCGTCGTCAGTCTTGCCCATCATGAACGCGTCCCGCTTGGCATTCTCCGCCCGGTACGCCCTTCGCAGTACATACGCCATGGCGACCGCAGCCACGCATATACCCAGTCCCGTGCCAAACCCGGTGGGATACTTTGGTGCCTGGGAAGCAATGTATATGTTGCTGCCGGCAATGCCGCCGAAATTGCCTATGCTGATCAAAAGCGCCATGCCCACCGCTCGCTTGGAGCTAGGGGCCAGATTGTTGCCGACCAAGCAGACGATGCAGATGAAGGGGGAGTACAGGCCAGCTGCGAGCGGGAAGAGGAAGAAATACGTGACACCAGGGAGCCGCGGGTGCGGGATTGCGAGCTCGCCGATGAATCCGACGGCGGCGATGGAGAAGCCGGCCATAATGAAAGGCGTTCGTTGTTCGACGCGATCGGACCAGAAGGCGAATATCAAGGTCATCTGTATTGTAGCTGGTCAGTGGTGTGTTTCGCCCATGTATGAGAGAGGGGGGCTTAGGCGCAGAAACACGAGAGAACGCAACAACCTGAGCTTTAGGAAGTACGACTTACAATCATGGCGAAAACGTAGATGGGGATAGTCATCAACTGGGCGTTGGCCGAGGTGTACCCGAGCTCCTCGATAACGGAAGGGACAGTGGCAGTGAATCCATATACACCGATCTGTGAGTAGCCAGATTTAGTCTCAGATACACAATTGCAAGAGTGGTTTTAGTCTCGCTTCCGGTAGCGGCTTACCGTGTTAGCCCAAAACATAACGACAGCGCCCCAAATCTTCCACTCCTTGAAAGCCGCCACGATATGACGGAGTCGAATCTTGTCAGAATTAGTAACTCGGCCGTGGCCGGAGCCCGTCTCAAGCGCCAGCCGATTGATGATGAACTCCTTCTCGTCCTTGGTGAGGAATCTCGCGGTTTCCGGGCTGTCGGGAAGGAGGAACCAGACGAAGAAGGAACCGGCCACAGGCAGCAGGCCCTCAATAATGAATATCCATTTCCAGCCGGCAAGTCCGGCGATGCCGTCCATGTGTTGAATGCCGTAAGCCAGCAGGCCTGAAAAGGCTCCGGAAAGGGATGCCGCTGCGTAGAAAACGGCCATGCGTCGTTGGACTTCGTAGCGAAGATACCTGGTCAGGTCAGCACATCATCGAGAGTGATATTGGCGTTGGGGCTGCTAACCAGATGGTGAGGAGGTAGGTCGCAGCAGGAAAGAATCCAGACTCTGTCACACCGAGGAAGAACCGGGTGACCAAAAGCCCCTGGTACGAACTGATCACGCCCATAAGTGTCATGACCGTCCCTGACCATGTTAGCAAGCTGTACGCAAGGTGAAATGGCAAGCGGCATACCCCAGGAGAACATCAGAATGGAGATCCAAATCGAAGGTCGCAAGATCTTGAGGACAATGTTGCTAGGAACTTCAAAGAATCCGTAGGGGACGAAGAACAAGGTCAAAGCAGTGTTGTACTGCATTCCATGAAGGTGCAAGTCATCGTAGAGACCGGCGATTTTTGCATTTCCGATGTTGCCACGGTCGATAAAGGCCAGTCTGTGGTCGTCAGAGTGACCCGGATAGTCAATAGGCCGACTTACAGATACAGCACACCGAGGAGAGGAACAAGACGATAGTCGATCTTCCTCAAGATCCTCGTTTTCTCCTTCTCGTCGAGCTCCACAAGGACTTGATCAGCAGAGAAGCCGACCTCGACGGTTTTGAGACCATTAACGGCCTCAATCTCCGTGAGGGTGTCGACCTTCTTGTCGCTGCCAGAGTCGACATCCCCCTGATCAGCTTTGGCGACCTTTTCGTCCATTGCTGGGGAAAGAGCTCAGGCGTCGAATCAAGAACTAGCTGATACTCGTTGTCAGAACTTGGCAGCCGCTTCCAACGCTGGGGCAAAAGCAGGGCTGATTCTGAGAGCCTTGCAAGTCCTCGGAGAAGCAGAAACAAGGGGCGAAAGTGTAGATGCACCGCCTTTTATGCTCGCAAAAGAGCCTGGCCGATTACTCGCATCTTCTCCACCACTTTGTTCCTTGAATTGCCGGCTCGTCGCCTGTATGCATGGGCACATGGCCCGGGCACGATGAAGTCAGGCTGTTCGCTATGGTCAACACCAAGATACCACGCGATGCATCTTGATTTGCGGGATTCTAGCGGGTCCGGTCGAATGTTCTGCGGGGTTAGTCCATCAGGGGGATCTGCTGGGGTATTGCGGGTTGGTGGCGGTGACTTGCTGGCCTGAGGTGCATCGGTCACGGTAGGGTACGGCGCCGTTCGCTGTGGGCATGGGTACAGAGTCCCATCATTCCTGCTTCGAGCAGCTGGTGTAATCAAGCAGGCGTGTGCAAAGCCGGTCGGCTCAGACACCGCTGATAAAGTACCATGCCGCGCAATCATGCCTCGGAGTCGGAACTCGCGACTTTGAAGGATCTGGGAGGGTTTCCAGGACGCCGAATCCACCGCCTCAACATTCGCACAAGACGACTACGAGGGACTTCCTGAGGCTCAGCGGGCTTTCGGGCTTTGTCGCAAGGACAGCACTTAAACTAGCCGCCGAGGCGGCCTCAGACGCGATAAGCATCTCGAATACGAAGGCTTATCGAGACAACTCGCCGCCGGAGTGACTCGGTCCGCCGGAGCTGGTGCTGCATCGGTACGGCGTAGCTCGTACGAGGTAGGCACAACCTCGTGGCCCATAGCTGGCGTCGCCACGAAGAAGCGGCGAAGGACGAGACCCCAAGCCCGCCAATAGTATGAGAGGCCTGAGGAACGTGCCGGAATTGACAATTCTGATTGGAACGCGATGATCTGCAACGGCGGCATGGCGTTGTGGAAGGGGGGAACAGCACCCAATCACTAACGTCAACAGAAATCATCGTCACGTGTCGCGAGACTTCCGTAAGATGAATACCTCTACCGACGGGTCGTTGCAAACGGTGCGAAGTACGGGGCATGGAGTTACTCGGTATCAGGGCTTGTCAGTCGCAGCCAGTGTACTCCGCACACAGTACGAGTATAATTATCTCAAGTCACAGCAGGGAGTGACTGAGCCGAGCCTAAAAGTCGATAAGCATGCCCAGTTCAGTGTGTGCGCATGCTCTACCATACATGAAAACGAGGTCAGTATCGTGGTGAACTATGTCGTGATAACATACAGAGTACTGCACCTTGCATTCTCGTTGGCCCTGCCGCCAATGCCCGTTAAAGCTCGGCAAGTATCGATGGCCAGCGCATTGGTGGCACATTGACTCGATTCCCGGCGGTGGTCTGTTCCGAAGCAACTGTGAAACAGTGAATAGAAGGGTCAGTTCCCACACTCCATACCCGCCTGGATTACAATACATAGCTAAGTCGTGTTGCCACGGCCTCACATCCACGTGTCAGGGTGGCTTCCCACAAAAACGGTCAGGTGTTCGCCATGTTATTGAAGATGAGCCGGCGCCCAGGGTTAGAGCTTCGATGCAAATTTCAAATGTACAGCATCAACTTCCGCCATTGCAAGTGGTCAGGCTGGCCGGGCGTGAGAGTATGCGGCTACGGTCAACAAAGCATCAAAGCAAGCTTGCTCGTCCATAAAGATACGTGGCCACAGCTTGAACTTGACCCTCTGCAAGATACGACGACTTGAGGGACGAGTACGTAACCTCCTGCTTACCGCCGCACCCTCACAGTTTTGGTGGCAGCCCGTCCGCTCAAATGAAGGCCATGGGATAGAGCCATCATCATCACGTCACACGCAAACTTGCAACCGAAGAGCCTAATATCTCTATGCCGTACGATTCAAGGCCGCTCAATTATCTGCACCTCGTGCAGACCGCGCTGGCTGTGATTCTCTGAAATGTGCCTGTGACGTTTGTCAGAATACCCTCACTTTACGAGACTCATAACATCGCGAGGAACAACAACCCGCTGCTAGAAGCAGCATTGTTCGTAGTTTTGAAGTCGGGTCGCTGGCCGAAAAACAGTGCACACAATCTTGTACTTTTCTATTTCCATATAGCTGTATTTCATATCCTTTCCCATCAAATCTGGACGCAAGGCTGCCTTCTGAATCAAAAGTGGTCAGAATTAATTCGGCCCTTCCTGGACCCGGCGACAGTGGGCAATGCAGATCTCGGGACGCCAACACGGAACGCGCGTGTGGTTCCGAGACGCGCAAGGACGCGATGGGCGGTCTGGATTGAGTTGGCCAAGATTGTCCTCGAGTCGAGAAACTCTTGTGTCTTCGCTTAACTACCCTCTCATACCCAGTGCATCTCGCATTTTCACTGCCACAAGATCGCCCTGCGTCTCCCCTCGAAATAAATGAATATCTTCCCCTCCGGCTTCTCCAACAAGCCATCGGACCATTCCGACCATTCGCGACACTGCGGAAGTCCAGCCTTGAGGAGCGTGGTCTGGGGAAGTCTTCGGCCCTGCGGCCCTGCAAGAGCTCCGACTCGTCCTGCTGGTGATGTGAGGCCAAAGTGATGATGTGGCCCTGATAAGCCCAGCCATGTAATCAACGCGTGGTGGGCCAACTGGGCGGATCCGACATCTTGCTGACGACCGTCAGAAATATGTGGGAGTCGCTATTCCGCTCTTTGCTATATCAAGCAACTGAAATGTACTCGCAACACCTCTCTCTCCTTCTATCTTGCGGGTGCGGCTGCTGTTTTGTGCTCAAAGATGTTGCCCGTCTTTCTTGTCCTGTTAGCCTCTACGGTCTTCGTTGTTTCATTTCTGCGTAATCATCTGTTCCATCCTCTAAGAAAATTTCCGGGACCGTTCTGGGCTGCTCATACGAACTTATGGAGGGTGTATCATCTGTGGACGCGGCGGATGCCAGACACGCTGCTGAAGATGCACGAGAAGTACGGCCCGGTGGTCCGGATTGCGCCGAACGAACTGAGCTTTCAGAGTGTCGATATCCTCAACGACGTGTACAAGGGTGGGCGGAAATTCCCCAAGAGCGACTTCTATCAGGGGTTCACCACATTTCACCCCAACACCTTTGGGATGTTGGATGAAGAAGTCAGTACCTTGTGGAAGTGTCGCTGCAGAGGCACAGAATACTAAGCAGAAATGCAGCTGCACGCTAAGCGTCGCCGTCAGATGGCACACAGCTTCTCCGTGGCGTCTCTCTCCCAGATGGAGTCCATATACGATGCCCATATCAAGAATCTTCTCGACGCTATTGACGCAAAGGGTTCCGAGCCCTTTAATCTAAAAGACCTTTTTGGCTACTATGCATTCGACATTATCGGCGAACTGGTCTTTCATACCGAGTTCGGAAGCCAGAAAGCACAGGATCCTGCGCAATTACCCCCGATTAATGAGCACATCTTCCTGGGATGCATCTTTGGCATGCTGCCATCGCTGCTGCCGTATAGCATGCGCATCGCCAATCACCTGCCCATCCCATGGCTGCAAGACCTTCTGAACAGCAGGAAGCAACTAAGAGACAAAACTTCGGAGTGTCTCGACCGGGAAATGTCTCGTCAGAAGACAAGTGAAAAGCAGAGTATTCTGACAAGGCTCATCCGTGCCAAAGACCCGGAGACAGGTGAGGACTTGCCGAAGGTCGCCATCGCTTCCGAAGCCTTTGCCTTTCTCGTTGCTGGGTCGCATACCACTTCTGGTACTTTGACTCTGCTGTTCTACCATCTCTTGCGGAACGAGGAGGTTCGGCAGAAGCTCACCAAAGAGCTTGAGGCATCCATTCCTCTGACGAATGCCTCGGGTGATTCTTTACCAGCATACACAGGATTGGAAGCCCAGCTACCGTATGCGATGGCGTCCGTTCGTGAGAATTTTCGGATTACGCCTGTATTTACCATGCCATTGCCACGGACTGTCACCGACCCCAAAGGAGCTGTGATCAATGGCTTCCAAGTTCCAACAAGGGTACGTTATGGTACTTGCATCCTTGACCGTCTTGCTGACTTTGAGCCTCCTAGACTAACGTATCCATGAGCAACTACGTGGTCCATCACGATCCCGCTGTCTGGGGTGATGACCATCACCTCTTCAGGCCTGAAAGATGGCTGGAGCCGTCGAAATCACTGTCTCCCAATGATTTAGCCCCTTTCGGCGTCGGTCATAGAGCATGCATCGGGAGGAATGTGGCGATGATGAGCATTGTCAAAATTCTGACCGCTGTATGGCGCCGGTACGAGCTTGAACTTGTAGATCCAGATGAGAAGTTGGTAGTGGAGAGCGTCGGAATAGGAGAGAAGCAGGGCCCATTGATGGTGAGAGGAAAGTTGAGGACAGTCTGACGTTTCATAATACTAACACTCCCAAACTCGCCAATTGTATAGTGGTAGATATCGGGGCTCGACCAGAGGAACCTCAGGTATCTGGCTGCCGGACCATGCACTTGTTAAAATATTCACCTTCCTTCCAGGGCGCCAGATCAAGCGCCAGATCAGAAACTTCTTGAAAGCCGTGCTTTTTGTATAGCCGCAGTGCCATTGGCGCGCTCTCAACGTAGACTGACAGACCTCTGTCGTCCGCTCGGTCCAGACCCCATTTTAGTAAAAGGGACGCGGCTCCTTGATTCTGGTACTTGGGACAAGTGCCCATAGCAGCCAGAACTTAGACACTGTCAGAAGGGTGCTGGCCGAGAGAGAGTAACGTGCTTTGACCAGTTTACAACTTACAGGCATATGGCTGATTTGTTCCAATAGTGGATGCAACTACCTCATGTCGCTTCCTGATACTGTTGTGAATCACTCTGTTGCCCAACTCCCTGTTCGCATCATTCGGCAATGGGAAGTCGCGCGTCAACATTTCCTCCTCGATGTCCTCTGGGCTGCGCGGAGGAAAGAAATGCCAGACGGCGAAACTCGCAACATCGCCGGTCAAGGCATCCTTGACTACCATTAGGTGACAGCTGAGATCATTTTCCATCTGGGCTTCGTACGCCTGCACGGTATGGGTGATTGAGGTCATTGTCGGCCCCTTTGGGAATACGACAGGAAAGCCATGGTCCTTCGCGCAGGCTTCGAACTGTACACGGGCGACAGCCTCCAGATCCGACGGGGATGCAGGCACAAGAGCGAAGGCGGGCATGGTGCAATTCTTGCCCCTTGCGTGAATCGTGTGGGAGCGATTAGCACAGATTTCGTTCCAGCTGGATCTTCAGCTTCATCATTTTCGGCATCAGCCTTACGGTCACATCGCAAGCATCGGCGGCCGTGGTGCTCACCTTCTACTCGACTCAAGCTGGTCTACTCGCAAGCTCACCTGCGGTTATTCGACATGTGGGTTCAGCTGCGTCAAAATCGAGAGCATGGAAGCGACAAGGTTTCCCGGACGCCGTTAAGATTAGCGGTCTGGCGCAACTTCTTCGACCTTGGCTTGCCCGGAAGACGGTCTCCGGCTGGGTCGTTTCTCCCGAAGGTTTGCTGATTCCGGGGCTGATGCAGGGACCCAGCCAGTCATCAACGGCAGCGCCGTTGGGGCTGCTTGCCGTTATGTGCGCCATACGAAATCTCCTAAGTAAGTCGGCGCCCGCAACTCCACCTCTTGCGTACCAGTAAGCAAGCCACTTTCTCTGGTCTTGACAACCCCTGTCGCTGTGCCCAGTTCGAGTATTCTGGTGCGCAGTTGCACGCTCGCCCAGGTGGGCTCTCTGAACGCACGTCGTGTTGGAGTCCTTCTCCTCTTTCATATCATCCGTGGCTTGGCTTTCCATTCGCGCCGCTGGGAATTACTGCTGTCCAGGTTGTCAGACTCCTTTGCGCTCAATGGCAGGAGGGCAGTGAAATCTACCGTCGGGGCATGCCTTCTTGTGTGCGGTGAGCCGACGTCTTACCAGCTGTCGCATTCTGTCAGAATCACCGCATACGACGTGCTCGAGCATCCATCACAATGCCGCACTCACACGCCCATCCTATCCCTCCTGCGATCCCCCATGATCTCTTCACGCAGGAAGTTCCTCCCTCGCCCACATTAACGAATCCCGACATGATATTACCATATCAGCGACATCTGGAAGGCAGTCCAATTCCGAGAGCTTCGTCGCCGACTTTACATTCCTCTCCGCCTCCGCTGCGGCCAGATTCGGCTGTCGCGTTGGGCTCGTCCCCACCGGAGCTTGAGCCTGCTATCCAGCTCGGCGTTGCGACGACCGTTAGACTGCCGTCCCGAGCTGTTCCTCCTATTCACACCAACTACTATGGTTATGGCTATGAGCATGGAGCCCCCCTGAGCGATATCGGCGAGGAAGAAACTCCAAGGTCGAGGAAGAGCCGAAGAACGGGTACCACGACTCCATCAGATCCACCGTCACCGACTCCGGCTGGACCTTCGGTGCGCGCGGCGAAAAGGTTGAGCGGTCGCTCCACCTCAAGCAATGGCTCTGACTTGGGCAACTGGGAGGACTTCGACTTCGACACCTCCAAGATTATGAATGAAAGGTTGGCTGCGGACGTAGCGAAGGTCCCAGATGAAGAGGTGGACGATGTTGAAAGCAAGAGAAACAGCACAGTCACGACGATCGAGGAAGACGACATGGCTGCACTCAACGAACGAGCAGAGCGAATTCTCGAGCACGCGAGGAAGAGACTGACACATATGGAGGACAACTTAAGCAAAGCCCGTCACAGCATTCTCCTGTCGTCGAGATCTTCACCAAACATGAACGAGCTGCACCAGCCTGCTGGCGGGCTATATCGTTCAATCTCCCTGGTAGGAGCGAGCCAACGAAAGGCGAGACCACTCCAGCTTGTCAACAGAACCAATTCAGTCATACACGCTAGGGGTGGCAGTGACACGACGACAGGTGCCTCGGGTTTGATGCGCCTTTCCATGATCCCCGAGGTTAGGTCTGCAAGTGCTCTTGAATATGGTCGCAGACAGGAGTCTCCACAGCAGCTACACTCACCACCATCGACACGGCCAGCGGGTTTTTCGCCAGCCAGCATCCGCAGCTTCAATTCACCTCTGCAAATACTCAAAGAGGAAGAAAGTGCCCCAAGCACGACCAACACTTCGCCGAATTCTCCTACACCCCGAGGTCTCGGCATCAACACTTTGGCGACTGTGTCCAAGGAAGATATTTCAGTTATTATGAGTAGTCCTACGACAGCTTTAGCGCGCTCCCCATCAGTGATGTCGAACCATTCGACGAAAGAAATCCGCGAGCAGATGTCCACTCTGCAGGCCAAAATCTCCGATTTGAAGGATAAGGCACAGGCCGACAGCATGAGGAGAAGAAGCATGCAGAGCATCAGAACACCTAGTCCCTTTACGAGTGCTCAGGCGCCGGAGCAATGGTATACTACTTCCCCCGAGTATAAAGAGGCTGGCAGTCCCATCAACACCAACGCCGGCATGGGTTGGAGCCCGTCCCGATCGAGAAAGCCACTGGAGGTTCATGTTACACCAATTACGCCACAAGCACAAGCATATCTCAATGTCGATCTTTCGGCAACAAAAGATTCTAGCTATCTAAGTGAAGCAAGGACCGACAAGAACACCCCCAGCCTCCACAAGTCGGTGCACGTTCAACCCGAGCCGCTAGAGAAACCGAATTCGGCAATTCTCGAGTCTGTCTACGAAGATGCAGCCCAGGAATTTGAGGATGATGAACCCATCGCTGCTTCAGAAGAAGAGCAGATCTATCTAAATGAGGTTCTGGAGGAGAGTCTGCAGGACCTCGAGCCCGACGTGCCGGATATTCCTGAACATTTGCTAGCAGCAGAGGGCGGGGCTGAGCGTCACGAGGACAGGCTAGACGCGTTTGACTACGAGAACATGTTCCTACACAGCGCTTTGGGGAATTATGCGGGTGCCGGTACTAGAAGTGAAACTCCTAGCGACAGCGATTGCAGCAGTGTGGCAACAACCAGGGTGAACCAACCTACCCCACCTGCGGACGACGAGGACGAGGAGGATGGAGAGACACAGCTAGATGAGGAAGCTGGTACAGACGAGGAAGCGGCGTCGACACCGATCCAAGAGATATTCCGCAAGCCAGGAACCCCTCCTGAGGTTGTCGCTTCTAACCCACCACCAAAGCCATGGACAAAGGCAGCACGTAGTAATAGCATGGATTCGCTGTCAACGGTCGCCACCTTCGCAACAGCTACGGAAGGAGCAGGCCCAGAGACCGAAGACGGGATGCCCTCTGAAATCTTGGGCTGGGGTACTGGAATTGGATTTCCTCAGCCATCAATGAGCCCGAACCGCGAAGCCACCACTTGGGTATGGCCGACACCCCCCTTGAGCGATCGGCAAACGCAGATCAGATCTCCGCGCAGCATTCAGACGCAAGGGTCAATCGTTTCAAATGGCATACCCACTCCTCCTGTCCAGTCACCGAACTCCTCGCTTGCAACGCCAAAACCGTTTAACCAGGCTAATGCGCAAAGCGAGGTGGCTGTCGACCATCCTGCAAATACCGAGATCCTGATGGAGAGTCTGATCAAGCTAGCGGACCCGGAGTTCAAGGTTGGCTTTGGACCGGGGTCGGTGTCGTTCTCCGCCGTTGACAAGGATCTTGTCCTCGACCTGTTACGTGCGGTCGGAGGGGTCTGTAATGAGATCCTGAAGTCGGAAAGGAAGCAGGAGGTTCGTGCCGCAAAAGTGCTGAGGCGGCGACTGGACGAGTCACGCAAGCTGTTGGAGGGGCGAGCCGACGATTGACGAGGGTCTCTTGCTCCTGTGCTTCGCAAACTCTGGTCCGTCCTATAAACGACCGCGATTGATTCCAGCAGTTTGGTTCAGGCTTGTCATAATCTGGCAATAGTTCACTACTAATCGGCTTTTATTTCAAATAACGAGGACAATGTCTGCCAATTCGGAAAGGATGCGTCACAAGAGGAAGCGGTGAGATCTGGAACATATGCTACATACTATACCCCAAGTAATGTTATGGACAATCTCAATGCACATTAATCTATTCCCTGATGATGCAAATGACCTGCCCCCAATTCCCCGGCACGTGTTGTAGTGTTCATGCGGTGCGCTGGCCAGATTCGATGAGTTTAGCGACCAAGGGCGACTTGGAGGTTCTCTGGCAGAGTCCCGATTTGTTCGAGATTCGTATTTAGGCGATGATGTGGATAGGGAAGCGCCAGCGGGTGCAAGAATACGCGGGAATGGAGGGATAGCCCTTGTCCCGACCGTTAGTCAAATGTGAGAGGTCACTTTTCGGACTTTTCCAAACTCTGGTACAGCTCTCACCAGCTCGTTCTAGCAACAATGATGCGTGTGCCTTGTGGCATTCGAGGAGTCTCTGACACCTGACAGGCGCGGAGCCAAAGGGGCGCTCTCAGAAAATGACTCCCTCCCCTCTCAAGGCTCCGTAGAAGCCAGTTCATTTCTGACTCAGTTTTGGTTCAGTCCCGGCTCACTCTTGGTTCGGTCCCTGGTTCACTCTTGACTCTCAGCCGCTCTGTATCTGCTTCCCGCTGGTCCTTTAGCTTGATCGATCATCTTTCGCCATCGAGATCGTCGGAAGCGAGATCGCAACCAGCTGATATGCATATCATATCCACTTGACGAGCGAACGAACGACTCGCTTCCAACCGCACCTCAATCTGCCCTTTACCAGTTTCGGGCCACCATTTTGCCAATTCGGCGAATCCAGCTGCGGCCTGAGTGCCTCGATGGCCGTATTGGTATCCTGCAGCCGTCCACGATACTGCATTGATCGAGGGTGGATCGTTCTCTACCGGGATGAAGACGCTCCACCATCCCCCAGGTTGGATCGACAGGGCCGTTGTGGTACGCTCTCCTTCAGCTGACTGCTGTGATACCGCCTCCCCGCCCGAATCTAGCGTGCAGGGAAAAGTCCCAATATGTTTGTGTCGACAGCCGATATTCATGTTGAACGATGCGCGCTCTGGGCTACGGATCCGTAGACATGTTCGCGATCATTCGCTCGAATGATGGCTCCGCTTTCTACGTTATTTGCACAGAGACATTGCGCAACGGCCGGAAAGAGGCTGTGGAGTATGGCATATGCAATGGCTTCGACATTTCGTGCAGTGTCAGGGTGGGCCAGGGGGATATTCACGAAGGTACATATTGAGGGCGGGCTGTCATCAAGGTCGGTGTTCCGTCTCAGTCAAGCCTCCCCTCTGTGGTAGTACTCTGTCTACTCTCTCTTCGAACCTTTCTGGTTGTTCTCGTGGGTACACATTGTTTGGCGAGGAGCCAAGCGGTCTTTCACCATCGTCATTTCCATCTCGGATGCTTGAAGTCTCAGCTTCGCACGCAGCTTCGCACCTCGCATATTCCTTGAGTGGTTCGGCTAGGGTCGAACATGGTGTGTTAACCTCCACTTCATTGGAACCATCTCCTCACTGAATATTTACAGGCCTTCGACATGTACAGCTCGGAATCCCAGACTTGGTCGTCACGTCCGCCGCCGCTACTGCCCAAGATCTCTGACTTACTCGGAGATAAAGTGACTCTGCCAGTGCTGCCGCCACTCCTGGGCTTTTCTCCAAGGCCCTACCCATCGCGCTCACAGAGCTTTCCAACGTTGCATGCGGACCGAGCACTTCCGCAGCCATCTGAGCCGCCCACTGCTATCAAAGGTCCGACTTTGCACCCCATAACGCATGACAACAAGAGCTCGTACCCGCCTGGCTACCGGACCTGGAATCAGATGCCATCCCCGTCGCTGACTGTTGGTCGGTCATCGTCAGTATCTTCCATGGACACCGACACCGAGAGGGGGTTTGGTCTCAGCAGCCTTGAGAGAACGCTCGACCAGGTAGACCCCGAATTCGCTGCCCTTGTCCAGTCTGCACGAAACATGCTCGAGAGCTCTAAGATCGACCCCGCCTACCCCAAAGGTTGGTTCCAGCCCGATAACGAATACGGCAAGAGATTAGAGGAAAAGCTCGAGGGGTTGGAACTCCCAGACCTTGTCGAGGCTTTTTTCTATCGCAACGAGACCCGCGCTCTCTACGGTGACCGGGTGATTATCACGCGTAGATCAGCGCCGAAGGGAAACGTACCCCCCGCGTCCCCACGAAAGCTTGAGGACACGTCATACCCAGAAGTGCCAGGGAAGCTGAACCACAAGAAAGAGAGTCAGAAAAAGCATGGAGAGCAGGAAGAGGCCAGGCGGAACCGGCATCGCAGTTGTCAGCACGACAGCCACGCGAGATGCCCCGAAGTCGCCGCAGAATGTGGCGCTGAACACGCCAAGTCCATCAAGGATACTAGGACTCAAGCCGGCAAGGGCCCGGGCAAAGACGAGCAGCTGTACGCTGCGATTTACACGCAGGAAATCGCTGCCCGGCTCGTCCAGGCGCTGAATGACAGGTGCATACGGGCCGAGACCACAGTGCGGCTGCTGCTTCAGTCACTGCAGCCATCACGGCGAAGCGCCTCCTGCGGCGCGCGAGATGCTGATTACCTTCGAAAAGGCTCGCCTGGGACATCTTTCAGTAAGCCCAGCTATGTGGGCATTAAAAGATGCCGGGACATTGACACGGAAGATGACCGTCAACGGCAGCGGGCTTGGACGAGGATCAGGTGCGACAGCGCTGGGTTTGACAGTCGTGGTCCCTCCTTTACAGAGTAGGAGAGAAGCTGGAATAATGTACAATAGTCGGCACATATGCCTCGTCCTGGGTTGTTGTATGCAATAGATGGGTGATGTGAAATATGCAATAACCGGAAGGAACACAATCTGGCATTTCGGGCGGCACGGCTTTTCCACATGGTGTATCTACTGCGACTGAACCGGGTTTGCAGTAAGGCCAATTGCAAGATGTATGGATGGCGGACCTGGTTCGTTGATCACGAAACGACCCTGTTTCCCGATAGCCTGGAAAGAGTCGTGTTTGAGTAACTCCGAGAAGGGAATTGATTCGTGTGAAAGAGTCTAGGAGAGAGGAGAGATTCGTGGAAGATCCAGCTTGTGCTTTGGAATTCTCGCTCGTCGGGGAATCAGTCTATCGAGTGACTGAAGACAAATCTCACTAGGAAACCGGAGTCATCGGAATCGTATTGGCGCCAGTGGTCCGGAGTACGGAGAGAGGAATGTTCCTACTGTGGTACACGCTACTACTCCGTACTTCGTCGTGTTCGTGCATAGTTCACTCGGCGGAAGCAAGCTAAACCAAGTTCGGTGGGAAAGGGATTCGTGCTTGCGTGGTAGGTAATGGATTGTTATCCCGTCGCTGTCTACAACACCTCAATCATCCCGGCCTACAAGCCAATGCGCCGTGTCGTTTCTGCAACTGTTTTCGACTTCTTTAGACCCCGCTGCAGCAACTGCTCTCCGACAAAGCGCGCCTTCTCCATCCGGCCACAGAACAGCCGCGCCCCCAACACTTTGATCACGACTTTTCAGCTGCTTCTCACTTCTTCGAGGCCCTGATGTTCAAGGCCGTTCCGCTCGTTTCCTAGGTTCAGTCAGCAGCAAACATCTCACACTGGCAAATTCGACCTCGAAGCCCTCCTAGTGAGGCCGTCTCTCCCCTCCTCGCGGCGCCCTAATCTGTCCCCTCCTCCTTTTTACTTTCCCACCACTTTCGATTCGCCCATACTCAAAGATGCTGCTCCCTAAAGGTGGCGTGACCTGGAAGTCCGCCAAAGCCAGGTTACCTCCCTGGAAGGCGATATTAATGTTCTTGACTCGGACAAGATTCCTGGTTGCGGTGGCATTGACGGGCCTGATTGTTTTACTATGGCGGGGAATCAGTGTATCAACACAACAGATGTCAAAGTACGGATAACCTGGAATAAGTCCAACGCTAAGAGACTGACTGAGAGCACGTATAGTTTCTATTGCTTTGGGCCTTCAAAACCGCCCACTCAAATGACAAAGAACGAAATGGCGGCATGGAACCAACACCTCCAGACGCCTGTCCTCTTCAACCACCATGAACCCTATCAGGTCAACGCCAGCACCATCGAACGGATCGACCTGAATCCCATCGTTTCCACCCCCCGAGCACTGAGCAATAAGGAACGAGTGCTTATCCTCACCCCTCTGCGCGACGCAGCACCGTACTTGATCAAATACTTCGACCTGCTATCTGAACTCACATATCCACACGACTTGATTGATTTAGCATTCCTGGTCGGCGATTCCGTCGATGATACCCTGGCCGTACTTTCCGCAGAGTTGAATCGCATCCAGCAAAGGACAGACAAGATTCCATTCCACAGCGTCCTGATCGTGGAGAAGGACTTTGGGTCCAGCCTCGACATGAACGTCGAGTCGCGACATGGATTCGCCGCTCAGGGTCCAAGGAGAAAAGCAATGGGAAGAGCGAGGAACTACCTTCTTTCTGCAGCCCTGAAGCCCGAACACAGCTGGGTCTACTGGCGGGACGTGGATATTGTGGATTCCCCCAAGAAGATTATCGAGGATTTCGTCGCACATGATCGCGATATCCTAGTCCCCAGTATGCCTTCTCCACCCAATTCCCGTTCCTGCAAACTTTCACGCTGACCTCGCGTTTCTCAACAGATATCTGGTTCCATCGCTACGAGAACGGCCGCGATATCGAAGGCCGTTTCGACTACAACAGCTGGATCGAATCCGACAAGGGCCGTCGTCTAGCTAATTCGCTGGACAAGAACGTGGTCTTGGCAGAGGGTTATAAAGAGTACGATACCGGCCGCACATACATGGCCCGCATGGGCGACTGGAGGCACAACAAGGACGAAGAGATCGAGCTGGATGGCATTGGGGGTGTAAATATCTTGGTCAAGGCCGACGTACATCGGTCTGGTGAGTCTGCCGCACTCGGGAGCGAAAGGGGCATTTGCTGACACTTCGGGACTTCTAGGCATCAACTTCCCTTGCTACGCGTTCGAGAATCAAGCCGAAACAGAGGGTTTCGCGAAGATGGCCAAGCGGGCCGGATACCAGGTCGTGGGATTGCCGAATTACGTCGTTTGGGTACGTCCTGTCTCTGCTGGTTGCCATGTCTCTCTCATTTCACTTGAACATCACGTCAATACCGTCTCAACTCTGCTCTCAATCTCTATGTCCCGAAGAGGTACTTTTGCTGACACCTTCCGACGAACAGCATATCGACACGGAAGAGAAACCCGGGAACGCCGCATAGTTGTACGCTCCTGATCTCGAAATGAATACACAGAGATCTGCGGTTCCAGATTCAATGTTCAGAATTCGCGCCTCGACTCTCGGCAACCGGCACAAGCAAAGACGCAGGCGACATAACATAAAGTCAGCGAGAAGTGAAGTCGATCTACTGGTGGAAAAGAAATGTCCAGAGTTATTATTCCGTACGCTTTACCTTGAGGGACCGGTGTCAAGGCCATATCCACGGGACGGTGCTAGCAGATGCTGCTCCTTGCACAGAGCAGGGAATGGAAAGTGTCCATGATTGCGAGAAAACACAACGAAATGCCTGTGTATAATGAATGCGTGTGGCTAGGGCGTGGACGGATCCCTCCTACTGGGCGTGTGGGCCTTATTCTCGGCTCCTGGACTATGAGCGATTGATATCGAATGGGCGTCTAGGCGTGGAGCAAGGCGGCTCGATGACAATATCAGAGGCGAGAGGATTTTCCGGCGCCACGCGAGCATATATATATACACAGTACTTACCTCTACCTATTCCACGTCAGCATTCGGCCAACGAGCGTGGGCGCGAAAAAAAAGCGGACATGTTCCAATATTGATGAAGCGGACCTTTCACAATGGAATTCTTCTTTCTTATACTCTAAATTGCGCTTTGTAATTCCAATGTCTCTGGGCCAGGCCGATTTGCTTGCTACTTCTATGCTGTGCCGTGAGAGATTCAGCTCCTGTAGGCAAATCCTCCGCCAGTCACATCCGACCACCTCCAGATCTCTGATCTTGAGCGTTTCCCCACAAGCCCGGCATTTCTTCATGGAGTTGTGCTCTGTAAAAGCCCCTCTCTAATGTGGCCGGCCAAACGTCAACAGTCTACTCTGTTCTGGGTACTGTATATCTGGTCGATCTCAATGCATGCCCTCATATGCAACTAGAGGTTCAACAGTCCACAGTGTGTTCTATACCCGGGCGTTCTCAATGCATGCATGCCCTCAAATGCAACGCCATCGCTCACGTGAGAAATAACATGTTGAGAAATGTGAAGGGGATCCCCAATGTTTTCTAGGCTAGGTGCTAGATTTGCTCGAGTGGACGGGCACCCTCCATAAAAGATCGAAGGAGATTTACTGAGACGTCTGTGGATCGTGTCTTTGGTGCCGTCTGCCTATATAACCTCAGGCACAACTAACGGCGTATCATCACAGGTGTTGAGAAATCTGACAGGGCAGTTAATTCAGAGGTCGATTCCACCATTCCTGCATGCTGCCGTCATCCTGTCCAGGTCCAGGGGCGGCCGCAGGCGCAGGAGCGGGCGGGTAGTAGTTTTGCTGTGCCGGGTATCCTGTATAAGTCTGCGGTGGTTGATGAGTGTAGGGCGTCGGACGGTGCGGGTCGGCCCCTTCGATCAGTTCCGCCATGAGTCCACCCGGCGTGGCATGTTGAATAGGTTCTAAGGCCTCATGGTGCATAGTAGTCTCGAGCGGAGTGGCCACGCCCCTCGAAGCATGAGGATGGGAAGGATGAGTCATCGGGACAGGTGCGTCTAGTCGAGGAGAGGGCCTGTTGCTCATCGACGGCGTGTTGTTGCTGCTGCTTGTGTCTCGTGGCGGACTATTCGGGGTACTTGCTTTCCTCAAACTGCTGCTCCTGCTGACGGCAGGGGCGTAGTCATCCCAATTGCGCCGGCTCACTTTCAGAGGCTGCGGGAGCCCTTCGTCCCACGTTGCGCCGGTCTTGTTGGTCGCCAGTGGTCTTAGACCTGAGCCGGATGTGACTTCGACGCTGGTCCGTCTGGGAGGCTCCTCCCAGGCTTCTTGGGGTCGCCAACTTGTGCGAGCGTCATTTGCCTCTTGTTGATCACGCAGCGTCAAAATCGGTCTGTCGGGGTCGTAATCTCCAGTGCGCTGTATGTCCAGCGATCGAGATTCTCGGCTTATTTTCCTCTGCTCGTCGTACTCGTCTCGCAGGCCCTCCCAGCGCTCGTAGTTCTTCTTCCGTTGTTTCTCGCGCCGGTGGTTGACGATGCCTTTGTGGCCCATATAGATCCCTCCAAAGATTAGAGACGTCATGGTGGCCGGATGGTACTAGCCGTTCGGAGCAGATGCCAGGATTTTGAGGAAAGGCGGGGTCGGTGGTCTACGAGAAGAAGTTATAGGGTTGTGAGGACTCGTTGAACCGAAGATAGTCGTGCAAGGCGGATGCAATAAGACGAGGTTTTTCGATATGTCAGCTGAATGACGCTGATTCCGTCGCTCAGTCGGGTATTTCAGGTCGGGTTCTTGGGAGACGTCGAGGGTCGACCGTGAGGTGAGGAAACTAGGGATTGGGGAATACTGATATAGCGCCAATATGGAGCAAGTCAGATGATGAAAGGTCGGAAGTGTCGCTCTGTGGTCAAGGCGACTGCGGTGGAAGGGCAAAGAGTAAGTACTCCCCGAGTCCCCCGCGAGAACGAGCGAGCTTGTAAACCTTATGCGGGAAGCGGCGAGAACTTTGAGTGATAAAGAGGTGCCTGCCGAGTAATTCCAAAAACGAGCACAGCCACGACAAGCTCTTACCGACGAGCCTGTGACAGTGCTTCGTATCGCTGTATTATGCGTGTTCGTGCAGATGAGACAAGTCCTCTAAGTGGCCCTGCTTGTTTAGCTGCCGGATAAAGGAATAAGAACCTCTTGTGGGAGTCTTTTACGAAGAGATCACGCGACGGAAGGACAGCCGTGTCTTTTTAGGCGAAGTATTGTGGTAGTAGCTCAATACTTGCAGCGACCTGTGGTTCTGGCCAACCTGGGCTGTTCCTTGATTTGTCGCCGAACGCATGCTTTGGTAGTTGCTGCCGTGGTTGTTCCTAGTTGATCCGCTTCTGAGACGGACTTGCCAACCAGCGCATCATGATTTGACGTTTGACGGGTGGTTCGGCGCAGCGATGAGGTCAGCAACCCTCTAATGTCAGAAGCGGGTGAGAAGGGTGGAAAGCCACCTTCGATTTCCGCGCTACATACCAGTATACGTCCGCATTGCTGGAGTGCCGCAGCCGATTTCTCGACTGCCGATGCAGGAGCCTCCTGTTGGTGTTAGGCAATGTCCTTTTGTGCTGGGTTTCATGGCGTCCTGCGAGCAAACATGAATGGATGCGGCACATCCTCGTTTCGGTACGGGGAAGGCAGATATCTACTACTCGTGAGCACGCACAGCAAGAGTAACTAGCGGACTATACATTGGAACCGGGCGATTATGAGCACCGTTACATGAGTGCAGGCTTGCCGCGATCGCTGTGAGATTCGCAGTCCAACCTTCTCTCAAGGAGCACCAAAACCTTACCTACATAAAGACATAACTTGTCGCGAACAGATTCACGCCTGGGCAACCTGAGAACGTTTGTCCTTCCATGGTGATGTCAACCAGGGAATATGCTTGAATTAGGCGCGACAAGGAGGACCCGTGAGCTTGAGTCACAGCTAAAGTGCGGAGAACGATGCCTGAACTTTGTCCAATCACTAAAACATTGACACGCGTGTTCCCAATGTGTCCAGCCTGCTACGGTCACTGAATAACGAAAGCTTCTCCAGTACGGCTGAGTTGTGATGGCTCGTGTCGTGAAACCACGAGGTTCCGTCTGGAACCCCCGGGTGCGTTCGTCTATTACCTGGTTGTGTAAAGCTGACACTTTTGGCAGGCCGTGACTGCTCCCATCGCTGCAATTGTCATGGCAGGGCTCCTATATACCTACTCAGTCACCTCGATTAGGGCGGCGAAACGAAATGCTCAGCTACACAGAGAAGCGGACGGTGGACAGTTGGACATGCGCAAGGAAAGTTTGCGCAGACATGGTGTCCTCGATCCGGTACGAGGCACTACGGGCATTGAGCTCTTCAAGAGCGCTCGACCCGAGTCAAAGGAGGAGTCAAAATTCTTGACCGACAAAAAAGCCAGACCATTGGGCACAGAAAGAGAGGATGAGAATACTATGCCGCGCACACAAAACGAAAGCATTCTCGAGGGCTACAGAGGCACAGCAGGTCTCCAGAAATTCAAAGACGGACGTTCACAAGACTAGCAGCAAATGGCGCTGACTCCGTATGACAATTTGCGATGGACCTGCAATGTGCTGCAAGGTCCACCACCCAGTCAGTACGAGTATGGTCACCATCTATTGCTCCCGTCAGCCCTGCGGTTCAGTCCTTGGATGCCAACGACAATCTGGTATATCAGAGGACCTCAAGGACACACACCGAGTCAAAGCTTTGTTTCAGCATTGTCAGTGATCCCGAAGAACTCACACAGTCATTCCATATCCTTCTCAGCCCAGGGGAGCCAAGGATGCTGGCACTCTGTGAGCATGGTCCTCCATGCAACGAATAGTAAAAGGATTCGAGGTATAAGTACAAGTAAGATCCACCAGTGATATGGACCCGTGATATGGCTTCGGACCGGTCCTTCGGTGACCGACCTCGACAACGATGTGCTCGGATTACTGCTGGCTGGCCGCACTGTCTTTATCTCAACGCTTGATTACAGCGGGATTCGGTCCTCAAGTACTTCTTCCGGGGGCGGCGAGACGCGCTCTCAGGGAAGACCACTCTCGACGTGGAGTAGCATCTCATCCGTGCATCTATGCTTTGATACACGGAGAGTGAGCGGTGCTCAATAGCATTCTCTAGGAAGGGTGTCCGAACGATCGTCACGCGAGCATTCCTGTCGATCGAGCGGCCGAATACGAGGTATGGGCTCTCCGCAACTACGAGTAATCCTATCAATGTCCCAAGTTCAGAAGCCACCCTCCTTCGGGTAGTGCTTGGCAGGGAGATTTCCGAACAATCATGCGATTCACGAGATAGCCGTCGCTAATGACATATGGCTGAGCATGGAAAAGGGCCAACGTGCGAATCATGGGGGCAGAAGAGCCACCCGCGGATAGCGACCGGGTTGGCTTTCCAGATATTGCTACGTCGACGTCATCTGATCGTCACGAGAGACGAAGGATCTCGTCCCCCACAATCCACGCTTTCCAGCTTCCAGATCGGAAAAAAATGGTCAGGTCTCTTGCGTCGAGCGTCAATGAATTTTATACTGTGTGCACAACACAAGCCGAGAATACTCTGTAAACGCGAAGAGAAAACCCTAGAATACCGGGTCCTTGATGCAGGACATCTCGGCTACTCGTACCAGGATGAAGCTTTGCCTTCTCTGGATTGGGTGGAGGCGGAACCAAAGCCTTGCCGGCACGTGTTTGACAAGGCTTTATTCGCATGACGTCGAAGGTTGCGGACTGTGCGATGTGCGTTGCTGTGATCGACGCGGTGCCACTGGCAAAAGCTTTGAGGCCCTGGTACCCTAGCATTCTCCGCGACGCCCAGCATCCCAAGCTTGGTGCCAGTGCTACATCTGCTGCATTTGATCCTGCGATGACGTTGCCAACTCTTGCCGCGAACCGAAACCACTGCCTTATTTCTTCTTGTACATAAGGCTTGAATGCCCCTCTACCTACGTTCGGCGCCCCTCGAGCCACGGCTGAGCATCCAGTGCACAACCCACTTACCTGCACGACATGGCGATCAAAAACATGTTCCAGAAGAAACAACCTCAGCCCCGCCGTGGGGATTCCGTAAGGTCTTCCTTCACGGCGACGGGAGAGACCGCGGACATCGAGACGGAAAAGGGCCCATTCGACGATGAGTCGAAAATGCCGTTTCTGACCGTGAGAACGTTTTTCATGGCAGTCTTGGTTTCTTTCGGCGGTCTATGTTTCGGATACGACACAGGTCAAATTTCTGGTTTCCTGGAAATGCATGACTTCCTCCGCAACTTTGCTGATCAAAGAAATCCGATGGGCTTCAGCAACATCCGCTCTGGCTTGATCGTGGGGATGGTGAGTCAATAAGTCGCCGCTTTCTGCTTCCAGTCTGATGCCAAATAGCTGTCCATTGGAACGTTGATCGGAGCTTTGATTGCCGGACCAATTGCCAACAACAAGACCCTTGGTCGCAAGTATTCGATTGTCCTCTGGACAATAGTATTCTGCATTGGTGTAGCCGTTCAGATTGGCTCGAGCTCCGGTCATTGGTACGAGGTCATGATTGGTCGTATCATCGCTGGATTGGCCATCGGAGGTCTATCAGGTTCGCAGGCCCGAATGCTTTGCCGGTCCAGCCAGGTCTTCCAAAAGTCTGGTTGTTCTGGCGCGTGTTTCTAACGCTAACAATCACGCAGTGTTGGTCCCTGCATATCAGGGAGAAAGCAGTCCACGACACGTCCGAGGAGCCATCGTCTGCTGTTACCAGGTAAATCATAGAAGAAGGTCGTGATCATTCGTCGGCGACGGCTGACTGTTGAAATCAAGCTCTTTATTACAATCGGCATCCTCATTGCAAATCTGATCAACTTTGGCACCGAGGCAATCAACAACACGGCCTCCTGGAGAGTCCCGATGGGCGTTGGCTTTCTGTTCGCGATCGTGCTCGGCATTGGTATTCTCTTCTTTCCCGAGACTCCCAGGCACGACTACCGCCATGGAAAGATCGATCCGGCTACAACAAGCATTGCGAAGTTCCATGGGGTGTCCGAGCGGCACAAAGTGGTCAAAGATCAGCTGGTGGAGATGCAAGAGAAGCTGCAAATGGAACTAGAAGGTGGAAAGCATCCCATCTGGGAGATTTTCACTGGACCCAGAATGGCTTACCGGGTTATGCTGGGCTGTACCATTCAAGCCCTCCAACAGCTGACGGGCGCAAATTTCTTTTTCTACTACGGAACCACTGTTTTTGCGGCAACCGGACTGTCGAACTCATATGTTACTCAGATCATTCTCGGTAAGTGAGGTCAACTACTCATATTGGCTGTCAACTGATTTGGTGACAGGTGCCGTCAATGTCGTTACAACGTTCCCAGGTCTTTACTTCGTCGAGAAATTTGGACGGCGCAAATGCCTCATGATAGGTGCTGGGTGGATGTTCATGTGTTTCCTCGTCTTCGCCTCTTGCGGACAATTTGCGCTCAAGAACGCCGATGGCTCAAATAGTCAGAGCATCGGCTACGTGATGATCATTTTCTCATGTCTATTTATGTGAGTACTGCCCAGTCCCTTGACCAATCCAAGGCAGTGCCCAATCCCTTCACCGACCCAGGGCAGTGCCGAGTTTTAGTTCCTTCATCTTGACAATGCTAACAAAAATATTAGTGCTGCTTTTGCATCAACTTGGGGTCCAATGGCCTGGGCGGTGACTGCTGAAATCTATCCCTCACGATACCGCTCACAGTGCATTGCCCTCTGCGCTGCATCGAACTGGCTATTCAACTTTCTCATCGCATTCTTCACCCCCTTTATTACAGGCGAAATAAATTTTGCCTACGGCTACGTCTTTGCGGGCTGCAATCTCTTCGCGGTCTTCTTTGTCTACTTCTGCTTGCCGGAGACCTCTGGCAGATCACTGGAAGAGATCGATACGATGTTCTTGCTGGAGGTGAAACCATGGAAGAGTAGCAAATGGGTGCCGCCCAAGGGCGAAGATCTCATTACCGCAGACAAGCTGCGACTGGAGAGCGGCGCGAGGGATATCACGAAGAGGCAAGAAGGGGTTGCAGGTGGGGCTGAGCAGCACGAGACATTGGGAAAAGCAGGCCATGGGAATCTGCCTGAAGTACCAATTGTTTCGGGCACACAGCATCAGTATGGTGCAGGTGTTCGAGGAGATTCATATGTCGGCCGTACATAAACCATGTTTGGGCTCTTGGCTGGGCAAAATAGCAACGCAGGATTGTACATGGAGTGGTTTGCTTTGAAGTAGGTTGGCAGAGCGATTGTACCACCATCGGTCGCTTCAATTAATTATACTGACTTATTCTGAATTTCAGTGGGTGTGAGTTGGATGCGTGCACAGTGACATGAGCAGTGTGCCGTCGACGTTTGCTTCCTGTACATGATGCCATGGTATCTACCCCAGACTCGATACGCGGTTATAAGTGGTGGTTGCTTTAATCCACTACTCATGCCAAGCAGTGTTTCTCCGGGGATGCCAGGGGTTGAGGCTTCGGTTACTGATCACCTGAAGCTCACCAAAGCTTTAACTGGAGCACAGACGTTACGCAGCCACGGCAGCCCAAGAGCAGGCATTGCACGGCGCCTGAAGTACGTGGGGCAAAGCCATGCTTCAAGTCGGCCCGATAGGCCCTGCTATTTCCCCGCGTTTTTTCGCGTTTGTCACCTTTTCTTGTCCGCGTGCTGCTGATTTTTGTGCTCTTTTGGCTGGCATACGAACAAGATCGAGTAGCAGGTTACCAGGATCAAGCGATCCCGTTTTCCCACCAACCCCGTTCGGTGTCCCGAATGACGCCTCTACACACCACTTCCACCGCTGCCATTTGCCGTCGGCGTCTGGCAAAGAAAGCTGGTGGAAGCACAGGTCGCCTGTCCAGGTAGAAATCCCCCTCTCAGCCATGAACTGCACTCCGGGCAAAGCGTCAGTCCGCGGCTTCTCAGCCAGTTCACCTCCCCGATGAATGCCTCACGAATATCAAGCAACGCGCCGAATACGCTTACCGAACCTTTCTCATTAGCCAGTTCCAGATAGCTTGGCAGACGGCGTACGACCGACGGCAAACGGATTCGTGCGCATTGCTCTTGTCGACTCTCCACCAGCTGCCTTCTCACATACTCTTTGGAGATCCAGTTCGTGATTACTGCCCAACATCTCCTACATATGTGGACAGATCCGACCAGAGCTGTTGTCTATTCGCTGGACAAGTTCCTCGGCGGACATGACGCACTCGAGTCAACGACATTTGTTGAAGTCGTCAACACAAATTAATAGCTGAGGGTACTGCCCAAATACGACCGAACAAAGGTCGATGGTCCAGGATCGGGGCCCGGCCACATTGGCCGTCACCATTATTGTGACAGTGATTGCTACCATCTTCATCGCAGCTCGAATTTTCACAAGAATACGCCTTGTGAGATCCATCAGGCAGGACGATTGGTGGATTCTGGCAGCATGGGTCTGTGCTGCAGGATTCTCCACGTCGATATGCGTCGCCGTTCATTATGGATTGGGCAAGCACAAGCAAGACATACCTGACAGCTCGTTCGGCGCTCTTCGAAAGGCCGAATACACCTTCGCCATTCTCTACAATCCATCCTTGATGCTGACGAAGACCTCCATCATTGTTTTCTTCCTGTCAGTGATGAGCAAGGACGTCGACCCCGTCTTCAAGTGGTGTAACTGGTTGACCCTAGCTGTGGTCAATCTCGTCGGACTGGCTCTCACATTTTTCAATATCTTCCAATGTTCTCCCGTCGCAGCGGGGTATCTCTATCCTACACCCGAGAAAGCCTCGTGCACAGATATTGTTACGCTTTATCTGTCCTCGGCGCCCGTCAACATCATCACAGATATGGCGATTTTGTTCCTTCCCATTCCAATCCTCACGGGAATGCGCTTGCCTCGAAAGCAGAAAATTATACTGGTGGCCACTTTCAGTTTTGGTGCTTTCGTTGCGGTCATCGATGTTATTCGCATTGCTTACTTACAGCAAGCGGCACTGAACCGCTTGAAGGTGGTCAAAGGTACTGGTAGCGAGCCAGGACGGACTGTCGAAGACACCGATTTTTCTTGGTACGCAAGTCTGAGCTTCATGTGGTCTGCAGTGGAGGTCTGCATCGGTATCGTCTGTGCGTGTGTGCCGAGTCTAAAACCTCTCTTTGCTCGCTTCTTGCCCAGCTTCATCAAGGATGCCGGAGAAGAGTTGACGTCCGACGACAGCGTTGATCTTGGAAAACCCAGTGCGGGAACTGTTGGCACAAAGTTTCCAAAGGGCAACGTGTCGATGCTGAACAATCCTGCTGCATTTAGGAGGCCAGTTGTCCAGGAATACTCTGGAGATAATGGAGGCGACCAGATGGGATTCTTGAACATGCTCACGGGGCCGGCTGAGGAGCAGACAAGATCACCACTCTCAAGGACGGCGACCAAACTCGGTCGAAGGAACACCAATCAGGGCGCGGTCTCCAACTTCGGATTCGTCAACATGAATGAAAAACGAAATATGCTGAATCTATCAAATCGTGAAAGCGTGTGGCCGATTGCCGTGGTCACAGTGATCTTTTTCTTGTGGGGGTTTGCGTATGGCCTTCTTGACACGCTCAATTCTCGGTTTCAGCTCGTGGCCGGCGTCTCGACGGGAAAAGGGCTCGGTCTCCATTCGGCCTATTATGGGGGCTACTTTGTAGGACCTCTAAGCCTGGGGCGCTTCATCATCAAAAGATATGGATTCAAGGCGTTGATGATCGCGGGCTTGGCTGTGTATGGCTGCGGGACGTTAGTCTTCTGGCCATCTGCTGTCTTGACATCATACGCTGCGTTCATCGTCTCAAACTTCATCGTCGGGTTTGGCTTGTCTTGCTTGGAAGTTGCGGCAAATCCTTACATCGCACTGTGCGGGCCACTGGAGTTTGCAGAAGTCAGGCTTACCCTTTCCCAGGCCTTTCAAGCGATTGGCACGGTTTGCTCTCCCCTCTTAGCCACCAAAGTCTTGTTCAAGAGCGTCAACAGTGCGGGATCACTTGTGGACGTGCAATGGACGTATCTGGGGATTGCCCTCTTTGTGTACGCACTGGCAGTCGTTTTCTACTATATTCCACTGCCAGAAGCATCAGATGAACAGCTGGAGGATTTGGCTGAACGTCACAGCGGCGCATATACGGCAAGAGTTGGTCCCTGGAAAGTCGTCTATGCGACACTTGGACTGGGGGTCTTCAGCCAGTTCTGCTACGTCGGTGCACAAGAGTGTGTGGGGAACAACATTCAACCACTCTCCAGGTTGCTGAAGCCAACATCGACTCTTCAACCATTTGATTATCAGATGGTAGGTCACGGAGTCTTTGCATTCGGTCGTTTCCTGGCTACCTTGCTCAGTTATTTTTTGAAACCCAGGTGGATTCTGTTAGGGTCCTATGTCGGAGTTGTCGTCTGCTTGGCACTGGCTATGCGTCTCGACGGGAACGCGGGAGCTGCAATTGCGATTCTTACCCTATTCTTCGAAGCTGGTATCTTCTCAATCATTTTCGCCATAGCAATGAGAGGGTTGGGAAAACATACAAAGACGGGAGCTTCCTTGATGACGGCCGCCATATCAGGTGGAGCGGTCTTCCCGCCGATTCAGTGGGCTGTCGCCAACGGACACGGGCTGAAGTACTCGTATTGTGTCCCTCTGGCTGTGGCTGTATTAGGGACGCTTTTTGCAGCCTACTTGAATTTACTCCCACAGGCTCAGACTCAAGTCGACCCTTTCTATGAGAGCCGTTCCAGACGACGCACATTGAGCCCGACCTCACAGGAAAGTGCTGGCACAGTCGAGCAGGAAAAGGTGACAGAGTTCGGAGTGCCAGGCATAATCGGGCGATGGAAAAGGGACAGGCATTCCAAATCACCATCAGTCCAGCATGTCGAGCGACAAAGCACAAACCTAATGGTGGGCGGGATGCCAGGGTCTCCCGTGTTGCCAATGGACTTTGCAGACTCTAAGGACCCTTACCCAAGTGCCGCGCCTGCTCAGCCCATGCGCGGGAAAGGGTATGTGGCGGATCTTGCTTTGTGGCCTGCTCAAGAAGACATCCCCGAAGCTCGCGCGAGCAGCAACAGCGGCGATCACGACCCGCGCACTGATTATGGGAATCCGAATAGCCATCGTCACGTGGAGCAGGATTCAGACATGGCCATTACCCGCCACCGACCACGGTGGGAGAAACGAGATCCAGAAGATGACTTGGATGATTACCATGCCATTGTGAAAAGCATATGACCAAGCACCTGAAAGAGCGGGACTTGGTATCGTACTGATTATCTGACCTTCTGCTGCGTTCAAGCGACCTGTTTGGTGAACGCAGCTTTCAAAATACCTAATCAGACTTTGATCAGGTGGTGTTGATCAAGGCTTCTTCTTATGGTACGGCGGCGATTGCTAAGGCTTTGCCCGCTCGCTATGCCTCTACCAGGCGAGATTGGCCTGCCTCTCTTGATCTCAACCGCTTTGCAGAAGGGGATCTGGTCGATAAGCAATACTCTGGGTCTCCATATTAGGCTCACCGGAGAAGCCAATAGATCACCTTGCTCTGCAAATCAATGCGTACCAACACGATGACATTCAAGCACATTCATTGCTTGGACCACAGCTGGGTTTGGATTGTCCCGGCCAAGGGTGATTTGATCTTCTATCTGATACTTCCAGCTATGAAAGCACAGCAGCCGGGCTGCAGACGAAAGACAAGACGGAATGTGTGCTCCAAGCATCATGGGCGTCACCATGGAGGCGCAAAGGACGGAGGCCTCGAGCGAGGAATGCGAAAACGGTAAGTCCAAGCAGGTCTGAGCAGTGCTGATCAGTGTTGAGGGAGACTCTCGACAGTTCAATCTTCTCAAGGCACAAGTTCCAGGCTTCCGTGCAGCCGGTGTCCCGCCAGTTTGCGGGCCTGTCCATGGATTGAGTCCGAGGTACTTCATGAAATCGGCCAGGATCGAGCGCCTCCGCCTTCGGGATCGGTTCTCCTTGCAGAGTAGGATGCGCCGAAGCTATCGTGAGTACGGAGTAGAACCTTTGGCCCTGTCCCGCCTGCTCCTACACAGGACGACGAAGGGACATGGAGCATGATCGCGCTGGCCCCGTTACGTCACATCAATGGAGAACCTTAAAGACAAACGGGCTGTCGGTAAGGATCCTGGTTGCAGGACGGGCGAAACTTGCCGAGAGCGAGAACAGTCGTGCTGTACCACAGTATCTTGCAATGCAGGGACGACGGAAAGCACATTTGTTGGGCATGCGTAGGATACAGCACGAGAGAACTTGATCGCGGCGGAACTCACTATACCGCGGTAACATGGGTGTGGCCATCGACTCCATCGAGATGCCTACGAGTCCTCTGGAATATCGGAAGTGGGCGATTCGCGGGTGAGCGAAGACAAGCGGTTGAAGAAGCCGAGCCAGGAGTGGGTACTTCGTATTCTAGAAGGTACCTACGTACCTAAGTGCAGAAGCAGGTACCCGTGCTGAATTCTGTCTTTTCGTACTGGACAATGCGCAGTGCGGATTAGGTGGAGTAACTCCTCAGTGTTCAAATGTCTTTGTCGGCTTTGCAAGGCAGGGTACGAGGTACTGAAGCTGCTGTTCTAGGTCAACGATTTGGCACGTGCGAGAACCAGGGATATGGTAGCTTTCGCATTCTGGTAGAGGCCCGAGTCGATTCCGAAGCCCCAACGGCAATTCAAAATTTCCGTCTCCACGCCTATTCTGTCAAATGCACCCAATGACCAGAAATGCGGTTAGATTCTCAAATGCGCGCTGGGAAGAGTCCGGACGGCAGGAAGGTTGTGGAACCGAACTCCGGTAGTCGCTGGGGCAGGAAGAAGGATTTTTCGTGCCGAGTTGTGACGGATTAAACTGCAGTAGCGGCAGCAGTTCCTGCATACACTGGAGGCGTTGCTTGGCTATTGGGTTGAGGCATGCATGAGCGGTTTGCCGTTTGCCGTCTTGTCTTTTGGCCGTGCTGCATTTTGTCGCCTTCGCAAAGTAGCATTGTTGCGGAGCGGACAAATGCTTCCCTAGCTACCTGGTTCGGCTAGCTGAAAATCCTCGTTCGGCTAATATTGCACGGCACTGAGTATTTTGCCGGCGCAAGAATGGGTTATGGCAGTGGATGGTGATGGTTGCAGACACGACTGCAAGAAAAAACACAGCACTTCACCTGGCAGGCCAGCGCACCACATACATATCCTCATGAGGACCATCCCACTAAAACTCGCATGTCTGTGCGGTGAGGTGGGCAGTTTCAGATCCAGGTCAAACGACGATCGAGGACAACGCCCAGTCAACGGGTGGGTGAACGGGCTGTCAAGCGAGAGCGATCAAAAGCCAGGCACAGGGCACAAGGGGCAGAACTGGTCACGGCTAACACAATGCGAGCCCAGCGCCGGCTGTTCCTGAAAAACCACGTTGCCTGCTACGAATCGGGGCGAGCGCAAACAGAGGAACACAGGGGTGAGCCGGGTCCCCACTGACTCCTCAGATCCTTGTCAAGCGGACTTCAACCGAACATTTGCGTTTCGACGGGCGCCACGACACACGCCCCTTAAGCCACCGACGATGGAAATCAGAAGCTCCACTGCAGCCTGGCGGACCACTTCAAACAAATCCGCGCGGTACCTGAACGACCAACCCTGTGGCTGTCGGGTCTGTGCACTGGGTCGCTGGGGCTAGTGGGCTGTCCTGAGTTTCTCCCGAATTTCCCACCTCAGCGCCTCCTTGCCGCTTTCGGATGTTGACTGGGCTCCCTGGTGAAGGTCGCACTTTACAGCACAGCAGTCCTCATCACGACGTGCCAGGTGGGAACCAAGTGAACAATATGCAACGAGACGGGGCAGACAGAGTTCACAACGGACTGGACGAAGGAGGCCCAATGAGGAATGCAAACTGACCACATCCCCTTCCTCCCTTTCGGGCGTCTCGAGGTCTGGGTCGATGCACGGTGACGGATACCACGCATCTTGACTTCTTCACTTTCTGCTTCGCTTTCTTTGCTTCCACCAAGAGAGAGTGCACCGAAAAATCTCTTCTCGTCCGTTCTCTTTGCTACCCCAGCTGTACCCTCATTCACTTTCTTTATCTAGACCTTCCTTTGTCCCCTTGCCGGAAGTGAACATCACTCTCTCTTTCACTCCGCCTTCAACCGCCATCCTTTGCGAACTTCGTCGTGGGCTAGCTCCCCTTCACCAGTCCTTTTCAACCGACACAGGCTTGTCATAGTCGACAGCGACGCCTTTAGCTTAGAGACCAAGTCATCAAGGATTTACCTCCTCGCCAAAGCTCTTCTTAGACACTCCTTCCCCGCTGTTGAGCCAGATCTCCAGTCCTTCACGGCCCTTCAGAGTCCACCCACCTGAATTTTCCACTTCAATTGTCTTCCGGTCCGATATCCGTCGCAATGGCCGTCCTCAAGAACATCATCCTTGCAGCCTCTGTGCTCAGTCCTCTTGTCGCCGCCGTTCCCATGCCCGGACCTAACAAGCGCGGCATCTATACCAACACCGTCACCGAGATCGCCTGGGTGACTGTCGAGGAGACCACCACCGTCTGGGTCGACCCAGCTGCTCCCACTCCTGCCCCGATTGCTGCTGCCATTACCACCACCTCGGTCCCTGCAGTGGCCCAAGTCGAACCAACTTACACTCCTTCTACTCTGGCGACCCTCGCTGCAGCTCCCCAACAATCGCCTTCTTCCATCCCAACTGTCGCCCCAGCTGCTGCTTACACTGCTCCTGCCGAGCAAGCATCCGCACCGGCTTCTTCGTCTTCAGTTGTTCCTTCGGCTGCTTCGTCTCCCAGCCCGGTTTCTCTCATCGCCCCAATGATGACTCTTCAACCCAAGGCGGCAGACGGTTCGTGCGAGGGCTCAGGCAACGCTTGCCAAGGCGATGTAACGCACTGGGATGGCGGTAAGTGACCCTGGCCCCTGAGCCAGATTTAAAACTCGACTGACATTCATCTCCAGGTCTTGGCGCATGCGGCTGGAACGTCGACACCAGCAGCGAGATGCAGATTGCTCTCCCATACGGATTCATGGGAACTCAGTCCAATGGCAACCCCTACTGCGGTCGCTCAGTCACCTTGTACAACCCGGACACTGGCAACACCGTCCAGGCAACCGTGGGCGACAAGTGCATGGGTTGTGTCGACCGAGCCATTGACTTGACTGATGCTCTGTTCAACGCCATCGTCCCCGGAGGTGACGGCCGTGTCAGTGGCATCCAATGGTGGTTGAACTAGAGTTCTCGGCCACTCCATCCACTCCTTTGCCTGAGTCACTATCCACAATCCTTTACATCAAAGTTTGCCGAGCAAACGTACCCAGACTTCTGAGAAGTCCAAGAGGTAACCGACATCATCAACTGCTTCTGAGAAGCCAGTATGCTAGTTTCGGTGAAGCCGACCCTGAAGGAAGCTTAGACGTGCGCGACACCCTTCTTTGCATATCACCCAGGACCTTCCCCATCAAATGACGAAATACAACGACTGTTATGAAAAAAGGCGCAGAAAAAAAAGATCCATATCGACGGATGGGCCTACTAGCCAGCGTGAACGGCCCATGGCGATGGCGATGGCGATGGCGAAAGGCGAGAAACCTGTACAAGTCTTTCATTCTTTTCTTGACCCGGCCTCCGTCGGCCACGTCGACAAACATCCACTTGGGGTGTGCTTTGCTCGACATGGCGTACCGAGGTCGGCGTCCAACTGCTGGGTAGGAGGGATGACTTTCCTGGCGTTCAGGGGGACTGCGGACTAGGCATTGGATATAGACTGGGTACGACAACGTACAGGACTATCATATACTATACCATAGAAGCTGGTAGTGGCCGCAAGGAGCCTATGTACCAAGCCATGCAATGCAGTGCAAATCTGAGGATTTCATGCCATTCGTGTCTGTTCTGCTGTGCATCTGTGCATCTGTTCGTCTAAATGGCTGTTTGGTTTATTCTCGTTTCGTCTCTTCCCTCCTTGATTGATATATTATCGGCTCACTCGTGATTTGGATATGTAATCAGGTCGACGCCACGAAACGGAAGAGACATATCTGTATACAAGCACCGCACCCCGAGCAGACGATTGATAATAATTAATGAAGAAAGTCGTCGTGGACGTGGATGTAGATGTACTGTAGTAGACGTCCAACCCAAGCTTTTTGAGCTGAGACACGCAGCGATGCAAAAGGGTGTGGGATTGGCTCCCGGGGTACGTACTGCCGCATGCTAGCGATGTGAGTTTGTGGACGGAGTATCGGCCTAACTACTCGTAGGTCATCCGCAAACCACGGTAGCTTGGATGGTGAGGCGTTCGTTGAGCCGCTTAGCAGATTCTTGTGAATGTTGGAGCGTGCGTCCGTTGAGCCGTAAGCCCGCTTAGGCTGATTAAATGTTCATGTGCAGTGCAGAGCGCGAGATGGTAATTAACGGTTAAGGGCACGGGTGAACAGGCTCACACGGTCTTACTGTACAGAACATATGCCGTACGCTGGCACGGCTGGACTTCACCGCCTCGCCTCGCCTCGCCTCGCTTGCCCTAAAAGTTCCCGTGACAAGTCGTGCCACGGGTGCATGTGCATCTGCATGCAGCTGCTCGCATTTGGTTCCTGTGCGCACCCAATGCGATGATATGTTATGCCACGCTTTGCTTGACTATGCTGGTGATGCTTGTCTTGATTAGGTAGGTGAGTAGGTAAGCACAGTTAAAGTATGTCCTACCTATGTACGCGGGCTCGCACTCTCGCTTTTTTTTGGCCGGATGAACCACTCACTCACTCACTCACTCACGTCCTCACTCACTCACTCACTCACACCTTGAATCGACGTTCCATAAACCAACGGGTCTGGCCACGTCGCGTATCGAGGTTGATTGCGGTAAGCGGCTTGGGTGAGATAATTCGCATGCAGTACGGAGTACGTACTTGTCTGATTATCGGTTGACAGACTTGCTGGGTGATTAGAGGTTGCAAGGCTTGGTCTTTTGCGAGGTTGGTGTCGTGGAGAACGAGTTTGGTTCTTTAGAGGGTGGAAGAAGAGGCGCGAGTTTTCGGAGCCTGGTTACCCTGCGTTGCACCGTCGCGCTGAGGAACAAGGGCGCATCTGAAGTTCATATCGACGAACACTGAAAGCAGACTACCGTGCACGGGGCCACTTTACGATATACTAAGCGCATTTCGATTCACTTTACGACATACTAAGTGGCTGGGAGCACGTCAAGTATCAAGAACAAGCAAAGCAACACCAACATCAAAGCGACAAGCAATCAACATGCGTCTCGTTCTTTCTCGGCTCGAGGCTAGGGACCTCGATGCCATTGTCCCCATGATGTTCGACTCGTTCAGCAAGATCGAACTGGCCAATGTCTTCTTCGGGCGCAGATCGCCATCCTCGTACGCGTACACCAAGAAGACACTCCTGAACGGTATGCTCAACGACCCGGCAGACGTGTTTCTCAAGATTGAGGACCTGGACGCGGTGGCAACTGTGAATGTCCTGGATGAGCAAGGCAGCACGATCTCCACCGAGACACGGGCGCGCATCGTCTGCGCAAGTAACTGGAAGATCTTCCCCACGTACGTGACGCCCCAGGAACAGCAGGACGCGGCAAAGGGCGCAAACAGACAACCGAACAGCGCGACGGCGCAACTCAAGGAAGAGGCGAAGACCGAGTCGGCCTTTTCGTACCTGGACACGGAAGAGGAACGCGCGGACGCAGCCGTCCTGCTGGAAGACTTTCTTACTCGCCGCCGACGGGAGTGCAAGGAAGGTCATGTTCTGTGTTTCTTGCTGTTCACAGACCCGGAGTACCAGGGCAAAGGATGTGGGCGCATGATGATGCAATGGGGCAACGATGTGGCTGACGCGTTGATGTTGCCCTGTTGGATCGAGGCCTCGCCTGAGGGAGAACTGCTGTACAAGCAGATGGGATACCAAGGAAGGGAGAGGGTGCGGATTCAGACCAAGAGCTTTCTCAGCGAATATTTGCATATGCGACGGCCAGCGATGGTCGGCAGAGTCCGGTTGGAAGGGAAGAAGACGTTGGTCAGAGAGCCGGTGGGACAGAAGGAGAATGGGAGTACACAGTAGACAAAAGAGAATTGATAGAACTCTGCGCATATAGCATCGCACTGTACCTCGCGGTGTGTGTCGATCAAGCGTCTCTTTCAAATCTACTTGTACTCGTACAGCTGAGAGACACGCCTACGTCACTGCTCTGGCCAAATCTCCGCAAAATCTGCGCCCTCGTTGCCCTCGTGATTTGACACTGTATCTGCTGATCGGCTGAAGCAATTCAACAGTTTCCCATACCCTTCCCAAAGCTGGTGCAGTGCAACCCAGCGCCATCTTCTGAGGGGCTTTCAAGCCCGACCGTCGACGTCCTTTCCCATGTCAATACAGTAACATTCTCACTCGCTCCCATGCGAATCTCTATCGATGCCCTCGCCTTCCTGCGGGGCCGTGTCTCGTGGACATGTGCTCGGTGCAGAAGTCTCCCACAGACTCCTATACACAAATCCCGAAGGCGCTTTGCCTCCTATCACGGACCGGTGAGGGTAGTGAGGCCCCGGCAGGCCGTGTATTGGGCGGCCGCGGGTGGAGGTGTTGCTGGCGCAGGAGTCCTTGCCTTCGGGGACAATATCAAGCATGGCTGGCTGGCTGCAGAGAGGACGGGAAGGGTCGTTTCCACCTTGGTGGTCTGTATCAACGAGTATGCACTGGCGCGACGTGGCCCTTCAAAGCGACAACACTGACCAGACACACAGCTACCGAGTCACGCTGAACGAGAAGTACGAGGATCCCGAAGAACACACGAAGAGCCTCAAGGCCTGCCATAAACGCTGCGCTGATCGAGTCCTCAAGGCAATGGAGGCCAACGGGTCAATATTCATCAAGCTGGGCCAACACATATCGTCCATGGGATACTTGTTGCCTCTTGAGTGGACCGAGACATTTGTGCCTCTCCAGGACAAGTGTCCCGTCTCGTCCTATGAGTCGATAGAAGACATGTTCCTCCGAGACACGGGACGCCGGATAGAGGACGATTTTGCCGAGTTCGGCAAGGAACCCATTGGCGCGGCGTCCCTGGCGCAGGTCCATATCGCAGTCCTGAAAGACACGGGTCAGACAGTGGCGGTGAAGGTTCAACATCCCGCCCTCGAGGAGTGGGTGCCACTCGATCTCGCCCTGACGAGATTCACCTTCCGGAGTCTGAAGCGAGCTTTCCCCGACTATGACCTCGAATGGCTGAGTAATGAAATGGACTTTTCTCTACCACAAGAGCTCGATTTTGCGCTCGAGGGTCAGAACGCGACCTACGCCCGCAACTACTTTGGACGGAATACAAAGTTTCCCCTCATTATACCAAAAGTCATGTCGGCGAGCAAACGGTTCCTCGTCATGGAGTACGTGACCGGAGCCAGGGTGGACAATCTCGCATATCTGAAGGAACACAGTATTTCGCGGGACGAGGTGTCCGCGACGCTGGCTCGGATTTTCAACGTCATGATCTTTGCGCGAAACGCGCCCCTACACTGTGATCCACACGCAGGGAATATCGCCATTCGCCACAATCCAACCAGGAGATACCCCTACAACTTTGACATTGTGCTGTACGACCATGGCCTCTACCGCATGCCGGATGACAAGTTACGGAAGGACTACGCGAAGCTTTGGCTCGCCGTCATTGATGCTGATGAGGCGAGAATGCGTAAATATGCCTACGAGGTCGCCGGGATAGGCGAAAAGGAATTTCCTTTATTCGCCTCAGCCATCACTGGTCGAGACTACCGCGTGCTTGTGCGCAAACAGCTCACTACGTCGCTTCGGGATGTAAATGAGAAGGAAGGCATCAATGAGGTCTTTGGCGAGGACTTCCTTCAGCAGCTCGTGCAACTTCTTGGGCATGTGCCACGGATCATCCTTCTCATTCTCAAAACCAACGACCTCACTCGAAGTCTGGACGAGGCGCTGGGTTCGACGCAGCCCATGAGACCTATGCTGATCTTGGCTAAATATGCAAGTTGGACCGTCTGGCAGGACGAGAAAGATCTGATCAAGCGAAGGGGTGGTTTCCTGAGACCGCAGAATTGGTTCAGGCTCCTACGGGCGTGGATCCAGTTTTTGAGGATTGAGGTGAAGCTGTTTGGGTATGAGCGATACTTGTCGATAAGGAGGCACCTTGGTGTGGAGGGATAGGCTGGGCAGTAGTTTTCGAGTACCCAACGTGTGTAGGAGGTTTTAGCAACCTGCTTTCTGTCTGCTCTTAGCGAGGCGTGTGGTTTGTGGCTTGGAGTAGAGGATACTCGGTGACCATGCTGATTGATAGAAAAAATCGTCAGCAGGCCCATCTCATCACCAAGAGACACGCGCGGATATCCGTTCCTAATGTCCTCCGCTCCGAACGACGTTGCTTACACAGTAGCTCAAGCCATGTGAATGCCTGCCGACCGCCACTAATCTTGGACAGCCTCGTGGGCAGGGCTCACTTGTGATTGGCCAGCCTCGCGCAGCTCGTGCATGATCCCTCCTATACTAGTTACGTTTCGCACTCATCTATCGAGCAGTTCTACTCCACCACAGCCGGTTCCTCCCCAATCTCTCTCTGTTTACCGACACTGTTTACCTGTACGCCGCCATACACCACCCTACTCGCCCCACCTAAAATGATAATCTTTCAGACCCTACCCTCGCAATACTCGATAAGATGAGTTTCGTGACGGGCGGTTTTCAGCACAACTTCGCCGCTTCTGCTCATCAGCATGATCACCCTCGGTCTCCAAAGGATCACTCAGCTCCTCAATCCGCTATTCACGGCTAACCCGACTCTACCCTGGAAAGCCGTGCATATCGCAGGGACCAACGGCAAAGGAAGCGTCGCGGCCCTAATCTCGACGTTCCTCGGCCACCTGGGCTACCGGGTCGGCCGCTTCACGTCCCCCCACATCATCGATCGATGGGACTGCATCACGATCAACAGAAACGTTGTCGACCGCGCCAAGTTTTTAGGTGTTGAGCAGCACTTCCGTGACCGCAGTCTCAAGGAGGACATCCGGGCCAGCGACTTCGAGATCCTCACGGCGTCTGCGTTCCAGCTATTCACGACGGAAAATGTCGACGTTGCCGTGATTGAGTGCGGCTTGGGCGGACGGGGAGACGCCACAAATGTTCTGAGGGCATGTGATGTGCTCGTGAGCGTCATGACGAAGGTGGGACTCGACCATACCGAGTTTCTGGGGCATACGATCGAAGCCATTGCGGCGGAGAAGGCCGGCATCTTCAAGCCTGGCGTGCCTGTCGTTGTGGACCGAAGCAATGCGGAAAGTGTCCTCGACGTGGTTGCCACGCAGCTGAAGAAGCTTGGTTGGGAGGAGAGAGATGGGCAGGCCGGCGTGTACAATGCCACTGAGGAACAGAGAAGGGAGTTGGACACTGTCATCAGGGAAACGAGCATGGCTCGTCACCAGGCGCAAAACCTGTATACTGCCTGGTCTGCGTTTCGATGCGCGGAGAATAGTCTTGGGGCCACGCACGCTCGCAGACAACACCCGCTCCGGCCGGGCCACGCCACAAAGGCACAAAATGACCATATGAACTCGGACGCTGTGCCTTCACCTTCACCACCTGAATCAGTGATGGCCTCCCTGGATAGGGTCATCAAGGAGGCACAGTCCAGCCTACCAGGCCGTCTCCAGTGGCTTACGTTACCCGGGGGACTCCTCCCTCAAGCTCTCGCAGAGGCAGACGCAGACACACACACAGACACAGAAAGCCACAGCCCAGAAAACGCTAGAGTCCTTCTCGACGGTTCTCACAATGCACAATCCGCCGCAGCGCTGGTGGACTATATCGACACCAATGTACGCCCCATGCAGCCAGGTCAGCCAGACCTTCGTGGGCCCGTGACTTGGCTCCTGGCCGTGAAGAACGACAAGGACGTCGAAGCCATCCTGTCGATACTATTGAGGCCACGTGACAACGTCATCACATGCACTTTCGGCCCCGTGGACGGGATGCCCTGGGTGAAACCCATGCGTGCGAGCGATCTAGCGGCCAAGGCGAGACGTTTCACGGATGGCGTAGTGAAGGCTTTGCCTCTGCCTGCGCCTGAGGACGGAATTCCCCATGACAAGGGGGATGATCGAGACCTCCACGGCCACAACGCTAACGCTTACATTGCCAACGCGATACGAGAGGCTGTGAGGACCGCTGCTGCGACGCGTGGTCGTGTCTGCGTCACTGGCAGCTTGTACTTGGTTGGTGATGTTTTGAGGTGTGTCAGGAACGCTGGCGGCGATATATACGGGGGCGGATAATGGGGGATGGCACTCGAAATGAGGCCGAGGCGCGTACAGTAAGCGGAATGGAATTTGAAAGGGACGGTATATATACTGTACATTGCCAGTCTCTTGTAATGCTACATAGTCTCCTGCCATGGAGATGTTCGCTCGATGATACTGTACTGTACTGCGTAGTTCTGACTGCACCAGGTAGGTTAGGCGTTGACGAATACTTACAGTAAGAACCGAGTTATAGGCTGGACGCGCAATCTTATCCCTCAGATGTATTCTATGCGTAGTACGCTTGAGCTCGTCGGACAATGGCTGGCAGCGGCTCAAAAGTTCACCATTCGTGCTAAACCGCTACACCACGTCGTGAAAAGGCAGGCTAGCGATCGCCCATAGTAACGCCGAAACGCCCATGCACGGACGGTATTGTGCCTCGAAGCTGGCCATATGTCTGATATCTCAACAACAAACGTTTCTATCCTGCTAAACGAAACCACTGCAGCCGTGCCCGTGCCTACATACGATGTAGGGGTGCCTGCACAACGACCCTCTTGCCCATCTCCACCTCTGCAGCCTTGCTCCCGTCCCCGTGCTCAGCCACCTTCTCGTCCCAAATCCCAGAGTCGCCGACTTAGCCTATGGCTTGACCAACAAAACCTAGACATACCACTCGTCCCGCTCCCGTCGGAGACCCATTTTCAGCCTCTCCTCACTGAAACTCGAGCTCCTTGTCCGGCATGTCTGGCGATCTCTCTAGATCTATTCACGTCGCACTACCCTCATCATTGGGTCCTTCGGAGAACATCGCGAACCGAAAAGGCCGGTATATTCCATTTCCCTTGGGACTCGCCTCCAGTATGCTTGGCAGACCGCGGGTGTCGGCCTCCCTGCCCCCATGCGGCATATCCGTCCCACGACCGCCACGCCGTTAGTGGTTCGGCGCGTGTACAGACTGTCGACAAGGACCCCAGAGTCCAGGATTTATCGTGGGTGGGTCCCTTGCCTTGGCTGATATAACTCCGAGGCGAGGGACTCCTGAAATTATGCTGGTCAGATGCGTGGCTCCGTTGAACACGCCGCCGAGGACGACGACGGGGCATCGATGAAGTAGTAGTTCATTGCTGCGATGACCCTGGCCGACTTGCCTTTACATACACCACGGGATCCGCCGACAACCACACAGCTACCCGTAACTCTATCTTCCTTGGCTTCAGGAAGTGCGCCATCGAGGATGATGGCGAAGCGACAGTTCTTTCCCCCCCCAAAAAGCCTCCGGTGTGCCGTTCTACCCTCAAGGCGAGGCAGACTTCATGGGCGTCGAGTGCGCCGTAGTAGCTTGTTCGCTTGAGCGGCAGGATCAGGAATGCTGCGAGGTGGATGCGCGATATTGCTGGGAAGGACTGAGTGACAGAGTGGTCGGAGGGGTCCAGGACGTGGAGGTAGAACGGCGTTCTGGAGGTGCGAAGGGTACTTACTTCACTTCGAATGTCCGGGGATCCAGATCGCGAGTCCGTTTAGTTGGCAGTCAGGCGAGGCTCCAACCTATTCTCGAAGCCTCGATTCTGTAGGCTTGACGTGACGTTTGAATTCGTGCTCAATGATGCTCTCAGACTATAAGGTCGTCTGACCGCAGACCTTGACCTCATGCCTGTTGAGGGGGGGAATTCGAGAGCCTGACGGCATTTGGGGCGCTTTTCGAATTCTAGAAGTTTTGAAACCGAGGATTCAGGTCCATTGTCGTGCTCGGAGGTACCGTACGGCTAATGTACATACCCTGTGTAGACCCGGTACTGTGTGTCGTGTTGCCGCCTTTGCCGATACGTTTGCTGTCAAGCTGCTGCGTATCCCCGTGTGGGTCTCGTATGGCTCGGTCTTGTCCTCTTGGAGGGTTGGGGACGCTCTCTGCATGCTGGAACAGGGTAGCTGCACATTCGACATGCCGTGCCGAATATCTAATCCGATTTTTGGGGCATTGTGGTGCCGTAGTCATATCACCGACCCGTTGGGTTCGCGGACTACCGCTGATGTAGTGTGCGTCGACTGTCAGCGCCCTTCCAGCTCCTCCTTTCAGTCCGGATCCCGCGGCTCCGAAGCCCTCCATTTCTGCAGACTCCGCAGTGTCTTTTTATCCGCCCCATAGAGGTAGTACCCTCTCAGACAGGCTGTGAGCTTCTCCAGATTCGTGGGCGGTTTCTTGTAGGGTTCGGCGGCGTCAGCCGCTGAGAATTGTATGGATGCCTCTTCCAGTGACGCATCTTTCACATCTGCTTCGTTATCATCAACTGCCTCCTCATTATTCTCCATCAACTCAATCAGATGGCCCATGAAAGGGATTTCAAGCCGCCAGGGGCTGAAGCTCGAGGCGGCGCCGATTGCTACCATTGTCCAAAGAGCGACTTCCCGTTCGGTGATCTTGTTCGGATCAGACGGGTCGCTCGGCTGGGAGAGTTCTAGGGCCACTTTGGACAAGATCTGCAGATAGGGATGTCGGACCTTGCGATTCTGAGGTGTCGAGGATGCAGCAGGCAGCGCCTGTGGCTGATTGTGAAAGTTAAAAATGTAGATCAACAATGCCAAGAGCAGCCGGTGGTGTAACGACTGCGGCCCTATTTGATCAGTGATACGTAGCACCCGACTGAATTCGTTGTATGCTTGATCGACAGGGCCATTGTCTGGTGAAGTGCCATCTGTGTTTCCGCTTCGAGCGAATTGAGGCTGCCGTGAGACTTGCTTGAAGATGCGCTGGACGATCTCGACTGCTTGCGACGTGACGAGGCCCTTGCTCGCCAGGACTGAAAAGAGACCTTGAAAGCCAGCCATCTGGGTCGGCTGGACCGGATTGTTCTCCCTGAACCTGACGAGCACGTCGTCGTCATCGGTGAGCTCACACACGAATCTGCCATGCAGCAGTAACGGTAGGAAGAACTCGCTCCTACGCCGGACCGTGTCAGTGGTCAAACTCATGAATGATGAGCGCAGTCTTCAACCCACTTCAGCAGCTCATCCTGAAGTTCGGCGTTCAACTGCCTGATCCCACCTCGGGTCAAGACCATCCTCTCTTTCGCTCGTTTATGCATTGCATACGCATGAAGGTCACCGTGGGCGGCCTGATTGGTCAGCAACTCAGGTGCTCGTTCACGGAGAAGTGTCCCCTGAAGAAATAGTGTCAAGTACTTACGTCGACGTCCATCAGCCACAGGGCGGTCAAGATGGCAGCGTCGTCGTCGGAGCTCTTGGCTGTCTCAACCTTCTGTCTCAGCTGCTTCAGTGCCTCGCCCCGATGGTACAGCGCTGTCCAGTGTGTGTTGCCAAACCCTCTCACATCGATGTTATAGTATACTTGGCTCAGGGCAATCAATGCATGAAACAGTTCCGAATTGTGCATCGCGACATTGAACCAGATCAGATATCGGCTGGTTTCCACTGCAAGCGCGGGACTGAAACGAGGAGTCAAAGAGCGAATAACTACATTTGTCAGTACTTGCGATTGTATAGGGACAAGGCAGTTGAAGGTGTGAGGAATGGGATCTGCTTGATCAAGAGACAGAGAATACTCACAGTAGTCTACCAGGAATGGCACATAGTTCCGGGAGGCGATAGGATATGTTGTGAAGGGATCTGCCATCGGGCTGCCCAAGGCGCAGTCATCGCGTGGTTGAATTTCTCTAAGAGGTGGATGTTCCTCGGGAATCCTCGTAGGGGCGCCCTTTCTTCTGGCAGCAGTATGCTTGGATTTGACATTATCATCGTCCGTTGGCGGTGGTATTTCACTATCTGGCCGCCGAACAAAGGGTCGATAGTGGGTGCGGTCTAATATGATCCTCTTTGACGTTGGTCGATAGCTTTTCGAGGCGAAGGATGAAACTGCTCGGCGGTTCTGTCGGCTTTTGAGCTCGGTCGGATCGTTGTATGTGATGAAAACGTTATTCTGCGGGCTGGGAGACATTTGAACAGAGCTTCAGCAAGAGGGATGCGAGCTCCGGCGCGGTGTTAACCTAGCGAGTAGCGACCTTGTAGGACAGTGGTACTCTGATGGTTGTCGGGTCTGATTTCATGTAATCAACATCTCAGTCCTGACGTCCATCATAGCAGAAGGTCCAGCATGACTATTGTCAGCTAACGGTGACCCGTTGGGAACTTAGATGGAGCCCGGTCATTAAATCGTCTCAAGACTCGCTGTCGGAACCGCGCAATACGGCCGTTGCTAAGCGAATATGTTGTATGGAGTATCAAGGAGCGGCAAGGATTTTCTTGAATACCGACCAGCAACAATGTAAGATGTGCATCGCGCGGTTCTCCACAGTCGAAGCCTTACCGGTACATTGGTCAAGCAAAGGAGATGAGATAGATGGCTTTTTCGTGTCAGATCCTTCTACTGTGAATTGTCAAGCCTCGTACGTCGTGCACCGTAGAGCAGGTTCTTCTATGCAGATTCATGCAAGGCCACGCAGCTGAAGTTCTGAGCGACTATCACGTAAGCGCGCATTGTGCAACAGACAATACAACCGCTCCTGCGTCCTAACCGCTTCTTATTCTTGGTAGCTCACTCTTGCTTTTACATCATGCAGCCCAGTTCGCTTGCTCACCGGGGAACAGCCACTGGTGTCCCGAGTGAGTCAATGAAAGGCAATCTTTGATTACATATCTTTTGTCCAATGTCCGTTAGGTTCCGGACAACAAAGGGAATATAGACCTGGTGCTTCTGTTACACCCGTTTCCAGAGACCTCCGACGCTGGAGACAGGTATGCAACGATCTCTCACGCTCATTCCGTGGCCCACCTCCTTTCGCGAAGGGGCATTTGGAGGTTGTTTTGCATTCGGCTGCCGTTTTCTTCCGCTCTCCAGGCATAATACTCGCCTAACCGGACTTCAGCGTACGAGGCATAATCGAAATCGATCTCGGAGATGGTGGCTTGAATCAGGGCCCAGACACCCCAGTAGAAGCCCGGCATGCCCCGATAGCGATCGACCTCTTGATACAAGGTGTCCAGCATGTCGTCGGGGAGTGGCCTGTCGCTATGGGCTGCAAACGAATCCAGGTAGTCCTTCAAGAACTGACGACGGACAGATTTGGTTGGTAGCATGTTGTAGTCACAGTCATACCCGCCCCATTCTGCAAAGTGATTCGCAATGTCGAAGGCTGCGGGACAAGGAGTTGCGTATTCGTAATCGATGAAAGAGACCTTGAGGGAATCACCTTCCGCACTACAGGCATGGTCTTTTGGCAGCATAATGACGTTGGCACTGAGCAAGTCGCAGTGTCCGAAGACAAAACCAGATGAGCCGGGACCTCGCTCATTGTCAAGATCCTTGAATGAGCGGTCTAACTCTTTCTGCAGCAACTGTTTGCGAGCCTCCTGTTTAGGAGTGTTGCTAGGAAGGGCATGAACCCACTTTTGCATCACTGACCACATATTCGGCACAGGCTGCCTCGAAGCAAGCTCGGAGCAGTCTGGCTCGCCCTCTTTCAGCCCGTGGCCATTGACCCCATTTGACACGTCCTTCTTGTCCTCGACCACAGCCGCAATCGGCAACCGTGCATGCCACTCACCTAGACGCCTGGCGACTGCGCGCCAGACGGGTTCGCTGACCAGGTCTGGGGGAGTACAGACTTGGCCGATGATGAACTTGTACAACAAGCCATTCCTGAATCTTGCCAATAGCGGAGGCGCCAACCCCCGCTCTGCACACAGACCATGTGATCTGGCTTCACGATCTCGGTCGATGATGATCTCAGTGTGGTTGCCATACGCACGCAGGAGGACGGACTCTGTGTCTATTTCTGCCTCTGTCAGGCCAGGGGTGTGTTTCGAGATCTTGAGGAGCTATATCCAGATATCGATGAGCACGTGCTCACCAGAGGTTGACTGTTGGCACTTACCGTGTTAGTTATCCCATCAGTGAACTTGGTGATGACAATGTCGCCTGGAGCGTCCCGCCACTTGGGCTGCACTCTGTACGCCAAAGACCGGGCTGAGTCCTCGAGAGAGATGTTGTCAAATGCCAAGTCAATATTTTGCAGTGGAGAGACATGACCGTTCGACGAGTTAGTGGATGTGCCCATGGTCGCGCATGGCCTATCTGGCCAGGTAACACGGTTCGACGCCGGGCTGTAGCGGAATATTCTGGGAACGAGTGTGAAAGGGCAGCGCAGCAGTAAGGATCCCACATATAGCAGAAAGAAGGGGTGAAGGTTTCAAGTAGAGCGGCACATGCTTGTTCCCAAGCTTTTGGAGAAAAGCCAACAAACAGGAACAGGTGAGGACAAAGTGACCAACACCGACATTAACGGTTCCCTCCGCACCCCCCTCCGCTCCATCCTTGGCCAACCAATCACGATGCCAAACGTCCTTCCAGCACCCCACTTTTCTATGTCTGTTTGCGGTTCGGTGAAGCTCCAACGAGGACCGATCAGATCGATCGCTGGCACAACCGTCACCGGTAGTTGATGGTAACATGCACTTGCACTGGCATATCACGAGTTCTCGTACCTGCTCACCGGGAGTTAGCTGTTAGTTAGAGCTGTTGATTGCCGAGCAGTGAAGGCTCAACCATCACCGCTTGGCTTGGGGAAAATACACGCGGCCCTGCGGCTGTATGGAGACAAGCTCTGAAGTTCTGCAAGTCGGGAGCAACTAGCACGATTTGGGACTCGGCAGTATTATACAGCACCAGTCCTGGTCATTGAAAGCTCATGCTCGCTATTTGGATTCTTTTTCTAGGCTTTCCGTTGCTTGCCCTTTCTTCCTTTGTCCTTCTGCTCTGTAGTGGCTCCGTCATCCCCTTCGTCCGCTCGATCTGCCCGTGGCTTCTCCTCCTTCCCCCCTTCTGTGCGGGCGTTGCCGCCTACCTTCTCCAGAACGATCGCTGCGCCTTTGTTGTCCTTGTTCAAACCACTGGCATTCTTCTTCAATACTCTCAGTAGCTCGTCCCTGGCCTCGAAGTCTTCGGCCTCTAACATCGCGACCACGACAAAGCTGTTAGACCCGTTCGTCCAGTTCACGATCTCCGCATCGCCACCAGTGGCCTTGATCCTGAAATATAGTGTGTGGTGAAATTTCAAGGGGGGCTCGACAAGCTTGATGGACTTCGTGGCCTTGTCAAATCGTCCGCCTTGCACCAAAGCTTTGATCATTCGCCCCACCATGGGAGTGGAAATGATCTTTTCTACCTCCTCCTTCTTCTCGGCGTCTTCAGGCCGATCCGTAGCTAGACTGGCGATAGCAGCCAATGCACCTTTAGTATCGCCAACACCAGCGCAACCGAATACTGTCTCCGTGATGAACTGACATCCGAAACTTGACTGTGCTAGATACTGTACCTGGCCCTGGATGAGGTCGAGCAATGGCTGTGCAATGTTCTCGAGTAGTTCTAACCGACGTTTTGCTGGATCTTTTTTGGACGTCTCTTTCCTGATCTCACGGACTTCCGAAATGAGCGCAGCTGTATCCTCCGTGATGAGCCACTTCGGTGCATCTGGTGACATGAGATAAAGGAGCGGGATCCGTGCTGTAAGATGCTCGACTTGAGCCAGCAATTCTTCTTCCCTCGCTCCTGCCTCACGATCCTTACCCAGAAGTTCGGGGAAGATCGTCTTCGATGTCATTACCGTGTCGTCAATAACATCGTACGCGGTCAATAGCACTTTATGCCCGTATTGATCACTGGCCAGTAGCTGAATGTGCGTCTTGAAGAACTTCATTATCCCTCTTCTGTCCTTGGAACTTCCATGTGCCAAGCAAAGGCAAAGCAAGCGAGATCCGGACTTCGTAAAGGCAAGATTCTTTTGAAGATCCCCTTCCTCATCGTCGTGGAGCATGGAAAAGAACTCGGTGATCTCGGGACTGCCTGGCTTGCAGTTCAGAAAGTATTGCAGTAGAGCATCATGGAGAATAGTGAAGCCAGTCGTTTTCTTCTGGACGAGTTGATTGGTCATTTCACGAAGGTGGGACATGATCGGTCCTCGCTTCTCGGGATATTGTGCGAGAATGTCAGAAAGGTCGGACGTAACTGGTTCGTCGCCTGAGGAAGTCGTGTTGCTCTTCTGAGATTTGCCGAAGAGGACGAATTCGGGACCATACCACTCTCGCAGGAGGATGGCCTTTTGTTCCTTGGTTGCAATGGTTCGGTAGATATCGTCCACGATCCAACTGGCCTCGGGATGCCGGATTAATCGCTTCACATGGCCGTAAAACTCGTGTACCACAGCATCGCGACTCTCATCGTCGCCCGCGACCATCTTCGCAATCAGGAACTTGGCGTACTTGGACTCGGCCAACTCGCGATAGCTGCCCTTCAGCTCAGCGGTGATTTGCTTTCGCTGTTCCGGCGTGGAATACTTGAGAGCACATTGAATCACCCGCACAGAGTCATGTTTGAAAACAAAATCCTTCACCCGCCCAGATATGATTTGGAAGAGCTCTCCGACTAGTTCATCCCGCTCTTGCTTGGGAACATGGGATTTCCGCCTCAGGCGTTCCCAAATCTTCTTCGAGCGGGCTATCGAGTCGGCATTGGGTTTTGCAGCTCGGCGGTCTTGTGTCAGGGCTTTTTGCTTAGCATGGGCTTCGCGTGAGGATTGGTCTGCAGCGGAAGAAAATGTTAGCAACAACTGTCGTCGTGTCACGAAGAAGTGGCAGGGTCTCCTCAAACGTACTGTTCACATATGGTTCTGGTTTCTTGTAAGATTGATGTGCCGTTGAACGGTACTTCTCCTTCTGGTTCTTCCTTGCATTTGCAGCACCTGTATTCCCCGGATTGTCAAATCTAGCCTCTGGCTTCCCAGGCGAAGTTCCGGTTGCTGTGGTAGTTTCTTTTGACGTCTTTACCCTTTTGGACGGTTTGATATCGGCGCTCTCCACTGAGCGCTTGCTGGCAGCCATGATATGTTCCTAGACTATGAGAGGGTTCAGGAACGACACTGTGGCAGCCAACACGGTCCAGAAGTGCGAGAAACTATTTTTTTGAGAGCGGTAAGCCAAACACTGCAAACCATGCAAACTCGACCCACCAAAGTGGGGACTACGAGTTACACTTCGGCGCGGATTAATGTAATCGGGCATATCGTTCTTTGCTCCTTGCCCGTTGCGGGTCTCGCCCACAATGTCAGCCGCAGACTACTTCGAGCAGTCGTTGACGCTTACTTTTACAAAGCTCGAATTGGCGTGGTCCTCATAGCAATTGCCGCCATGGCTCAGATCTGTCAACTCCTGGTTGGCTCAATGCGAACTCGATGCGTTGCAGACGCAGTTCGGGTATCAGGTCGTGGTGAGCACCAGAAGCTTGGAAGACGCCTCGCCAATGTGCTCACTGGTGGAAACAACACTCGATGAACCCTTATATCAACATCTCTCCTTGTGACCGGCCATCATGCTGGTATACGCGTGAGGGTTCTTCGACTGCTCCGAGCGTCTGCGCTTCTGGTCCGAACATTGCTCACACCCGTAACAAGACACCGTTGCGACTCTTGTCAATTGAGCTGCAGAGCTGATATGGACGAGGTAAGTGGTTGTTCCACGCTGAGTGAACGTCGTGTTTGGGATTCCTATATGACTTCTCCCTGTCCCATCCTCCCTTGGCGAGGCCCAGTTTGCACATTCTCCTGCGAAACTACCACTGATCGTTCAGAGACCGCGGAGTTTGCATGTCCAATCGTTCGATTTAATTCTTGCCTTCGTTGGTTTCCTCTTCATAGCAATATACTCGCGACTATCAGGTCCCAAGGTCTGCGCCGGCACGGATCCATCCAGTCGTTTCCACCCGTGCTTCAGCATGTGCAGATCAGTAATCAAACCTCCATCCCAGTATGCACACATTCCAAGGCCATGCTTTACCCATGACATGGCCACAGACAGGCCCAATTTCCTATGAGCTCCACAACCTTTCCGTTGTCTGATCGCAGCACTCAGCACCGTCAATGTCCAGGATCCGAGAACTGCAAGAACGAGAGACGACGCCAGAGAAGACATTGGGGTTGCCCACTTTGCGTGCATTCATCCACAAAATACCAAAGACTGCCTGGCGCACTACAAGGGTCATGTGAAGGGGACAACTTTCGCCAGCCACCAACTCAGAGCGACATGAACTTCTCCGTCATGAATCGAAGCTTGCTCACGCAGGACACCACAAAGGACAAGTGCAACGAGCGCCCCACTACATTCCATCTGGCCCGAAGCACGCAGGTCATATGGGACGTCAGCCGTTGTGGAGACATCCGCTGGGCGCTCGAATACGGCTTGTTTGAGGGCTTAAGCATCTCAAAGCTGGACGCCACTGACAGACTTCCAAATGAGGTGCAATTGCTGGCCCGACACTGCATCCAACGCAATGTGAGTTTATAACCAGAACGTGGAAGCGTCGACTGTCAAGTGCCCTAGAGTGTTACGCACGGCTACTTGCTCTCAGAAAAAGATCGAGGCCAAGTTAGGGGAGGACAATTCCGGTGCTGATGAGGTCCAACCACTTCAGCACCGGGATCTGATGCGGCTAGGCTTTCCAGCATGCTACTCTCATGACCCTTCAAAATTGTTTACCAGCATCATCAGTCCTACTCCTCGCTTCACGCGTGTATTACTACACTACTGCTTTGTTTTAGATAAGGGGCAAGCCCCTCGCTGAGTCTTCTTTGGATAGACAACACGTTACGACGATATAGGTAGCTAATAACTTCGGCCACGTGCCTCGAATTGACATCCGCGCTACTGTGTTGGGAAGAGCTTGCGCTGTGCTATCTAGAAGTATTCAGGCGGGTGTCAGGGTCGATGTGCTTTTCACTGTTGGCGGGGTTCTCAGTCCCGCGAGCATTGGTTGAGCCCACTCCGCTCCCGGTTATTGTAGGGCCACCGCTGGTCTTGCAACTACCGAGCAGATGCATGTTTTCCAAATGTGCAGCACTCGGAGAGACATCCGTCTATACGGAGTACTTCGACTAAAATGTTATGGTCCTCTCCAGCCTCTCGTGTGACTCGGCACAGAGCGCCGATGCCCGCGGCCATTCATTGGCCACTGCTTGGGCTCCACCGCGCCTAAATAACCTTCCTCTGGTTAAGCTTGCGCGGCGTGGCAGGCGGGGTCAGGCGGAGGCCAGACTCGCGCATCCGCGAATCTGGCGCCCCAATGTCGGGAGCTTGATCCGACCGACCATCCAGCTCGACCAACTTGTCCAGCTCATCACTTCGTGTAACATATTCTAGGCCGCGGTCATCTGTGAGTCGACATGCAGCTGCTCAAAGCAGCCTGATAGCCCTCCATTGACGTGCGCATGGGAGCTAGGTCAGCCAGCCAGCCACTTAACTCAAACTTCCCGCACCGCCTGATTGCCCGTCATATCCGCGCACCAGCAATTTTCGTCTGTTGCGCAGTGAAAACGCGGAGGGGTAGCAGCCAAAGCAGCTGTGCTTAGCACACCAGGCTGAAATTGCTGTCCTTGAGGATGTTGCCCTTGTGGGAGGGACACTAACCTACCGATCGTGGTATGCCCGACTTGCCGCAATGGACTCCGAGAATTGCTATTCCAGACTCGTTATCCTGCATCGTCAAGTCCTGCAGATGTCGGTCTGCCTCTGGTCTAGATTCTCCTTGTCGACCCAAAATGCAGGTTTGAGCCAGCCACCGAGTCTTCAGAGAAGCTGTACAGCTCGTGTCGGGTGGTGCATGCATATCGATTACCACGTGTCCAATGCCCGGAAAACCTCGCCCTCCTTCAGTTCTCAGCCTTTCCGTGAACACCTTCTCGACTCGGCGCTCTACCACCATGGCCGGCCACGATCTCGACAATTTGCAAGCTGCGAAGCGAATTTTGGTTCGCTTTGAGAAGGCTTTACCGATGGCTGCATGGCTCGAATGCCATGGTATCCGCTCAGCCGTGGTTCGCAAGCATGTTGGTCATTATCACAGAAAGGCTTGCCACTATGCGCTCTCATATAATCACAACCTGGGCCTTGCTTTGCGTCCGCCGTCCGCGCTTCACTCTATATTCGTAGATTCGTTCTTGTCGCTATTGACACTTTCTATCCTAACCATACAGCAAGATGGCCCCTCCACAGCCTCTGGCGTCCCCAACGAAGATACCCCTGCTGCAAGAGAAGGCTCTTGACACGCCAGCTACGAATTTCAGCGACAAAAGCCCTCCGCCTACTCCTGGCCCACAACATGCACACAAGAAGAACATGGATGGCGCCCTAACCTCCCTGCTCTGGGGAGCATTTGGACCATGCATCCCGGTCATGGTTGTATGCAGCGTTTTGTTGACCGCAATTCTGTACAATCGCATTCCGGACAGCTACGTCTTCGACCCATCCAAGCAGACCAAGATCTCGAACGATCCTTTGAGCGCCCTCCATGGCGTTCAAGCGATTGAGAACAACGGTGGCAGCAAAGCGTACTATCTTTATGAGAAGGGCATCACTAACCCTGCCGTCTTACACACGATCTCTTCCTGGACCGCGAAAATTCTTCCTTTCGTGACCGGAGCCAGCATGGCGTTGGTGGCCTTCCTGGCCGGCCAGCGCATTATCAAGGCAACATCGACCAAGTCAGAAAGACTCCCGAGCCCACATCAGGTTTCGATTCTGATAAATTTGCTCAACGGTGGAGGAGCACGGCCACTGCTTGATACCCTCAAGTACCGTTGGCAGAACCATGAGGACTTGGTACAGCCAGTTCCCTTGGCCTTCTGGAGCCTCCTATTCATCGTGGCCATGACGTAAGCCGGACTGCTCGAACGTGCTTTGCACCTGGGCTAACTGAGTGTTACAGATTTGTGATTGGAATTGTGGATGTAAGTTGTGCCAGGCCATGCGTCTGTCTTGCCTTGACGGTGTCTTGCATACTGACAAACACAATAGAGTTGGTTTGGTACCGCCACGAAAGCCATCAACATCGCTCTCGTCATCCCGAGTGCAGCCACAGCCTTTTCTTTCGGCCGAAGTCTAGACCCGGAGCGGTGCGCCACAGAATCCTGGCAGAGTAGTAGCTGCCCATCGAACCTCAACGCGCAATGTCTTTACCCATGCAGCATGACGAGCTGGAAGGTCTCTGGCTATGAACGAGAAGGCCTTTATCATGCGCAAGAGGCAGCAGAGACTCTGATGCAGAACTCTCGGACCAATACCATTTTGAATGTCACGGTTGATGATGGATCCAACTACTATTTCCTTGCGGACCTTCGCCGAGGGATGAAACTTGATTTTGTTGCGCCAACGCTCGCCATCAAGACCGAGTGCCAAGTTGTGACGGATACCTGTGAAACCCACCCTGAAGGCGGCTTCACATGCGGCACGTACAGTGCGCCGTCCTTTTCATTTTCCGGCCAGGTCGGAATGGCTGTCGAGAATGCGACCGCGGCACCCGACGAGGCAATGGTCGGCATCCAGTTCTTCAACGACTCGGCATGGACACAACCAGTCGGACTGGGAAGCAGCGCCACGGATCTATTCGCCTCTACTAACCCTGTTCATTTCCTTTCCTGGAGCAAGGGCTTCCCTCCCGTGGACACCTACGCGGACGAGTTTGGATACATGCGCAACCACAGTTTCTTGAAGAACGACACCAACGGGGACACAGTCTTCATCCTGTCCTGCGCCGCGACCATCTACGAGGCCGAGTACTACTGGATGAACGGAAGCGTGGTGCCCTCTGAACTTAAAGCATACGAACTGGCACCCGACTACTACGGTGCAGTCTACAGCGCCGCCTTTGCCACGAACAGCCCCCTCTCGCACCTGGCCCTTCAAGACGCCGCCGCACTAGCCGCCTACCAGCTCCGACCGGAGGGGCTTGCCAAGGTCTTCGCCAACCTCTTCTCCAAAGCGGCCGTGGCGTTCTCCGCCGGTATCTCTGTGCCAGTCCAGAACGACCGAGAGTGGACGCGCGAGAACACCTACCTCGCCACACGGGTGCCGCTACTACCGCTGTACACCCTGATCGCGCTCAAGGGGTTCTACGCCTTCTTCGCCCTGGCTCTCGCCCTGCTCGCCGTCTTCAAGACCCGGCCGTCAGAAGCCCACGAAGTGAAAGAGAGGTTGACCGTCGATGGCCTCGCCGCGGGCTTCTTCGAACCCAACGCCGCGCACGAAAAGGCTGTCAAACAAGTCTCCGACCTCTTCCATGAACATCAAACGCCCGAAAAGAGCGACGCCACGCAGAAGATCGGCCTCCTGCATACCGACCAGGGCGGCTGGCTTTGGGTGACGGTTGCGCGTCAGGCCTTTGAAGGCCTCGGGCTCGCAGAGGTCATCACCACGGCGGCGGACCAGGCTGCCGACGCTGCTGCAGGCAAGCAGGGAAGTGCCGGTCGAGTGGGCGAGGGGTATAAATTGATCAAGGACATTCTTTAGGCGATGAGTGATTGACGGCTGTAATCGGCCATAAAGATCAATGGGTACGGAATAGGTACGGACAGGCAGGCAGGCAGGATATTCTCTCCTTAGCGCCGCATTTGGGTCTCGGACAGGATCACACGGGCAGGGGCGCGGGCTGGACTGGAAGCCTGGGCAAGCACCTGGTATAATACAGTCGTTGCGAGGTTACTTGTACAGGACAGGACACCATCACGGACAATTAGGGTTGGGTCGGGTTGACATATCTCGTCGCTGGAGGACCACAGATGACTACCGGGTATGTATGACTGGTGTTGGAAGGTTGGCTGGAAGTGTCTGCCTTTAGTCCGGCGTGACATGGTATGATATGGTATGAGACGAGAATGATCTGGTATGATACGGGAATGACCTGGTATGATATGATATGGTATGATATGGTATGATATTTATGGGATGATATGGCGTGGTCCGATATGATGGTATGATATGATATGAGGTCCATACTACATAGTCAGGATGGCGAAGGCGTCTCCGATACTGAAATCAATCACTTTCATGCTACGATTACACCCGAGTCGGCTCGACTTGTGAATACTCAATCCCTATGCGCCACATGAAACTTCTCAGAACGTGCGTACCTCCTTGTAGTATCTTCGAGTCTTGGGGCACCTGGCCTGGAAGGGACTTGAAGACTTGAAGTGTTCCTTGGAGCAACAATCCAAGAACTGCACCCGCGACGAAAGCGGCACCAGTCCAGAGCTACAGTAAGTGATATACTTGCACGATCGTTCCATCGCCTCAACCACAACTCCCATAGGTCCAGTCCCTCGGAGATGAGTTGAAGACACTGGTCTCTGAAGATTACGGTATATCAGCCGCGCGTACTCTATCTGTTGTACAACGTACGAGGAGGACCAGTAGACGATATACCATATGCCGTAGATGAGATCCCAATGCAGCGCGCACAATGCAGGGTCCTCCGACTCTAGAAAAAAAGACTGCTTCTCCAGAGAAGAGTGTTCGGATTCAATTGAGGGGGATGGCCAAACTGCCCAAGGTTGCTTCCGATCGCTATTCTAAAGGTAATAACCTTGCAAAGTATCATCATATTGGTATACTAGTAAATTAACATAATATGCGAATGTGAATGTTAATGTTAGATGTTAATGCCTCAAACGACGACAATGTAGCAGGTCCAGACCATGATCGCTAGTGAACACAGTTACACCGCGCTGTGCGCCTGTCGCTGTGATGCATTGCCGCTCGGATGAGTAGAAGAGTTGAATGCCATCGCCGAAGGAAAGGCACCGAATCTTCACCCTCGGCGCCGGCCGCAATGTAGTCCGTACTCATATTTTGTCCCACTTCCTTCCAGGGGATGGTCACGCCTCCACCTAGCCGCAACATAGTCCGTAATCATACTGCACCCCGCTTCCGTTCAAAAGATCGTCCCGGATTCTAAGCTTTTCAAGTTTGCGGCTGAGCCTCGCTCTGCGGCCGTGCGTGAACCCCGTGTTGCTGCACTGCAGTAGACGGATACGGAGCTATTGGTCGGTGGGTGCTTGCGACGTCAAGTTGCGGTTGAGATTGGACCGAGCTCAAGGGGAGGGATGGGCCGCGCGATTGAGCCGGAGCAGGACTCTGCTGTGCTTGCAAAGGTGATGGCGCGTAGTTGTACTGATAATGCAAAGCTGGCGGCGTAGGACCAGGCACACTCTGGGATTGACCGGGTACCGGATGCGGCCTGACATTCGGTGCAAGAAGATGGGCAGGGATCTGGACAAAGGCATAGGAAGGCATTGGGTTCGGTTGCACAGTAGGAGCGGAAGGCAGATGTTGTTTCGCTTGGTGATAAGGCTGTGGCAGTGTCGCTGGAGGGGCTGGAGGAGGCGGGTTTTCATTCGCTTGAACATAAGGCTGTGGTAGTGTTGCTGGAAGGGCTGGGGCAGGCGGACGGGGTGGTTGGGGAGAGTCTTGAGTAGGATACTGGTAGGAGGGATATGCAGGATACGCGGCCTGATTCGGCGGAGGGTACTGCCATTGACCTGGAGAGCCGGGGACCGGGTGATTTGGATACTGTGTTGGCGCGTACTGAGCCTGAGCGGCCGGAGGGGGCAGAGGAGGCTGTTGCACTATGGTGGCCGGTTGAGAAGGCTGTGGATGGTATTGCACTATAGTGATAGGTTGAACAGGCTGGGGAGGCTGTGCTTCTTGCTGCTTTTGGCTTTCGAGTTGGCGGATCTTCTCCTGCGCCTCGATCAATCTCTTTTTCAGGGCATCAATCAAGTTCGAATTCGCTGACGTCGGTGCCGGGTCATTCCCTTGCTGCTTTGCTGTTGGAGGTACAGGAGCAGTACGAGACTCCCCAGGAGGTTTCTTAGCGGAGCGTTTCGTGTATTTTTTCTTGGGCCTCGTCTCCTTGCCACGGGTCAAGTCGACAATAGTCGTAGAGCCGCTCATCGTACCTGGGCGTGGTTTGTCCTGGTTACCAGAGGGTACAGTATTTCCAGTTTCTGGGACGTCTTCGGCGCCTGCTCCAAGAGCCGGTTTTGCGGAGCCCCCATTGCAGTCTACGAAACTGTCTGATTCAAGGTCCGCGCCGTCAGCTCCTTCCAGCCGATCCGTCGATCCAAGAAAGTCGAACAGCGGTTGGAAACTATTCTCTCGGTCCTGGGCACTCTGGGGCGTGGATGAATTATTGTCTTGAGTTCTTGGCTCGGTGGCCCTTCTTTTGCGTATTCCTGGTGCCATCGTGTCATCTATGGACTTCCTCTTCCGAGCCTTCCCCTCGGGGTTAGGCTTGTCTTTCGCGAGACGGCGCCTGTTTTCAGGCAGCTTTTCGGGATGAAAAACTTCCCACATTCTTCTCCGCTTACTTCCGCGTCTCGGAGTGGGTGCCCTCTCTTCGACAGTGGGATGCATGGGTATATGTTTGTAGTCAAGTTGGAGGTTGTTCTTGGTTAGCGAGAATTTGATCCAAATCGCGCCTCCGCACTCGTATACCCGCTTTCGACTTTTCACGCCAGCACGAATCTTGGCAAGACCCTCGTTTGCAGCTCTTCCCATGTTCAGTACGGAATCGAGGCAGTAGAAGGAGAATCTCTAGGGATATTTCTTAGCCTCCGCCAAATCTGATGCCGCGGACGCAATAACAGTATAGCGGGAACCATGAATAGAACACATACATTCGCCCGATCGGCGTTTGACAGCCAATTGTTATGGAAGCTGTAGTGGAATCCGTCGATTTCCGAAATGGCTTGCACCAGTGACCTGGCGATTCTCTTCTGTGTGATCATTTGCTGTAGACACGAATTAGGTCTGCCGACGTGGTGGAACAAGCTCAATGAAGCTCGGTCGACGAGTTAAAAAACTCACCTCCTTCGGGTCGGGAATGTTATACAAAGCATCAACCACCGAAACCGCAGACTTCTCTGGCAGCGAGAACGTAAACGTTGTTAATTTGTCGGCTGGGTGATCGCCTCCGAGCGGGTCGCCAGCGGGTATCAGAAAGGCAGCGGTGACTGGAAAGGTGAACTCTAGGGTGGTGTGTTCAGCAGGGTGACTGGGGTTTGCTAGGTATTCTCCCAAGCTGGCCTCGAGATCTTCTAGCCTTGAGCATTGAAATCGGACCGTCTGGCCCAGAGGATCTTTTGGATGACGGCCTCTCTTCTTCCTGTGCAGGTGTTAAGGCCTAGTTTAGAGAAGTGCGTCTAAAGGTGATGCGTCTAAGGAAACCGAAAACATACCTGGGTCGCGTCCGGACTGTGGAAGTACCAGGGATGCCAGTATCGGTCTCTTGTGCGGTGTTGTTTCCAACATCATCGACGGCATAGTTGGTTTCTTCCCCTGTTGCAGAAACATACGATGGGTCAATCTCGCCATGGCCATCGAGCGTCGAAGGTGACTCCTCCATGGATCCGACGCGCAACAAATGACGGATGAGATCAATAGACGTCTTTCGCAAACGCCCAAGTTGCATTAGAGTGAACAGGATGTGAGATCGAAGATCTTCCCCTGCCAAGGATCAAAGACAGACAGTTGCGGGCTCCACTTCATCAAGGTGATTGGTTGCGCTTCACCGCAGAACAACGGCCATAGATTTCTGGAGCGCTTCCCCTCTTTAACGGTTCGAGTTCATGTCCGGCATAACATCTTTGATTCCCTCGAGGTTACGTGCCTGCCCGAGATCTGTACCTCGAGCCGCCGTCCGATACTCGATTGGTGCCCTCAACATGGCGCCTATATCTGCAGATGACCGCTTTCGAGCTATTGTGTTCTCTGGTCCCAGCGGCACCGGGAAGAGCACATTGATAAAGCGCTTGTTTGCAGCTCATCCTGATCTCTTTGGCTTCTCGTAAGTCTTCACCAGGAAGCCCTGTCACTCGCTCAGGATGTTTGATCGTTCGTCTGCATGGACTGACTGTAAGCTAGTGTCTCCCACGCCACAAGAAAACCCAGACCTGGCGAAGTAGACGGAACCCACTACCACTTCGTCAGCGTCGAAAAGTTCGAGGCCATGATCGCGGACAATGCTTTCCTCGAACATGCAAAATTCGGCGGGAACTACTATGGGTCGTCCAAGCAAGCCGTGCAGGACGTCGCCGAGGGTCGTGGGAAAGACATCAATGGAGGGACAGCTGAGGGCAAGAGGATTTGCATATTCGACATTGAGATGGAAGGGGTGAAGCAGTTGAAGAGGAGCAGCCTAAACCCGAGAATATGCTTCATTCAGCCGCCCAGTCTTGAAATCCTGGAGCAGCGGTTACGGGGGCGTGGCGACACGGATGAGGCTTCAGTCCAAAAGAGGTTGGCCCAAGCAAAGAACGAAATCGAATACTGCAAAAGCGAAGGCAAGAATGACAAGGTCATCATCAACGACGACTTGGACCGCACCTTTAGGGAGCTGGACGAATGGGTCATGAAAGATATCTCCAAGACGACTCCAACATGAGACGACAACTCTGCACAGCTCTCATTTCAACTACAGTGATGATGAATGGTCATGAGGAATTAGTTTATACCCCGGTTACAAAAAGGACGAAAGACCCGCTCTCTGATAAACGCTTAGCAATAGAACGAAAAGAAAAGACGAGAACATGGCAATCGCTCAAGCTCACCCATTGCTTTTGTCAAATCATCGCAATCCCCTCATCCACTTCCACGATGCTTGAACATGTTCGTCTCCTCTAATATCCGTTCATGGTCACTCTTTGTGAGCCTCTGCTCAATTCCCGGTCGGCGGCAGGGCTGATGGGCCGGCTACCAGCCATACCAGAGGCGCTGCTCTCTTTGAGTGCCAGCAACTGCTTCGCTCGGAAGGTCTCGTAGTGGATTTGGCTGGTGGTCTCAATGAGATCCTGCAAATGAGTGCGAGTGAGGAAGTTCCGGAGGTAGACAAACTCGCAGTGGTTCTCGTCTTCCACATTGATGATGCCCCATTTGTTCTGCCGGCCACGGACTTGCTTGCCGTTAACAACGATGGATTTCTCGCTGCCGACAACTGCAAAAGGGATGATGTCCTTGATGGTCGCATTGGTGGCACGCTCTTCATCATCCAGTTCCTCATTATCATACGGATACATCTTCAGGTTGTGGAAAGCAAACTCCTCCTTGATTCGCTCCTTGAACGCTCGTCGTTCCTCAAGCGTGAGAGAGTCGGCCTTGGCAATGACTGGGACGACGTTGACCACGTCGGAGAGCTTCTTCAGGACCACAATGTCAATGGGCTTCAGAGCATGGCCGGACGGTTGGATGAAGAAGAGGCAGCAGTGGATACGGGTATCTGGGATGTAGCGTTCTCTCTGGGCTGTGAGCTCCTTGCGAAGGTCTGCTCTGTTGTTAGTGATGAAAAGTTGTATTCGGCACACCGCATAGTGGCAGGAAGTAGGTAAACTGGCGATGATCTTGAGGAGCACTCACAGGCAGAATGTTGGTCTTTGATGTATTTCACAATGGGATCCCAGCTAGAAGAATGTCAGCTAAGTCCGCCACAGCGTGCCTTCATGATCTCACTCACCATCGGTCATTGTTCACAAGATCGCCATAGCCGGGAGTGTCGACAATGCTGAGTCGTAGTCTCACACCATTCTCTTCGATGACTAGGCACTATCAGCTGCGTGTCCAAATACTCTTTAGATAGGAAGACTGACTGTGCGAAACAGTCTGGATATCGGTGGTGGATCGAATTGGCTCGTCAGGACGGAGACGGCCTTTGGAGTCGATAAGGTGAGATGCGAAGATGGTGTTGATGAGAGTCGATTTGCCCAGACCAGTTTGACCTTGGAAGGTGAGCAGGTGAGCGAGGATTGCAGCAGGTCTTCACATACCAACACAGATGACATTGAATTGGAAACCTCTTTTCAGCAACTTCTTTTCGATCTGTGAAGTGATGGAGTCAAAACCGACATGCGACCTGGGGAAGACCGCGTTAGGTTGTTGCATTGCCATGGCCGCCATCTTGTCTGGCCGCCAGTAGAGACTCGGGAGATACTGATGCGATAAACGAGAGGGATCTCGATGCGCAGGTCAAGGTGAAGTCGAGTTGAGGACAATTGTGCAGGAGGGAGGAGGGAGTTGCGACTGCGGACAAATTTCCCCAGACAATCTTGCCAGCGTTCGACCGAAACGGCAGGCCCCTTTTTCGTCTTCCCAATGCGCAGAACGCGCCAAGTGACAGGGGTACACAGTAAATGGCCCCGTTCCTGGTATCTAACGCTATTTGGCTAGATGTCCCTCTACGGTAGGACAAGAAGACCAAAGCGAGCTTGTCTAAATATTCTTGGGGTTTACTGCGCGCGCTGCGCTCTTCGTACCTGACTGCCACTGCGCAGTCGACATTGTATGGCCATGATGGCGCTAACTGCTCCGGTCAGCAGTGGTCGGTTATCAGATTTGGTCCTCAGAAGGAGTGTAGCCACAATCTCCACGACCCTCCAAGCATGGTCTTCACGGAGTCTACTATCGGTGTCTATCCCACTCCCCGCCATCGCGGTCGTCATCCCCGGTCTTGTATCAGACATCTGGGAGGGTATCTTGAAGGCAGTGCCAAAGAAGAAAACCTCACACAGCAAGAAAAGACACAGACAGTTAGCTGGGAAGGCACTTAAAGATGTGAAGGCCGTCAATCAGTGTCCGGGTTGCGGCAGACCGAAGAGAGCTCATACACTGTGTCCATACTGTGTCGCAGGTTCGTTGAGTACACCTCTGCCATCTTAAAAAGTATACTGAGCCAAGTAACAGAAATCTACGAAAGTTGGAGGGCACGTGACGCAGAGGCAAAAGACATGGCTAGACTGGACGAGGCTATAAGCGATAAAGGGATTGACGAACAACATCTGCGGGAAGAGAAGGCGAAATGACCGAAACGTCAACACTCATGTCAGCTGCTCAGGCCATCGAGCTTTGGGCTCATCCGAATCCAGCCGATGGACGACTTACTCTCATCCAACACCTCAATCCGGAACAGCATACCACCCCGCACAATGCAGAGGTGCGCTGCTCGCCACGAGTCTTCGCGAAGCTATGGCCGAAAAGCATAAGCCAAGTTGGTACCACAGCTAGCCGGGACGCAATTGGACCCGCTCTTGCAGCACGGTCTCAGGAAGATTGGAGGGTTCGGATGATAGGGTGGAGCTGGGCCGAAAGGAGCTAGGAAGGAGATACTGGCATTGAGGGAGTTCAGCAGGGAGGGCAGCTGATGTCAATACATCTAGATACCTGAGCGAGCACGCACGGAGGGTTGCTCAACTCTCGCATCGAATGCTCCAAGTTTGTGAATTACGTCATTTGAAAATGGAGTATCAGAGACACATCCTTGAAGTAGACCTCAAGTTGATATCATCTCCTGTTCTTCGATTCATATAGTTTGCTTGCTGATATTTTGACTCACCCGAGCCTGCTCAGTTGCAATTAGCATTGGGATGTATTGCCGAAGTCAAGATGGTCAGTGCCCACATCCATCGGTATGAGATCTACTCGAATTGACATCTGGTAATCCGTAGTCCAAACAATATCTCGCTCAGCACTCGATTGATGACGGTGAGTAACCGGATAACCACCAACTGTCAGTTTAAATTGACAATAGCTGCCAGCACATGCCACGGATATCTTCGCGCTCGCCGTAACCACGACTCAGATCCTCTCCGGATCCGGCGAATCGGCCATCAAGGTCCACTCCATCACCGAGGACGATTTCCCCATTGCCCAAGTGCTAAATGATGCGCATAAACTCGGCTGCCATCATATTGTAACCGACCGTGAGACGGGAAGAAATGCAGTGAGTGTGGGCTTCGACGGCGACGTCAAAGTATGGAAGTACGATGACAGTTCGTGGAAAGACGCTGGAGAAATTAACGTCGGGCCGAGAAAGAAGGCCGGGGAGACATGGGCTGTATGCTTGTCCTTCGATGGTAAGTTCCTTGCTAGCACGACGCACGACGGCCGGGTGAATATCTGGGATCTGGGCGATACTGGAAGTCGAGAGAAGATCAGAGAGTTTGAGACCAAAGGCTCCTTTGGCATGTCCATTGATATGGTGATTGACCCTTGTTGCGACTCCGCTGTCTTGGACTAACCTCAATTCTGCGAAGTCTCCCGATGGGCGATTCATAGCCAGTGGTCACGAATCAGGCAACATCTATCTATTCTCCACCGCCACATCCCGGCTTCTCCATTCGCTTCCCGGTTTGATCGAAGCTGTCCGGGCCGTCAAGTTCTCCCCAGGCTCGAAGCTTCTCGCAGCAGCCGGGGATGCAAGAATTATCTCACTCTATGACCCAAACTCAGGCGAACAAGTTGCGAATCTTACCGGACATGCGGCCTGGATCACGAGTCTCGACTGGAGCCACACTGGTCAGTATATCCTCAGTGGCAGTCTGGATGGTAAGGTGAAAGTATGGGACATCGAGCGAAGAGTCTGCGTGGCCACATACGGTGAGAGCGATAAAGGTCTGTGGGCCGTGAGGTGGCTTCCGAAGGGAGATACCAGCGTTGAGAGAGCTAAGGCGGAAAAATTCGTGACTGTCGGGAGCAACAAAGCGATTGCGATCTATCGTGAGGCTACAGGAGGGTGAAGAGCATCGATTGTTCGAACTGGGTTTGCGAAACAGTCGGTGATCGTGGCGCTGGAGCGCATGACAGTCGAGTTCACGTCTGGCTCATCATGCCATGCCATGCTATTCGGCGGAGCTAAGCGAGACACTGGTGGACAGTACAACATGAGGAATTCTGCGGGCAAGACCAATACGCAGGCCATATGCTCGTGCAGCTCGCCTGGATGAATTCGAACGACTTGATGTTCGGTCTTGGAGGTCCACGAAGCTGGCGTAGCAATCGGGAGGCGCTCAAGTTTGCGGACAGCAAGGCCAGATATGACAGCAGGGCTAGGCGGCGCGAATGTGGGTGCGGACGAGGTCAAAAGCAAGTTCACCAGTTAGCGCTTCTATTCACCGACCACCTACATAATAGATCCTCAGTCCAGTACCATCCACATTTTGCAGGAGCAGCAGGCTCAGTCATGCGAACACGAGGCTATGACGGAGCCCTGCCAAGTCGTCTATTGTTAGAGCCTCCTGCTTGCGACCGTCATCTAGCACCGATCCTCATTCATCGCAGAGATTATGCCCTGAGAAGTGCCAGTAGGCTGTCCGTGCTTCTTCCAAGAACGCACCTCATAATGTCCCTGCTCCGCCTACTACACGCCGAGCAGATGCTCTCCGCTGGTAAAGCACAGGTCCAACATACTAAAGCTTTCATGAAGTTCATACATAGCAACCATGGCCTTTCACACATTGGGAAGGAGAGACAGGTTGTCAGTTGTGAGAACGGCCGCAGGACATCGTTCACGCTCATTCAACTCAAAACTAACTAGACCGCAGCCGGCCACTGCGACAACCCCACACCCAATCACCAATCAAAGCGCCAAAAACAAAATACCCTTGCTAGTGCCGAATGCAAAAGCCTCGTCGAGAAAAATCATCCTCTTTCTGCCTTCTCTTCTTCCAATTTTATTGTCCAGGCCCTCAACATACCCTTGTTTAATGCCTTCTCTCGAAGATCCTTCGGAGCTGTGGTTTTAACACATTCCCGAGCGGCCGAGATCACATAACAATGCCTATCTAATCCAACCTGCTTGATTGCGGCCAGTCCTGCTGGCATTATCGTGGTGGTGTTGGTTCGCTTTTGGCTGACAATGAATACTCGAAAATGCGAACTTATATGAGCTCAATCTACTTCTATCTGTTCCACATCAAATCTACAATGGTTCATACTTCGCTCACGAGGTTCGCTTTACCAGCGACTTCCACTTCAATAGTGACCTTCACTTCATTGGCCAGTCTGACTTCACAGTTACCCAGAGCTCGCCGGCATCTTTCAACTACAAATATTTCCTTTGTCTTCTGGATCTGCCCCTCTTCTTCTTTCTTGTCAAGCAACAGGACCTCCCAACGCGCCAACACAGGTTCTTCACTCAGGCGCACCCTGAGCTGGTAGGCGAGTCGACAATATTTTCTATGTCTGCTCTCCTTGCCTCCCTTCTTTTCATCTCCCCTATCCTGCCCCAGCCCGTCCCTTTCTGCCATCGCCCCTCAAGAATTCGCTCTTGAGGAAGTTCGCGGAGCTATTCGGAATTTCCACCAACCTCTCTGCGCTCACCAGAAAATGAGGTCAAGGTACAGTCGGTGAATAGACCCGGCACTTTCGAAGCTTCGTCCTGCCTTGCCTTCTGGTACTTGATGGTGGATGGAGTCAAAGTATGCCGAGATTGATACTTAGTTCATTCATATGGACTTCTCCTATCGTGTTACACTCTGATTCGTGCTTGGCTGGGATAACATGCATTTCTGGCCAGGCAAAATGGATATGAGTGCGTCAAATGGGGAGATACAGACTGCAACATCATAGATGAATTCTCGTTGTCATTGACTCCCCAAGTCAGTGAGAGCCAAAGATCAAAGGAGACCATGAAATGTTGATTGGGATCATGACCGGATCTGCAAGGATGATCCTCAAACCATCCACAGAATAATTGCAACGTGCCATTTCCTGTGCACCAAGTGACCAAGAAGTACTAGACCATTCTTCCCATAACACGTCGTTACCCCTAGTATTACAGGACCCTTGCGCCTTCATACGCTCTCCCAAGCAGAGTCCTTTCGACGATCATATTAAGCACATCCCGACAAGGGTCCGCAGATGCAGGTTTCGAAGAGATGAGGCTGCGACCAGATGGTCCATCTCATGACCCGCGACCATGTTTCTGGTTGCACCCGTTCTGCTGCCGCATTCCAGTATGAGTGTGTCGCCTTTCGTTCAAAGGGAACCAGTCCACGTGCCTCGGACGAAGCAAGTCATTGTCACGATCCTCTTCCTTCCCGTTGCCGTGTTCCCTGGTGGTGAGTCGGCGTAGGAGATGCCAATATAAGATCAACATCTTCCTAGAGATTCTTCCTCTTGTCATCCTCCTTCGTGCGACTCCCAAATCCATATGCAAGTCCTCCGCCCACCAGGTTGACAAGACACAAACCCATGGTGGCGCCACGGATTACACCTCTGGCGCCAAACTTGTTCACGAAGCCCATACGTCTCCTACCTGCCAGAACCAGATACGCACCACTTAATGCGGCGGTCGTGCCGGCGCTGTCAATCTTGAAGCCTTGCAAGTTGAGGTATGTCGAGAACAGGAGCAATGGTGGAAAAAGCATGGGCATAGGTTGGAACGGCCGGGCATGCTGAGCGAAGATGAGAGTAGCTAGAAGAGCAGGTGGTACGGGGTTCTCTGTTAGGAGTGTAAGCAGGTATTCTGAGAAGTAGTCAATCTTATTGCATAGAGCCAGAAGCATGGTATTGACGAACCTCCCCATTTCTTTGCGGTGACCACGAGAGATTCTTTCGCTTGCTCTTTCTGAGGGTCAGCCATCTTGAGGTGACCAGACAAAGCAGTCTACCAGATGAGCTGCTAAGACTGTGGACGGTGGGAGCTATTGTAGCGTTGAGGGCCAGCGTCAACGTCATTGCTCTGGCATCTCTTCGGCAGCGACTGCGGTGACTTTCCACCCTGCAATTGCAACCCACCAAGTTGGCGTTTCGAACACCTTTCCACATAAAAGTCGCAAATCACCACAAACGAACAGACTCCGGGTACGGTGCCTTCAGACCGAATACGACTACGACCCGATATAGCCGCGTCCTCTGATCGCCTCCATAAACGTGCTCTGAGTGCGGCATGTCCGCAACAGCCTCTGGCTCCGATGCCAGAGCAAACGGCTCCGCTGACCCACGGGCTCATAACCAGGGAAACCAGGATCGCAAGTACACACCACAGCAGAAGGCAGAAGTCCTTCGAATACGGAAATGCAGCCCTACAGCCTTCTACGAGATCCTTGCGATCGAGAAGACGGCAAGCGACGGGGAGATCAAAAAGGCATATCGCAAGATCAGTCTTTTAACACATCCCGATAAAAATGGTTATGACGGAGCCGACGAGGCTTTTAAGAGTCAGTATAATGGCTGCACATGTGCGAACACGGAATTGACGAGTGGCAGTGGTCTCTCGCGCTTTCCAAATATTATCAGACGCCGATAAGAAAGCCAGGTATGATCAGTTTGGCGGCGATCCCGACAACCGGTTCTCCAGCAGTGGTGCTGCGTCTGCTGGAGCCAGTCCCTTCAGTGGGTTCGCAAGGTCGTCCGGTAGGGGCCCTATGTATGAAGACGAGATCTCGCCCGAGGAGTTGTTCAATCGGTTCTTTGGTGGAGGGATGGGGCCTGGATTTCAATTTGGTAGGTCTTGACAGACTTCCTGCACACGCGTCAAACATGCTGACTGGGACAGGCGGCGCGGGCTTCGGAGGGCCCCAATTTGTTTTCAATATGGGCGGCGGCCCTGGTTTTACAGTACATCGTATGGGAGGCAACAGACCGAGAGCCAGACCGCGAGATGGATCGGAAACCGGCCCATCGGGAGTGTCTGCACTCACACAACTTCTCCCGCTGCTCCTGTTATTCGTCCTCCCTCTGTTGTCATCCTTATTCACTGGTTCGACCGACTCAGGCCCGCACGTTCGATATGACTCGCCGGTACCTCCGCATACGATGCATCGGGTCACTCCCCGGTATAAAATCGACTACTTCCTGAACCCCGCTGAGGTGGAGGGTTACACTTCAAGGCAGTTTAGTTCGCTGGATCAGCGGGCAGAAGTAGACTATGTCTCGACGTTGAAGTACCAATGCGAAACTGAAGTACAGCGGCAACGGCACGAAATCAACGAGGCTACGGGTTTCTTTTTCACAGACGAGAACAGGCTGCAGAGAGCGAGGAATATGGCTATGCCTGGATGCCGGCGGCTGGACGAGTTGAAAGTCAAACGACAGTATTGATTCAACCGCGACAAGGCTGCGTGCAGATCTTCTGTTTTCATTGTCGGACGTTTACTTGCATCATTGTTCGGAGTTGGTGGCGCAGCCTCGCCTCTCAGGCTGAGGGCAGCACTGTGTAGCACTCCATGAAGCAGCGAATAGTTTCTTGACTTTGTACAACTCTTCTCTGCTTGAGAGGTCTGATGGTCTGTCGTAAGGCTGGACTCGGCTGTAAAGTGACAGATGCTCAGTTGATCTGTGACTGCCTGGAATTGCTTTAATTAATGCTGGCGGGGCTGGTCTGGAGATTCCACGCGCGTCTGGCTATTTCCCTCCGCAGCGTCGACGTCAACTCGTACCCCAAATCGCAGCCTTCACCTCCGGCTGAGTGTTGGTTCATTACACCACACACATTTGTCATCTACGACAGGCACAACGATGGAGGACCCTTCTATGGATGCGGACAAGGTGTGTGAGGTCTTCGTGCGTCGAGTCTCTCTAATATCGCCCAGATCCGCAATAAGAGACTCGCCAAACTCCAGCAGTCTCAACCGCAGCAGTCGCAAGATGCCGCATCCGCAGCCTCAGTACCAGCCGAGGAGGGTTCGACGTCGACACCATCGTCACGGCCAGAGACGCCCAAGGCCGACACCCATCAAGAGCCTTCACAGAACGAGGTGCCCGCACCGTCCATCAATATAGCGAAACCGCCATCACCTCCGGTTCGGATACGGATCGCTCCAGCCACCGTCACACCCCAGAAGCGAGAAATGGATGGCTTAGAGAGACCAAGTTCAAGACAAGGTTCTCGACAGAATGAAACCATCGAGCAGTGGGAAGACCGCACTCTCAGGAGCATTTTCCGCATTACCCTGGATCCCAACCAGACGAAGGACACATCAGGACATCCACTGCATGTCATCCCGCAACTCAGAGAAGAGCTGGAGTCAGACGGGAAGCCGCTATTGCTGAACACCGATCTGCTCGATCAGGCGATCATGGAGGCCGGCGCGAATCTCGGAAAGCTGACACCGCATGACTGGCTGTTCGGCTGCTGGAAGCGAATCACCAGACTGAGCAAGTCTGTCAAAGACCGGTCACCCGAGAACAAGAGGTGGACCATCATTACCGAGGCTAAGAGGCTCTGTATGAGCTGGTGCATATTATCTATCACGACGCCTGATGTGTTTGAAGCGCAGTACGACGGAGTTGCTGCCCTCGCCGAGCACCTGTTAGCCGATCCCGAGGACGACGGAGGTGTATGCCCCGACTTCCTGACAGAAGTCCTTGGGCGATTCGACGAAGACGAGACCATCAAAGATGCTTTTGTGGGTGCAGTGGAAAACCTCAGTAAGCGACTTGCTGGCATGTCGATGGACTCGGACTTCAGGCGATATACTACGATGTTGCGATATCTGATCAGGTATAAACCGGTAGCAGTGGCCATCACTCGGTCCCCTATGTTCGTCGACAAGTCAGTAGCGGCAGCTGAGCTAGAGGTTAAGACAATCCTTGGGCCTTATTTCCAACTGTCGCCGCTGCAAGCAGCAACGACTCAGTCATATTTCTCAAGCCCGAAGACCATGGATCCGGGCAGGATCAGAAACTCTCAACAGTCGCTGCAGTTGGCGCTGAGAACGCATCAATCGGAACTTTTCGACATCGTCAACACACTGGTACGCGCATCACCAGAGGCACGAGATCGGGTCTTGGATTGGTTTGCTCTAGTGGTCAACTCAAACCACAAACGTAGGGCGATCCAGGTCGACAAGAAGACCGTGTCGAGTGATGGGTTCATGATCAACGTCACCACAGTTTTGGATCAGCTATGTGAGCCCTTCATGGATGCTCAATTCTCGAAGATGGATCGTGTTGACGTCGATTATCTGCGAAGACATCCTCGGGTGGACATTAAAGATGAAACAAAAATCAACTCGGATCAGGAGCATTCTGACGAGTACTACAAGAACCAGCTCGAAGGAACCAACAACTTCATTTCCGAGTGCTTCTTTCTGACAGTCGCTGCTCATCATTACGGGACGGAGGCTGCTCGAAACATGCTTAAGGATATGGACCGGAGTCTGAAGCACATGGCAAAGCAGATCGAAGAATTCGAGACGCAACGACACAGATACATCAACAATCCTGCGCAACTCACCATGTTCGAGAACGCACTTAAGAAGTACAAGACCGAGCATGACAAGGGTTTGTCGTACAAACACGCAGTCACGGGCGTACTGCTGGACGAGCTTACTCAGACTCGATCGATGCAGTTCATGCGCTTCGTGACTGTTTGGCTACTCCGTCAGGTATCGTCTCATCGACAATTTCCAAAGCAACCCTTGACGCTTCCTCTGTCCCCTGATGAACCTGAAGCCTTCAAGAATCTCCCTGAATACTTCTTGGATGTTATTAGCGGCAATTTTGGCTTCATCATGTACAACCTGCCTCAACTCATATCGTCAACACAGTCAGACGAGCTGATTATGCTTTGCATTACTTTCTTGCGCAATTCCGAATACATCAAGAACCCTTATCTTAAAGCGTCGCTGGTTACCATTCTCTTCCGGGGAACTTGGACGTGGCGTCAAGGTGGAAGGGGTATACTGGCGGATCAGTATAACAGCATGCCCTTCGCCACAGAACATTTACTGCATTCTTTGATGCGATTCTTTATCGAGGCGGAGTTCATGGGCGGACATGGCCAATTTTTCGACAAGTTCAACGTGCGGTTCGAAATATTCCAAATCATCAAGTGCATCTGGCCAAACACGGTATACCGGGATCATCTGCTAAGGGAGGCCAAAGTCAACATGGAGTTCTTTGTGCGATTCGTCAATCTCCTGCTGAATGATGTCACGTTCGTGCTAGATGAGTCGTTTACAGCTTTCCACACCATCTACGATACTTCCAAAGAGCTCTCCATGGCGGGCACATCGCTGGACCAGGAGGCACGCCAAGCGAAAGAGGAAGTCTTGGAACAGGCGAAGGGCCGAGCGAAGTCTTACATGCAGCTGACCAACGAAACGGTCGCCATGTTGAAGCTCTTCACGGAAGCCCTGGCCGACGCATTTACCATGCCCGAAATCGTGCAGCGGTTGGCGGACATGTTGGATTACAACCTCGATGCAATGGTCGGCCCCAAGTCCAACAACCTCAAAGTCGAAAACCTGCAGGAATACAACTTTAACCCGAGAGCGTTGCTGAGTGAAATTATCGACGTCTATCTCAACCTCGGTGAGAAGGAAAACTTTGTCCTCGCGGTGGCTAGAGACGGCCGATCCTACAAGCCCGACAACTTCGTCAGTGCAGGCAACATTATGCGCAAATTCATGCTCAAGGGGCCCGAAGAGCTCGACAGGTGGCACCGCCTGATTGAAAAGTTCGCGCAAGCGAAGAAAGAGGACGAGGCCGCAGATGCCGACTTGGGCGAGATACCCGACGAGTTCTTGGATCCGCTCATGTACACTCTCATGGAAGATCCCGTCCGGCTACCTGTGTCGAAGATTGTGATTGACAGGAGCACGATTCGGAGTCACTTGCTGAGTGATCCACATGATCCATTCAATCGGGTGCCCCTGAAGATAGAGGATGTCATTCCTGGTAAGTTGACCCTACCTCTGTGCCACCCGACGGCTTTGGTCTTGGTTACTGACTTCTCCTTCTAGCAACGGACGTCAAAGAGCAGATCCAAAAATTCAAGGACGAGAGAATGGGAAGCGCACGCAGGGAGTTTGTAGAGACGGTCAAGACAGAGCCTGCTGGCAATGCGGATGGTGAGCCTATGGATCTGAGCTGAGCTGAGAATCATCGAAATATCGACGACTTAAGACTCCCCCTCGGATGGGGCCTGCCATTGAGGCATACATCCAGCCAGCGGCCGATTCGTCCGATCTATTCAAGATACAAAGGTCATGTACTCCATGGAGGGTTCGCGAACGTGGTCGAATCACAAAAAAGGTCGATCTGCAATCTCGTGAGTTTACGTTTGGACGCAAACCCTCTGAGGCAGCGGGCTCCGTTTGAAAGGGGCACTCTTGAAAATAGAGTCACGCCGACCAGGCGTCCATCAGGGTAGGAAACAATAGATTCATGCGGCGAGCGGTCACCCCATGTCTCGCTCGGCGCGTCTGGGTATCTCGGCGTCTGCTAGCTCCTGGCTACATAACAAATAGTCCTTGTACCGTGATCCATCGCATGCGTGCAACGGTCGATGTTTTGCTCAGTTCACCACATACCTAGATTGAATGACAAAAGGCACAGCAATATCGGAGTGGACTTGCCCACCCAATGTACCCATTAATCAAGAATACTCACACTTACTCCGTATTGCTCACGCTTATTATTACTATTTGCGATCAGTTGTGCGTGCCGCACCCCCTGCTTGACAATTGGAACAAACAAGAAAGGGAAACCCTTCCCACGCTTGCGTTACTTTGTATGGGTAGAGTATTGCGTATCCTCATCTCTACTTGTATTATATTCCTCGAGCGCCGGTCTGGGCTGCGCGGGAAAGGTAGATTCGACCGGATTGCTGATTGACGATTCTGTTGATACAGGGACCGGGCCGTCAACGCTCTTTGCTGGTTCTTGGTTCATATACATCATAATGCCGAAGAAGATGCTTGATGCTTGGTGCTTGTATGAGAGTCACGTTGTATAAGCATGGCTGCATTCCATGATGGCATTAGGCTGCGGCTGACTTGGCGGTCTGGGTGTTTTGCATGAGAGCCACGATGTATGAGGATGGCAGGGTTTCATGATGATGGTGAACCCCGTAGTTGATTGGTGATATGGATGTCGACGACGACTCCGCCTTCGGATGCAGAGTGGGATGGTAACGGGCACGATGTTGCCAGAGTTGATGAATGTTGTGCCTGTACCAGCTGCAGGTCATGTTTCTTAAGTCAAGTGCGACCAGATCGTACTGCTCCGCCTCTGGTCAGGGAGAACGTTGATACGTGTCGATGGTGTGGTCAGGGGGAACATTGATACGTGTCGAGGCTGTGCTCAAGGCTTGTGGGGGCTAAGAGACGGGGTTAGTCCGAGCCTGTCGCACCGGGGTGGCTCGCGTGAGTGACTTACCTTCCACCAGTCGTCGTGTTGTAGACCGTTTGCTCTCTCATCTGCTCGCGTGATTCCATGCTAGACTGAGCCCTTTCGTTGACCAAGGTGGTCTTGTCAACTTCATCTCGCTTCCGGGCAGTGCGCGATTTGGGCCCATACGTATCGAGATGTGCGTAGTACATCCAGAGAATGATGCAGCTGGCGACCGTTGCGACCATGCCAATCCACAAGAACACGGTACTTGCGATGGCTCTATGGTTGTGTCGGTACACCATAGGAGGAATGATATGCTCACGGGCAATCTCCGCTGCGTCTTGGGAGTTGGCAGAGATCCAGGCTTTGCCGGTAGCCACGATCACGGTGAACGCCAGAGCATCGGCAATGGCGCACAGCGTGACGAAGAGGGCGCTGAGTCTCCATGCCCATCGAATGTTCTTGGGCTCGTAGCGCTCGGGGAAGAAGAGATCGAAGAAGAATCCCGCGCCGAAGATGGTCGCGACGACAATGCCGCAGAAGATATTGAACGATGCGATGCCGACGAAGTCGTCGTTGTGGACGCTTGCTGATGAGTGTAGTTTTTGTATTGTCGATTGTTGTTTGACATAATCTTTGTTTGAGAGTCGGTATGGAGGCTCAAAATGACCTCCTGGCTGAGGATGCTTACCTGACAGGGCAGCGGTGCCTATTGATTCCGAAACGACCATGCAGATCATGGCAAGTTGATAGACGACGAACTTCGTCCGTCGGAGGTGGTAGTCTTTGTTCTTCCACATCCACTCGCTGCGAAACATGCTCCATTTCATGTCTCGTAGGTCGAGACCCCATATGACCGGCGCCATGGCAACTGGGTGCCGGAAAGAGACAGATCTTTGTAAAGGCGCGTGCTCCAATGGCAAAGCCCGCGTTCTCTCAATTCAAGCTTCGACGACGCTTCAACAGTTGAAATAAGACGCCAAGCAGATCCTGATTGCAGGTACGAAAGTCAAGAAAGGATAAGAAATATCAAGAGTCCGGAAAACTGATAATAAGAGGCTTGCGAGTGGCGTGGGAGGCCGGATAGGAATCATCAAAAACACGCCTCATTGCATCGGTTTACCAATCCACTTACGAGGTAAGCAACATGTCACCGGGAAGATCGCCCGGACAGAAAAGGTCTTTCATCGTCGGCCCTGCAAGCTCCGTTGGTTCGTGCGCGAGCGGCCGACGAGTCGTATAGTTCTGCCTTGCCTGGTCAGGCAAAGGCTCCAATGAGGCGGCGAGCAGTCTAAGACCGAATTGTGCGAATGGCCACGTCGGGGAAGGATGGCTTTGCTAAATCGCCCATCCCGGGTGGTCCGTTCAACGGTGACAGGATGGCTGTGCATCACTGCTACGAACAGGAGTAAAGCATGGGTTTAGGTCAGCCTGAAGCGTGCCCAAGAGCCTGTCGTATGATGATATGTGGGAGTTTTAGGACTTCCTTGGAAAGGTCAGGACAGAATTGTGCCAAAGCGGGAGATGGACCGCAAATCTCTGCGGCTGAGGCGTTTAATTTAATGGGCGCCAAGGATCGGAATGGCTTTCCGGCGGTTTATGACGCACAAGGCGCATCTGTAGTGCCAGGAGGGCGCCGATGGTTCGGCTTTAAGCACAACTTTTTCTTCGTTAAGGTATGCTTTCCAATTTCTTCCAGGTAGCGAAAACCAGCCATTACGGTGACCGACCTCGTCAACCCCCCAATGCTTCCATATCCGCAGACTCCCTCGCGCGTCATTGGTAGCGACCTCGGCCGCCCAGCCTCGCTCTTCACCCAGTTCGAGATGACCGACACGTTGGGAATGCGTCAGGTTTTGCTCAGAACAAGTTGATGCTTTCGTGCGTCATACTGTGTACTTTGTCCCCTCACATTTAATCATCGCAATTCCACCCTTCTGCGTTAAAATGTGGTAAGCTCATGGCCTGCATCATGCAGAGTGGATGCTCCCGTAGCAAGTCTTTTCCGAACAAAACCCAAGAGCAACTTGTCACCAATGCTTAGATGAGCTTATGCGGATTTATGGCGACGGAGTTTTCACGAATCTAACCCCGTGGTCCCACTATCTTCTCTGCCGTTCAGCTAAACCGAGAGATTTCGCCATGGCCATCATTGATCATGATCTCGGTGCCGGCTTACTCAACCTCACCACCACTTACTCCATACTGCGGTAGGCTTTGGCCGAATCTCTGTCGTGCTAGAGAATGCAGTTTTTCACCCTACAGTCTCGTGTCCTGGGGAGGATCCGTTGGCCTTCGTCTTCTTCCAATACGAGGTACTTTAACGAAACTTACTTTTCCGCACCTTATAGCCTACAACCTACCACAACGTTGCAATGTATCGGAAAACACTCGCGGCATCCAAATAGTGCAGGCTTTCAATTCTGCATCGATGGTTAGCAAGAAGAGTCCAAGAGCTTTGTGAACGTGATAAGGACGATAGCGGAGTGTCTCGACCATAGCCGCAACGGTCCTTAGGCCCAAAGACATCGTTGTGACTTCGTTCGCAGGACATAATAAATCCCGTGTGGGCTAATTGGGGAGACCCATAACTACTGTATATAGTCAGAGAGGGACCTCTGACCTGCTTAACCTCTCGTAATCTCGAGGACCACACACGTGCAGGTGCCTGGTTGTCAGTATTACACCAGCTCGGTGGCAGAGCCGCCGCAACTATTCCTTGGTGACGACGACTCAATGAACCTTTGCCGAATGCTGCAGCTCATTGCAAGGTCTCTTCCACGGTACAGGCAAAGCGACTTCGCCCATCGCCGGGTTGTCATCATGTCGGCTACTATGCAACTGCCACCGCACAGCGGCAGGACTTTTACTCGTTTCACTCGCAAAGACAGTCTGTGTAGGGGGAAAATGCATGTTCTATGTAGATGACCGCGACTCACAAAGATTCCAGGTGTCTCCTCAGCACGCCGCCGGCTAACCTGCCTTGAAACTGGCACCACTCCGCATTTCTCGCAGAATGCTTGGCGATAACAATTGGAGAAATTTTTACTTGGTTCCACCTGCAGTTGAGATCGGTAGACTTCCTGCTGGTATTTTACGGACATTGCAGCGAGCTGTCCACTCAAGCATCGACAATTATAACCCTGTAACAAGTCGCAAGAATGGGCAGCAAGAAACGCAAGGGTATGTGCAACGGGAGGTTTATCCATGAACAGGTGATCTGACGGTGTGCAGAGTCGGTCGGTGCGACAGACGAGACCTCGAAGCCAGGCAAGAAGTCAAAGTCGGCAGACAAGAAGAACGCTACAAAGATACAAGTCGGGGATGACACAGCAGCATTCAACAAACCATCGGATTCTTTGAACGTGCCGTCCGACGCGGGTCCAGAGTCTACCGCAGTAGACAAGTCAACTGTCGTCAAGTCAAAGAAGTCTCGCAAGCGAGCCGCGGACTTCATGGATGGAGATGAAGCTGCGGACTCAGACGGCGGCGTCAAGCTCCCAGAGAACGCACCTGCCCGGATCTCCGACGAACCTGCCAAGAAGAAGGCTAAGAAGAGCAAGAAAACCAAGAAGAGCGAGGATGGAGTACCACTGACAGCTGACGGCGTCAATGGTGTGATTGAGCATGCCGGAGAAGAAGAGCTTGAGACTGCAACCAAGCACAAGCCAATTTCGACTTCAATGCAGGCAGAAGCGGAACGCACCGTTGATCACGAGCTCGAAGATGGTTTCGGTGGCTTCGCAAGCGAAGACGACAAGGACGAAGAACAGGTTGAAGAAGATGACAATGCTGCTGCGTTGCTTACTGGGTTCGACTCGGACACAGAAGACAAGCAAGAAGATGAAGGTCTCGACCTCTCCAAGATCCCAGCGCTGCCCCAATCCAAGAAGCTCCAGAAGAAGCTTGAGAAGGCCAAGGCCAAAGGAGCCGACGAAGGTCCAGGTACCGTGTATGTGGGCCGCATCCCCCACGGCTTCTACGAGAAGGAGATGAGGGCATACTTCTCCCAGTTCGGTGAGATAAGTCGACTACGACTTTCACGAAACAAGAAGACCGGAGCCTCGAAGCACTTTGCATTCATTGAATTCGCCCACGACTCAGTCGCGAAGATAGCTGGCGAAGCTATGGACAACTACCTCATGTTCGGCCATATCCTAAAGTGCAAATACGCCGAGTCTGGCTCTCTGCACCCTGACGTGTGGAAAGGTGCAAACAAGAAGTTCCGCAAGATCCCACACGACAAACTTGAGCGTGAGCGTCTCGCTGCACCAAAGACCGAAGAGCAATGGCAGAAGAAGGTCGACAAGGAACAGCGAAGACGCGACAAGAAGGCTGAAAAGATGAAGGCGATCGGTCTGGAGATGCCACCTTCGACCTTGACCAACCCATCAGCCGCTCTCAAGCAGAGGTTGGCCGACCAAGAAGTGCCAAAGCAGATCGAGGAGGGGAATAATGCTCGCGTCGGCGCCATCGAGCCGCTTGCAGATGTGCCCAAAGACGACGTGGCCATGAAAGAAGGCAAAAAGTCGAAGAAGGAGAAGAAGAGCAAGAAAGAAGCCAAGGACGTTGTTGTGGCTGTTCCCGACTCAAATCCTTCCATGGAAGCCAGTGTGGTGGACACTGAGGCCAAGCAGGAAAAGAAGACCAAGAAAGGAAAGAAGAGCGAACCCGAAGCCGTTCCTGCCGCAAACGCAACTGCTGAATCCACCGAGGTGAACGGCGAGTCCAAGAAAGACAAGAAGAGCCAGAAAGAAAAGAAGGCCGAGGCTGAAGCCGTTCCTGCCGCAGCCTCGGCCCCTGAACCCACTGTGGTGGACGGCGAGTCCAAGAAACAAAAGAAGAGCAAGAAACAAAAGACGGACGAAGTTGAAGCCGTTCCTGCCGTGACTATTGCCACAGAAGCCAGCGTGGCGGATGGCGAGTCCAAGCAAGAAAAGAAGAGCAAGAAAGGAAAAAAGAATGGAGGCGTTGCTGTACCTCAAACCGGGCCTCAACCGCAAGCCATGGAGGTCGACGAACCCATCTCCACAACTGACGCGACGAACACCGATGCAGCGACAGATCCCAACCACACGGGCGTGACCAAGGTCGAGAAAAAGAAGCCGACGAAAGCAGAGAAAAAGGCACTCAATGCCGACAGGAAGGCTTTGCAGGCGGAGAAGAAAGCATTGCACAAGGCGCAGAAGTCAGCCAACAAGCCCACCGATGTCCCCGAACCCGCTGATATTGGTGACGCAGATGACCAGCCAGAAGCTGAAGATGGTACAGCGGCCATGCCAGACACCAACGCAGAGCTCTCCGCCGATTTCATCTCCCTGGGCCAATTCGACGGCAAAGACGACAAAGCCAGTAATAGTGGGAGCAAGCAATTGAAGCCCTGGAAAGTCAAGAAACCCAAGAAGGAGCGCAAGAATCTGGTGAAAGCGAGGGGACCCAAGTCAAACTTGGTCGCCACCAAGCCCAAGCCCGATCCGAACGCCAAGAGCAAGATCCCCGGCTTGCCCGTGATGGGGAAGGGGAAGTACGACAAGGCCACGCGTCAGGCGTACAAGGAGATGAAGAAGAAGATTGTGGCCGAGCGGGCGGCGAGGGGGTTGCCACCGCATCGGGTTCGGGGGGAGTTTTAGGCCTGGGGCTTGCATCCAAAGAAAATAGCGTCTAGCTAGCCATTGGGAAGAAAATGGTTCTGTTTCAGGTTGTGCCACGAATGCACGATGTTCCGTTCCTTTATATAGCAAGCAAGCAATCGAGGTCCTGACCAAAAGCGAGTATCATTGACATTGTAGATGAAGTCGAAGTTGGCTTGTGAACCGAGTGGTCAACGAGCAGTGCCAGGGCGAACAAATTAGAATAAGGAGCTCTTTGCCAGGGGAGCGAACTGGATACGTACAGTAGCTACTCTATGCTGCTCTACCACAGTGAATTTGGCGATATCGTACTTGTACACGACTGAATAATCAATCGCGGTATCTAGTCTGCCATCTCCATCTCCCTCTTCGTCACGTTCCGTCAGCGCCCAAACCCCAATGGCTCATCTTTTCGCTGACCTCGTCCACACCACCCTCGTGGACTCGCAAGCCGCCTCCCTGACATCGGCCCACCCCGTCGAACACCGTGCCCAGCATCTCGTGACATACCCATCGCACCGTCCTCGTGTGTAGACTGCCAGTCTCGGTCTCGGGGCTGGCCTTGGTCTCGACGGTGGTATGGGCATCGGCATCGGCATTGGCATTGGCATTGGCATGCTCGCTGACCCTCCCCCTCGCTGTCGCCGTATCAACGATACTCCTCCCATCCGCCAAGGCCTGAAACACGACGAGTTGGTCTTCCGCGAACTCGTCCACGCAGCGGCCCCTCCCGACTTCTCTCCTGAAGTCGCGCACCGCCGTGTTGACTGCCTCGTCGACGATCCTTCTGCGATCAGTCTCGTCGGTGATCTTCTTCCCGGGGCCGAGGTAGTCTCTTCCCAAAATATACCCGCCCGCCACGTGCGCCGTGAGGAGGATGTACAAGCGGCGTTCGTCGCCCGAGTGCGTCGAGCATGAGGGGTGGGCCGTTATAGGGATCGAGGGGTCCGAGAATCGAGGTATCGACCGCAGGGAGTCGCGGAGAAGGGTATGTAAGAGGGCGTGAGTCTGGGGTGAGCCGCTGAGTGTGGTGATGGAGATGGATCGGATGGTGAAGGGGTCTCGAAGGGTGATGTCGAAGGGAGGGAGACGGAACAAGGGTCGCTCCGAGTCTACTGCGTTTGTTCGGCTGTGTGCCGGTATATTGCTGCCTTTGGGACTCCCGGCGTCCTTTGTTGTGCCGGCTGCCTCACCACGACTTCTGGCCCCGGGTTCAAAGACTGATATCTCGACTTCTCCGATCTCTGGGGCGCCGGTCGTCCATCCCCTCCTTGTGACGTTCACATGCACCTTTGGCAGCCCGATCCGCTCGCACAGCGGCAGGAATACCTGCTGCATGTACTCGCTCGACGGGGACTTGGGGACGTTGGTCCCACCCTTCAGGCGTAGACGGAAGGTTGGCTCTTCGGGCTTTTTGGTGCCGCCGTCCTCACGCAGTACCGCGAAGACGATATAGGGGAAAATGGCCTGCCAGATGAGCCAGATGCTGCCCGGGTTCCTGAGCTCAATGACTTCCGGCTCTCCGTCCACCGGTCCTAGCACTGGCACTGGCACTGGCACTGGCACAGGCAAGGGCACAGGCACTCTTTTTCGAGGGTTTGGTTTAGGGTTGAAGACAACTTCCAGACTGTTCACTTCGGCGCCCTCGACCGCGGCACCACATTCCCGCGCCAGCCACGTCAGCGCGGCGAGGTGACTTTCTTTCAATCCGCCACCAGTAGCAGATTTCTTTGACCTGACGCTCTGGCTGGTGGCATCCCCATGTCTACCACCTCCGCCTCCCCTCTTCCGCGTTTTCTTGTAAAATGAACCCGGCCCACGGCCGGCGCGAATGTTGGTGATGCGCACGGGAATGTCACAGATGGCGGAAATAGAGAGAGCGACTCGGACTAGTTGGCCGCCTCCTTCGAGAGTCGAGCCGTCGAGCGTGATCATCGTGGCTGGCTGATGAGTGATCTTCTGCTCGAGGATAACGTTTCTCCTGTGCCTTGTTGAAAAAGCGCCTGGTGCCTCACGCCTCTGGAGCCCCTCGCCAGTAATTATTCGGGAGCACCAATGCCGCGGTCTTCCAAAGTCTTGTTCTTCATCAATGATTGACTTCAATGAGATAGGACGAAAAGACCGGGCGGGTATTTCACCAGGTTGGAATGTACTGTATGACTGTTTCACCGCGTCCACTGCCTCAGCCCAGCTCCTGCCGGCCCAGTCCCAGCGCAGTGCCGTGCGGCAAGTTCATACTCCAATACACAGCGTTTGGCGCACCATGTTTATTTTTCACCAGTTGCGGTACATGGGACTGTGAGTGTCCATCAGCGGCATATCTAGCTGTCGGGGTCTCAAAAGCAAGTTACTTGTCCCGGAAGTGGACACGGCGGAGTCATCGCTGGGACCACGGACAGGGATCAAGAAGAACATATGTATAGAGTATGACTCGATGCAAAAAGGCATCGGCTAGAATTCTGCTGATTGGCTCATACTCCACAAAAAGGGAATACCTCCGACTCATCATTCCACCGGCGATCGACTCACGGATATCGTATTGCGACCGCAGATGCAGGCACAATAAGAGAAAGAATATTTAGACGTTGCGGCATGGATCGACTATATGTCTTACTTACTCCACGGGCTCCTTGAGTCGCCGCAAATGTAAAAATATACTCTGGAGTTTTGCCCCAATCAGATGTTGCTGGTGTCTGCTAGTCATGCAAAAACCGCAGGAAGCTTCTTTGGGCGATAGAATGTGCAATCAACGAGCCATTTTTCCCAGATGATGGCGGCGCCGGCAGTGGTGATGACCGGAAAACGACCCCTCAACCGATAGTAAACACCTGGCCGGCATCATCGCTGCACGGCGCCTGATCTAGCCTGCCGTCCGCGTTGGCACTAAGACAGACTTGCCCATCGCCGTTTCCTGGCTGAAGGCGTAAGCTCGTCTCTCCTTCTGTGAACGGGAAGAGCTGGCTGTCCGTGACTAGGCCGCCTCCATCGGCCCGTCCACCACAGCTGAACATGATCACAGTGTCCCCGGCTGCCCTTCGAGGGTCGAAGTTAAGGCACCCTTGCGTCAAACTGCTGACAACCAAGGTCGAACCAGGTTCGTTGTTATGCGCGCCCGCGGTCAAGAAGTCCCACTGCTGGTTGGCCGAGCCGTCGCACGGCTGGAGGACGATGGGGATGAGGTTCTCCCGGAAGTCGCCTGCTGTTGGGTCGATGAAAAGGCACTGTCCGGAGGACGATTTGATCGACACGCCGGAGAACGCGCGGGTCGCTGTGTCGTCGCGGGGGTTCGCTTCCGCAGCGTCGGAAGGGTTCAAGACACTGCCGGCGCGGGAGACGGAGATGATTCCAGCAGATGCTGCGGTGGCGGTGGTGGTGGCAGGGGCGGCATCAGGTGCTGGGGTGGTGATTATGGCGGTAGCCAAAGCCGAGGTCGCCGCTTCAACAGGAACTGGGGTTACCGTCACCGTCGCAACACTCGCGGCATCCGCCGTGGTCGCTGAAGGAGCGCTGACTGCAGGAGCACTGTCACCAAAGGTAAACGACTGATTGGGGTCGGCAGAGTCGCAGACGGCGATGTCGATGACGGCTCCATTGACCGTGAAGCAGCTTCCTGGAGCATTCTCCGGTGTAAAGGCCAAAGGTCCGGCACCTCCTGAAACCGGAAAGAGTTGAGAATCTGTCACAAGACCGCCTTCGGTTTGCTCATTAGCCTGGATTACGCGCGGTGCATGGTATGGTATACTGACCGCCGTCAGCACGTCCACCGCACGAAAACAGAAGCACCTGGTTCCCTGCGGCACGACGGGGGTCGAAGTTGAAGCAAGCTTGCGTCTACAATATAGAGGTCAACTCGGTCCACAGGGTCTTGTTCGTGGATCTGTCACGTACCAGTCCACTGACAATCGACGCACTGCCTGCCACGTTGTTGTGTTTTCCCGCGGTAATCACGTCCCATTCCTGAGCTTGACTTCCATCACAGGTGCCAACTTGAATCGGGGTCAAGTTGGCACGGAAATCCCCCGACAAAGGATCGACGAAGAGGCACTGGCCACCCGAAGTCTGGCAAAACAAACATTAGAAGGGCTTAGCTCGTGGCGTGACGTGACATACCTTGATCGGCACCGAGGAAAACGGCCTTGTGGCAGTGTCATCCCGTCGTTGAGCTTCCTCGGTAGCAGCTTGGTCGAGTTGAGTGACGGCGCGGTGTTCGACAACAGGGCGGGCAGCAACAAGGGATGCAGCTCCAAGAAGAAATACAGTGCGAACAAGGGGTATCATGATGATCGTACAATGCAATGCAATTCTATGCGACGATACGCAAACCACTTTTTTGAAAAGAGCGGAGGGATGAATGCACCAGGCAAAAGAATGGAAACCTGATCAACAGGCGTTGCAAGTAAAGAACGATGGAAGGGAATTGGATGCGCGAAAAAAAAACTCGACAATGAAGACTTACAGGACCTTCGCAGAGGCAATGCCATCCATAGCCATCATATATAATAACGTACATGCATGCATGGCCAGCTGAGTACGCAGATCACCACGGTCATCCACGTCGACAGTCCTTCCTCATCTTGATATGCAGAGTGGAAGTTCTTAACGTGGAACACTTGGGCGTTCAGGCGAAACCACGATCTCACCTGAGGCTCCGGAGCTGTGGCCGCAAATGGGAAGGACCGGCGCGACGGCAGCGCTTGCAGGCCTCCAAACACCCGGCCATGTGTTTCGCATCTCGTTTCATCCAAAGTTACCGCGCATGGCAGAGTAACGCTGATCTGGGGTGCATCTCCAGGTCAACGTGGTAATCAGATGGCTGTTTGAAGGCGAGATCGTGAGAAAAGACGAATGATTAGAAGGGAGATGGGATGAGGTTGACCGGTTTGTTCGCACAATATTCCCCGATCGGCAGGCGAGAGGGGCTCCAGTGTTTACTCACTACAGTAGGTACACAAGCGCACGGCACAGCGCTGGCAGTGTGCTTGGACGAGTCAAGCTTGCGCGCGTGAGGATGCCCAGTCGGGACAAATCCAGAACTTCTTCCGGATCGCGACGCAACTCGCGTGTGTCGAGGATTGTGTGCATGGCTTGACTTTATGGCAGTGAGCAGTGCGGCCATTGGACGTGCAGTTCCACGAGCATGGTTGCGCCGGCTTTAATCGGCTCTGGTGCGTAGGTACGGAGTACAGTCCGGGAAGCTTGTGACAAAGACTGCGCTGCTCCTCGCGATCATCTAACCCTGGAGTCGAGAAAAAGGGCCATCAGTGTTCTACATCACCGGTATATAGGGCGTCAAATTCTCGGCCTCGGGTCCGGCTTAAAATATATGGCCATTGTGGCTTCGGACCCTTGGTGCCATGGGACAAAGAGTTCACGTCTGCTGCGCACGGTAAGGGATTGACATCGTATGTGCTGCATACTCATTTGATACCTGTTGTACTTTGTACTCGACTGCTGTGTCTTCTGCCGGCCTGTTCTGTGCTCTGCCGCGTTATGGACTTGTCTTCTTCTCTTGATACCCATCCCCGGCTCCCTCGCGTTCCTTCTCACTTGACACTTCATGCGAGTTGGGGGCGGAGATTCCTCACCGCCCATCGCTACCTTAACGGCGTTGGGCTTCGGGTCCATAGTTCCAGCGGACGTGCTGCCGGAAGGCAGTATTGAAGGGGCACGATGACCAAGTTTCGCGGGGACAATTATGTCTCTCTTTCCCTTCTGTCTCTTCATGGTCTGTCGCGCTGGAAGTCATATCACATTGTGATGTCGTAGGTGAGCATTCGTCAATTCTGTTTACCAGTCTCGATGGCGACTGAATGCGTTCGTCGCCCTCCCCTTCTGCCGTCACGCACGCAGATTCCGGTATCGCTACTCTCGGAATGCACCGCCACTTCGATGCCGGAATGTGGATTGCTGCTTGGCCACACCGGTCCGTTCTGGCTGCTGAGTTTTGTTGATGAAGAGTGGCGTGATCATATCCTGGACTCGTACATATAGTTCAAGGTGCCGCTTCTTTTCAAGCCCATCGCATTTCCGTAGTAGTTGTCTGTGTTTCCCGGGGCGGGCGGTGCCATAGGCTGAGTCGGCCGCTTCGATGCGATTATTTGAGCAGGAAGTGGTGGGGCAGGTCCCGTGGCAACAGCTCCTGGCCCTGTAACTACCTTGGACTCGTACATGTAATTCAATGTGCCGGTCCTCTTCAGCCCCATCCCATTGCCGTAGTAATTGTCCTTGTTCCCGGGCGCTCCCAGTCCCGTCGGCTGAGGTGGAAGCGAGCTTCCTCCCGTCACCAACTGCTTCTTCCTCTTCTCCTCCTCCTGTCGCTTTTTCTCCTCCTCTTCTTCCTTCCTCCGTCGAGCTTCCTCCTCCGCTCTGAAGACAAGTTTCGGCCCACTGATATCGTTGAGCTCGACTCCTGGGATTTTTGACGGGACAACGGCGTTTGTGCCTTGGCTCGGGCCTCCAAAGTCCACACCCGCACCCATCATCCTCACTTGTTGTCGTCGCACCACTTCGGCCCGGACATATTCGCGCCTTGCGCATTCAATCAAGGCTATGGCCAATACAACCATGACCCACTGCAAGAAATCTTTCACCGGCGCCAACGTACCTAACATGCTGGCGAGCCCTGGTTGGCCGGAGTCTCGAAAATTTGATTGTGGGCACCATTTCGGAACGATCCCTTGATTGCCCTGCAGAATTGGAGCCAGCTCACAAGATGTGCAGAGGATTGATTGGCCTAGCCATGCGAGCGTATAAAGAACCGTGACGCCAAGTATGAAGAAAGAGCGCGTGACAGCATAGTCTGCGTCGTAAGGCCGTGCATTCGACTTTGGCAATGAGTATCTGCCGTTCTGAGGGTACGGTGGTGAAGGCAAGCCGTTAAATTGTAAAGCCGCCAAGTGTGCGACAATGTACATCAGTGAGACAAATGGGATGGTGCCGACATAGAAAACTAGCGGTCTGGACAGTTCTTCGTCAGTCTTCATCTCCTTCAAACTGCTTTGAGATCGAGCTATAGGTGGAAGAAAAGTTCACTTGGGTTCACTTACAGCCACGTCCCAGCTGCCGCTGACACCATAGAATGAGACCAGGCCGCATATTTCGACGATGCAATGAGTATAACAAGCGACAGAAGGAGCGAAAATACCAGCAGGATGACCTGTGCCGCTCGAACCTGCATCTTCCGGAATCGCTGCTCCTGGCAGATTGTACGTCGTGGAGGAGTGAGATTTCACTCAAATAACCAGACTCGGTCGTGATTGTATAGCTGATAATAATGTACAAGTTCTTGACTGGCGGGTCAGACCCCTGAACGAAAAACGAAATACAGCGATTCAACGCTCCAAATAAGCCGAGAGAAACGATGGTAAGTGGTAGCGTCCAGCGCTCAGCGCCCGCGCCGTTGAAAGGAACGTTTGTGGATGTCAACAAGAGTAAATAACGAGTGCGGTCAATCCACTTGGATATACTCCGTATGAAGGAACGATCAGGCCATCAGGCGCATGGAGAAAGAATGTCAAGGCCGACCCGCCAAGGCAAGCTGGGGAGAAAAAGGAAGTCAGATTGGCGAAGATCAGCTCCGAAAGTCAGGGCGATTCTCCTTGGAATTAAGATGCGGATGCCCGGGCGACTGGACATCCGTGGTCTTGTCTTGCTGCAGAGCCGCAGGAACCCCATGTCCGGCGCCAGATCAGGTCGATATGGTATCGTCTGAGTCCCGCATGAGGCATGTCCAAGTCCCTATGACGTGATATAGAGGGGCGTTCCAGGTACTCTTGACCATACGATAGCACGACTACCATGGTTAAGGAATGGTTGATCACGGAACCCAAATTCTGTGCCTCTCCTGTCGCACGTCGCAGTCGGCGAAGTGGATGAATTGGGTCTGGCAATGGACTTGACTGGTGCCGGTGGTCAGGACCGAGACCCTTAATGCCGCAGAGACACCGCGAAGCATGCAGCGAACCCCTAAGACACAACCAAAGGTGAGGCGCCGAGCCAGCAACACTGTGAGTCGTGTGGGAGACCTGAGACCGAAGCTGCCGCAGATGCTGTTGGGGAGTATGAAGGAGTTTTGAGATTCGCGTGCCAGATCCGGCGCTCTGACTTGCTGCTGCAGATCCGAGACTTGCACGGGCCACTTCGGCCCCACCTTTGACGAGCAAGATTGGCTAGCGAGTACTCCGTACGCTTCTCAAATTCAGGCTAGGCAGCCACACCAATGAGGGGCTGATTTCAGAGATCTCTCATTCCGATTCCAGGTTCAGTTCAGAACAACTCTCGTCCAATTCAAGCCATCCTGCGGCGCTTCACCATCAGACAGGCCATGCACATATGCCACACCGAGGAGCATATACACAGGCTTATCATCAGTGTCACTGCCGCTGGCTTTCCTAAGGAGAAACGCTAAACAGCCTCCTATTAAGATGACCACATCATCCTGCGTGGTAAGATTCTTGGACCTTACACCATATAGCCAGAGTGAGTCCTGAAGAATTGTCCACCCATTGCACCTTGGTGGAGCGCGCTCTGTAGAGCTCATTATAAGAGGGTAGATCGTTGTCGAAGACCTCCCATGGCCGAGGATATGTGGCTGCGATGGGAAGAGGCTCCTCGTTGAGCGCACCAATGACGGACATGTGGCAAGGGCCGTGCGTGGTGTCAGGTTGCTGCAGCAGCTCCTGACGCTGATGCTCAACTAAAGTCCTCTTAGGACAGATAGATCCCCGCTTCTCATCCTTCAGTTATCAGCACGCTCGCAGACAGACTAATCAATGCAACATGCTCAAAATGCCGACCGAGTCCTTAAGGTGGTGGTAATCATGTTATTGGTGGCTTCTGGAGTTGGGTTGACTGGTAGCTCGTGGTTGACATGATCGTGCTTGATCTTCGTGAACAATCCACAGGCTGCCCATGAACGTTCCGCGTTACCTTTAACCGTCTATCAGCGAGTGTCACGTGTGGGTCACGGCAACTCACAGCTGAAAGCTACCCTTGTCAGGACGACGAAGCATGTAAGATGCCACCCGCGGCATGTGGCCGTGAGAACCTTGGTACATCCGCCGTTGGAGGCGAACAAAGCTTCTCTCTCTGCCGCCAACGGCTCCTCGTATATCGTCGGTCAGAAGTGTGCCTATGGGGTGGACGAATGGCTGTTTTCGGACCTTCGGTAGATGTAATTGAGAGCTAATTTCGAAAGTCTTCATGTCCAGATGATGGACCTGTCATCTACCAGATCGTATACCAAATGGCCTCTGACCGGCTAAGCGCTGACTGCATGCTTGCTGGAGACGAAGCTAGCGGTCAGTTGTGAGAGGAAATTAAGTAATCTATGGGGAGCCGTCCTCCTGCTTGTGCCTGACTTGGGATCTGATCTGAACATCGACTGACACTCAATAACGCAAACGCATCCACGTACACACCGCATCCTACCGCCACCTTCAGTCACTCAATACACGCTCCTGTCGTGGTCCAGTCGCGTCAAGTTCCCTGCTTCAGATATCACATGATGGCACCGTTACCGACGTTGATCTTGTGTCATGGCGCCTGGCATACGCCTGAATACTGGGATCCGGTCAAGGAACTGCTCGAAAGCAAAGGCTATAAGTGCGTTGCACCATTCATTGGCTATAATGGCCGTGCCGGCGAGAAGCCGGTGCAGTCACTGAAGCCCGTCATCGATGCTCTGCAGGAGGTCATTGCCGAGGAGACAAACATGGGCAATGATGTCGTTATGGTCAACCATTCAATGGGGGGCATGGCGGGCACAAGCGCCATCAAAGGCTTCACGAAGCAAAACTCATCGGAACTGGGAAGCGGGAACTCCGGCCACGTGCTTGGGTTGGTCCAGCTCACAGCCTGGGTACCCGTTGCAAAGGAAGTCTCCCTGGCCGATATGGCGCAGGACTTTGCACGCAGACACCCAGGGCCGAAGGACGTCCAGCTTGTTACTGAGGACCCGGGTTCAGGTTGGTCGGAGCTGAAGGGCGACCCTGCGAAGGCTTTCTACAACGACATGTCCCGGGAGGAGGGAGAGAAATGGGTTTCTAAGCTTATCAACTACTCAAGTGCAACACGTTCGGCTCGTGATTCGGTCTATGCCGGGTGGAAAGACGTGCCGATGTGGTACCTAGTGTGCACCAACGACAAGGCAATCGTACCACAGCTGCAACACGACCTTGTCAAGAGATGTCGCGCAGCTGGCGCAGATGTCACCACGCGGGAATGCGAGTCCGGTCACTCGCCAATGCTGAGCAAACCAGAGGAAACTGTAGCGTTTGTGGAGGATGCTGTTAAGGCCTTTGCAACGCAAGAGATAGTGTAGCTTCCATCTGAAGGACAGGGTGCTTGGTCGCATTGGTGCCTGGTATAGAGCTTGTGCAGCTGGTTGAGGCAATTCTGTCTGTAAGACCTTCGGCAATCAAGGGTACAACCGAACTTGCTGTCCGTCAGATCACCAGGCAACCTAGAGCCGCTGCCAACGTCAACTAGAACTGGGTGGCACCATCGAATGGCTACGTTCTCTAGACATGCAACGGTTCAACTGCGGACACGCAAGGAACGGAGTACGTCTTGCAGACGCGATTGTTCGTGAGCTCATAAACAGGGGCACAGTGTAATACACACGCAGTCCTCCAGAGGGCGGGTCACCATCCCAAAGGATGTCCGGCCTTGGCTGCATGGTAACTTCCGAGAGGTCAACCGGATCAGGTGATCCCAGTTCAGCTGAAGCCGGGTGCCCAGCAAATGCTTGTTCGTCTCGGAGGGATTGAACAAAAGTTCAGTCGGCTGGGCGCTGCGTCAGATAAACTCACCACCCAGTCACTCGTGCCCAGGTTCTGCAAGTGACGACCTACACAGTCATCCTATTGTCTCGATTGTGGGTTAGGGTATAATTCCGAGAACCAGAATAGTATGTCATTGTTCCCCAGAGATTAGCATGGCCGCCATCGTCCTCAGATCATAAAGTGCTCATAATAGAGAGTCATATTTCTTTCGACTCACTGAGCGATAAGCTTTCCTGTGAACGGTTCCATGACACGAAGCGGCTCACTCGAGTTCGTGACCACCCGAGGACTGATAAAGGAAGACCACAGCTCTCGGGCATTAGACACGGCAATAGACTGTAAAACGCCGGCAGAATGTCAAGCCTCGGGCGCTGGTGCAAACGCAACAGGCAGAATAGTGTAATCGGAGAGAAGAGGGAAATGGGCGAGATGCAGCGGTGCTGGAGATGGTTATCTTGTGTGTGCCTCTTGACCGCCTGACCCTGCAGGGGTGAGGTCAAGATCCAAACAGTGGTGAGCTGGCTAACCCACTCAGCTGTGGCGCGGATCGTGCGAATGCGTGGGGGAGACGGTGTAGTTGGGCTGGGATTGCGATACGAGTACTCCGTACACGTGGGAGGCAGGTTGGGGTTCTTTTTCAAGTGAGGATGATGAGGGCGCAGAACGAGATGCATTTCAACGACTGACCGCGGTGGCACTGCAACAATAATTGCAGTCCACGCTGAAAAGTGAACATGTGGGCGACATGCATTGGGTGTTCGGATTAGGATCAAGGCAGGCGCCGGAGGAAGAGGGTCTTGGAGGGTCTCTACAGGTTCCAGGCGTGCTTCAGCCTGCGCCCGTTGCTGAGCAGCCTCCTTTAGCCTCGCGTGTTGCCCTCTCTTTCGCTGGCTTTGTTGCCCTCCATAATTCCGGGGGTTGCACTGTCTTATGCGCGCCTCGCAGTAGCCTTGAGAGCCTGTGGAAATCGTTTGATGGTCACCACTTGTGCACTCCCCTGTAGTCTTTCATACTTTGATCTAGCAGGATCATAACTCGACTTCTTCTTGGGACCGCAACAAGATCTTTCTTCATCATTGACATCACTACTATCCGCCCCGTTCACAAGCACAACGTCCCTGACCCTTTCAGCCCTTTGGACAGGATAGAGGCGAGGACAAGCCTAATCCTTCTGTGGCAGAGTACCGTGCAGCGCCTGGAGACCCGCGCCAGTGTCTTAGCCACATCCACACTAAACTCAAGGTGCTTCCCTGACAATCATCTCTCAACCTCTTTCTTCAACGTCCATCTGTCCTACACTCCCTCCCCTCATCTTCGCGCGACGATAACCTAACCATCATCGATACACAGCTCGCTGGAACCCCAGCACATCCTTGAACCAATCCTTCCGCTTCGATTCCATCCCTTATCTGACAGGTCCGGCAGCCGTCATGGCTGAAATCCGTCGCAAGCTTGTCATTGTCGGTGACGGTGCCTGCGGTAAGACTTGCTTGTTGATGTGAGTATCAGCCCCAGCAAACTCGTCCATCCTCATCTATTGCTGACATTTCTCGCCTATAGCGTCTTCTCCAAAGGCACATTCCCCGAGGTGCGCAGTCCCCAATCCTCCCGTCGGCCTTATACAACAAGCCTGACGCAAACCATCCCTACCGAGACACACAGTAGACAGAGCTGGCACAATACAGATGAGACTGACAATAATACGACAGGTCTATGTCCCCACGGTCTTCGAGAACTACGTCGCCGATGTTGAAGTCGATGGGAAACACGTCGAACTAGCCCTATGGGATACGGCAGGCCAGGAAGATTACGATCGTCTTCGACCTCTGTCGTACCCAGATTCTCACGTCATCCTTATCTGCTTCGCTATCGACTCGCCCGATTCACTCGACAACGTTCAGGAGAAGGTATAAAATACTGGTAGCCCACCTTCGCCGCGAAGGAGCTGACAAACGCATCAATAGTGGATTTCTGAGGTCCTTCATTTCTGTCAAGGTCTTCCTATCATCCTTGTCGGCTGCAAATGCGATCTACGACACGATCCTAAGACTATCGAAGAGCTGGCAAAGACGTCGCAAAAGCCAGTCACCCCCGAGCAGGTTCGTTTCCATGTCCCACTCTGGCCCATGGCGATTTAGACATTGGACTCATGACTATTGCTACAGGGCGAGGAAGTTCGCAAGAAGATCGGTGCCTACAAATACCTCGAATGTTCCGCCAAGACCAACCAGGGTGTCCGCGAAGTTTTTGAGTCTGCCACCCGCGCTGCCCTCCTGACTCGCAAGAGTGGAAAGAGCAAGAAATGCTTGATCTTGTAGACTCAAGCGAGAGTCTTCCTTGTCGCGCACGTACGATGCACTTGTGTCCCCAACTTTATACCAGGATATCATCCAACGGGATTTCGAGAAGCCGAGTCAAATCAAGAACCGCAATTTTTGCTTGTTCCTGCTTCACAATGGGTCGGTTTGGCAACGTGAGGGTGCTGGTCTTCCACCACTGATACACTAGTTTGGTTCCTGTCGAGCAAAGGGTGGAGGGGCTGGTGGTTGAGACAATACAAATGATTCCACAGATGTAGGGATCGCCGAGTTCGGTACTATCAGCATGAACGGGCGTTTTACCTGGTACAGTCGAGTCATGTTGAGTCATCACCGAAATAGGAAATCCATACATGGCGTTGATGTTGTCAAATTCTGGGTTTGGGCATTCCTATTCCATCCCCTCGAATGCCTTACCAAGTTGTACTGGAGTGTTTCAAAGCAAAGTAGTGCAGAGGACGTGCAAATCTAATGTGGCTCGCTAGCATTTTACCATATTCCAGAAGCTGTTGCCTTCGGGTTTCTCAAAAAGACGCCATCATGTGTCTGCCTACGAGTCTACGTGTCTGGACGGCAACATGCTGGAGACTTGGCTTTCATAATCTCAAGCTGTACTGTCAACCTCAACGGACTCCACCCTTCCCTCACAGCACGACTCTGGCACTGTTAGAGCGATCCAACCAGGCTTAGAAGTCGGTAGTAGCACAATGCCAATCTCAGTGGATCAGTAACACAATATGCATGAAGAGTCCCGACACCAAAATGTACCATGGACGGAGCACGTGCCCACTGACGCAAGGCTATATGATTCAGCCTCGTCATCCACCAATTCCCTGTATGACGTAGATTGTTGATGGTTAATGGGTTAGACTTTCACTGCGAGTCTCTTTTTCTTCGGGAGGATTCAGTGCAGGCTCTCAGAATGCTTTTTGTCGCTGTCTTGAAAGGCTCAGAGTCATTCTCTGAACGAGCTTCGACATGTTAACTTCCTCATCTGCGACCTCGAAACATCGCTTACGAGCGTGATGTCCGCTCCCATCGTGACCCCAGCTCACCTTTCTTATCTTGCCATATACAACCCTTCTCTCGGCTCAAGCGATGAGGCACTGCGCGATCAGATTGTGTTTTACTACTCGCACAAGCTCGAAGCAGAGATTGAGCACCATACGAGGGAAAAAGATGCCACAAAAAGGGAGGATGTGTCAAGCCCTGAGCGGGACGCAGCTGAAAAGAAGGAAGCCATAGAGAATGAGAGACTACGGCAGGTTGGCCTAGCACAGGGAATGGTCAATTTTGCAAAGTAGGTAGGCAGCAAATATGTGTCTCGTCCTTGACGTCTTCCGTCAGTCACCACAAGTCGTGGTCTCTTCATCACATGCCCGCATTCTGACTGCACCTCCTACTGTAGGAACTTTTCGAATAGCGGATCGCTCGAGTCTGTAGACACAGAGAAGTCGCGGGTCGTCCTGAAGGAAGTCGAACCGGGATGGTGGATTCTCGCCGCCATTGACCTCACACAATTACCTGCGGCGAACAGGGTATCCGCGGCTGCGTCAAGCAGTGCGAAGTCCGGCAGAAACACGCCAGCGAGCGAGGCTTCATCTTCACGAAATATCGAATACTCCTCGAGGGAGGTTGCGCCAGCGCCACTGCTGCTTGCGCAGCTCCTCCAAGCACACCGGATATTCCTGCTTCATCATGCGTCATCCTTGTCTGAGCTATGGAAGAAGCACGGAGTCAAAAGAGAAGTGTTTTGCAGTCTTCTACATCGATACTGGACAAGGTTCATCTGGAACTGGGACATTCTTCTACATGGCAACCCTGCAGTCGACCTCTACGATTCTATCAAGCTCGCTAGTGGTGGAGAGCTTGGTGTCGGGGTTGGCGAAGAAGAATGGGGAAGTGGTGAGCGAGAAGTGCTGGAAGGTTTTGCTGCACGGAACGAAGGTCTAGTTGATCTTGTTGTTGGAAGATATGGGGATGTCTCGTCCTCAGCCGGGCACCAGCCTACGAATGCATCACATACAGGGAAGGACTCATCACTCTGGTTGGGCAACGGAGACAATTCCAGAGCTGAAGACGGGATCATCTTTTCTGGCATCGGCGGCATCTCAAGGCGTTGCCTGACCACAGTATCGCAGTGGATGGAGTCTGTCTATATGTGTGGCGATGCTGCCTACGGAATTGGCGAGAATCCTTCTTCCCGCCCTAGAAATCGGCGGAGAAGAAGGGAAATTGGTGAAGAAGGTGCTCAAAAGCTAACCTCGCGGCGAGCTGAGACACTCCACGCAGCAAGCAAATCTCCGGCACTGAAGGTGACGGACCTTCGACGGAAAGTGATTGAGAAAAGTGCCACACCACCGGGCATTCCCCCACCGCTTGTAAGCGCTGTGGAGGCATCACTGGACAATGCCATAGCCAAAGCAGATGCCAATGCGTCCTCATGGGAAGATCGAGACCGTGGGCAATCAACCACTGGACCAAGTCCGCAAACCACAGAGCAGGCCTCTATGTTCAATCCAGAGAAAATGATGAGATATCTCAGCCTTGGCTACGGGTCGAGCTGGACTCTGAATCCAAAAGGCTTCAATGCTGACGGCCCATCAGCAACGTTAGGTGATAAAAATTCCAAGTCTAGCAAAGGAGGGATTGAGAATCGGGAAGCGCCTATAGAAGCTCAGCTACGAGAGCTCGATCCCACACCCGAAGTCAGCGATGATGAAGGAACCCCGTTCGTGCAGCGTCTGGAGGAGTCTATCGGCAAGTTCTTGGTTGGATTATCTGGCGACCTTGAGAATACAGAATTCGAGGACGAATCAAATGATGAGGGAACCACTGACGCCACTCCAGAAATTCCAGCGCAGCGAGCAGAAGCACCGAGGCGTGTTGTGCTTCGCACCCTGACGGTGGAGATGTCTACTGCTAGATTTTCTCGGCGTGTTGGTGCAGAGCAGCAGTCATCACAGCCCGGCAGAGGCATCCCCGAGAGTGATTCGTCCAAAGGCAAGACAAGTGCTGCAGCATCCGCGGACGGTGCTCAACCGGTCGTCACACATGAAAAGCTTCAAGTCGTGGTCTACGTCCACCAGCCATTCATCTTCGTGTTTCTATTCCAGTTACACACGTCCAATCTCACCATCCCAGCCTTCTACCGTGGTATCCACCATACACTAGGCCCTCTGCAAAAGAGCCTTTTGAGAAGCACGGACCCGGAGCGCTGGAGGCAGCGTATGAGAGAAGGCCTTGGGATCGACTCAGGCTCTCTGGCTCAGGACAGCAGTAGCGCGCCGCCCCTACCCGACCTCAAAGACGTCAACGAAATGTTTGACCTCCTCTATGACCCGGCAAAGTCTACAATTCGGACTTCTATACCAAATATACCGTTGCCAGGAAGCCTTGCAGCTGAGGGGTTGCATCGAAGCCCACAGAACGCTCGTCCAATCACTGTCTCAGGCTCATGGTATACTCTTGGAATACCCATAGGCTCGTCCTCTGCGGCAAACGGCGCAAACTCTCCTGGTGCAGCCGCATTAGTTAAGAGCCATTGGACTCGTATCGAGGCACTGAACGTCTACACTCAGATTCTGAGTACTTGGGCTGCAAGTCGCGACAAGCAAGTTGGTCTAAAGGATGCTCGACCACACAGCGAGGAACTGGAGAGAACAATCAAGACGAGCAGAAGCTGGTGGATCGTGTGGACGAAGATATCGACTTCGGACGAGATGAGTTGCCCAACCAGCAAAAACTGTGCCAAAGAGGCGATTCTTGTCAGGAGGGCTCCCCAGGATGGTCCAGCTTCATCCAGGGAGCCCTCTCGATCGCGATCAGAGGCCAGGATGGTCAGCTCGGCCGGCAGATGGCTCCTTCGTGAGCAACCTCGAAGTCGGGAAGTCAGTGGAGTCAGTGGCGGCAGTGCAATGTCTAGCCCCGGAGCAGCCAATGCAAAAGGGGTCACTGAAGGCGTAGGAGTCGACGCTAAGAGATGGGTAGAAGCCCTGGTCCGGTTGAGTACATGAAATGTCAAACATGTTGGTGCAGACTTCTAAGCGACCTGCAACAAAGCGTGGAATACGTATGCCGGTGGCCTGGCTGTCAGCAGGGACAATGCTGTTGCGACGCTACTATCAAATACCAGGCTAGTGTGATCGCGTCCAGACTGCTCATGCTTATAATCCACCTCTTGAACTCCTGCCGGCTCTGCAGGGGACCACATCGCCATGAGGGTATGGCGGAGCGGGATGCATGGCCCGCGAATGGCAGTGCGACATTCACCGAATGAAGAAATGGAAGGGGTTCCCGGGAGCTCTTTCGGTAGGCTACTTCTGCAGCCACAGTGCGAGCGGTGCGGTTCACGCATGCAACAAGCTCTTTGTGGCGACGGGCGGGCGGGCTGGCATGTGGGCATGCCCTGCATGACGGAAAAATATGTCCGCCCAGAGCACAAATGAGAATTTGCCCACAGAGGAGGTCTGAGGGGCAGCCCCATTGTCCCTTTGGAATCACAATTCCTACTATATCAAGGCGAGGATCACCCAATACTTCCAAGTGCTGATTACCGCTTATGGCCAGAGGCTTCACAGGGTTCGCCCTGAATGCTCAGCAACTTCCATTATCTACCTGACTTCCTCCTGTGCGAATTTCATGATCCCTTGTCTCAGTCCGAAGGACCTTCTCAACCTCTGGCTCGGCCTCGCCCACTGGCACCTGCCGAAATATGCCTGCAGCGGCGCCTGATGCCGTCCCCACTCCAGACGAGAATGGGAGTACTTCTAAGGCCTTTACCACAAATTCAGGACGCGACAGCAAGAAAAATGCGTCCATGGCCTGTCAGGGCTGCAAAATCTCGAAAAGAAAGGTAGGCTATTCTCCGGCAATGAGTTGTCAAACGAACGTCCTGCAAGATACATCCGGCTTGTAGCTCGTGAGGCGCTCAATGACAAGCCTATCTTCGGTTGTTGGCTGGTGGCTGGCCTCAAAGGCTGACTCTCTGTTCAGTGCAATGGCGACTTGCCATGTTCGAATTGCCTAGCAACCTACAAGACATGCACCTACGACCCGTCACAGGATGGGCGAAGAAGACAAAGTCGCAAACGGAGATTAGATGAACTGGAGCTGCGCAGTCAGGCTCTCGACAAGCTATTGGCCAGCCTGAAGAGCTCTTCAAGCTCCGAGGCAGCACAATTGCTCGAGCTGATCAGAAGCGAGGCTTCTGTGGAAGAGATCATTCGGTTCCTCGACAGTCACCCAGGCAAACTTGCGGACGAGGCTCGAGCAACACTTTCTCCAAGCCCACCTCTAAACAACCAACAACGCCGCATGTTGACTTTGACCGAGCTCAACGATAACCCAACGTATAAAGTTACAGCAGCCCCATGGACCACTGTTACCGATGATGACTTCTTCGTCTCCCATCTTCTGTCTGCGTACCTGTCTTGGTATCATTGGTACTACCACAACTTTGACGAGCAGCTATTCCTTGATGCGATGGCGGCTGGCGATCTCGGCTCGATTTACTGCTCCCCTTTTCTGGTCAATGCGGTTCTAGGAATGGGTTGCGTGAGTCCTCGCCACGCTCGAGGGCCCCATGATGAGGTGCTAAGCAGTTCCTAGATGTTTTCGGATCATCCATCTGTCTTTGCCACCCCTGGCGACCTGAGTTCCCGAGGCCTCCAGTTCTACAACGAAGCTCACCGGCTTTGGATGCTGGAGGAGGGAAAACCGTCACTGACGAATATCCAGGGCTTCACCCTCATGACTATGATGTAAGTCGTTGGCCGACCATGGATGTATCGACGCTGAAAAGGCCTGGGAGCAGAGCGGCGTTCAGCGGAAAAGACAGGGTGAGTTCGATGTCGCTGAAACAGCTCGAGGTCATGATTCCGCAGCTCCTTCGTCGGCATCAAAAGTCGATGCAGGATCAGACAATATCAGAGGACTTGCGCAGATCCCTGGTTATTGTGCAATGGGCAGCGCACATATATTGGACGTGAGTGTCATATCGGTAGCCGCTGGCGCGACCACGTCCGCTGACCATGGCAGGTCGTTTGGGACCGGATTTCTCATACCGCCTTCGAACCCTAAACCTTCCGTCGAGGCTCCATATGCAGTTCAAAGCTGGCAGGACCGCCTCACTGACTGGACACCATATCCCTTGCAGCGAGAGACAATCCAGTTGCCGCTTCATCATCTTTACCATCACATATGTGAGCTGTACCTCATAGTGCCGGACGCTCAAGCCCTAGCTTTCGCGGGTTACGCTAGCATGACTGCCACCGAAAAGTTGGATGCTGCTCGCAAGATCGATGCCCGCTTCATGGAGTGGTACGGGGCCCTAGTTCCTCGCTTCCAGTTTGAACAACCAGGATTCCTTGTTGTTCCGACGACCATTGATCTGGCGTACTGCCCCTTTTCCGTAATATCATGCCAGCATCGAATGACTTACATATGAACAGGTTGAGCCTATATCATTTCCGCCTGATGATGTGGAACTGGATGATCCCATCAGTAAAAGCAGCCCCCGAGGGAAACGACGATACAAATGACAGGACTGGCACTCCGGAACCCAATGAAACCGACGAGATAATCCACGAAGCCAAGGATATGTGTCTTGAAATCGTGTCCATCACGGCCCGGATCCTTGAGACCGCAGCCGCAGCCTTTGGCCCTATCTTCAATACCCTCCTGACCGCACAGACAACCATCCTGGCGGCTAGTTTCCTCTTGTCCGGCAATCTCACCACGGCCACCGAGGAGGATATGCTGCTACAAATCATGCATACCCTTGTGAGGTGCTCGAGGCAGCGGAATCTGGTCAAAGGCGTCACCCATATGTTATTGAAGACCGCCGAAGACCAACTTGCTGCTAACAAGGACAGGGAAGTGCCTCCGGGCGGTGTCAGCAAAGCAGTGGTCGAACAGCTAGCTATAATAGTCAAAGATCTTGCTTGGGAAGAACGAGACCATCTTTCTTTCAGCTCGCAATATCCGAATCACATCGTTGTGAAGGAAAATCCGGAATCTCAGCTCAGTCAGCTGCTCGATAGTTGGGCCAACTTGGCTCTGAACGAAGGAGACCAGGGTGTTCAATCAAATGGTGGTCGCGGCCAGGAGGAAGGGGAAGGGGACAAGGCTTGACACGCGAGAACCAGCATAGCAAGCAGCCAGCAGGTAGAACCGAATATGTAGAGGTACAAATACCCGCTTCCGGTGGTGCAATGGAAGCGTCCCTGCACTCTTTAAAACTGGTTGCCACAGCCTCTGACGCCGCTGTCCTCCCTTCCGTGGAAGGAACAAGCTGCTGCCATCGGTTCGTGCGTCACTCTGCCGGCTTGACCTATTTGAGGCTCATGCCGACTTCGATCGTGCTTGCGAAAATGTGCCGCCCCGAACATGGTCAACCGAGTCGGAATCCGATGGCGTCATACGCTCACTCATTCCAGGCCTTCGCTTAAGAGACGTACATTGAGCCTGGCTTCCATCTATCATCCACACCCACGTGCGGATCGAGTAAATATCTCTCGGCCTGCACTATGAATCTCGACTCCGATCACACGATGGTTGGGTGGAAGCAGTACGACATTCGGTCAGCAGCGGGCCGGTGTTACAGCAACCGCAGTCTCGGATCACGACGTCATGATGTTGGCTGGCGAAAGGGAATTTCCACGGCCAAGCGGCTTTGATAGGCCTTCAGCGAGGTTAAAGCAAAATCTAGCACGTCAACCACTGTATATGTGCTTGTCCTAGAACCCTAAATCGTGGTGCATTGCAACTTTTGGGCTGTGGATTGGTGACTACCTCATTCTGCACGTCTTCGATCCTCAGCCCAGATTGGCGAGGATGTCGCGACAGGACTCGACCTTGGCGGACAACCGTTCGAAGATGAAGGAGTTTATCGCTGTATGTACCTCGTACTTGTTCTTTGCCCAGAACTTGGCTGTGTCAAAACGCTCAGTCCGTCTGCGCTCCAGTCCAGACCTTCTCGCCCTACAGCCCACGTGTAGCTAGGTATCCACTGATGTTTTCACAGTCCATTTCGACCATTCGTGGAGACCTCTCCAACATAACGGCCCCACCGTTTGTTCTGGACACCAAGTCGGCTGTTGAATTACCTGCATTTTGGGCTGAAAGACCGTCCGTCTTCGTCGCGCCAGCCTCGGCCGAGGACCCTGCAAAGCGGGCACTGCTGGTATTGAAGTGGTTTCTTTCTAGCCTCAGAAACCAGCAGTACGTGGGCAGATCCGAGGCCGAAGGTATCAAGAAACCGATCAACGCTTTCCTCGGAGAGCTCTTCTTGGCAAGCTGGGAGGACGATGCAGGGCTGACCAGGCTGGTCAGCGAGCAAGTCAGGTAAATATCCAGCCTGACTCTCCCAAGAGGTCGTGGATCTCTGACGCACACGCACACTTCCAGCCATCATCCTCCCGTCACTGCATGCCGTGTCTGGAATGAGGAGCATGGTGTCGCGGTAAGCCGGTTCTTTCACCCCTCCGCCAGACCACTTACCGGAGACAGGCAGAAGGATATACCCGGCAAGAGATCACATTCAGCGGCAGCATCAACATACAACAAATCGGGCATGCCACGCTCCATCTGGCCCAGCAAGACGAAACGTACCTCATCCCACTGCCCAACATCAAGATCAAAGGCGTCCTGACAGGATCTCCGTACCCTGAGCTGCAGGGTACGCACTACATACCCAGTACGAATGGCTACACCTCAGTGATCGACTTCAGCGGCAAGGGCCTGTTCTCCAGCTCAGACAAGAAACACAGCTTCCAAGCCAAAGTGTATCGGCATGGCGAGGAGGACCACCCCTTATACACAGTCTCAGGCCATTGGGACGGCCAATTCAAGATCCACGACTGCAAAAACGGCGTCGACTTGGAGACGTTCAACGTCGTGGCCGCGAAAACCACACCACCCAAGACCGAACCCCTTGCTGCACAGGATCCATGGGAGTCCCGTCGCGCGTGGCAAGGCGTCCGGGAAGCCCTCGAGCGCGGCGATATGCAGGGTGCCGCGGACGCGAAAGCCAAGATCGAGGACGGGCAGCGTGAAATGCGAAAGACTGATGCCGATGGTACAGAATGGAAGCAGCTGTTCTACGAGAGTGAATCCAAACCCGATGACGTTGCAGCAATGCTGGCGACGAAAGTTGGAGTTTCCTTTGACCCTGAAGGTACCCTTGGGGCCTGGAGGTTCCGCCACAGAGAGTGGGAGCAAGGTCTGTTCAAGAAACCTTATCATGGAGATCTCTTGCCGGACAATTCGCGTGTCGACAACGGAGCGGATCGAGATGCGATAGTCAACGGCACCGCAAGGAACGGAGTGGCTCGAGACCCGAGGGCCAACGACGTGACTCCTGTGGTGTCCAGGGGCGCAGCCCAAAGCCAAGAGCAGCGTCAGGCCTAGACTCAGCCTCAGCATGACCTTTCTCAAGTCTATTCATTCCACCGCCAAATCACGGTCGTCGATCCTGAACAAGGGCAGCAGCAGTCCAAATCTCTACCCGTAACGAACTCCCAGCAGCCTCAGGTGGAGACGCAAGTGGTGCAGCCCCAGCCCGAGTCGAAACCACCACACGTAACGAGCTCATCGCAGCCTCAAGTGCAAACACAGGTCGATCAGGAGGCAAATCCTCCCTCAGCAAAAACGCGAGCCACGACGTCCCTAGTAGCCGACAGGACTCGGCATGAGAGTCCTGTTGTGCTGGCGCAACCGGAGAGGAAAGCTTCGACGAACGGGAATACCATTAGCGAGCAGGATGGAGGCGTCGTACAAGGCGGCGGCGACAGTAGCAGCATCCCGCAAGACATGTCGCCGAAGGACAAGGCGCAGGTCGAAGACTTCTTGCGGGATCGGTATTCGAGCCGAGGGAGCAGATAGCGAGTACAAGTAACACCCGAGGGGCTTTCATATACAGATATTGCATGTTAAGTTGCATATGGAGCACACAGTGTCGTGTCGGGGTTTGTGTCTGTGTCGACGCGGTGCACCAGGTGTGTATATACAGTACCGTGTAAGTACAACACTGCGTTTGTACCCTCACAGGTGGAGTCGTCCTCAGCGCTCTGGACTCTAAAGTGCGGCTCCGCCTTTTCTGCCCTTCTCGTAGCCTTCGGGAACTTACAATTGTCACGAAAAGCGATTCCTTCCTACCGGAACTCAGTAAGCATGCAGTGCAGCTCCATGTCCCTACTATACTATCTATACTCTACAGTACTGGGTTATATACCTAGGGACCTTATCAGACATCTCAGACATGCCGACAATGGTACAGTATACCCTGGACGCACCACCAAAACCGGCCGCTTTATCCCTTGGCCCCTCTCCGCCTCTCGCCCGCCGACAAACGTGAACTCAAGCAAGGTCATGTCAATCGAGTAATTAACGGTTTTCGCAAACAAAAAAAAAGGCAAAAACAATCAACAGCCAGGATTCCCAAGTGGTCACCCACCTTAGTACTAACTGACCGGCACGTGGCTTAAGTACGGCTGAGCGAACGGGAAGCCCTGTTTTCCACATCCTATGGTCGATTGCGGCGGTAATTATGCTGATTTGGTATATATAACACAAAACAGAGTGGGTAGGGATGTAGGCACGTTACTCTCTCTCTCTCTCTCTCTTCACACCACTGTAGCTATGTAGGCAGTCTCTCGTGCATCCATGTCGATGTCGATCCTACATATACGGACCGAGCGGGCTGACTGAGCGCCATTAGGCCAGAGAACCTCTGTTATATCGATCGTGTTATGACGTTCGGATCTCCCACGTCCGGCCTTCGAGGAGTAGTTGAGATGATGTCCAAAGCCTTGAGCTCCCGTGCAAAGTTCCGAGTCGCGAGTCCTGCCTCGCGACTCGCGACTCGCAACTCGCTGTGGCTACGTCCCGAAGAGTCGAATGGCTTTGCAGCGAAGCCTCGGTTGCGTTGCCTATGTACCTACCTATTGCTAGAAGTCATAACTCTCTAGCGCCTTGCTTGTTCACTCGCTCGTTGCTTGAAACTCATAACCCATGGCGCCTCGCTTGTTCGCCCGCCCGCTCGCTCGTTTAGAAACCGTGACCCTTGGCGCCTGGCGCAGTTGCTCGCCGTGTTGCTGGTTCCGCTTGAAAATATGCCAAACAACTGAAATCAACTAACTAGCTACGCCATCCATCCCTGATCCGCGATTGTCACTCCTCAACCTTGACAATCTCCCTGCACATGTCCAGGAAACGGCTCCGATACTCGGGCGCCGTCGTCGTGATACTCATGGGCCCCTTGTCGTCAAACATCCTCCACGCGTTGACCAGCATGGTCATGGTTTTTGCCTGAGTTTTATGCTTGGCCCAGAAAAAGTCGAGAATGACGGCCCGGTAGAGCCACTTGTCGTCTTGGCTGGGCACGCCTGCCCTCCAATTCGGAGGGTCTTTAAACGGATTCTGGCTCTCATCAGGTGGGGTCGACGACTTCGGTATCCGCACCAGCATCAGGCTGTAGTCGACGGCATTGTGCCGCGCGAGGAGCTCCGTGTCCTGTTCGAGCGTCTTGAGGAACTCGTCGGCGTCAGCGCGGCTGAGGAGTAATTTTTCGTGGAACTTGTCTGCAAGCTTGGACTTTGTCGCCTCGGACGCGAGCTTGCCGCCGGCAATGTCGCGCTCGGGGAAGAAGTACGACATGGGCTTCAGGTCGAATGTCTGCCAGTCGGAATCCTCCTCCTGGCCGTGCAGGAGATTCTCCATCACAAGATGGTAGGTCGGCGAAAGACCAAAGAGCCCGCCCAGGCTGGGGTACCGCCAGCCAAGGAAGTCGGTGATACGGACGAGGAGAGATTTGGGTTGCGACTCCATGTGCGAGACGTACGGTTGCAGCAAGTCGTCGCGAAAGAAGGAGTGCTCGAAGCGCCGAGGGACAGACTTGATGAGATATCTGTTGTCCTTTGTGGTGTAGAATGTCTGGTGTTCGCGTGAGCGCAGGGGCCTGGTTAGGAGACACCTGTAATTGTACGTACCGAGCCTGAATATCCCATGTCGCCCTTCGATACCAACGACTTGTTGTCCTGGAAACTAGCCTTGTACTCTTTATCGGACAAGTTCCAAGTCTTCTCCCGTAGGTTCTTGAAGAGCTCGGGCCGTATCTTTATCAGGAACAGGCCATAAAGCGCGAAGAATGTTCTGATTGGCTTCCAGAACCGGAGCCGGTTGTCCTGTGCCTGGTCATCCCGTCGGATAGCATACACTATCGAGCGCGAGATCTGATCATCGCGACGGCCCATGATTCATCGGCCAGCGCCGCTGGTAGGAGCGATACAGGGAGCCGTGCGAGGTCTTGACGGATGCTGGATGTTTAAAAGGTGGGAGAGGCTCGAGAGGTCATAACACGACGACGAGGCCGGCCAGAAAACACGCGACGGATTCTGACGTCAGATGGTGCCACTGCTCAATTTAGACAGCAACAAGGCTGAACTAAGCCGCATTCCGCTGCAACGAGGCTGTGGCCCAGTTAGCTAGCTCGGTAGGGAATGGGAGGCCTCGCACGCCTCGGTCGGGAAACGGCTACAATGTGGTTGTCCCCAGACCTCGGCCTTTCTTTCCCCAATCAACCCCACACTCTACGGAATGCTCCATGGATGGCCGGTGACCATAAGCAGAGCATGTAGAAATCCTCTGGTACTGTGTAAGTCTTCCAGATTCAATAGACGTATTGGCTGAGCTATCCTAGATAGCATGGCTCGAATATATCGCAACCCCACCAGACCTGTTGTTGAAGTCCCCAAACTAGACTTGCTGACTTTGTTATTTGGTAAGTCATGCGCCGGCAGCGGCCTTGAACAGAAGAGCTGCGTGCTGAACAGAGACGATCGTGCAGAGTCGGAGCATAGCGCGGCACAAGATGACACGGTTTTGCATCTCGAGGCTACGAACCCGTCCAACAAGATAACCAAGAGTGACCTGCGAGATCTCACCCAACGGATCGCGCATGGTCTGCGGCAGCACTATGGTGTTGGTGCAAACGGGCCGAACAAGGATGTGGTCACAGTGATTAGCTACGGTCAGCCCATGGTCCCCGCTGCGTTCTATGGCACCATCGCCGCTGGGGGCGTGTACTCGGCTGCGAGTCCTTCGTCCACGGTCGCGGATCTGACCCGCCAGATCACTGTGGGGACGAGTCGCTTGATCGTATGTGGCTCCGAGCACAAGGATGTCGCGACGCAGGCTGCGAAGCAATGCAACCTGCCCCTAGACCGGGTGTTGGTGCTCGAGTCCGGCCCGTCGTGGAGTCTGAAAAGTCTGGATGGCAAAGTCAATGTCATCTCGAATGAGAAACTCAAGTGGGCCCGCATCACGGACCCGCTAGCGTTGACAAAGAGCCTCATCGTGATTTTGTGGTCGTCCGGCACAACTGGTCTCCCGAAGGGTGTGATGCTGTCCCATGAGAACTTGGTGCAAGAGTTGTATCTCATATCCCTTCCGGGAAGAGAATGGGCGGCGAAGCAGATTGAGGCCGGAAAAGAACTTAAGCCATACCGGACCCTCGCACACCTCCCCATCAACCACATCGCCGGACTATTCGGATATCTCGTTGCACCGTTCTATTCTGGAGGTTTGGTGGTGTGGATGCGCAAGTACGAGTGGTCCCAGATGTTGCGGTTCGTAAAAGATTACGAGATCACGGCCTTCTACACAGTCCCGTCAATATACTTGCGCATATCCAAGTCACCTGAGGTGAAGGATCATTTCAAATCAGTCGACGCGGCTTCGACAGGAGCAGCTCCGATGGATGAAGACCTTCAAAAGGCTGCGAACTCCAAACTCGGCCAAGGGGAGACGTTCATAGGTCAGACCTGGGGATTGAGTGAGACTACCGGAGCAGTGACCATGATGCCGCGGGGTGAGAGTGACACGACAGGAAGCATATCGCCTATTCTGCCAAATGTGGAGATAAGGTGAGGCTGTCCACGCCAAGCAAAATCTGCTCTCGTTGCTCATTGGTCCTACAGAATGGTCGACGACAACTTCAATGATGTAGAGCCGGGTCAAGAAGGCGAACTGCTGGTCCGAAGTCCACTCGTCACGCAAGGCTATTTCAACAACCCTCAAGCGACGAAGGAAGCTTTTCATGACGGTTGGTTCTGTACGGGCGATATCGGAGTCCTGCGGAATGGCAAGTTTTACATCGTGGACAGGAAGAAGGTCGGTGCGGCCCGCTCTGTGGGAGAACACAACTGACGAGAGTCATTTCAGGAACTCCTCAAGTACAAGGGTCTGCAAGTCGCGCCTGCTGAAATCGAGAATCTGCTCTTCACACACCCTAAAATCCAGGAAGCAGCCGTTGTGGGCGTGAATCTGCCAGACGATCCGGGCACTGACCTCCCGCGAGCATATGTTGTCGCTGATCCCGCCCAGGTTTCCGAACAGGAGATCAAGGACTTTGTGAAAGAACGCCTAGCTCCCTACAAGCAGCTGAGGGGAGGCGTGGTCTTCGTGGATGAATTGCCCAAGAATGCAATTGGCAAATTTCTTCGAAGGGAATTGAGAGACCGAGCAAAGAGGGAGCTGGGTCTGACCAAGACTTCCAAACTGTGACGGTATGGAGAGGTACCACGGAGATCAGGACCGATGGGGATGTGAAATCTTGTCAATTGTTCCTTCCGAGGTAGAAACAGAGACTATTCGCGCGAAGATTCGAGACTAAATCCATTTGAGGACCCGTGTTCCCTCAACGAGTCTCGATGACGGAGTGACTCTCCAAAAGAGCTTTGCCGGTTGATGCCTTCTCCGTCGATCGTGACTACAGCTTGGAGTCGGTTTGCTTTGAGGCAAGTTCTCTCAGTTGTCGCCTCAGAATCTTACCAGACTGGTGGCGACGTCAGTGATATTCGCCTGGGTAGCACGAACGCCGGCTATTGACTCACTGGGTTCTTAGGGACTGCATCAACGAAGGCGGCGCCACCCGTAAGATGCTTGATAGTTGACACACGGAGCCTGACAAAATCGACAACATCCTTCTCACAAATCTGTGAATTTGGCTTCCGCACAACATAAGCGCGTGGCTGCTCATCATCTGTAGCCCTGTCCGTAAATGTCAGTATAGCCAAGTTAAGCCCGCGAGGAAGGCAAGCACACGTCTTGATCCCAATCACCGCAGCATCAACAATCTCGCTATGCTCAAGGAGAAGAGCCTCGAGCTCCGCAGGTGCGACTGCGACACCTTTGACTTTGATCAGTTCCTGGCCAGGTTAGCTCGTCGAACGAGACCAGCCCATGCCAATGGTCGGTGCATTCGAGCTCACCTTCTTTCGATCAACCATGTACCATTTTCCGGACTCATCCCGATATGCAATGTCACCGGTCTTCAACCAGCCATCACTGCTGATCGTTTCCGCGGTAGCTTTCGGATTACGCCAGTAGGCTGTCATGGCGTTTGGGGAGCGGATCCAGAATTCTCCTGTCTCGCCGGGCCGGGTCTCCTCTTCTCCGTTTTCTTTGACAAGTTTCGCTTCGGCGCCGGGGACAAGCTCGCCAATTGATATTGACGAGGGGCCGGAGCTTTGGCTTTCGTCCCAGCACAAGGTGATTGCAGGCGCCCTGAAGGACTGTCAGCATGTATGTAATTTCGCATAGGATGGACAGGTGCTTTACTCCGACATTCCCCACGCCTGGCGTACTTTCAGTCGCCCATTCCAGAGCTCCTCGAATTGCTGAGTGACTTCCATGCCAATGGGTGCCGCGCCTGCCACCACTTTCCTGATGCTACTGATATCACATGTGCCATCCCTGACTGAAGGGTGCTTAGCCATAGAGACCAACATTGGCGGAACGAGGACGAGCTCTGTAATCTTGGATCTCTGTATATGGTCCAGCATATCTGCCAAGTTGAATCGCTCCATCAGATATGTCTCCAGGCACCATTTGGGCGCGGTGAAGGTATAATAGCACAACCCGAGCGCATGGTACATCGGGACTGCACAAAGTGTCCGTCGCACAACAACACTCGTATCAGACATATGGATCATCTTGAGTTGAAGCATGTTTGCGATGACACTGCGATGGGATAGCTCAACACCCTTTGGTAGGCCCGTCGTGCCCGAAGAGTATATCAAGATTGCCGTACGCTCTGAGAAGTCCTTGCTGTTACGCTCCTGCCAGACGAATCTTCGGCCGACATCGGGTTTGGCCACAAGACTGCTCCAGTCCCGGGTTTTGCTTTGGCGAATTGGCCCTAAGACATCCTTTTCATGGTCCATAGGTAGTTCACCGAACAGGAAGATCCTGTTGATGTCGAATCCGACAAGCTCAGCCGCTTCCAGTGCCCTGTCGATGCAGCTTTCCGCCGCAAGAACAAATCGTGGGGCCGAGTCTTTGAGCTGATGTGAAAGTTCTCGTGCAGTGTAGGCTGGATTCGCACTGTTGAAGATAGCCTCTGCCATTAAGCTTCCCATCACAACGATCGGATAGAATATGTTGTTGGGTGAGCACAGAAGTATGCGATCCCCATCCTCGAGTCCAGCCGACTTTAGTCCTGCCGCAAACCTCTTCGACCACTCGCGGTAGGAGTGGGTAGTGAGATAATGTGTATCGGCCCGCTTGGCATCTATAATGATCTTGTCGACAGGATCGATATTAGAAGTCGCTGATCCGAACATAAAGGTTGGAATCGATATCGCTGGCGGCGCTAGCGGCCATCTGGATTTGTATGGCATGTTGAAGAACTGAAGTCAATGGCGATTAGAATTCGGATGAATCGTGCCCGATTCCAGTGAATGCGCTCTGGCCCCTGCACAAATCCAATGTGAAGAAGGTGAGTGACATTGGGAATAGCTGGGATGACCAGCTTTTCTAGTACGCCCTGGCTATACCAGCAGCGACTGTATTTGTTTTCGAAGTCGCGACTTTTGCATGAATGGACCACCATCAGTCGGGGGTGGGGAGGAAGGTCGCGGCGTCCATCGGCTCGGTCCCCACAAATCGGATCCGGGGAGCCGCTTCGGCGGGGAGCCACAGCAAGATGGTGTGAGTGGAGCTGGCTATCGCACACCACTTTGCTCATGGACGATAAACGTTGCATCTCCCACATCAGAGTAGAGAACTGCTCCATGACACCCTCACCAGCGCCAGAACTTTAGTCATAGGCCAATGTTGCAAGTCGGTGCTAGTCAGGAACCTGCTGATGGAAGGTCGTCAACGTCTTCATGCGACCAGCAGTCCATGAGTAGGTCGCCGTACCGCTGCATCAGGCTCCGTAATGCCGGTCTCGCTGTAATGGCTCCCGAAACGGTGGAGTCGAGGGTCAACAGGCACGTCAGCAAAGGCTTCATGCTTGCAATCCAGTCTGAATCCACAGTCGCACCCGGGAAAACCGCCGAGCCCAAGTGGGTCTGCTCTGGGGCCGAAAGGTGCAAGTCAATGGTGTGTTCAACCGCCTTGGAAAGGGCCAGGACCACCAAAAGCGTGTTTGCGTGATGGGAAATGAAGTTCATTTTGGCCTGCACGCTGTTGATAAGTCTGAGTTCGCCCAGTGCCGATACGTCAACAATCCGCTGTGCGATTGTGAGGAGCGAAGTGACGGCAGCCTCTTGATATACCTGCGCTTTTGCGAGAATCCGACGACTTTCGATAGCCGGCAGCACGCCGGCAGCTTGGTGGAGTTGCTCGACAAGCAGTAACTTGGACAGCTTCCAGAACAAAAGCATGAATGCTGCAGGGCCACAACGTCAGCTGCTTACTCGGTCGGCTGCGGCACGATCAACTCACCTGAAGCTAGCTTCGATTTCTCGGAAAGAAGATAGAAGGAAATGACGCATTGGTCGAGCCAAGGACCATATGTCATGGTGAACTCATCTATCGTGCCCAAAGCAGTTGACACTGCAGTTCTTGTTGCGTGCATATCGGACGGGCCACTGCCTGCTAGCAGCATCTGCCGCAGGTGAATGACCCCCCTAAAGACTCGGAAGAGGTCCCCAGAGGCATTTTGACAATGCCGAGGTACTTCCTGGTCGAAAAGCGCCGGTTGTTGCCACTGCGGAGCGGCATGCCCTCCAAGTAGGGAGTCTGGAGGTGCTGTTAGTCGACGTTATGCAAAATTAGGCCTTCCCGAGCTTCGTACCTTTCGATCTCAAGGGCGCATCCTCTAACATACAGGGCCGCTCATGCAACACTGAGTCTATGGTGTCGCGCAGATAGGCGTACCAGCGAATGATGCCAACTGAGGATTGGAGGAGGAAGCGATATATCGACTGCCGTCCGAGATGCTCGCAATAGTCCTCTACCAGTTTCTGGAGTTCCTCCATCTGGCGCAGACCATCGTCCAAGAGCCCAAGCGGACTATGTTCGTACGGTTGGGTGGAAGTCGCTTCCTCTGGGATACTCGTCATTAGAAAAAGAAAGACCGAATACAGCCTGACAAACGAACGGTTTTCGATTGTGCTGACGAGCTGCGAATGAGCATTGTACCACGCTGAGGTGAAGACATGTAAGCTATTTGTGCCGCGATCACCCAGGCCAGATGGCGACTCAGGAGATTGGCTATTTGAGTCAAGGCTATCGTAGAAGTGGGCCAGTGGTCCTTCGGCTTGCCGGGATGGCAGATATTGGAGCGCAAAGGCTTGTAAGACGGCTGTCAAGGTGCGCTCATTCTGACTGCGTGCCTTTTGGTCGATGACATTGCCGTACAAGGGGCCAAAGTTGTCCAGAAACCGGGCAACACCAATCATCGTCACCTGATTAATCTGGCTCGACAGAGACTCTGGGGTGATAGCATGTATGTTACCACCGTGAGCAACGTCTGGCCCGGTTTTCCTCCAAGGGGCCGTGAAAGCCATAGTGACAGGGTGGGCATCGTCCTTGTTCAAGGCCATTGTTCGGGATTGCTCGGGCTCGAAGGAATATTTGTATGGACCAGCGAACAGGTTGCAATTGTAGTCGAGATACCTGATGGCAATGCCGGACATCATAGAGGTGTAAACATCGCCAAGACTTTGATTTATTCGCTGCCTTTCGACTGAGGAATTGAGCAGATGTATTGGGCTGCCCCGCCATAACCCAAGCGTTGAGTTTCTCTGCGTGGGTACGGAGTGGGGTGGAAAATGCGCGGTGGAGTCTTCGGTCGATGAGGTGCTCGTCAGAGGCCGGCTTTCGGCAGCTGTATCATTAGTGAGAAAAGAACGTCGGTCGAGGTGTGTCCATTCGGACACTATGCTTCCCATGAACATATCAACATCCAGGAAACCAGGGTATGGAAGGTTACCCATGAATGCATCTTGTATTGCGTTAGGAAGAAGATCCTCCCGGTCGGGGTCCGGGTCCGGAAGCAGAGGGCCAACTGTTTGGCTTGGTATTTGTGAAGTGGCAGGGGCAATTGGTTGTTGCTGTGCATAGGGATGGGACGGCTTGAGCTTGTTCCTCTTCTGACTCAGCCGTGAGTTCACAAATTCGAATGTGCATTTATGTCCGAGATGGAGACAGTTGAGGCAGCTAGTTGCTGGTCCAGATTCATCGTCTGGAAACGCACATCTTCGCTTTGAGCGCCGGCAAGGATCGCAAGAAGAGTTCTGCTTCCGCGTACTGACAAGTCTCATGGCGGACTCTCACAACTTGGTGCAAGGAAGCTCTTGGCAAGTTAATCTGCTCAGTCCGGGTCGTCTGTAATTCGCAAGCGACTGTAGACGTTGAAGTCGTGGAAGCGGTGCGAGTCTGGTGAGAGGGACATAGTCGTCTCATCAGCTTATCCTCAATTTGACGTCAATGGTGTATTCTTGCCCTGAGGATAATAGTTTCTGGACGTGTGCGGCTGTCGATGAAGCTGACTGGCACTACCTCATATGGTTACAGTCCCTTCAAGGCTGAGGAAGGATCGACGAAGCGATGAGACTTGCAAGGTTCGGCTCCGACAACCAAAGGAAATCGAGGAAATGGAGGAAATACACGCAACGGAGCCGCAAGCCGCTGATGCCGCGCGTCGTGGCTTCAGCCAATCGATCTATGTGGATGTACGGCACAGCATGCACCGTTTACCCGCCCTTTCCCTTTCGCCTTTTCGTTACACACAGTACCGTTACACACAGTACTCCGAATGGAGGATACAGAAATGGAAGGACATATTGAATAGGCCTCCAAGAGCTCTCAAGACTTGGTGTCACTTGTGATCGAAGCTCCACCAATATATTATGCGTGATAGTATACGCCAAAAGCAGGAGAGCCTCTCAGCGACGGGATCACCACTCTGCAACGCCAGCCAAGATCTTCGCGCCTGCAACAAAGCTCTTCAGCTGCTCGAGACTTACAGATGGGCACCGCTCAATCTAGCCAGCCCCAAGAATCTTGCAACCTGGCCAAGGTGATCAAATCCCCAGAAGCACTGCGACTCCCCTTCTGTATTGGTAGCCTCGATCCACGGTAAGCCTGGTGATCCACCTCTAAGCGCGTCCTCCGTGTGCTGTCTCAAGAGCGACTTGACTTCATCAGTCGCGGCCTGTCCAATCTCGATCAGCCTCGTGTTGTGCGACATGATGGAAGTCCTACCCTGTCCCGGATTTGGGCAGCTACTTCTGCGCCTACGACCTTAGCAATGAGAGGCCCGTGGACCTCAGGGAGTTGGACGCCTTTCTTCTCGTACCAGAATGCGTGATACAACTCAGCCACAACCTCCGGGAAACGTTCTGGACACTCGAGCGAGCATGCGACCAAAGCTCTTTGTACCTGTTTCGGATGAGGGGCGTCATTGAACCGGACAAAAGTCTAAGACCGGATGGACGAGAGATCTCGAAGTTACCTTCAGTGTGGTCGCTTCGACGGGATAGTTGGCCGGCCAGCCTTGCTTCCAAGGGATGTTGCAGTCTTGGCACCATCGGGCGACATCTGTCTGGAAGTATTTGACTTTATCTGCAACTCGTCAGAAGCAGCCTGAAAGCCACGTGAGCGTAAACTAGGCCGAAGTTCCGCTGCACACCTACTGGGACTGCTCCAGGGGGGCTTTAGACCGACAGCATTGATGTATGCGACGAGAAGGACGGGGATGTAAGTCACCTCGCAAGCGCGGAAAGTGACAGAGTTCTGTGATATGCAAATGTATCAGCCGTCGCCACCTACTTCCGCTCTCCAGCGTTCAGCACGAATCAAAGCTTGCCGCCTGCTGACCTTGATAACATAGAAGGCCAAGTACGAGTAGGGACTGTGCAAGTCGAAGTACAGAGTCAATTTCGGCTTTTTCATAGTTTCGTTGCAAATGGTTTCTACCAGCGAGTCTCGTCCCAGGTCCGATAGACCATCCTGCGCTTTATCTGAACTATTTGCCTTACGTGCAAGGTGCCTTCGGAGGTATGATGTTCCGCACCCAAGCCGAGGTCGACTGTGATTGAACCACGGCTCCGCCACGGTCACAGCGAGACTCGCTGATGTTCGCTGACAGCAACCTCGCCGGACCGCCAAAGGTTCTCAATGCTCCGCAGCTTTCCGCGGAACGGCTAGGATCCAGCAGCTGAACACCGATGGAAGCCGGTAAGGATTGCCAATTCCCTCAAGTGGTGCAGCCGGAAGAAGAGAGCATGTACTCGCAGTACGTCGACTTCTGGACAGCCTCGTGCAGTGAGCAACATGGCAGTGAGCGCGACGCCCTTGAGACTATAGATCCAGCTGGCTTTTTCATCCGGCATCCTCCAAAGCCTCACGAGCTTGAAGCCGAGCTCACAGATGAGGCTCAACTATTCCAGACCATCCACATGGGTGCAGCGGTGGTGGACGAGAAAAGGTGGAGGCTGGTTGTGGACGGACTGGTGGAGCGGCCATTCACCGTCTCTTTCGCGCAACTGAGAAGCATGCCTCGCACTACCATAACAGCATTCCACGAATGCTACGGCAGCCCTATCACGCCGCCAACCCATGCGACATGGCGCATTGGAAATGTGAAGTGGACTGGCGTTCGTCTCTCGGATTTGCTGAAGTTAGCCAGACCAAAGCCTCAGGCGAGGTTCATTTGGTCGCAAGGGCTTGACGCAGGGAGCTTCGCTGGCGTCTCAGCGGACAGGTATGAGAAGGACCTCCCATTGGAGAAGGCTCAGAGTCCCGAGGTGCTGATCGCGTACGAAATGAACGGCGAACGCTTAACCAAAAAGCGAGGCGGACCAGTAAGGATGGTTGTGCCGTTGTATTTCGGCACTAATAGCACAAAATGGCTTTGCAGGCTCTCAGTCCAGGACCGTCGTGCCTCTGGACCATTCACTACAACCTTTTACAACGAGGTGGACCCCACTGATCCGACCGGACAGAAGATGCGGCCGGTGTGGATGGTCGAGCCGAACTCTATGATCGTGAGGCCAGAGCCTGGCGCAATCCTGCAAGGGCCCGAGATCGAGATAGCAGGTAGGGCTTGGGGGTGCCAAGAGATCGAGGTCGTGGATATCAGTATTGATGGCGGCGAGAGCTGGCTGCCATGTCCTGTTGTTGACTTACACGGACGGGAAGAGTTCGAATGGCAGTTGTTCCGCGCAACGCCATCGGTGCCAAAGCCAGGAAAATACAAGTTGGTCGCAAGAGCGAGGGACACAAAAGGACTGTTTCAGCCGTTAGCAGGGCGAAGAAACCATGTGCATATGGTGCAGGTGGAGGTTCTCTAGAAGGAGATAACTTGACTTCATACACAAACATGCATGAACATTCCAAGCCTTCGCATGCCCTCGGCGTAGTGACAACGCGTCAAGCGCGTGAACGGCTTTGTGACTCAATTGGAGGACATGATGAATTTCAGAGGGGTCTGGGCAGAGGCCCAGCTATATAGTTACGGGGGCCTATGTAAACAATACGGTATCGTACAATAGGGGGTATGGCCCAGTACACCTCTTGGCACTGTCTGGCCAACCTTCGGATAACCTTCCCAGTCACAGCTTTCCGGGCAACAAACCACGTGACTAAATCCTTCCCCCGCACGAATGGATCGTTGAAGGTCGTTGCAAGTCAATCTCACTGCTGTGTTATGTCTCAAGTTCAGAGTCGTTGTGGTCCTCACGAGCGCTTCAAGACTGGCACCCGTCGCGATGTCCGACGCGCAACATGATGTCCCCTGGCGTAGAAGCTCACAAGTCTGCGCCCACGACCAGCGACATTCCAGAGCGGCGGCTCAGTCTCGAAAATCAAACCCGCTCTAACGGGTTGAAACCAAAGGCTTGCAACAATTGCAGACAGCAAAAAGCGCGTCATTCAAGCCCCTGCCCTCCTAGAACCCTTAGTTGACGCGTTCTGCAGTTAAAATGCGACCTGACGAAGCTTGAAGCTCCCTTGACAGCTGTTTGCTCGCGCTGTCGAAGATTGGGACTGGAATGCAAAGTCGACGATACTTTCAAGAGGACGCGGAAGAGGAAGTAAGCTCAGCAAATTACAAGGCTCCATCGGTAGCACGGCTGATCGTGGACACCTGGCAGGAAGTCGGGCGAGTTGGAAGAAGAAATCACCAGACTCAAACGTCAATTGTCGGTTTACGAGGGCACTGTTATCGCAGACCCGACTCCCGCTTCAGTAGCACGTCCAACAGCACCTTTTCACCTTGAGAGCAATGTCACACAGCCCGAACATGCTATAAATGAGAGATCGACGCACTCCCTCGAACCGATGGACAGGATGCTCACCACGACTATTCCCAGCGGGATGTCCTTTGACTCCCCTGATCAATCGAGCCTGCCAGGAACAACAACAATCCCCAACGGCACAATTCCCGAAGCAACACCTCCTCGGGTCGTCCAAGCTAGTTCTGCGCGGAAAATGCGCGATATCGAGCTGACGAAGGACGAGATCAACGACCTGTTCCAAATGTATGTTGCGTGACTTTTGTTGATTTATTGACTGACACGAGCCAAAGCTACTTCTCACATTACCACGTCTTTCTGCCGTTTCTCGATCCGAGTGTTCCCCCTGACCGATACTATGATCAATCAGCGCTACTCTTCTGGTCCATCGTTTCTGTCGCATCACGTCGGTACCAGGCAAACCCAACCCTGCTACCCAGACTAGCTAGGACGCTTACAGACACACTCTGGAAGTCGCTACAAGCACTTCCACATCCCTTGGCTGCTGTTCAGAGCTTGGTGCTTATCTGCACTTGGCCATTTCCAACAAGCAGCAGTTCGACCGATCCCAGCTACATGCTGTCAGGCATGAGTATACAGCTCGGACTATCCATGGGCCTGCATCGACCAAACAGTCCCGAGGACTTTACCAAGTTTCACGTCCATCTTGACTCTACTGCTATGGCTGATCGGGAAAGGGCCTGGATAGCTAGCAATGTTGTCGCTCAAAGGTATGTCCAGTCAAGTAAATTCTGGTGGCGTCCACTGATGTACTAAAGCGTCAGTTGCGGCGTTGGCCTTCCCACACCAGCACACGTGCGTGACTGGTCACTTGTCACGTCCTCGCTCGAGGCTCCATGGCTTGACGACAATCTACGTGGTCATTTGAGATGTGCTTCATTGTGTAATAGGATATCCCAAGCGCTCGCATCCAATCCATCCGACCACACTGGGCTCCTGCAGCCTCGGGAGAGGTTACCGGTGTACACGATCCTGAACCACGAAATTGTCGACCTCAAGACCAGTAGGAGTTGGAGACCTGGTAAGCTAAAACAGTTTGTACGGAAGGTACGACCATAGGGTACCCCGACTGATGAATATCAGGTACCACGGCCGTCTATCTCCAGATAACAAAACTGCACTTGCAGGCATTCTATCTGTTCGATGACGCGTCGACCTTCGGCTACTTTGAACGCATCATCGCACTTTACTCCACCGCCAGTGCTCTGCTTGAGCACATCCAGACACTTGACAACCAAAAGTTGGCTTTCCTCTATTATTGCCCCTTTTTCTGCTACGAGGCTTTCTTGTGCGCGTCTTTCATTGTGCTCAAGGTGTTGAAGAATGATTACTTCAGCGGCATCGTTGATGCAAGGTTGGGCGAAAAGCTCATCAACTTCTCTGTCTCGGCATTGAGGAAGATGTCCGTGGCAAACAACGACTTGCCAGGCAGGCTCAGTGATGTTCTCGCTTACCTATGGACTCATCCAGACCCGTCAATTGCCAGCGGAAGTGGCATAGCTGGTCTTCAACTCAAGGTTCAAAATCGGATGAGTATGAGCATCGTCTACGACTCGCTGTGGAGGTGGCGGGAACAATTTCGGGTAGAAGCCGAAAGTGAACTACACCAAGATCTTCGCAGCGGTAATGCACTTTCTTCTGGCAAGCAGAGTTTTCAGTTGATTGATGCAGGTACGCCCCTTGCGGCACAGGATACTCAAAACCTCGACACAGCTTTTGATCTCGCGGATCTGAACGGGATATACTCCGATGATTTCCAATTCGACTGGTTCACCTGATCCTCTATTAGTTGCAGTGAAAATCAAATCGTTGGCACTCTCAAGAACCGATGGGTTTGCCTGGGCAGTTTTATACCGTCATCAACAGGATACCAAACTAGCGGATTTGACGGACCCGAACCGCATGTAGCATTTACGGCCTTATCTGGATTCTTGGCTGCGAGCAAGGTTACAGACATGTTATTCGAGACCTCGAACAGCTTGTCTCATAAAAAGCTTTCACCATGTCAGAGTGGAGCGTGCTGGATCTAGCTTAAGTGGCTTGCTCTCAGGCTAGTGCTTCGCCGCACCCTCTCGCACGACTGCTCTTCTCTAAGCGCGGACAAGCCTTCTAAACTCTGCTATACAACTGGCCTCCCGCTGCGGCGTCTATCGCTGTAGCCTGCTTTAGGCCCACTATCGAGAATAGCTTCTTGGGAGTGAAGTCAGCGGCTAAACCGGTCCGACCCGTCTTCTTGATGCCCTCAAAGGTGCTGCGGATTGCTTCATACGCCGGCGCAATTGCAGCAAATGGGAAGATCACAATTCTGAATCCCAGTTCTTGGGCCTCCTGAGGAGTCCATGAAGGTGTCGCGCCGTGTTCCACCATATTGAGCAGGACAGGGATCGGTGAAAGCTCTTGGCATACTGTCCTAGCCTCTTCTTTCGAACTCACCCCTTCCAGAAAGGCAACGTCTGCGCCAGCTGCGACTGCTGCTTTGAGCCTGCGAATCGCTTCCTCCAAGCCGTCGGTTTGCAAAGCGTCTGTTCGGGCGATGATCACAATATCTGACCCAATTCGTTGTCTGGCTTGCGCAGCAGCTGCAATGCGCTGGGTAAAGGTATCGATGCTGACAACTTGCTTCCCTCCAAGGTGACCACAGCGCTTTATCTGGATCTGGTCTTCAATGTGGAGAGCTGCGACCCCAGACCGGTGATATTGCTCGACTGTTCGTGCTACGTTATTGGGACCTCCGTACCCTGTGTCGGCATCCGCGATAAGAGGGATGGCCGGGTCCAGGTTGGCGATCATTTCGGCATGCTCCCGCATGTCATTGAGGGTGGCCAGTCCAAGATCTGGCTGTCCCAGTCTCGAAGCGCATGTTCCTGCTCCTGTCTCATCACCAGAGTCAGCTATACAGCTGGTAAGTGCCACTAGCAGATACTTACCATGTATAGGCAGTCAAATCCCACTTCCAAAGCAATGCGGGCGCTGAAGCCATCGTACACGCCAGGCGCCACAATGATTTCGCCACGAGTTTCCAGAAGCTGTCGGAACCGACTCGCGGTAGTCACGGGCTGTGACACTGTTGACCCATTGGTAAGGCTATTTGTATGGCCGTTTATGTAAGTCATGATGGGTGTGGGAAGAGGTGATGGTGTTATCTTCAGCAGGTAAGCGAACAGGCACAGTCTTGCTTTCACCCAGAATCTTTGATGTCTCCCACGGTCTCCTTTTATCCTGCAGGAACCTCTGTGGACGTTACAGTGCCACGCCGAAGCCGGCAACAGAGGTAAAAAGCTCTTTGCTCTGATGACTCCGCTCCACCTCCGGACCGGAAAGCTCTGTCACGTGACAGGTCCGATCGGAAAGGTAAAGACTTGCGAATCGCTGTTTGTTGGCCGACCTAGCGTGGGCCATAGTTGGGGATCCCGCATTCCCGCATCAATGCCCCAGTGTGGCAGACTAGAGGCCATGGGGTCTTTGTCAGATGGCCAAGAACTGCCCCTTATCTGAACAAGCGGTTCGGCCTGGACAGCGGTTTGGCGCATCGGTTAGTTTTGGCTCTGGATTACACATGGCGTGCTGGTGCCTCGTCTATAAGACTTACAAGTCCCCCCGGACTGAGCACATACATTCATGCTTGCTGCGACCATTCTCGTGCAATCACCGAAGGACCCCTCAAGCACCTCCTATCAAGTCAAAGATTATTATGTACACCGAAAAGGAGACCTCAATGCCTCCGAAAAGATTCTCGCTTGATGAAAAAGCCGAGATTGCGAAGCACATCGATCTCGAGCAAGATGTCCCATCAACACCCCAATGGCGTGCGCAGGAAAGGAAGGTCGTGAAGAAATTGGACATGACTCTGATGCCAACGGTTTGGATCTTATATCTATTCAATTACTTGGACAGGAACAATATTGCGTCTGTCCCCCTTGTTCGCAGAATCGAAAAGCAGCTGACCATGTCTGTAGTCAAGCAAGGCTCAATTCTTTCGAAGAGGATCTTGGCCTCGTCGGCAACAATTTCAACACGGCAGTGTCGATATTGAATGTTGGGTAAGGCGCCCTCCTAGCGCAACAGGGGACTATCTGCTAACTTCGAATAGCTACATGCTTGCCCAACTGCCCTACAACATGATACTTACACGCGTCCGACCACACTTATATCTTCCACTTTGTGCAGCACTGTGGTCTTGTGTCTCGGCGTCAACGGCAGCAACTCATAGCTATAATGGCTTGATCGCTGTCCGTTTTGTTCTCGGTATCGTTGAGGCCCCTTTCTTTCCCGGCGTAAGTACAATTTGCGAGGTCCGTTGCTGTCCGATGAGGACTCACTTTAATTTCTCTCTTGCAGGCCTTTTATGTCATGTCCTGTTGGTACACTCGCAAAGAGCTTGCTCTTCGTACTGCGGTCCTCTACTCGGGACTTGTGCTGGCCACAGCATTCTCCGGCCTCATTGCCGCTGGCGTGTTTGCGGGACTTGATGGGGTTTCTGGTCTCCCTGGTTGGAGATGGCTATGTGAGTTTCTCCATCTTGCGTCGCATACCGGGGGCCGTACTAACCTGACGGACCAAGTCATCCTGGAGGGCGCCGGAAGCTTCGCCGCCGCCGTGATCGCCATGTTCGTCATGCCTGACTATCCCGAGTCGAAGACTGGAAGCGGCAAATGGTTGTTCTCGGAGGAAGAGCGGAAATTCGCAGCCGGACGCATTGCACGTGATCGCGTATCTCAGCCAGAGGCTGACAGGTCAGTCTGGTACGGACTGAGGCTCGCTGCGAAGGACTACAGGACCTGGGCTTTTGTAGGTGCATGACGCCTATTCAGAGGGCATTATCCGCTGACTTTGATTTCAGGTCCTCATGCTGTGTGCAAATCATACCGCCTACGGTGAGTCCTTCCTCCCACTTGGAAGGGTAATTGTCACTCATCTGCGCTTACCAGGATTTAACAATTTCTACCCATCCATTGTCAAAGGGTGAGTACTCTGAAAACATGGGCTGGCTGACGCCCGGATTCCTCCCGCTAACACAATTGCAGATTCCATCTGGGATCTACTACCAAGACACTGTTGCTCACAGCACCTCCATATCTCATCGGTGCCGCTGTCTCGTTCCTGGTCGCTTATTCGTCGGATCACCGCAAGGAGAGAGGTTTCCATATCTCAGTACCAATGGCAGTCGCGATGATTGGCTTCATCATCTCTGTCGCGACCCTGAATGTGCCAGCGCGCTATTTCGCCTCATTCCTATATACTTCCGGCTGCTTTTCTGCCAATGCGATGGTGTACACCTGGGCAGCATCCACACTCAATCAAACACCAGAGAAAAGAGCCTGCGCGACCGCGATGATCAATCTTCTCAGCCAACTGGGCAATATTTGGAGTCCTTACTTCTTCCCAGCATCTGATGCACCGAGGTATACCATGGCGATGTTGTTGATGCTTGGGTTCTCAGTGATTAGTATCGGCTGCTGCGTTGTTATGAAAATGAGCTTGCGGAGGAGTAATGAGAAGTTGAGGGAGGAGGCTGAGGAGTCGGGAAGAGAGGTTGTGCTTTTCACCTTGTGATTGTCGAGCAGGTGCCTGTTGGCAAGAAGACGCAAATGCTTCGGGGTCGGGTCGGTCCTTGACGACATTCGCCAGTTGGTCCACAATTGACTATTATACCGTTTCAAGAGCCGATAAATTATACTCAGTACAAGCGATAATCATGCATGCCTGAGATGTGCCACCCGTGTCCTGCTTCTAGTGCATCAGCTCACAAGGCTGGCAACCCCTAAGATTAGTGGGGGCGGCAACGGGGCGGCCTAGGAAGCTCCGTAGGCTATTCTCGATTTGGCTCTAGGACGATCTGGGGTTCAACGCGTTCTCCAACGCTCGGTGCTCCGACGTCTGTTACAGGCGCGGACAAGTTGCGGCAACCTGATATCATGCCTCATTTACAACACCTAAATCCTGACGACGATGATGACTGGGGTTCCTCACCGTCGCCCGAACCAAGTCCCAACCTTGGTGTAGACATAGGTCAAGACGAAAGGACGCTGAGCATATATGAAGGCAACACGTTGCGCAGTCCCTCCGCAGACGATATCGACCCAAGATCAAGCGAGACATCGGCCGCAGGTCAGACCAGAGTCACCTTCAACGTGTCCGCCGACATTAGCGTTGCAACTCCCTGCCAGTCTGTCAACCCGAGCTTGAACATGTCAAGTCCAAGCACATCCCCAGTACAGCAATCTCCTGCCGCCAGCCCGTCTTCACACGAACATGCTCCGAGCCAAAGTGACGGAACACCGCCGGCCAAACAAGCTACGACTCGTGTCATCGAACTCGAGAGCACGCCCGAAATATTTGAGACAAATAAGGGAGGCCCCCGTTTGCTCTCGTCTGGTTCAAGTTCCAAGCTTCTCAACAGCTGGACCAACAATGTGCCCAAAGTGAGAAAAGACGAATGGTCGGATGACAGCAGCGATGAGTTCCAGGGAAAGCAAGACGAGGAGGAAGTTGAACTATACCACAAGCCAGCACATAACAGCGCGGATGCTGCTACGCCGGAGTCCGTCGAGTATGTTCAGACGACGAACTCGCTATCACCTGCAGTCACCCGCGATCGTCTTGATGGACACAGGCGCGATGACACAATGAGCAGCGGGCGAGATTTGGCCAACGAGCTGAATGCAAACATGGGAGCCAGCCGTCCCAAGAGAACCCACCCTTACTATTCCGTCCGGTATCGTTTCCCGAAGGTCCCTCGCAAGGACCTGGAACATTATGTCTTTCTCGCCGCATGTGTCAAGCATGCCGGGGACCAATTCAGGCCCGACATGACGGCAGTCGCCCAGGAATGCGGGCTGTCAGCAAGCACCGTGGGAAAGAAGCTCCGAAAGCTCAAGAAAAGACTCAACGAAGAGGGTGCCGCCTACGGCCACCCGGATATTACGCAGCCTTACGATTCACGTGGGTATAATCGACTAGTTGCAGGGGCTCTGACTGATGGGCATTGACTTACCTTGAGCTCGTCGGGTTTCATGATATCGGATTGCTGTCCAGACATGCGCCCACAAGCAGCGCGACCGAAGAACTTTCTGCATACATCGCTCAGGCGACAGTGCAATGCCGGACAAGAACCTTCTTGCACCAGCTCCTGGAATGATTAGGCCCAGCGGTCACAACTGGTTCGGTTGATCCTTGCCGTACTAAGACTACTCGCGTTGATCTCTCTGACGAGACAGCCGGGGGTGAACACCCAGGCAAGGACAGCCTTGGTATTTTCAATGCTGGATCATGCAGACCTCGACTTGTTGCCTTGGTCAGATCACCACGTCACCGACAAGACCGCACTAGCGACATGCCCATCCCCTCTCCACACAAACTTTGGCGGGTCTTTTGCAACCTGTTTCGCCAAGCGAGCAGAAGATCTTTTGTGGGAAGACTGAAGGGCGACTCATGCGCACAAAGCGCCATATCACAGAGCAAATGTCATTCGAAAGCCACGCGGTGAGAGGACAGCAAGTCCACGCAGTGCCGTATATCAACAGCACAAAAGGTCACATATGCGATGCAGAATTGCGCCGAATACACGATATTGTGCTAGCAATGCTTACGCAGGACGGTCGAGCACGAGATGCTTCTTGCTATGATGATAGATGATGGTTCGCATCACAGAATGAGCCGCTTCTTGGCCGTGCTGCGCGACTGCAGTCTCACGCGCTCACGCGTCACCCCATAGACTCCGACCCGACCTACTAGTTCTAGTAACTGGTAGCGAGGGCTCCTGATTTTGGGCTCACGAGTGTAGCCAGATCGGTTTGCATGATGTGTTGCCACGAGCTGCAGAAGCAACCTGTGTTGCGAGCTGAAATCGGATTGCTGGATTTATGCTCCCGATACGGCTAGCGCGAGTTGAGCACAGAGCAGCCGTTCGAGATTCGAACGAACTAAGAGCCGGGATTGCAGTATGTGAGAAGCGTTGATCATCGCCCTCGGTACCAGGTATTGGAACTGGAAACGTGAATAGTCAGGCCGGCTTTTCAGATCACTCTACCTCAGTAGTCGACTTCGAGTTGATGTTCCTGGATGTATGGATTGACTACGGAGTACGGATGGGCATTCCGTCACGTGTGTGCCTTGCTACGGCGGGACACAGTGATCGCTGGCGTACCCCGCATTCCGTGCAAAAAGAAACTTACACTTCTTCTCATTCCAGAATGATTCCACTCATCCTAACCGATCCGAGTGAGACGTTGCTGAAGCTTATCCAGGAACACCGCATCCTTTCGCTCGAACTCCGCGAGACACCCATCCTACAAGCCGGCTAGATATCGGTCGCATGAGCTTACGTATTGTCATGACTACACACAGCTGAGCCGAGCTCTTGAACCCCAGTTCCTGCTCAGCTCCGTCCCCACAAAACCCTGTGCGCCTCTATGGTGTCCGGTCGTCATGGCTTGTCGACTTCATGTTTCCTAACATGAAAGAGGACAAAGTTCGCGATACCGCGACCCCGTATTCAAGAGGAGCTTGTCTGCGCCAGACGTCAGCAGAACTCCTAACATCGACAAGGCTTGACCGCGCCGATGCCCTCGGCTGGGTCGCACCTCCGTGGTAGGAAAATTTTCACCTGTTTGTCCATACTGTCCACTTCGCGATCACTGTGGCCAAAGTCACGACCCAGTTTGTCCTTGCTCACACCCCGGATTTCAGAACTTGGCCACACCTGATCGAGCCTAGGTCCCATTGTCCCACTCGTCTTCCGAGTGTAACATTAATGCATCTGCGCTCATTGGCGTTTTCGGGACTTCATCCCGATTCTGGTACTCCGTATGCCCACCTTAATTAGAGTTCGCCACGAGCAACCACAGTGTTTCGAAGCCTTGATGAAAATTTCTGGCGCTTTGGTGGACACCGGCTGTATCCCTCACGCAGCCTAGTCGCCGCACACCACGAAACGAGTCCTTCTAGCCTCCCGAATGCGCTTCTCGAACAGCCAGACGCCAGTGAAGATGTTGTGCGATAGTGGAGCTTGCTCGCTCGGAAATGACGACCTGGTGAGGACCTACCTTGGTCCGTGGGTTGGGAATCTGACGGGCTGGTTATATAGGCAGAGCGGTGGCCTCCACCTCTAAAAACCCAGAGTGTGCGGCTGTTTCTCCTCCAAGCCGCCCGTCAACATCCTACCGGCACGCAGCAGACATGGGTGACAAAGCTATCAGATCTATCGACCCTGGGATGGCTTCTTTTGATGGAAATACCACGCGTGTCGACATCCAACCTGGTGAGGTGTCCGACAATGCCGACAAGCTCCAGCGCCGTCTCAACAACAGGCAGATTCAACTGATTGCCATCGGAGGATCAATCGGTACTGCGCTATTTGTTTCCATCGGCAGTGGCCTTGCCAAAGGGGGTCCCCTCAACCTGTTCTTAGCCTATACCATCTACTCATGCATGTTGGGCCTCGTCAACAACTGCATGGCTGAAATGACGATCCTACAACCGGTTTCAGGGGGCTTCATCCGGATGGCGGGGCACTGGGTCGACGATGCCTTTGGATTCATGGCTGGATGGAATTTTTTCCTCTACGAAGCTCTGCTGATCCCGTTCGAGATCACCGCTTTGAACCTGGTATTGTCATTCTGGAGAGACGACATCCCCACTGCTGCGGTTTGCGCCGGATGTATTGTGCTCTACGCGTGAGAATCACCCATCAAATGCCTCTACACTATGCGATCGCATACTAAGATTGGATCTAGTCTTCTGAACATCCTAGCTGTCAGGGCGTACGGGGAGGCGGAGTTTTGGCTCTCTGGAGGCAAAGTCGTGCTGATCTTCATGCTGTTCATGTTCACGTTCGTGACCATGGTGGGCGGCAATCCGCGCCACGATGCATACGGGTTCCGCTATTGGAACAACCCCGGACCCATGGCCGAGCACCATACCACCGGCTCCCTAGGACGGTTTGAGGGTTTCTTGGCCTGCTTGTGGAGCGCATCGTTCTGTGTCGTGGTGAGTGTAGAATGCTTGTTGAATTGGACCTACCAATTTTGACTTCGATTTTGGCTCCGTCCCTGACCTGGCCTTGACACTCATGTATCTATCTTTCTAGGGACCCGAGTATCTCGCCATGGTGGCCGCCGAAGCCAAGCGACCGCGGATCTACATCAAGAAGGCCTTCAAGACCATGTATTGGCGATTCGGCATCTTCTTCATCCTCGGCTCGCTCTGCGTCGGCATCGTCGTTCCCTACAACGATCCCACTCTGGTCGCCATCGTTGGGGGCACTCAATCAGGCAGCGGCACCGCAGCGGCGTCGCCATACGTGATTGCGATGAAGAATCTCGGCGTCGAAGTTCTGCCCCACGTGACCAACGCTCTGTTAGTCACCAGCATCTTCTCCGCAGGAAACACCTACACCTACTGCGCGACCCGCAGCCTATACGGTCTTGCGCTCGAAGGGCGCGCACCCAAGGTCCTCGCGAAATGTACCACGAATGGCGTCCCGATCTGGTCCTTCTGCGTTGTCATGCTCTTCCCGCTCCTCTCGTTCCTGTCCGTGTCTAACGGCTCCTCGAAGGTCCTAACCTGGCTGATCAACTTGATCACGGCAGGCGGCATCATCGACTACATCGTCATGTGCGTCACGTACCTGTTCTTCTACCGCGCGTGCAAGGTCCAGGGCATCGATCGCAACACGTTCCCGTATACGGGATGGTTCCAGCCATACTGCGGCTGGATTGGTCTCGTGTGGATGTCTGCGATTGTCGTCTTTTACGGATATTCCAGCTTCACGCCCTGGGACGTGGCCACCTTCTTCAGCTACTACACCATGGTGATTGTGGCACCGGTGCTGTATCTCGGGTGGAAGCTGGTCAAGCGGACCAAGGTCGTGCATCCCGCTGAGGCGGATCTGGTCTGGGAACGGCCCGTGGTGGATGCGTATGAGGCGTCGTTCATCTCGCCCCCTGTCGGCTTCTGGACGGAGATGATGCAATTGGTAGGCATCAAACGGGATAGGAAGGACGAGAGACGCGCGTCGGTGGTGTCCATGTCGAGCGAGGAACGGCAGGAGATCGGTGAGAAATGAGGAGGCGGATATGAGCTATAGCCTACAGCACTCAGGATGCCTTGAGCAATGGCTACACCGCACGTGTAAGGACTTGCGCTTAGGAAGACTGGCGTGCATTTACCACCAATGAATGAATTATACTCTGTAACTGAGATGTCAAGTACTGTGGTGACACGATGTTGTGAAGAGGAGCGTCTTTCCAGATACACCTATACATATCACGCACTCTCACATCCCGATCAATTACTCAGTCCTGATACTCCAGATCATACGCCAGCGTATCGTCGGCCAACTCCTCCCTGAACTTATGGACCCTGTCACGAGACAGTCAGCGACACACTCGGAGACTCAGTTGTGCTGGGAATCCACTTGATCCATTCCGGTTGATCCAATCCACATACGGAGCCTGGTACATACGGAGAATACGTACTCTAAATGAGCAGGATGCTCCGCATAAACCTTGACATCGTCCGCCTTCTCCAAGATCGCTACCAACCCCATGTTGAAGCCCTGGCCTCTGCTCGCCGTGGAGGGTAGCGGCGTGTTCACTTCCAGTTTCGTCAGGCCTGGGATCTGCCCGACCATGCCTTTGGCCTTGGCGGTCCAGGCGGCCAGCTGCGCGGGCGTGACGCCGGGCTTGAGTTTGAAGAGGACTGTGGTGGTTGAGTGCGCTTGGTCAGTAAGTAGATACTCGGATCGGATGTTCCGTCCAGTGGTGGGTGCTCGTGGTTAGTAAAAAGGGTCCTCAAATCAAGTGTCCCGCTTGGTGATGGTGATATTCGTGGAGTGGCCTTTGAGGAACTCACCGATGTGGTAGATTGGCATGGTTGCGATCGCGTTGCGGTTTCTAGGCTTTGTGAGCGTGAACGGCTGCTCAATTCAGCTAACTGATAGAGGAGTCTTCGCTGAGGTTTATATCGTGGTCATACTGACTCTCCTGGTACTGCCCTTTCGTATGAAACTCACATCAACTCCACGGCGATATCGGCGGATTGCCGGTGTGCGTGGCGAAGGGCAGGACGGGTTCTTGCTATGCCTCGAGTGCCCCTCACTCTGCGGAGTTCTTACTGGTAGGTGACTGGGCTCGCTGGTGACCTAGCGACCCCGCGTGCCCTGCCATCGCGCCGGGATGTGGCCGAATACTATATTGTCCGCGAGTTAGCGTTGGGCTGTCGTACGTCAAAGTAAGGTTGCTCGTAGGCGTTGCAAGCTTGTTCCTGCTTCTTACCTTCACAAATATCGTGATGCGACATTACTTGCTTCTCACAGCTGCCGCAGAGATGGAGACAGACGAGGGGCACTTTGGCCACGGCCGATCAACGGCCAGCTGGATTTCAGCAACCTCCAAAGAAGCCGAGCCTGAATGTGGCCAAGCGCCACTAACCCTTTCCTAGTCGACGTATCGTGGCGAGGAACAGCAACCTCAAGCGCGCGCCAGCCTCAGACAGCTTTTACTGGAGCTTTCAAGGGAAAGGTGCTCCGTATCTCCCCTCTTCTCTGTTGGCCGGGGCTTGAGCCGTGCGATGGCTACATACAACCACGATGCATTGCTGCGCTACCTGGGGTCCTCTCCTGAGTACATGACAAACAAGGAAGCAGTGACGTGTAGCACATGAGGGAGGAGCTACTGACACTGCCAGACTGATCTTCCGACAAGGCAGAAATGTCGCATGCATGTTGGCTGCAGGTTTTCCTGGCTGGAAGCGCCAGCATGGTCGTCTTGCGGCTACAGGCAGGTCAACCAATGTCTCCGGTCGAGGACTGCGCCATGGTACCTGGTCGTCCTGAGAGGCTGAGTTCTGGTTGTCGTGGGTGGAAGAAACTGTTGGCGGTGTAGGCACGGATATGACATTAGGCAGCATCTCATTTCAGCCTCACCTCATAGTCACAGCCTCATGTCTCTGATCAGAACATCTTCACTTAACCATCAACCATGCACATCTGCAGCTGCTCGCACCACTGCCTTGGTCCACAACCGCGCTCAGCACTGCCTCTAGCCGGGTTTGAGGCTGGTGAATGAGGACGAACTCCCATCAAACAAAACGACCTTTGCGCTCTTCTTCAACGCCATCTCTCTCCTACTCTACCCGCCTGCTCGAAGCTACTCTTACAACCACACCACCTCGCCGAAACATGGCTGCCGCAGACGCTGCATTCCTTCGCGCGGTAGCCACCCACATGATCCTCCCCCCGGATTTACCAGGCGGCGTTGACAGGAACCTACCCGAGATTGATGGAGACCTGCTTCGGCGCGCCCAAGACGCCTGTACTGAACTGAAAGCAACCATCCATAGCGAGTTCCAGCGGGAACTGAGTCTTCTCGAAAGCTCATTGGATTACTGTTACTTCACCCACTCCTCAGCACACCTCGACAGCTTACAGCTTCAGCGTGCATTTCGGAGACTGCAAGAGGGCGAAATCCTAATCATTCACGTCCATGAGCAGAATGCGGGCCTTTTGGTGCGGCATGGCGCTCGGTGAGTTCTTCGCTGCTCTTTGTTTTCACAAGCTTGCCTAACTCTTGAGTGCAGCGACTTGAAAGGTCATGTCATCTTCGAAGCCTTTGAAGTGTCTGCCCAATCCGAGAAAGTCCTCGAATGTAAGGGAGCTTTGCAGTGGACATTTCCTACCTCGGCCGCAGCTATTCCGAATATTGTGTTTGCCGACGAGCACTTCCAGCAACAACTGGCCGACTTTTTGGAAAGAGGCAGCATGGAAAATATCAAGAAGTTCGGGGCAGTCACCCACAAAGCACAGTCACTCGCGTTTGAGCCACGAGACACCTCCGACCCTGCATTGATCACAGGCCTCCTCATCACGATTCTGGTAGGCATTGGTCAACTGGTCAGCGTGCCGCCCATTACTAAGCGTGTCAAAGATGAAGTCCGCTTCAAGGACGCTCTGATTCCATGGAGGAGATCGCCGTTCTGGCTGCTGCTGCGAGTGGGTATCTTGCGCCATCTGGAGGAGCTCACAGGCCCGACTGTGGCAAACACACTGTACAAAGCTCTCATGTGCCTGATGCAAGCTCGACTACTGATACAAATGATCGGCTCGCAGACTCCGGACCTGTCTCATCTGCTGTTCAGGAAGCTTTGTCGGCGTATGGCGAAACTGGAGAAGGATAGAGTCCTTATATCTCGTGCAAACGCCAACACCTCAAGGCTCCATGGCATTGTCCTCAATAGCATACGGCCGGCTTTACTGCAAGCCACAAAGGACGCCAACGTGGCGCTTCAGAATGCGTGGGAGAGCTACAAGTCCAAGATTCAGCGTCGGATCACACCATTCAAAACTCGCACAGCAAGACCTGAACACCTTAGACTGGGCCTAAGAAACAGTGCACCTTACCTCGGTCAGATGCAGCAACATCCCCTCGTCGTGAACGTGCCTAGGGGTACCTATATCATGTCCCCAGCCTTGCGACAATTTTTCGGCGCATACTCTGACCTGGCACACACCGAAGAAGATATCCTAGCACAACACCAACAACTGGCTTCCTTCAACGACGAGACGTGCTCAGATTCAGTTCTGACACTTGCAGAAGATATCCATTCGTATCTTTCCAAGTCGAGCGACCAATGCTACGAGGTCGGCACTGTTGACCGAAGCCGTATGATTCTAGCAACCATGTGGTTATGGGTATTGATGGATCGTTTGTGCTGCCGGTTCATCCTTGGATACTCCCGGTATAAACCAGTCTTCCACCCGCTGGTCTTGGACTGTTTGCTCCTGTCCAGCTACGCTGACTTATGTCGCCTTCATGAGATTCAGTGCTACCTCACCCAGCGTCATGCAACTGCTGACGCCACTGGCCCTCCTCAGACCATCTTCGATACCCCTATGTACGGCTGTTTCGCCGACTGCTATTTTCAGAGCTTGGACTCCGGCTCAGACATTCATCTCCTGAACCAAACCATGCAGGAAGCAGAACAACGGCGGAAGCATTACAAGGAGACCGAGTGGGCGGAAAGAGACGCCGAGCACCAACAGATTACGAAGGAGCTATCGGCTATCACCTGCCAATATACGTTTGTCGGAGATCTGCTGCTCCCAGAGCACGACCAGTACAAATGTACCAAGTGTATTTTGACCAAGAAGGCCGACAGCATCGGCATCGAGCGAATCGAGCAGGCGTTGCCGTACAACAGTGGTGAAGCGAGAGCTGCCTTGCTCGAATTACGATGCCCAAAGGCTTTTTCTGCATGCCGAAATGCTACGTGGGCTATTGCTGCCAATCTAGGACTACCGAATGTCCAGGAGACAAGAAAGGAACCCCTCACAATTGTACACAGTTACTATGCCGAGTTCTCGAGGGAACGCGCGCCTCGCAGAACGGGAGTCACTTTGGCGTCACGCACGAAGTCTTTTCTGCAGACGCACTTCCGATATGTGCGTTTCCCCATCCCTCTGGAGAAAGTGCGTGTCAACAACGGCCTAAGATTCGAATACTACGATCTCACCCGGAAATTGTGGCCAGTGGAACACCTCCACGAAATCACTTTCGGCCATCATTGTTGGGTTCCGATTCCACGCCGCAGCCCATTTGCGCAAATCGACTACCCCTCTAGGGTCCTGCCAAACAACGGGCAGAGTGGAAACAACCAAGCATCATCTGCGCACCCTGCGATGTCCAACGCAACGAAATACCTGGTCGCCAACTCTGCCATCAGCTCCAACGAGGTTTTAGCTGGACTACCGCGCTGCCCACAGACTCTTGGTGCGCCAGAATTCGTGGCCTTCCAGGGGCTCCTGTCAGATAGCCAGCGCTTATGGCCCGCGATCCTAGTTGAGTTGGGATCTTCCAACCTCAACTTCAGCTCTGCAGCCGTCGCATCTTTGCTGCAAGCTCTATCCTACCGCACCGGTCGTCCATGTGAAAACACATTTCATACGACAAACGTGGTTTTCCGCAGCGAGTCGTTCTGCAACGACCTATTGAGCCAAATTGAACGACGCTTGTCGAGCATTAGCTCGAACTGGCGGGAGAGCTCCTGTATGGAAGTCTTGCTTAGCTTGATCTTCAAGGTTGTCGAGCTTGGAAGTGAGACTGTATGTCTCCAGGCTACACAACTCGTGGAAAATGTCAGAAACATTACTCTCAACTGGATCAAGCTGATTCGTGAGGAGCTCTGGGGCACGGTCAACGCAGTTGCTGCGGCAGGGTTGACCCATTCTATCGTCTGGGCAGCTCTGTTATGTAGACGGACTTTCACAATCTGCGACAATTCCCACGAGCCGCGAAGTTGTTCCGCCTTCACCACAGATGCCAGCGTACAATCAGGCCAGAGATCTCTAGCGTCATCGGCCCTGGTCATCTTCATGGAGGCTTCCATTGCATTGCAAGAAAATCTTGTTGAAGATCTGACCAAACTTCTGCCGTCCCTTCGCAGCGCATTGGCTCGCGACGTGAAGATGGTGTGCGGTCTGCAAAGCCGTTTGACGCGTTTTCTCGGAGAGAATCCTCACTCACTGGTCGCTGCGGCGGTAAGCGCGCGCGCCATAAGCGGTGAAGCGCTGTCTAGTCGTCCTACGTCAGTCTCATTCAATGAACGCCATGATGGTGTATGGGCTGAAATTCGTCTCCCGAGCAAATCCAACTTCGATGCTCCGGTAATTGAGTACCATCTAGTCGGAGGCGTGCTACTGCTGGACGGGCGGGCCGTTGAGAGAGAACTTCCCGTCCAGATCCGTCACGCAGATGCCATTGCTCGGCTATTTCCAAACCAGAGACTGGTGGTATACCGCTCGTCTCTGCCCGGGATGACATACAAAGTCGCCTTCGATGTCGAGGGCCAAGAAGTCCACTTTGGCTTCCGGGGAGGCGAACTTGTCATTCGGCTATGGGGACAAAATGGGTCATGGGAGTACCTTCCTCCAAGCATATTCGAGCATAATGACACGTTTGATCTACCAGCATCGCTAATAGACGGTTGTGTACACTGGCTTGATCTGGACTCCAACATTATCGAAGTCAGACGAGCGCCGAAAGTATGGAGATCTGCTCCTGGCAATTGGAACATCAACCTCCATACAGGGATGGCCAACCGCCGGCAATCGACCTTGCTGGATCCAGGCAGTAACCTATTCCTTCACTTCGCCAGTGTCTTCCGAGGGTTTGAAGATCCTCGTCACATCACAGTATACCAGCCGGCACGATGGCCCCTCGCAGTCGAACTCCGCCGCTATGAGTTGACTTTCTTTGTGAACCAGCGTGGGTTTCTGGAGTGTCAGCAACTACGAGCTGAAGTGGATGAAAATCAAGACGCCGGTACTTGGTATGGTCTCTCTTCCAAAATCGTGCTCCGTGATGTCCAGAATCCCTGCGAACGAAGCATTATCGTCCCATTAGCACCCTTGACAGTGCGGCGCAAGGGCATGCATGTTGATGTTCAGGTCCAGAGGGTTGATCCGGTCGTTGGTCGCTTTTTCCTAGATGATGTGCTTGGGAGAGTGACTTGTGCTTCGGAACCTCGACTGTTCTACACGAAGGCGCTGTTACACGCCTCTACGTCTTTCTGCCTCCCTGATCCACTAACAGGGAGAACTGGGGCCGATGAAGCATGCCGCATCCTCCAGGCTGGTGCCTGTCAGCCGTACGCCCCGCTTAATGCTGCGAATGAGATGCTCATCGCCTCAATTGCTGATCTCACTCCGAAGCGGCAATTCTATCCCGAAGACCTCCGTGTTATGGAAACGGTAAGTTGGAGAAAGGATCTTACTGTCGCCACACAAGATGATAGATACTGGCAACTAGTCAACGTCATCAAGCAGAAATCGGACTTGTTGGCGCAATTCAAGCTCAAGGAGGATGTCGCCCTTGAAGCAGAACAGTCTTCCATGCTGATGGAAAGTGCCATTGTCAACGACACAAATACCGACCTTGTGCTCCGAGGTCAGATGCGGCGTCTTCCCTATCAGCGGCCCGACTTGGCCGTGGCGATATCCACCGTTATCCAAGGTTCTGGTGACATACTGTACTGTCCTCGTGGCTACCACGACTACCAGAAAAGCCAGGACCATGTCTTCGAGGCGGCGAGTTTACTGAAAAACTGGCCAAGCAAGCTACCCTCGCCATCGCTTTTACATGTTATGATGCAACAGTGGCCCCATATTGCTGGATATGGTGACGGTATGGTTGTATACGACAAGATACGCCTGAGTGACCGCCTTGACGCAGATATCGCTTCGTCATGGGGTCCTTTGGTCAACCTTTGTCGACTCTCGAGCCAGGACACGAAGTACAAGCTATTGTTCCTCCTGGCAACCATCTCTTTCAGGGAAGAGGTCGATGTGCACGCTATTCACACATTGATCGCGTTCTCGGTGTTTCCGGACCTGAAGAAGATTGATCTGCCCTCGTGGCCATCATACACGCAATTCCGGCCGGGATACACTCCAAAGACCCACTACCTAAAACAACTCCTGGGCTCGAGCGTTTTGCCGTTCGCAACTTCTGGGTCGCAGATCAGTATGACTCAAAAAGAGCGTAAAGCGCTAGATGCTGCTCGACGGGCGCATGAGGTGAAAGCTGTGCAAGACTTGGATTCTCTGGTCAACTTCATGTGTGCACAATGGCCCTGCGCTTTACCGGACCTCAAGCAGTTCTCGACCTCTACGCTTGACACAGATGCCGCTCGATCTGCGATTGCCATGGAGTGGCATGCGATGTTTCAAAATCACGAGTTCGAGGAGCATTTGCGGCAAGTACAAGATGTCTTAGATAGACATCGGACGTCTCCACCGGTCAGAACGCCGAAGAAGTCGGTTGCCTCACTGAGTGGAGCTCCTTCTCGCGGGTTTCCATCGATACAGCTTGATCTGCTCAACAAGGAAGGACCTTTGACAAGCCTGCACGCCCACCAGCGTTCCAGCGGACTCTCTTGTTTCGCGGCGGTAAACCCGCTGGAATCGAACCGAGACATTAAAGAGCTGAGGCGGATTGTGACGGAACTGCCCACCTCTAAATCAATCGTCAGACAGGAATACATTCAAGGGCTTCTGCATTCAATCACGGCATTAGAAGGATCTCGCTTGCGATCAGAGTCACAACAGTCCTTCCTTGACTTTGGTCAGCTCGAAAATCTCATTGCTAGGGCCCAGGATACGGTTGATTTCCAGAAGAGGAGACTTGTTGTGGCTACAAAGAAAGATGAGCCAGGCGCAACTTGGCTCGATGCCGCAGGGCTTTGGCCGATCACCTCGAGTGTTGACATGCTAGAGGCCCTGCGCAGCACTAGCCATATACCGATGACGGCGTCCGTCCGAAGAGCAATCACTACGCTAGGTGTTATGGTCACTCATCTGCAGCGTCTTCGCCGAATTCAAGATGCTTCTTGGCGTGGTAAGACTCAACAGCTTGATGATGAGCTCAAAAACCACGGGCACACCAATTGGGATCCCGAGAAATATCCGGACTGGCTACTCTTGGAGATCGACACCAACATCCTGATACGACCCGTTCAGGCGGACGTGGCTTTTCAGGTTATATCACCAGCATCAGGTTCAAATTCAGTCTTGCAGCTGAATATGGGGCAGGGTAAAACCTCGACCATTATACCTCTAGTCGCTTCCGTGTTGGCCGATGGACATTCTCTTTGCAGGGTCGTTGTCCCGAAGGCTCTGCTTCTGCAAACTGCCCAATTATTGCAGTCAAGGCTCGGCGGGCTGCTGGGTCGAGAACTGTGCCATGTCCCTTTCTCTCGCCGCACGCCATGTACGCTCGACCACCTTCAAGCCTATGCGAGGATTCATCGGTCGACATTGAAAAGTTCTGGTGTGATTATAGCACTACCAGAGCATCTCATGTCCTTTATGCTCTCGGGGCAGCAGCGACTGCTCGATGGAAAGTTCGACGAGGCAACCAGGATGATCAAATTACATCATTGGTTGTCTGGCGTCAGTCGAGACGTTTTTGATGAGAGCGACTTTACCATGGCGGTGAAGACACAGCTCATCTATCCCTCCGGTCCGCAAGTGACCGTTAACGGCGGCAACTACCGGTGGGAAACCATACAAACGGTTCTTAGATTGGTGTTCTCCCACCTTGACGTGTTGGAACGATCATATGAGTCCAGCATTCAGGTCGTACGTCGTCAAGTGGGAGGCTTTCCGTTCATCTACTTCCTCCGCCCAGATGTGCAACAGGCTTTGATGCAGCTAATTGTTGCGGACATATGCAGTGGACGTACACCCTTGCTCAACATTGACAACTTCTCTGCGCTGGAAAGACAAGCCATCAGAGCGTTCATCACCGAAGCCAATCCACAGCACCCTGTGGTCAAGTGCGTCTCCGAGATACACAAGAACAGTTCTGGTGACGGTTACGTGATCTACCTTCTGCGTGGCCTTCTTGTCCATCGGATCCTTATTTTGACTCTCAGCAGGCGGTGGAACGTTCAGTACGGTCTCCATCCACTTCGAGACCCTGTTTCTGTGCCTTTCCTAGGAAAGGGGGTTGCGTCAAACCTTGCGGAATGGGGTCACGTTGATGTTTCTCTGCTCTTTACATGCCTCTCATTCTACTACCAAGGATTAGCGCCCGCACAGTTGAAACAAAGCCTCGAGCGTATCCTCAAGTCGGATGACCCTGCCCGTGAGTACGAGCAGTGGACTCAGGGATCAAGCGGGCTTTCTGACCGACACCGTGACTGGACCTCGATCAATCTCGAAGATACGACTCAGCTGACAGAGATATGGAGCGCGGTCCGCTTTAACCTCACCGCGATTGATCATTTCCTGAACAACTTCGTCTTTCCAAAGCATGCAAAACAGTTCAAGGTGAAGTTGCAGGCCAGCGGATGGGATCTGCCCTTAGCAGGTCACGGTTCCAGTCTGACGACAGGCTTCAGCGGAACCAACGACAATCGTCTTGTCTTGCCCCTCAATATCAAGCAGGATGACCTGAAAGGACTGGCGCACACGAATGCTGAAGTTCTCTGCTACCTTCTGCACGATCGAAATCGTGCGTACGCCCTTGCAGGGTTCCGGGATGACTTGGGCGGACGTGCGGTCTACAGACGCATGTCGGAGCCCGATTTCTTGAGGAAGCTGCGCCGTAAGGGTATCCGGATACTGATTGATGCTGGTGCGTTGATCCTGGAGATGACAAATTTCACTCTAGCGAAGATGTGGCTGGAGATTGACACAGAAGCAAGTGCGGCTGTATTTTTCGATGAAAATAACAAGCCTACTGTCCTCACGCGATCGGGAAGAAAGACACCTCTTGTGGCATCGCCGTACGCCGAGGATCTGAGTACGTGTTTGGTCTATCTAGACGAGTCTCATACCCGCGGCACAGATATGAAATTTCCTCCTCTTGCTCGTGGGGCAGTGACGCTCAGCCTTGGTCAGACCAAGGATCATACCATGCAAGCTGTCATGCGACTTCGACGGCTGGCCACCACCCAGTCCATCACCTTCTTCGCTCCACCGGAAGTACACCAGTCTATTCTTGACTTCCGCTGCAAGGGTGACAACCGCCATCTGGACTCTCATGACGTGGTTTGCTGGCTACTGGAGCAGACCTGCCAAGGTCTCGAAAACCTGCAGCCATTGTTTCATGCCCAAGGCGTGAATTACTGCCAGCGTACTCAAGCAGCAAGCAACAATCCTCAATACCTGTCGAATCCAGCCCAGCGCGACGCCTACCTCGGAGCACTTCAAGACCATGAGCAGCAGTCGCTCAAGTCCTTGTATGAGCCCCGCACTGAGAAGAAGAAGAAAAACCGTATCAAGGATGAAAAGTTTGAAGGCAAGATCGGTTTGCATATCAGAGAACTGGAACGACGAAGAAAGGCTTTTCAGGACACCGGTAGCGCGGTCCATGCCTCTGCGCTGCAAGAAGTAGAGCAGGAGCGAGAAGTGGCGGTTGAAGCTGAGACGATTCGCGAGCGACAGAAGCCTGTCTACTTCCACCCTCACACATTCTCAGGACTGGCCCACGCGCTAAAGGAGTTTATCCTCAGTGGCATTCTGAGATTGGATAATAGCCTCTGGGAGAGCGCCTTTTCTTACATGAAGAGAAGTGCAACCGCTCTCAAATATCCTGCCGAGTTACCGGCCTCTCCACAACTTCTAGTTTCTGCAGAGTTCCGCCAAGCAGTTATCGTGCCATCTGGCAAGGTAAATGACGACTTCTTGGTGAGTCCCCCCGGGCCCCTGACACCTGTTCATATACTGACTGCCAGACAGCGTCCTGTTCAATGGATATTATGGAGTATGAACACCGAGACAGCTATTCTTGTCAGCCCTGAGGAGGCCGAAGAGTTGATTCCCCTGTGTCGCGAAGCGCCGAAGCAGGTCGTGCATCTCTTGAGCTATGCCAGCCCTGTCACCCAGAAGATGCTTCAGTTCAACAGCCTCGACTATTACGCTGTTCCTCCGCTTCCACTCGGCTGGTCAGCGCCGATGTGGCTGAGGATCCAAGTCGGCATCTTCGCTGGTCGGCTCTATTTTCCGTTCGAAGAGCTGGCACACATACGCAGTTTTCTCGGACTTGGAAATGACGATGCGAGCAACCTCCAGACTGACTTGGCCATAGAAATAGAAGGAGAGCGAGTCGAGGGCTCGAGCGGCTCCGACGACCACCAGAGCTGTACACACAACGGAGAGCAAGTCGCACGGGAGGAGCAGGCCATAACGAAGGAGGCACGCACCGCAAAGTTGAAGGCTACTCGAATGCTTACATTCCTCCACGCGTGGCTGGGAATGAGGGGTCGTGGTCAAGACTTTACCCATACACCTATGGGCTATATCTGCGCCCGGAAAACATTGACAGAAGATCATCCGTTTTTCCGCAAAGTCGATGATGACGAGTCTCGGCGAAGCAGAGTTCAACACGCCATGGCCGGCGACACATCAGTTCTGGCACACATGGTTGTGGAGCGGGACGAGGACGGTCATTCTGACGTTGACGAGGAGGAACTAGATACCCGTCATAGATTGACCGAGGAAGAGTTGAGGCTATCGGCGAACGATGAAGGGAGCGGAGGTGAAGATGGAGAGGAAGAAAAGTGTCAGAATATCAGTTCTGGTTCGAAGGGTTGATGTGTGTGGGCACTGTGGTAGACACCCGATGAAAGGACGAAGGTCTAATGGTTGAGACTGATGCTGTTAGTGTGAGATGGAAGCAAAACCCCGCCGCATATGGCTTGTTGGGTGCAAGTGTGTCTAGAATTGACTGAGACGGAGTAGCCAGAGCTTGATGTGAACTGAGTTGGGTAATGAGTTCGACGCCGTCCCGATGAAGGACCACCAGCTAGCTATCGAAAGGCTGCGTAGGGTCGATGTCAGAACGTAGAGAATGAGACAGATAGATGGTAGATTCTCGACTAATGCAACGGGTGCTTGAGCAGGTAGAGGTAACACAGATGATGTCCAGGCATCGATAGGCAATACAGTAAGACACATGTATGATAATCACCGGCTGGTTCTTGGGCGCCTTGACGACTCTGAGAGAGGGAGGTACAGAGGAGGCAAAGAGCACAGGAGATGTAAAATCCGGCTAGCGAGCCGGGAAGATCGCCACAATGCCAGCTAAAAGAGCTGCAATGCACTCGTTCCCTCGTTGAGTAAAATGCCCAAGGGAAATACTGAGAGAGAGAGAGAAGAGGGTACGAGTTTAGAGTCATAAGGACTTGAAGAATTGTGCAGTAAGTACTACCAGTCCCAGTCCCAGTCCCAGCCGTGCCTACTGCCCTCATGTGATACGAGACCTCCTCTTCTCATCAATCCTCATCCTCGTCTTCACTCTCACCCACCCATCCACCACTTTACTTCACCACCCACGGATCACATGTCCCTCTCACCAGCCTAGCCAAAAAATAAATACCACATATATTTCAGTCAAGCACAAATCCGTTCGCAAATCAACCCAAGTACATATCTAGTCTACCATCTCTCGAAACATGACCTTCAGGGAGTGCGTTCAGGTTGGGGTTCTGCCCGGTGACTGTCGACAACGGGGGTGCAGTGTCTACTGTGTCTCGCGGATCTGGCACTGTGATAGGGGAATCGCTGATTAGGTTACGTGTTCGAGGGTAACGAAGGATACCTCTTCGAATCCCAGGTTATCCCTTCTGATTTGTGGTTTTTTTTTTCTCGCGCACAAGGGGATGGGGATGGGTGTATGGTGGGTGAGGCTCTGCGCAGTGGTGGTGTGATTCACTAAGTACCTATAGGTAGGATGAGGACTACCTTCACTTCGGACTCCGTGTTCAGTGCCTGCTGGAGACGGTCCTGTGTAGTGTCGGGCTCGACTGTCCGATACTGTATATAGCCGTGTGCAACATTACAGTACCATGGAACTGTAAACTTGGTCGCGGGTGGCTGTGCCTCAATGTGGCATCTACATCACACCGCATTGCATTGCACCGCATTGCCTTATATCATATCATGTCACATTATTGGTATTATGTGTTCGAGCCATTCTAATCCGCGTTGCATCATTCATCTTTCTTCCACCTCCCACCTCCCACCTCCTACCTTCTACCTAGCTTCCCCGTCCCGTCCTGAGCCAAGAACTTGAAATCTTCTCCCGTCGTTGCCTTCGCCTGGTCACAACCATATCTCCCGCCACAAGTACCGTGCACCTGCACCCTCGTCAAATTCACCCGAAACGCAGACATCTCGACGCGCCCGAACCGTCCCGTTCCGCTGTTTTCGTCCGCGTCACGATCCCAGAAAACGACCTCGTTCAGCGGCCTGCCCGCATACATCTTGGTGTCCACGTCCGCGAGGCAGAAATCATCCCACACGCCCACGCCCGCGGGGCTAGAAGGCTTGTCGAGTGCGAAGACGATGCGCCATAGTTCGCCACGCTTGGTCATCTTTTGCCTACCGTCGTCTCTGCTGGCCCCGGGCTTGTTCACCTCCTTCTGCTTGTCGTCTCTGCTGCCCTCGCGCTCGCCCATGTCCTTCCACTCGCCCTCTCTGCGATGCTCTGTGTTCGGGTTATCGCGATACAAAAGTGTGGGAATAAGTTGTGCATGGAGTTGTCTATCGCTAGGCAACTTGAATTGCGCGCGAAACACCGCGAGCATGTCCGTCGCGTTGGAAATCCAGCGTGTGATCTCGAGCCCGTGCGCCGGCGTGTAGGTTAAGGCGAGGGAGGAGTTGAGGGGCGCAGCCCTAGGGGTCACGTCGGCTTCACCCTTCTTCTCCCGCTCCTGCTCATTCTCGTCCCTGTCCTCCCCCTTCTCTTCTGATGACGTGTTCTCCTCTGACGAGGACAAGAAGGCGAACTCCCCGACATAACTGTCTACTATCTGCCTGGCCGCGAGTCTATCCGCCGCGCGAATCAACGGCACGGTGACCATCTCCAGCAAATCACTCAGAAACTCCTCATCCCCGGCCGTGAAAATCGTGAAGCCCAGGTCGAATTCCGGCACCAGAGCCACAATCGTCCTATACCCGGGGAGTCCGCCGCCTTTGGTGAAGAACGTGACGGATCGACCACCAAGGATCTTCTCGGTCCGGAACGTCTCCCACGGCATGCCGTACCAGCTGCCAAACCCACCCGCCGACGAGAACGAATTAGGCAGCCAATTTATCCCCGATGCCCCGGCGTCCATGTACTCTGTCAGCACGTGCCTCAAAAAGATCGACATGTCCCCGGCAGAGCAGTACAATCCACCTGTCGGGTTCTGCACGCCCTCGTCGACGTCCCAGTACCAGGCGTTGCCTTTCGGGAGCACGGCCACCTCGTCCGGCGGCTTGGTAAAGGACGTCTCGTTCATGCCGAGTGGGCGAAGGACCGAGGTCGTTATCGCCTCTTCGTACGCCATGCCCGTCACGTTGGCGATGACCAGGCCCAGCAGTTCGAACGCGATGTTGCTGTACGTCGATTTCATGCCGGGTGGGAACAACGGAACCCTGTGCTGCAGGTGGGTCAGCAGCTCGTGCGCCGTGCAGGGCTTGTAGTCCTCGTAGGAGTCGCATTTGGGGAGGTTGGCGCGTTCCGGCGCAGAGTCCCCAATGGGAGGAAGACCCATTGCCGTGTGGTCGTCCGGCCCTGTTAGCAGGTCTCCCTGCGCCCAGTCTCTAGGCAGGCCGGAGATTTGACTAGCGAGTAATCGGAGCGTGATTTTGTCCCAGGCCAACGCACTAGAGTTGGCATTCGAGTCCGAGGTCGCATTCCCAGAATCCCCAAACCCCCAGAGAGGGACGTATTTCGCAACGCTATCGTCAAGCGCCAACCTCCCCTCGCCATGCAAATGCAAGACGCCCAACACGGTAAACACCTTCGTGATGCTCGCGATGCGGTACCGACTCGTCGAATTCACTTGGACGGCGCCCGGCCTCGTCTCGTTTTTGGCGCGGGCCGTATGGAACGTGGACCACAGCGTGCCTTGCGAGGACGTGACCTCGATGGAATACGACGACGCGTCGAGCGCGGTGTTGTTGTTCCTCGTGAGCGTGGCGAGTGAGGCCTCGATCTGGCTGAACGTCTCCCAGATCTCGGAGGCGTGGCCGTCGTATGTGGGTGGCGGGTAGAACGGGGATTGGGACGAGCAAATCGCTTGGATGACGGGGAGACCCGCGATGAGGAGAAGTAACAGGGTAGATAGCTTGCGAAAGGTGGCCATGGTTGCCATCTTCTTGGAGATGTAGAAGTGGTGATGAGGGCCACAGGGCCAGCTGTCGAGCTGCTCAGCGGTTCAGCGGTTCCAACGGTTCCAACGGTTCCAGCGGCCCCAGCGTTAGTGGATAGCACACGAAAGCAATAGGCGTCTTTGGAGCAGTTCACTTGCACCGCGCGTGATGCTCTGCTCTGTTTACGTTCTGCTCTGGAATATATCCGGGTCTGAAACGTAAGGGTCTTCTCTCATGAAGCAGTCATTCTGCATACGGTAGGCAGGCAGGCAGGCAGGCTAGCTCGACGGTCCTTAGATCGTGGACTAGATATAAGCAAGCAACACACACCAGTCAGAGCCAGGCACAAGTTTCCGGACCGACGACCGTTGGGAATGATAGGCCGTGACGGGCCGTGACGGAGATGGAGCGCGTGTTGGAAATGGCTCACGCAACCGCAGGCATATCTGGTATAACTGAATGCAATCCAGCGTCTCCCCGGAAAGGACCCTAGCTGACCGCTTCGTTGTACGTGTCGTTGAGGTTGGAGTCGGTTGGCCTGAACCGGTTTATTTGGTTGGTGATACAGTGTTGTGGGGAAGCTCCCCACACCAAGGCTGGACGATGGGAATACGGAGTACAAAGTACGACACTGAGTACGAGAAGCCCCAGGTACATACTGTGAACGGCTTGGAACTCGGAGACACGGCGTACGTTCGAGCTTGAGATGAATAGGTGGTGGCTAACATGGCCATCATCTTGATCGTCATTACCCTCGCTATGCTATATCCCTGACGCCATCCTCCCCAGTAAAGACGATCCGACGCTAAAAGAAAGAAATATCCACATGTACAAAACACAGCAACAGAGCATCTCATGGGGTATATTGTTCTTTCCCTTTCCCAGGACATTTTCGAGTGAGTGAGCGGACAAGATTTGACTTTCCAGACACAATCTATAAAAATCTCTTCAACTCTGCCAGCTTCACATCCTTTCTCCAGCTTGTACTTTCTGCCTTCGGGTTTCCACCATATCTGTGCATGTCTTCCAAGCAGAATCTCTATACAAAGACCAACATATTAACATCTTGTGGCAGTGAAAGTGAAACGCAAAACGATCGACAGTGGGTATCATCATGTGGCATAAGGAAATGGAAAATTTTCACACACTCTCCAGCCCGACAGGTTCCAAAGAAAATGTTCATTGAGGCAACGGCTCCGCTGCTTCAAGAAGATCATACTGAGTATCCTCCTCGAGAGGGGAGGCATCCTCGTCCACATCCGCAGTCAGGTCGAAGCTGGGCTGATTCTTGACCTGAGTTGGTGTCTGAGGCAGCTCGGGCTTCGATAGCGATGGCGACCTTTCGGGCCGTTTCTCTGCCTGCCTGCTTGACAGAGCTCGAGGTTGCGGATTGTACGCCTTCAGGGGTCGGGCTTCAGGTCCGCCACCCTTTCGAGCTTGCGCCGCTGCTGCAGCAAGAGGTCTCATGGTCGGTGGTGCTTGAAGTGGCGTGTCGCTCGAGGTCGGCGTCTTCTGGCTCGTCGCAGGTGGAGTGATCATACCGGACAGGAAACTTGCGGGGCTTCCAACGGTCGATTTCGATGGTGTCTGGTTGCCGAGATTTGTCGCCAGATCAGACAGTGCCCCGATCGATGTGTCACGCGCTTTGCGCCAATTTCCCCACGCAGCCGCAGCAGCCAGGGGCAGTGCGCGCGGGGACTGAGCATAGCTTGACAAACTGGAAATCGAAGGGAAGGAGCTGGTCATGCCACCTCCCGGGGCGCGCTCTCTCAGCTGTTGCTCCATCTGCAGATTCGCACGCAGCCTAATCGTGGCGTCTCGTACACTGTCTCGGTCGAAGTCAGGTTTGGACAGCGCAGAAGTGATCTCGTCGAGATCATCCACTCGGACGGAAAGCAGCTCGCGCAGCCAACTAATCTCGGTCTCACGCTCCTTGAGCTTGGCGGGAGCGTCCTTGTCAGCGGCAGCGAGCTGTGCTTCGAGTTGCTCAATCTGCTGCTCACGATTCTGCAATTGATCTTGTAAGACCATGATAGATTCTCGAAGGGCTTGCGGTGAGATCTTTTCCGGGACTTCTGTTCCCTTGGCATATGACATCGAGGCGGTCGCTGCGCGTTGAGGTGGTGATGCCACTACGGAGGAGGCGGGTGTGGGCAGATTGACGCCCTTGGCGGTGGCAGCCTCTACAGCAGCTCGAGCAGCCGACTTCGTAATCGCCAATCTGTCCTCCAAATCTGCAACCTTGTTCTCCAGATGTTTGACCTTGTCGTCGCCGAGGCTCAACCTCTCGTTGAATTGCTGCTCGAGCATCGTCCGTGCATCAAACGAGTCTTGGATCTCCCGCGCATGGCGATCGCGTAGTTCATCAAGCATCTTCTCATGAGCCTGGAGTCGTTCTCCCAGAGCAGATTCCTTCTTCTCATCAGCCTCTCCAAGAGCCCGTCGATGGGCCTCGAGAGTCTCAGCTAGAACGGAATCGTGCTTGGCCTTTTGCTCTTCAAGACGCAATTCAGCATCCTCGAGACGGCCTTGCATCCGGATGATTTGCGCATCAGAATCGGCACGGACGTTTTGGATCTGAGCCAGGGCACTTTCCAGCTCGGCCTGCACCTTGAGAACGGACGTTGCAAGCTCGGCGTCCTTGCTATTCTTCGTGTGAGTCAACTCCCGGTCGAGATTGAATGCTTTTGTATCCAGCGCTCTGTTCTCTTCTCGCAGGGAAGCAACCAGTTCGTCCAGTCTCGAGACTTCCGACTGAGCTTGCGCCAAAATATTCTTCAGGTGGAGATTCGCCTTGTGCTCCTTATCCAAGACATCCAAGTCGAGCTCCGCCTTCTCGCGGTGACGCCGCTCCTGCTCGAGTGCCTCCTGAGCAATAGCAATTCTGCTCTGGAGACTGTGCTCTTTGTTCCGCCAGTCTTCCTGTTCAGCGTGCATGTCATGGATGACTTGTGCCATTTGCGACTGCACACGCTCAATCTTGCCTCGAAGACCTCCGCGAGATTGTGTCTGTTCCTGAAGTTGCTGATGAAGTTCACGCAGAGTGCGCTTGAGATCTTTGTTGTTGGCACGCTCGTCGCGGATGTCCTGACGCCACTGGTCGCTCGATACCCGGTATTCTTCGAGTGTATGCTCGAGCGCTGTGTTCTTGAGGGTCAACCCTTCCAGGTCGCGCTCGAGGTTCTTGTAAGACTCCTTCTCTTCCACAAAGGCCTCCAATGTGTGCTGAGCTTCCTCCGAGGACTCGCGATATTGAGAGGCTTCCTCTTCGGCAATACGAAGTCTTAGTTTGAGTTCGTTGATTTCCTCTTCTGCCTTGCGCCGGAGACGAGCCTCTTCTGCAGCATGTTCTTGTGAAATCTTCAGCATACTCTCCAAGCCATCGATCTGGGGCTTGAGTTTTAACTCCGCAGCCTCGTGATCTTCGCGAACTCTGGATCCTCGGAGTCTAGGATGATGCGAGATGACATCTTCCATGATTGTCTTTAGCTCGTTTTGTGTGTTCTGAGAGCCCTTTTGTTGTGCTAGTTCCCTCATCTCCTGCAAGACTCCGTTGACCTCAGTCATGTCGATGGTCGGTTGAGGCTGAGCAGGTAGCTGGTACGCGGCCATGGCTTCAGCAACGGCAGCACGGATCAGGTCTTGTCTCCGCTCACCCCTGCGTGCCAACGGCGACCGCGATCTGTAAGATGAGAATCCTTCAAATGCGTCATAATCATCCTCGTCATCTGCATCCGACTCTTTCTGCTCTGTGGACATGCTGCGACGGTCCTTCTTTCGTGTTGGCTGCGTAGTGATCAATGCCAAAGAGTGCTGGATCGTCTCAAGGGCGCGCTCAAGAGGACCAAGACGATTTTCAAGAATGCCACCAACCAGATCATTGACATGGCCGTCAAAGAATTGGGACCGAAGCTGAAGCTTCGCAGCTTCTGGCGCGGGCAGAGCATCGCCCCAGTCACTGACATCATCTCTGCCCGAGTTCAGCTTGTGAATTCCAATACCAAGTCCGTATGACGGCGGATACGAAGTGTCGCTCGGGGCCGATTTATTGTCGTGAATTCTGCGAGGGCTGGGGCTGGGAGCGTCGCTTCGGAAGTTGCCTCCTGATCGTATATCGATCAGTGGAGTGGACTGGATGGGCGTATCGTTACGTTCAACACCAAGCTCGGGATGGTCCTCAAGATGTTTCATGACAGCATCGATTTCTTCGAAGGATGGAACCGGCTGCTCTTGATGGCGGAGGGACGGGCCTGGCATGGCGAACCCATCCTCTTCCACTTGCGGATGGACGCCCAGTTCTTTCGTGGGATCGGATAACAACTCTGGCGGCGGTTCAGCTTCGTTGTCAGTAGATTGTTCCTCAATGACCTCCACTACCTCCTCTACACTGCTCTGGTCGTTGTCTTCAAATACTTCAACAGTGTCCTCTGCGTCATTAACAGACTCATGATCTTTCTCCACGAGGTGAGGCAGATCAGCACGAAGGGAGGACAAGTCGGCCGTGTGTTTTGTCGGCGGACTTGGCAGGGTTGCATATTTGGAGGCTTCCAATCCTCGGGCTTTCGGTGGCGGAGCGATCGAAGAAGCCACCAGTGACCCCGAGACAGGTGGATTGAACTCGAAAGGTTTCGCCAAAGCAGAAAGAGAAGACTTTGGCTTGCGACTGTAGCCCCTCGACACGTCTGATGGTCGATTGGGTTCCTCTGCCTCTGATTCCACCTTGGCCTGGGACTCAGGTTCAGATTCCTGCTCAGTCTCTAGTTTCTGGTCAATGTCAAGCGGAGGGCGAGCCTCATTAAACATAGCAGCGTCTCTGGCATCTGCGAAAGTGAATGCAGACTCGGCTTCATCGACTTCGTTGGCGTCCTCCGTCTTTGCTTGTGCAGCGACTGGCTTGTCCCCATCTAGTGGTGTCTCGTCCGCAGGAATATACGCCCAGCCATCGAAATGCTTCTTCGGACTTTCCACTTCAGATCCATTGGCGTCAACATCATCCACAATCTCGGAAAGGATCCTTCTGTGATGGAACGGGGCCGAGTCGGCGAAGACAGGACTTCGATCACCGTCGCTATCGTGCCTTCGCGCTCTCTTTTGCCTGTCTGCTGGAGCCACCGGACGACCCTCATCATCAGTCGACTCTGCCTCTGACACATCAGACTGGACGCCTTTCAATTTGGTGGCGAGAAGAGCCCCTGGTTTGCTTGCTCTTCTTGTGGCCTTCGAGCCCGAGCCAATGATAACATTGCCAAATATGCTGCTCATATTATTGGTCGGGCCATCAGCATGAGATGCCTCGTTATCACTCGAACGCGCGCCCTGAGACTGGGAGGGGTTGAATACTGGAGCATCAACGTTGAATGTGGCAGAACTGAAGCTGAATGGGGTTTCTTTGGGCGCGGCTTGCGGCACGAATGACGGTGTGAATGCAGGAGCATCAGCATTCAGTCGTGTTATCGAAAACCTGTTCTTGCTGGCGGAACCCCTATCAACCGGAGGTGTTGGTTTGGACGGTGCTCGGCGCACTGGCATGAAAGCGGGCGCTCCGAACGAGAAATTCGAACTTAAAAACCCTGCGCGAGGATCGAACTCCTTGGCTTCGACATTGAACTTTGTGATGGTTGGAGTAGCTTCCGGAGCGGGCTTCGATTCTGCCTTGGCCGCATCACTTAGAGCCTGCCAGTTCATGAACGGATTCTTGTCGTCCATCAGCATTGGCGTAGCAGCTATGCTTGGGTTGGTCTCGATGTCAGATCTCTCATCCGCGACTGTCATAGTCTCGGGTCGTCTCAAAATGGGTAGCTCTTCATTCACGGTGTCGTCGACGACGGAAGCTTTTCTAAGAGACTGATCATAATTCTCCGGATCCTCAGCGTGCAGGCTGTCATGCTTCGCGTGTAACGCAGCTTCGGTTTCATCGATCTCCCTCTGCAGCGCCATGCTAAGGTTGTGGCGATGACTTTTGGGCGTAGGGTGGGCGATCTCAATTGGGGTGTGGGAGGACTCGCTAAATTGAGGAGTGTGGGACAAGCTGTCGACTCGCTGCGGCAGAACGGGGCTCGGGGTATGTTGCGAGGCATGTTGCAGGGGCACATGTCCTCTCGATTGCAGCAGCTGGTTCCGTGCCTGTTCACCACCGAACTGCATCGTAGGTGCCCGCACGTGCATCGGTTGCGACAGGACTTCTCCCATATTCGGAAGATGTAACGGATGGTTGGGAGAGAAGCTGTTCTGGCGTGACGAGAGAGGTTGGATGTTGGGTCGAGCGCCATTGCCGAAAGCGTTCGGCTGTGGTGGTATCGGCTCATAGGGTGAGATCCGTCCATGGAAGCCTGGGTGTGCCATAGACGGCTTGTAGCCGTGCATGTTCTTCGGCGGCCCATTAAACTGCGAAGATGCGACAGAGCCCGGCTGAGGACTGATGCCAGCGGACGATAGCAGTGAGGGCGAGAATGGGTTGCTCGTGGCTCTGAGTGGATTACTTGCTGATGAGGAGGGTGCAATTGGTGGTGAGGCGGTCAATCCCGGATAAGCTGTCGATGAAACCCGGCTCATTGTGGCAGAGAAAGGTGAGCGTGTTGATGGAGGAGCCTCTGAGCCACTCGGGCTAACACCAAGCGCACGGAGTTTCTCTTCTTTCAGACTCTCGACCCATGACTCCCATTCCGCTTGGTCGGGTATATGGACGTGGAATTGCCGCAACTTCTGTTCCGCGTTCACCTCGGAGGGATCAGGGTAGACGGGACGGCTCTGTCCGCTGCTCGCTTGCGACCCTTCGTGTGCCAGATGGTTCAACTCGAAGCCATCCACAGAATATCCAGCATCAGTCCATTCCTGTATTCGCGCCTGGATTTCTTCCTGTGTCAATAAAGGAGGTAGGCCGGCGGACTCTCGGTCTGTTAGGGGCAATGCAATGATACAGGCCTTGCCTTTCCAAATGACCTTCTTTTTTGGTCTCTGGTAGGAGTGCATCGAAGTCGGCCGCGGTCGAGCTGCTAGGGTCGGGCTTTCCGGTGGTTTCATATCGTCTTCTGCTGGGGAGACTCTGTGAGGAAGAACAGGCAGCGGCATCTCCGGCGTGTCAAGGCTTTCCGACTCCTGCTCGGCCATGTTGCTTAGTCCAACCGGCGGAAGTGGTGTACGAAGCCGCTTTGACCCTCCTAACAGATAGCCGGAAGCATGGAACGTGTCTTGAGTGACAGTAGCGAGACTCTCGGTGCTGCGGTGTTTCACCGGAACGCGACTCACACTGTCAGCAGGGGACGCTCCCCAGCTGTCCAGATATGCTACCCGGGTCGGTGTATTCTCGCCCGCCTTTTGACCTGTCTCAGATCCGCTGTCGTCAGAGTCGCTTAGCCAATTGGGTCTCTCGGACCGCAGATTCCGTAGCTCTTTTGCAGGATCGAGGGTGGCGGTATTTGGGTATATGCGGCGCCAGGAGCGTGGTCTACTACCGCCAATGTCGTCGCTGGGATCGAGGAACGATCGAGTAGAGGAACTAGGGAGGGGGGTGTCTTCGAAGTCCAGGCGGTGACTGGCAGGGTCGGAAGGCGGCTGGGGCGTTCTTCGAGGACTCGGAGTAGCGTACGGCGAACCCCAGGCGGCCGCGTAGTAGGCGCCACTGCCGTCGCGTTGACGCAAATACTCGGGTGATCGGAAGTTGCCTGCCTGGTCGCGGTCGCGACGCAGAGTCGGCAGTGGTGGGAGGGTAAAAGGAGACACCCAGTCGTTTTCTGAAGGAGTGGACGAAAGAGAGTGCTCTTTCAGAGAATGGAATGAGTCGGGACGGCCAGGAGGATAGAAGCCAGTATGGTGGCCGTCGGAAGGGGAATTCTCGAAGTGACTGAGCCCGTCGACGTTCATGAACGGAGGTCGCGGCAGGTTGGCGACTGGCGGAACTCGGCTGCAGAGGACGTGGAGGAATCGAGATCCGAGGCGTTCAGATGGGCATGGACGTCAACACGAGAGCAAGCATCAGGTCCTCCGACACGCGGCGCCATGGAAAGGAAGAATACCAGGGCTGTGAGATGGAGATGAATTCACTGAGACGTGGTGTTGAGGTGTCAAAATCCAGAAACGAGTCCATCGAGATTGGGAAATCAGCCGGCATTAGCAAAGTGACTTAGCGACGCCAACACGACGCGCTAGCCGTGGAGTCCGGTCCTGAACCATCGCTCTAAGTCTCCCTAATTCTGCGCTGGCGATGTCTGATTGGCGGGATGTGCACTAAGCGGCGGCGCCGTCCGCTGGGAGCTTGGAAAATCAGCGCATTATCCAGGGATCAGGGCTACAACCAAGCACACGCCGCCCAAGGAAGCGCCACACGCACACAGCACAAATTCTCCGACACTAATTACACAAAAGGTCGGATGCGGCTCCAAGACAGAAAAGCGACATTCTTGTACCAGTCGAGGTTGCCTTCAGATATATGTACATTGCCGATTCGTACATGCTAGTACCTTGCACGGACAACATCCATTCATCCGGTTATGATCAGTGTTCTCATTGGATGACGGCCCAATATGTCGCTGGGGCAGTGCCTATGGGCTGCCCGTTCCGGACACTCGAACGCCGTGGCTGAAATCACGATTCCGTCCTTGCCAACCCGTGTTTGCTGGTCGTCATGTTTGTCGTCATGTCGTTATCTAAACAATAGAGCCCGTGATTCTGATCGGGCTCGAATTTCCATACGTCCTTCAGATTTGACAGTTTCCCTCGAACGCCTTGCGTGCCATGGCTAAAACGCTTCAAAATTGAACGGCCTCTCTATGCACCGAAAATGTCTTCCATGTGGGATCCAGTGCCTTGGTGGCCTCGAAGAGGACTTGCCGGCCGTCGTAGTCAACATTCTTTTTGATCTCGTGGAATCGGTTCTCTTCGGGGACGAACTCTCCTTCTTCCAGACCTTCTTCCTCGAGCTCCATGATCCTTTGAGCGAGGACTGCCATGATGGGACCCTCCCACACGCCTTCCTTGCCGGCTCGCTTCAGTTGAGCCACTGCCCGCCGCCGGAGACCCCAATCACGACATTTGCAGGCGACAAAGAAGAGCGGGTGGACGATACCGAGCTCCATGGTGAAAGGTGTGGCTTCGTCCTCCAATGGCCTTTGTTCAGGCATGCCAAGGGCCGTGGTCATCTGTTCAACCTTCGAGACCATGTCCTCAAAGTCATCTTCGAATGCATCAAATGTGCTCTCCGGTCCGCTGTCTATACACGCCCTGAGCATAACGACCGCTGTCTTGATCTGCAGTCGGAGCCCCAACAGGCTTTTGATGTCGGTACTGCTTAGTCTCGATCCCTGGACTGAGAAGAAGTTCTCCAGTGCGGCCATCCAGGCGTCAAATATGTCGAGCGCCTCTTGACGTCGAGTCTGCCACTCCCATGGCACAGTATCGCGTCTCCAATACCGATACATCCGTGCATCCGACTTGACCAGCTGGTACACCGAAACAAGAAGATTATCGAGATGGTAACGAACTTGACCCAAGGTGAGGTTGGTGGGCAATATCCGAGGGACTTGGCTAACATCGGCTGCTAAAGGTTCTGCTAGGTCTTTCGAGAATGTGCATGCCTGTATGTCGTATCGAGCAAAGACTCGCAGGAGCTCATCGACTTCGTCCTGAGGCATCTCGCGGAATTTCGCTTTTGAGCCCCGAGAATAGGGTGTGAGCGAGCTCTCAGTGGTCGGAGGGATGTTCATTTGCTTGATCAATGCTCGCATGCCTTGCTGATAGTGGATGACGGCGGCCATGTTATTGCGGCGGAGGACTTCGAAGCAAGCAAATAATATACTTGCGATGATGGCGAGCTTGGCGTTGGATTTGGTGGGCTCGTTCAGTCTCTGGTTCAACTCACGCAAGGCACCCCCATAGAGCTTCAAGGCGTGTTGGTAGCTCTGGTCATCAATCAGTTGAGGGCTGTATTTGCCACAGCGGTCCTGGTAATCCTCATGCAAGGTCCCCAATGCAATGATTGCGTTCCGGACCACCGGTTCCTCCTGACCCACTTTGAGTACGAGCTTCGTCCAGAAACCTGTTTCGGACCCTCCAGCAAAGGCGGGTACCGTGCAATATTGAAACCGGTGGAAGATACGGCGTTCTTGGGTAGTGCCTTGAAACGGCTTGGTGATTGAATTGGGTTCAAATAGGTATTCGAAGACAGCCGGTCGCCGCTGAGGTGGCAATACCGCGCTTGATGCTGAGCTGCTAGAGCTGTCCTTGGGGAACTCGTACCCGTCGCACTTGCGTCCGGTGGAGGTACATCGCTTACCTGGAGGTCAAGTGAGCACTAATACGGACAATAGAAAGAGAGACGTGGCTGGGGCCAAGTGACGGCACACTTACAGCTCGGTCTGGTTTCATCGCATTTAATCCTACGTATCTTCCCATCGTTAGCATTCCAATGCGATGTAACCAGTAGGAGAGCGGGGGAGGAGTCGACTCTGGCCAGAGACACGGAATGAAGATGGGGGACCGGTGCTGGCTCAGCTATCCACAGAGAGGGTCAAGGCTGTGGCGGCTGCCATACGAGCATTGAGCCGTGCACTTAAAATATGCGAGGCGGCCATTGGGTGGGGACGGCATGGAACGACTTCTTTCTTTGAACTCACCTTGCACGTCTTGCATCCCGTTCGTACTTTTGGTTTGCTAGCCCTCTTCCGGCGCGCCAAGGCCAGGGAGGAGCTACTGGATGACGAGTGCCTTTCCGACGCCCTGCCAGGCATTGATTCAACCCTAGTATAGGCAAGGTCTGGCTCAGGCACGGGCACATACTGTGGGACTGCCAGTCGTGAGGGGATTGGGATAACATAGGGGCCAGCATGACCTTGTGGTGGCCACATGGTGCGGGCGGAGTTGAGAGCGGGTGGCAAGAGGGCGCGTCAAAAGTACGAGGGGCGCCAGCGCAGAGTTTGAGTACCGACAGACCTGCGGCGGAGATGTGTCCAAGCTCGAAAAAGGATTTGCCAGTGGCCGGGTTGGTGGCAGTCGCCTCCGCAGTGGTTGGCTCGGGTCCTGGGTGAGCGTGCTATGTAAGTACTGGAGATGGATGATGGAGGGGCGAGGCGTGATGGAGCAACAACTGTTACGAAGAAGCAAGCTTGCGGAAATTATGTACGTATATACCAACGAAGGGAGTGTCAAATGCCGTCAATGTCCTGGTCGGACTTCTGAAAGGTCCTTTGTCGAAAAGGCAGCCTCGCAGGCTGCCTCAGAGTGTTTGGAGCCTCAGCTGGAAGAAGGGGCCTCGGGAGCGGGAAGCAGCCATTCAATAAGACTGCGCAGAGGTACAATTGGTAGTAGCACAGGCAAGGACGAGCACGGTCGACAAGGCCGGCAAGCCTCGAAAGCCCGGAATGGCGATGGTTTAGGCGGTGTCGCCGAGGGACCAGTTAACAGTGGATGATCGCTTGGGGGACAATAGGGCTGGCAGGAGACGATGGCGACCCGAACAGGAAGGGTCGTAGGCAAGTCCGAAGCGCCAGTAGTTGGAGCACGGTTATGAGCCGAGGCAACAGAGATTGGGGATGGGCACCAGTACGTGAGCAAGTCCTCTAAGCTCGTCGGTTGACGTTGGATTGAAGACAAAAGGACCTTTGGTGGGGGATGAAGGATGCGGGATTGCAAGCCAAAAGGCAAGTCAGCTGGGAATATGAAAGTGCGGGAAAACTGGAAACTGCTCGACAACCGCTACGGTGTCGGCGACACGCCCGTCCCGGCCTGGCTCCAATCACCCGGCGCCTCCGATTCGCTTCCGCACGGTCTAGCGCCCTCAACAGCCGCTGGATTGGTTGGATCGTAAACCGCTTGCATACATGAGGCAGCGCTGTGCCGCCACGATCACCACACCCAGTTGTTCAGGCTTGGATCTCAACTCACTCACTACCGAACCATTACCGACGACCCAAAGCCTTGCTGTCCGAGTGCGAGAAGGGCTTTGAAAGCATGACGTATTATTGGTCACTCATGCGAAGACCTAGAGACGCCACTGTGTAGATCCGATATGGCATGTAGCACTCCGTACTCTGTACGAATCTGGAGGTTCTCATAGCTGCATTGCAAGTTCTCGGTAACCTCTTGATATGTGGAAGTGGCTGATGGCGATAGATGTGTTTGCTGCCACATTGTCCAATGGCCGATGCACACATAAGATGGCAGTTTGCCCATCCCTTACCTCGTAAAGCATTCAAGACCCGGAATTTGAGTGCACACGCTCGCGCCGAGTTCTCACATGGGAATCCGAAGCTCATCCCGGTAGAAAGCGTCGATGTATGACCTGCTGATAGAACCAATTTGGAGATCTGGTAATCTTCAATCCCTCCGGCGCTCGTACCTCAAGGACTCTCTTCAGGCATGTACGGGAAGTACCCGGTACCCGTCCATGTTTTTGAGGTTTGTATGCAGGCTTCAATCCCATGAGTACCTGCTTGGAACACATGAGCCGACCTGGCATTCACCTTAACACCATGCCTAGCTCGCTAGGTTGCTGCGTTTGGCACGGCGGAACACTTTGATTCACAGACACTGGAGTACGGAGCGTCAGACAGCATGCAGTGAAACACGCGAGCTGGGCGGGTCGGTAAACCGCGTCGCGTGCTACTCAAGCCTGTTGCTCTGCACTACATAGTACACAGTACAACATATGCACAATCCTCATAGCTGCAGCGATTCCCCGTCCTAGCTTAGTTATCATGGTAAGATACGTTTCGTGTGAAAAGTGAACCATTTTCTGACATAATCCCATGACAGGCTTCTCTTCGTCGGCTTGCAAAGGACCATGCGAACTTACAATCCGCGCTTCCTCCCAACTACCTCTTCGCAGATGATGAAGATGGCTCCTCTTCAGATGATCTCACACAGCTTGTGATCCTTGTTACAGGCGCGGATGGCACGCCTTATGCATCGGGATTATGGCGCCTGAGCTTGAAAATGCCCATGGACTATCCCAAGAGTCCACCCAAAGCCACCTTCAAGACGCGCATATACCATCCAAACGTCGATGAGAAGACCGGCGCTGTGTGTCTCGAGACACTAAAGAGAGACTGGGATCCAAAGTTGACTTTGAAGGACATCCTTGTCACCATATCATGCCTCTTGATTCAACCCAATCCCGATTCGGCATTGAATGCAGCCGCTGGAGCTTTGATACAAGAAGACTACGAAGCATTTTCAACGCAGGCGCAGTTGATGACAAGGATACACGCGCCCATCCCCCAGCATATGTTAGCGGCTGTTCAAGAAGCGAAGCGACGCGGTGAAGATGCTGACCACAAACCGGATTCAAAGCATGTGGTCAGTCAAGCAACGCCTGAACAAGATGACACGAAAGAAAATGATGCGAGTGGACCGGGCGAAACGTCCACATGTCCTCGTACAAGTTCGCAGGCTACTATCAGAGCAAAGCGGCCTCTGTCGGAACTACCGCTTCCCGAAGATTATGATGCCGGGAGGTTGTCTGACACCGGTTCAGAGCCGAGAAGGAAATCACCGAAGACGACGTCTGCAGACGTATCAGATCGGACAACAAACCCACAAGCCGTGGCAACTATAAACCAAGCCGAGAAAGCGACCGCGCTCGGAGAGGACGAAGCGGAAGGAAACAAGGTTGCAGACAAGCAGTCATGCCGTCCTCCATACCCATATCTTGTTTCTGGTCCCGTTGCAGTACGCAAACCTATGAACGGAAAGAGAAAAGGACAGCCACGCGTGGGGATTCGCAGGCTCTGATGTGTGTTGATCACAGACTATGGCGTTGTTTGCTATATTTTGAGGCTTTCGGTCCAAGCGTTCAAGCGTACTGTGTAGTCATGGATAATGAATGGGATAGGAACAGTATGGAGGCTGGTGAATTTAGCAACGCGTTGCCCTCGCGCAACAGGTTTAGCGATATGGTAACCTAGGAAGACACTCAAGCACAGAACCGGCTTTTTTTCTGTCTCAACAAACAACAGCGGTGGCTAGCCGGTGGACGTTGGCCGCGTTGTACCGGTCTCACGTGTGCGCATGGTCCAATGATGTGGGTGACACAACGAGGACGATTTGCATCATGGCACACGGTCCAGCCCCTCCAGCCTCCAACTGGCCAGCCACCATTTTAGGCCTAGCCTAGGCCCGGCTTAGCTGCGCATCATCTGCGGCTACCCCTGAACAACCCCTCGCAGCCCCCGCATTTTTGTTGTTTTCTAGTCTCATTCCGGGAAGGGACAAATAGAAGGCTAGAAGGGGGGGGCTGGAGGCATGGCGGTTGAGGCGAAAGGGGGTATGGCAACTCCTATATAGACTATCTGAATTCATATGCAGACCTTTTGACAGATAACATCCTCAAGACAACCTGCTCTACTGAATACACTCAATCATCATCGACGACCCTGCACAATTGTACCCGTCAGTCCCCCATCTTACAACGGTTGAGCAATCTTGATTCCAAGTACCTCCGAACCATCACCAAATATGCACACCACACAACTATCTCTATCCTTCCTCTCCCTCGCCCTCAGCTTTCTCTTCCAGGTCGGCACCGCCCAAGACACCACTCTATCAGCAGTGTCAGAGTATCCCGACGGCCAGCCGCAGGCGCCTCCCACTGCGGCGGTAGCCTCATCCTCCTCAGTGCCCTCGACGTCGTCCTACGAGAACCCCTTCACAATATACACCTCCATGACCAACTCGCTGGGCGTCATCACCGGCATGCCGTCCGTGGTGACTTCCCAGCCCACCCAACCGGCAGTCATCACGAGCCAGCCTCAGTCGCCCACACTGCCCAGCTACTCGGGGTACTACTACAACACGACCAGCTCAGCGTCGGTACCGGTATCGAGCAGCCCCACCACGCTGGCCACAAGCATGACAGCGGTCGCTAGTGGGACTTCGAGCAGTGAAGGAAGTTCCACTGGTAGCTCATCCAGCAGCTCTAGTCCTGCGATCCCGCAAGCCACTGGCGGCGCGGCGGCCTTGAACAAGATCACAGGAGCGGGCGTTGGCTTGGTTGTCGCGGCGCTGGGATTCTGCATGCTATGAAATGATGCTTTGCGCGGGTGGGGTGGAACCTGCTTCTTCTTTTCAAAAATATGAACCGATCACTATCTCGATCATTGTGAGACTTACGTGTTCTCGGCACGACGAATCACAGATCAGATGATTCTTACGAGCGATGAACTCCGCCGAACACGTCGAGAGAGCTGTTACAGATTGAAGGCGATTGGAGAATTGAACACGGTACGTAAATGGAACACGATATGGAAATGCAACACGAGCGAGGAGTTTGGGAGAACAGGTTTATGTGACTTGTAATTATGTCGCGTGCAAGGGATACGATACCCATTATGCCTTCATGCCATGGAAGCGCTCCAGCTGATGAATGGCGATTACATTGGGATTTGAAATCTGGCGACACTGTACGGGGTAGATGGCAATGATAAATCGGCCCGATTGAGGCTTTTGGCAATCGAACAGTAATAAACAAACATGGTTAAACAACATGCTCTTTCTTCCGTTCGGTCTTGTGATCTTGGGTAGGCACAGCCGGGGCATCTGAATGCAGCTCGATCATCCAACATGGGCCGATTTCGCTTCGAAAGTGACCTCTGTTCAGACAGTGGCTCCTATCCCTTCGACTTGTCAAACCAATACATGCCGTCAAGCCTTCTCCGCAATATGGACATGCTTTTCGGACATGCCGCTCTGAGCCTCCAGGCCTTGCAGTTCTTGACTGGCATCAATGTGTGATATGTTCTCGAAAGGCATGATTTTTTCCTCTCGGGCGTGGTCGCCGACAAACCACAGCCCGAAGTATACCACGCTGCTGATCGTACATCTAGATCCAGGCTGCGATCTGATGACGTGCCCGGCTGCTTGTCGGTGGCTCGTGACAAGAACATGATCAGCCCGTCACAGAGACCGAAGAGCTTAGTAGTCTGCTTGGAGAATCGGCTTAAGTATTCGTGGAGAGAAGCGGGCATGAGATGATCCTGCAGGACATGGGAGGTGCGCAAAAGGCGTTCTTCAAGATGTTCGACCGGCTGTAGGCTAGTAAATACATCTGGTTGCGAATTCAAACAGACTGATATCAAGTAGACTGAAAAAGACGGGCTGGCGAGCGTGCTCATGGCCGTACAGGCCACGCCTGTAGAGGTACAAATTTGCTTCGTTAGGGTTGTACCAAATGCCGCGATGCTGGGGTCCCGAAAGCGAACATGGCTTGAAGAGGTCAACAGTGAAGCCGGGTGGTACCTGGAACTTGCTGAGCGATAGAGCCATTCCTGTAACTCTGACACGACTTAGACCACGGACCTCGCTCAAGTCATTGAGCCCTCCGCAGTTCCGCTGGTGTGAGTTGGCATAGCCGCATATCGATAACTTGAGCGCCAACCGACACTGCGACACGGCATTCCATCCCAACGAGACTCGTCTTTGGATGCTGCCGTTTATGTGTCCTTTCTCCAGTCCATTCAAATCAAGTCAAACACGATGTATTCGATTTCTTATGCCCCTCCCTGCTGTTTCGCCCAGTCCGCGAACTCTCTTCTCTGCGCTCTGATATCCATGAATCCCACCCGCTCCTCCAGGCCTCGGAAGGGATTTGCTTTTCCGCCATCTCGTTCAATCTGTCCGGCCCACGCGCTCCAACTAACCGGCTTCAACGGGTCGGAGCCCAGCACGAGACCAAAACACGCCAGAAACACAGACACAAGGGTCTCGAGCTTGATGTCTAAAGGCAGTGCGGCATTCTTGTGGAGTTTGGTGGAGAGCGTTGAAAATTCGTGGGCGGAATAGGCCCTGGTATTCCTGTTAGTTGTGGATTCGGCATGGACTGAGAGGCTGCCTTTACGCATGGAACAGTGATAGGAGCCCGACGAGGACGAACAGCCGCGAGAGCGCCGTCATGCTGAGAGCTTTGTCGCTCGCGAGCAAAGTGCGACAAATACTATGCCCCGGATTTAACAAGTGTTTGTGCAGTTCAGATTCAGTGTGCAACCGCATCGAAAAGTGACAGTCATATCGGCCTCGGATAAATTGTGAAGCCATTCGGCTTAATGCGGCGTGTAACAGTTACTTAGACTAGGTTAGGGATTGGTCCGCCGCTTTAAAGCTCAATGCCTCAGCCTTGCTCTCCGCAGCGTGAACGGCCCTGCCACCTGCATCCTGCCACCTGCATCCTGCCACCTGCATCCTGCGTCCGAGGTAGATTCTACTGTGTACTGTAGGAGCCGAGGCCGACGGAGGACAATGTAAATCTCACGCTTTGGTGATTCTAATGTCATGGTGCTACAGTAGGTCTACTCATGCGATGGCGTGCTCGCTACGCCGTATCGTATGTAAGTCAGCGAAGCGGCCATCTGTTAGCAAACTTTGCCGATAACGGACCAGTCCACTTCTCCTGGATGTATCAAAGTTTTTGTACCATAGTACCCATTCAAGGGACAACCAAAGTACTGCGGTAGACGCACTTCGTCTTTGCTCCTGACCTTCTCCATGCAGGTCTCCCCCTCTCTCTATCCAAAACACTTCAACTACCAGATTTTTGATCCCACCTTCGGTGCCGACCCTCCCTCGTGGCTACAATACTGTACCGACAATGTTGAACTCCATCACCAACTTCTCGAACGATCCAGGTGAGCATTCCGTCTGAGTACTTAGCCACACTCAGCTGAATCCACTAAAATCATATCACAGTTGCTGTCGAAAAGACGCTCAAGCTACTTCAATCGACCGCCCAGATCGCGGCCAATATCGGCTACACGTCCCCAGACGAGGCTACCTTATGGACGGTGGCCAAGAATCAATTCGCTCTGGGTAAGCAGATCTCATCACTGCATTGTACTGCATTGCCGCATGACCTATGCATTCGCCCCACATACAGCCCTGCTGTGTACATCTCTTTCCGACATATATTTCCTGACCCGCGCGTGAACCCCGACTGCGTTTCTAACATTGAATCTAACACACCTACCTACCAGCGCGTCGCTTCTTCCGCCTCGTCAAATGGATCGACTGCTTCAACAACGGATACGCACAATACGAGCTATACCAGCATCCGCGTGTCAGTAGCGAGAAGGCAGCGACCGGGGGTAACGCCACTTCGGCACAGAACGGTCTTCACTTCCTCCTCGTTGTGTCGAAGTGGTCGTTGCTCGGGGCCTATCTCTTCGTTGAGATGTTCACGATCGTCGACGCCGTGGCTGGCACGTGGAGGCCCTGGGCTGTAGCCACGCAGACCGAGGCGCTGAAGCTGTGGTTCTACGCCCTGGCCGTCTCTGTCATGTTGGATCTGTACGAGATCTTGGTCGTCTACTCGAGCGACTCGTCAGCACCGGTACCGGCAACGACACCATCACAGCCAGCAAGCACGTCCAAGGGTTCACCAATCAAGGAGGACGAAAAGCAGGCAATGCGAAGCACCAAATCTCCCCCCAACGCAGCTCCCGCTGCGGGTACGGACTCTTTCGCTTTCAACGCGGCCAAACGACGGTCGACGTACAGACAGCTTGTTATTGACGGGTGCGATCTGCTCATCCCCGGAGCCGCAGTGGGATGGTTAGCATTGGATCCCATCACGGTGGGTGTCGCCGGATCGATCAGCGCGCTGGTTGGCGGCTCGGAAGCATGGGCGCGGGTCAATGGGTAGAATGAACATGGTTGAAGCCAACGTGAAGTCAATCAACGATGCTGGGGCTCATACAGTTCAGAGAAGACTTCATCATCTTGTCGTCGCGACGCGACGCAAACGTCTCATTACACAACGCAAGCTATATTAATCTACCTCCGATGCTTTATGCCTGCCATCTCCGTCCTCAATCCAGGTTCTCATAATAACTCTCATCCTGGTTCAGCAGGTAAAACGGGTCCGGCTCCGGCTGGCCATGCCCACCATGCCACACGGGGCTGGGCAGGCTCGACAAGCCGCCGCCCGCCTGGGGGGAATCCGCAAAGATATGCTCGAACGTCTTGGCCCACTGGACACGGTTGTTCAGGCCCTCCAACCCCCAGAGCTGCTGCAAGAAATGCAGCATCGACGAGTGCGTGTACGCCGAGTTGTCGGCGTACGAGGTGCCCTGGTCGTGGATCAGCGTGTTGGGCGTGATCCACGGCGAGATGGCAAACGCCGGCACCCGAACGCCCAGCCGCGTAAAGTCGTAGCTCACGTTGTGGCCGTCGGACTTGCCGCTGAACGTGATGCCGTCTTCGGGCGCGGGGATGTTGACGGGTGGAGGGACGTGGTCGGCAAAGCCGCCGTGTTCGTCAAAGTTGATGATCAGGCTGCGGTGGTGTCAGTACGCGAATCTGCTTGACAAGAGGAGGGGGGGAGTAAACTACTCACAGCACGTTGTCCCAGTAGGAGGAGTTGCGGAGCGAGTCGTACAGGTGCTTGATCATCATCTCGCCGGCGGCCATGTTGCTGGTCGGGTGCATCGAGTCGATGGTGCAGCATTCCGGGTTGATGTACGAGAACTGGGGCAGGTTGTTGTTGGCCAGGTCCTCGTAGAACTGGTCCGCGTGCACGAGCCGGTCCATCGCGTTGTCCTGCACCCACTTGTACATGTACGCGTCGATGATGTCCGTCTCGTAGTAGTTCTTCCAGGTGATGTTCTTGCGCGACAGCGACTCGAAGATCGACACGGCGCAGTCCGTGCCTGTCGTGTTGCTGAACCAGCCCGCGGATTGGTCCGTGTTGTCGACGTACCCGCAGCTGGAGCCGGACGTTGCGAACTGCCGGTTCGGATTCGTCGGTCCGGGGTGTTCGGCGTAGTAAGAGTCCCAGAAGGCGTAGTTCTGCGCGAGCGTCATCAGAGTCGTCGCCATGTCCGGGTCATACGCCTTGATGACAAAGGAGCTGTCTCCCGGCGTGGCGTTGTATCTCTCGGATTGGCGTTCGATGAAGCCAGACATGTCGGGCACATCGTCGGCCGTCGGCTCCCACTTGCGGTAGATCTCGTAGCTGGTGCCGGCGAAGTTGTGGTCCGGGTCTTTCAGAGGGACTTCGGCCTCGTACTTGCCCGCGCAGATCAACAACGGCTCGTTCCACACGGTCCAGTTGGGGTTGGTGAATTCGTTGCAGTATGACACGTTGCGCAAGTTGTCGATGTCGGGGTTGAAGTCCCAGTACCCTACTTACCGTTAGAAGTTGCCGATGCAGCAAGAGGTGACAGGGCAGAGTCTGGCGCGCTGCAGGGTCCCGACTTCGAGACGACTCACCAGCAATGTTGTCAAAGGAGTGGTTCTCCATCATGAGATACACGACATGCGTGATTTTGCTGCTCAAGGTTGACCATGTCGACGCCCGGCGGTCGACTGGGATGGCAAGAGTGGAAGAAATGAGCGCGGAGGCACTCAAGACAGAGAGCGTGGAAAACATCTTGACAAGAAACTGCTCCCTCTGGGTTGTAACCTTCGGTGGTCTGCGGCGGCCCTCTTCCAGCCAAGTAGCGGGTTACCGACCTTTTATGCCCTGGTCCGTCGTGCTTCGCACCGAGCCTCGTGCAGCACGTCTCAACATGCCGACATACCCTGACGGCTTTCTGCCGGACTTGAGGAAGTAGGTGTATGTGCACACGTCGTCATGGCTCCTCATCCTGCGTTCTCGTACAAGAGTTCGCAAGCGAATGCTGTGTCTGATCGTCGACACGTTGCTTTCAGGCCTCGACTCCTCGCAGTGTCTAACTGCCGACATTGTCACCTTCTGTGTAGGGCAATACAGTCCGTTAGCGATCGACCGCATGCCACGCTCGTGTATGGACAAGGACATTCGAGGACCCGTCCGTTGAACTGTTGGTCTCATGGGACTTGACATGAAGAGGAAGCTATCAACTTGATAGCCTCGTCAAGGTTCTTCGCAGCAGTAAAATCCTACCAACAGAAGCGGGACTTGCATTAGCAGCGTGGCGCCATGCAGGGATGGAAGCTCCAGCGTCGATGAGTCTTAGCCGATGCTTGTCTCGACTTGCCTCGCTTGCTTCTTTGCAGCCCTGGCCTTGGCTAGAGTGCGCCGTATCCCCAGACCTCCAATCATCTGCACGTGCCTAACCCTAACCGCGCTAACCGGCGAGCTCTGAATTTTGCTCACTCAAGACAATCCCACGTTTCTCTTTGACAGGTCGTAGGCAACACGACGATCCTGTCTGCTGCTACAGTAGCTAAATGGTCCCGGCGACGCTTTGCATGCAATAACCCAACACAATGCCCCATCTGGAAGGTAAGAGACGGGAGGAATGCCTCGCTTCCCAGCACAGTCTACGTTACATTCGTACAACGATCAAGGTGCGAGGAGATAACAACCGGTGAGTTCGCGATGAGAAAGATTGGAAGAGGATAGCGACGGCCAGACAACATCCCGTAGGCCCTTGGATCTTTCCCAGAATCTTTTCTCCGTCCTCAATCATCGACTTTGTTCGCCGCGGGAGAAAAGACCCTTTTAGCCAGCACTATTTCGCGCGAAATATCTTACACGAGAAGACTTTCATAATGTCAATCGAGAGCTTCGAAGACACAAACGCCATGGCGTCCATGCTCAAAGCGCTCATGAAGCACCCATACACACCCGTCCCCGTTGACACGGAGAAAGATGCCATGCTCGCCCAGGCGACGACAACATCCCCAGCCTCAGACGAAGCCGCCGAGACGAGCAGCCAGTCCTCTGGCGAGACCGTCTGCGAGACAACACCACCCTCGAGCCCGCACCGCGACCACACGCCAGTCAACGCGCGGATCGTCAGCGACGCCATCATCGGGCTCTCGGACGGTCTGACCGTCCCCTTCGCCCTGACGGCCGGCCTCTCGGCGCTGGGAGACACCAAAGTCGTGGTCTTCGGCGGCCTGGCCGAGCTCATCGCCGGCGCCATCTCGATGGGCCTGGGCGGGTACTTGGGCGCCAAGAGCGAAGAAGCCGCCTACAACGCTACGTACCGATCGACACGCAGACAGGTCCTCGAGTCGAGCGGAGGCAGCCTGTCTTCAGAAGTCACGTCTATATTCGCGCCTTACCATCTCCCTCCCTCTCTGCTCAAGGACTTCACGCATCAGCTCATCACGTCCAACAGCCCCGACGTGGTAGTCGACTTCCTCATGCACTTCCAGCACAATACGCCCGAGCCGGCGGCCAGCCGGGCGGTGACTTGCGCACTGACGATCGCGCTGGGATACTTCATCGGCGGCTTCGTGCCGCTCGTGCCATACTTCTTTGCCAACAACGTCACGCATGGGCTGGTCTGGAGCATCAGCGTCATGATCATCGCGCTGTTCGCGTTCGGCTATGTCAAGACCGGGTACGTCGAAGGCTGGAGAGGGTGGCGCTGCGTGCGGTGCAATCTCTGGGGTGCGGCACAGATGGTCATTATTGGCGGCGCGGCAGCTGGGTGTGCCATGGGTGTTGTCCGCTTGTTCAGTCAGAGTGGACTGATGTAAATTACTTCTCAGTACGTAGGCGTTGGCGTTGGCGTTGGGAGCGATAGGGTCGTTCAGGCCCACGGGAGAAAATTCAGGCAGGCGCATGTGGGTAAGCAATTCAGATTTCAGATTTCACAGTCAAGCATTTGCCATCCGCGACTGCATGTGCTCCACAGTTCAGCATATCCTTCTTGACTGTGGATACGCATAAGTGGCCCTCCAGCCCGGCACCGGGACCCAGGTCCACTTCCATGATCATGGTACATTACCCAGCATCCCGTGGTGTTCTTTCTGGCCAATGGGTGTTTCATATTAGAGAAGGTGGCCGTATAGTCTTGACCGCAGGCCTCGGCTCGATGAGTTCTTTGCAGTGGGCTTCAGCATGCATGCGTGCTCCTCAAAGACATGCCGCATGTACCGAGCCGGAGAGCGCATCCGCGGGTGGCACTGAACACCTTCGGTTCGCGGTACCTCGTACGAGTTACTCATACGTGTGCGCGTGCTGGAGCACCGCACGTGCTGCTTCTAGAGCCGCCATGCCCTGACGATCATAGCCGAGACCCACGTCACGGTGGAGAAGTTCAGAAGAAGAAGGTAAACGGGCTGCGGCCTCGAAGCAGGTCCAATCGAATTATTCTACCACTACTGCAGTCTCGCTCCTCTGGCGTCACATTGCTTGCTTTGCACCATTACGCAGGAAGGCCCCTGTAGGACAATCCGTCGGCTTGCAGTCTGCCGCCCACTTCGCTACCAATATTCAGGGCACGTCATTTCCAGTTTTCGCGTCATACGGATAGGGGCTGGTGTAGTTGAAGGTGGCCACCTTTCCCTTGTAGTTGTTGACCACTGATTTCAAAACACCCTTGCCGTGGGCACAGGTGGATGAGTTGGTGGGAATCGGCCACGTGGCTACGTATTGGTCGTCAGAGAGCGGACCAGGGTATGACGAGTTGAAGAACAATCCCTTGGTGTTGACGTTGGCGTTCTTGTAACTGCACGGCTTTGTTAGCACGGGCCGGATGTGCGATTCGCGCAGGAACTCACCCAGTCTTGTTGGCAACAAGCTCGAAAACATTGGCGTGGCAATCCCAGCGACCGAGGGATGGGAGACCCCAGTTCTGAGAGACCGTCGCGATGGTCGAGTAGTGGTTGTAGAAAGTGTTGTCCTTGGTGCCTTTCAGGTGTGCGGGAATGGCACCGCCAACGAGGATGGAGAAGATCTTGTTCTGGATGCCGTAAGATTCGTTCTCATCGAACGTCAGCAGCAGGAGGGTGTTGTTCCAGAAGTATTCATTGCTCATGAGGGGCTCGACGAAGTTCCGCAGCCATGTCGAAGAAAAGGTGATGTTGGTATCGTGAGCGTCCTAGGCGATTCATCAGTACCTATCGATTGAGAGTCTAGCGATGCCGAGAATGAAGGGTACATAGTGGAACTCAGGAACCTTACATTGGTCATGTTGGGAGTTATAAACGCCCATTGGGGCAACTTCTTGTTCGCGAGATCGCTCTCAAAGCCATCGAGACCTTTGATCATGGCTCGGCGAGTGGCGTTGTTGGTGATGGACTTGTAGAGGATCAAAGGATTGTGCTTGCGAACATAGTCGTTGGCAAAGGTCTGCTGGTTGGAGTAGTTGAAGCCTTGGAATCCTGGAAAGGGGAGGTCCTCCTGGTACTCGGCCCAGGAGATTCTCTTGGTCTCGAGTAGATCGACGATTGTGGCCACGTTGGCTGGGACCTGGTTGAAATCATCATTGTCCATGCCAAAGGTGTCGCCTCCGGCTGCGGCACAGTAGTTTGGCTCAGAAGGATGAGTGACAGCAAAGTAGTTGGTCAGAGTGATTCCCTGAGCTGTGCATTGTTAGCACTGAAGAACAACACGCGGACGAGCAGACTTCATGAAATCCACCTCACCGGTCCGAGGCTAGGGGACGACTTACAAGCAAGGAACTTCTGGTCTGAGTCGCCAGAAGCAGCGGAGTAGTCGGTGTTCTCCAGCCAGATCTGATAGAAGCGGTTGAACACCAGACCCTTGACATTGCTCACCGGCGAGAGGCTGGTCGCCGTGGCGGCTGATTGTTCAATCTGGGTGAGCGTAGGTTCAATCGTCGAGACAGGGGGGCGAGACTGATACGGAGAGGCAGCTGCTAAAGCGCTCGCAGCAACGAGCAGAGCACTTGTCTTCATCATCTTGCGTGAAATTCTTGCGGAGCCAACAAAATCTTACGATGGATATCTCTGAGCAGGAGAGAGAATGGTCCCTCGCCCGAGGGCGACGGACGGCATCTTTTATGCGTCTGCTCACAAAGGCAGGCGAAAAAAGTTCCATGTCAGAGACTCGCGAGGATCCTGCGAGCTTCATTGCCGCAGAGCCACAGCTGGGAGCATGCTCCCTGCGTCGAATCAAGTTCCTAGACAGATACAGCAGCTCCATGGCCCGCGGCTCGCCTGTTCTGGCAACTCAATGAGACTGACGCAGGTGGGAGAGAAGGAAACCACCAAACAAAAGTGTAGACTAAGCTTTAGTGCCATGGCGCCTAATCCGGGCCGGCCAAAGCTTGAGCTTCAGTGGGGCAGTGACGCAGCATGAGCGGGTCGGTGACCGACGCTAAAAGCTCGTGCCAAGGCCTTGGGCCAACCGTGCGAGCTCGACGGGGCACGTGTCCCTTGCCGACTCTTCCTTCTCTTCATAAACCCTCGTGCTGCAGCATCGGCCAGCACGGGTACAGTGATTAAAAAAAATTCTTTCTGATAGGATGGAGATGAGGGGAGCTCTCTCAAGCGGCATGATGTTCCGGGTTCTGTTGGCAATCGGCAATGACGAGCGATGCCTAGAAGGTAGGCCACAAGCGAGAGACGAGAACCAGCCTTGCCATGCTCTGATCGAACAGCCATTCGTGCTGCAACACTCACCCACGCAGTTTCTGGATAAGCGACGTCGGATACGACAGGTGTTAGCCTGGATTGCTGATGATGGAGCAGCTTGATTCTTGCCCGCGAATCATGTGTTATCGCTCAGCTTCCGCCGTGGGAGTCGGAAAAAGTCGACATGGGTGGCAAACTTGAGGACACGCCCCGTTTGGAAAGAAGCAGTGTCCTTCACCTTTATTCTACACCCTGTTCAAAGACGGAACCTCAACTTTAGTTTCCAACTCCAAGCATAGAAAATGGCTCCGGATACGTCTGCCGAGAAGAGTGCCATTACAGGGCAGACCCATAGTGCCACGTCGGAGGGCCAGGGCTCACCTGATGCGAAGGATCGCGGTCATCAGTCCAATGTCTCACGAGGGCGACGAGTATACCTCGCCATTGTTCTGGTTCTTGTTGTTGTCCTGGCACTGGCATTGGGCTTGGGCCTTGGTTTGGGATTGAAACACTCCAGCAGGTCGAACTCAGACGACTCCCCAGGCTCGCCCTTGCCGTCAAGCCCTCAGACACCGAGTGAAGACTCACAAGCATCACTGTCGGTACCAACATGGAGATCGAACGTGGAAGACTATACCCTCGACACTGCGAGCTGGGACTTCCACGCGCCACCAACCACGCGAGAATATAAGTTCACGCTCAGCGAGGTTCAATTATCCCCTGATGGTGTGTTCCGTACGATGATTGCCATCAATGGGCGCTTTCCGGGGCCATTGATTCGCGCCAACATGGGTGACCGCCTCATCATAAACGTGCAGAACAATCTGCCCAACGGCACCGCTATCCACTGGCATGGTCTATTTCAGAACGGTACGAATTGGATGGATGGCACTTCAGGAATCACTCAATGCCCGATCCCGCCTAATGGAGGCAGATTCACCTACAATTTGTGAGTATTCTGGAACCCATCTCCTATGGCAGAGTCCACGCTGTGACTGGTCCATGCACACCTGTGTCCTGGCGTGCTGACCTAGATGTAGCACTCTAGAGAACCAATTCGGGACATACTGGTACCATACCCATTATTCCACCACGAATGGTAAGTCAATCCGAAACTGCAAGGGGCCGGTCCTCGTTCTGCTCCCCTACGTTACCTTGCACCGCTGACGGCGAACTAGGGGATGGTCCTGTTGGCCCACTGGTCATCCATTCACCCGATGAAGTCAAGATGCAAAAGTACTACGATGTGGACCAAGTTGTGCTCCTACAGGACTGGTATCATGACTATAGCCAGGCGCTTTTGCCCGATTACCTTGCGAGCGGTAGTGAAAACGGCGAACCGGTGCCAGATAATGGCTTGATTCAGGTCAGTCTTCCAAGATGCATTCATGTGCTGAAATTCATCGAACGACTGTCCTTCCTCACGCTGATTGATCCATGCTAACAATGGACCAGGGCACGAACTATTTCAATTGTTCATCTCTCGATTCTGACAGCGGCTACGTGTGCGAGCAAAATTCAACACGTGCAGTCTTGACGGTAGAGCACGGCAAGCGCTATCGTTATCGACTCATCAACGCCGGCGCCTTTGCGACCTTCCAGTTCTCTATTGATAACCACCCGTTATCGGTTATCGAAGCCGATGGCACTGCGACCGAGCCGCTGTCTGTCCATCGTGTCGACATTGCAGTCGCGCAGAGATACTCGGTCGTCCTCAACGCCAACCAATCCTCCGCATCGAACTACTGGATTCGAGCCCAGCTGAATACTTTCTGCTTCGGAGACGATAACCCGGTCCTCGACGCCGACGCTCGCGCTCTTATAACCTATACGAACAGCACGGCGGCGCCCACGGACTCTGTCGACTGGAAAGACGCACTAGACGTCGAGTGTATTGGCCTCAACTCGTCGCTGTTGACCCCAATGTTCGAAACCGAGGCGCCGCCCGCCACGATCATGTATGCCCTCGCCGCGAATTTCCAGATCGGCGACTACGCCATTGATCGCGCCTACATCAACGGGACCTCGTGGGTCATGTCCGCCGTGCCGACGCTCAACCAGGCAGTTGCTGGCCTTGAGGCGGCGAACTCCACCTTCACAACGTTGGGGGTCAGCTCGGCCTTCAGTGCTAATCAATATGTCATTGACGTTCCTGACGTGGCGATCGTGGATCTTCTGATCACCAACTACGACGAGGGCGCTCATCCTTTCCATCTGCATGGCCACAGCTTCTGGATTGTTGCCACGAGTCCTGACCAATACTTTGACTGGTCCACATACCCGGCGCTCAACACGACGCTCTCTAACGTGTTGAAGCGCGATACCATCATGATTGATGCGTTTGGTTGGGCACTTGTTCGGTTTGTTGCCGACAATCCCGGCTTGTGGGCGCTGCATTGCCACATAAGTTGGCATATGGAGTCCGGTTTGCTCATGCAGTTCCAGACGAGGAATGATATCATGAGGACATAAACGTTGCCCACGGATGTGCTTGGGCTCTGCTCGGCCTGAAGCCACAAATCCATGTACGTGTGTAGTGATGAATAAAACTTACCGGATCTTGCAAAATATTTACTTGCCTGCCCGTTCTCCTCCCCGCCTGCCTGCCTGTCCGTCTCCCTATTCTAGCGGATGTCTGACCCCATAGCGACCGAGATCTTATCAAATGGCTAGCCCCGCCTCTCGGCGAACCTAAGTCGCCACAAAAGCCCCGCTCATTATCGCCTAAGCAGAAGCAGAAGCAGAAGCCGGAGCCGGAGCCGGAGCCGGAGCCGGAGCAGGAGCAGGAGCAGGAGCAGGAGCAGGAGCAGGAGCAGGAGCAGGAGCAGGAGCAGGAGCAGGAGCAGGAGCAGGAGCAGAAGGACAAGACTTGAAAGGCAGAAAATGCTAGAGTCCCGGCCAATATATCTATAGGCAGACCCCCATCGTTTATACTCGTCTCAAGGGCCATTTTTTGGCAGCTTCGCCTGCAGTCGACCATCGGCCAGGCAGAAGAAACGCTCTGAATCTGTATAAGGCAAGCGGGCACTTACTGGCGCAAGCACGCAACGTGGAGCATGAATCAGGATGATCTGATTGCGTTGTAGCCGTCCCGACAACAAGATCCAGCTAAGGCAGCGCTGACGTGGATGGTGTTTTGTCTAGCTCTTTGATAAGGATCAATAGATAAACGGACGACTGGGAAGCCTTGGTCCCCCCCTTCGGAGAATTGCAGCCACAACGGGACGGGTCCAAGGTCAGATAGAGATGCACTTCGTAGGGAGAGTCATATATGTTTAAATTACCGTCTAATGACGTGTTCTGCATCGTCCCCTTGCTTCCTCTTCTTCCACCACCTTCTGCCAGTGAACAGTGCGAGGAAAGCGAAGAGAACACCTAAGACAGAGCACACGATTGCTACTTTCTTGCCGGTGTCGCTGTCCGCGCCGCCGCCGGTCCGGGTTTCTGTAGGACTGCTCACGGAGCTGATGTCACCCGTGGGAGACACAGTTAGCGTCGTGTGCGACGTGGCGGTGTGTATAGTGGAGAATGTTGTGGGAGTAGCTTACATTTGACGTCAGCACAGGTTATCGGCCTGTTCATCCCAGCAGGGCAGTGGTGCACACCAAGGCGATGGCGAGCGCAAGTGCCAAAGCGAGTCTAAGGGAGCACTCACTTGATCTTGCTGCAGTGGATGAAGGCTCGGATGTAGCCGTCACAGTGCTGGTGACCACTGTGGTGGGCGTGTTCCCTGGCGAGGCCTCTGAAGTGGCTCTCGACGAGTCTGAAGTCGAAGAGGGATTGCCATCGACGGTCGTAAGCGTTGTGGCGGTTTTCGTGTCCGCAGACGGGGCCGTCTGAGAGGTGGTTGGAGACTTGGATGAGCTGGTCAGAGTCGGATAGTCGTTCAAGCTGGCTCCATCGATATGGCAGTAGCCGTTATACAATGATAGCCCGTCCTGGAGGTCAACAGTGTTGGTCGTGCAGCCGGAGTAGATGCATGACGTCAGGTAAGATGAGGCTGTGGATTGTAGATCTGTCCGGCAGAACAACGAGTCCAAGCCGGCGGACAAGACGTTGTTGAGGCCGATAGCACTGCCAGGGCAATTGATCAGCCAGTATTCGCCGCACCAGATGCAGTGTTGGACACAAGGCCGAACGGAGCTAAAGGCTGGCTGAGCAGTGATGGAGACGGTCGAGTCCGCTTGACTGGTCTGGATGCACGACGTCGTAAAGACGAGAATGATTTGGATGATTAGTGCAAGAACGCCATGAGGCCGATCCATGGCTTCGACAACAAGAGCTTCGTGATGGAGCCGCTGATACGAGAAAACAGTGCGAGGTGCGGGACAAAGGGCACAACTCGGATCAGAGACCAGAACCTCACAGCCTGGCGTTTTGAGGAATCAATTCTCGTTCCTCGGGCTGGCACAGTGCTGAGGAATGACTTAGGTCGGAGGGAAGAATTCGGGTCCGACAAGAGATCAGATACTTGAGGACAAAAGACGGCATGAACCAGAGCGTGAAGAGCGCGAGATGAGGGCTGTTAACAAGAGGTTGATAAGTTCAGGTCACCCACCGATGACGTTGGTCTGTCTGCCTCGCTTCCTGATAGCTGTTCTGCCGATATGCGACGCTGCAGTGCACCAGTAGGAGAACCTCACGAGGCGCCTTGCTGATTGCGAGTTTGCCTACTCGTATTTGCGAAGCCACCAGTCTTGGCTTCCGCTTAAGGACGGCAGCACCTACTGCAAAAGCGCCTGGGCTCGCCTTCGGAACCCAGTAGAAGCATCAAACCTGTTTTAGAAGGATTTTCTGCACAGCTGTAATGAGCATGGCCCGAAGAAGAGCATCTCGGTTTCTCGGCCGCTATGTTTTCAGACTGTCAGTGGTCCGGCGTTCTCTGCCGCCCGCTACCCTACTTGCGTCTGATAGACTTTAGTGAGGGTCACAATACTGCGGATGGGGCGAGCTCTTTGCAATGATGGCTAATGCAGCGGATGCCATTTAAAGCTCATCGAATCGTCCTTTAGATTCTCGTTCAGCCTTGTTCATTGACTTCGGGGGAGCCTCCAGCCACCCCACCGCAGAGTCAATGCAATCGATGGGATCGGCATCAATGCAAAAGATAAGTTGATTGAGACTTCGTGTCAATATGTCCGTCAATTAGTACAGACAACAATCCCGTTCATGTCAAGAGAAGCACGGCGAGGCTGACAAGTCAAGAGGAGGTGTGCTAGATTTAGGAAGCTTGATCAAGCCTAGCGGAGACATTGGCACACTAGTATAAGAACGTACTAGTCAGGGACAAGGGAGGCGCGTCGGCTCAAGCCCTAAGGGATGAAGACGAGGACCGCAAGAGTCTGGAGAAGCGTGTTTGTCCTTCATCAAACACTTTCATTCATTCCTTCGTGCCCATTCACTCATTTACACTCTTTACTCGGTTTCTTCTACCCTGCAGTCACTCCTTCTCCCCCACGTCGTCCTCGTAATCACAACACCCTCCACAATGCAACTTCGCGAGATCCTCTCCACAGCTCTGGCTACGGCACCGCTGGCAGTGTCCGCAGCCGGCACACTTGGTTTTGCCGTTGGGAACACCAACCCCGACGGCTCCTGCAAGGTGCAATCCGACTTTGAAGCCGACTTCCAGGCCATCCAGAGCAACACCGATGCTCAATTAGTCCGAACCTACTCCTCGTCCGATATCTTTGGCAACCCGTGCCATACTCCCTCAGAGGTGCTCCCAGCTGCTAAGAATGCAGGTATCAAGGTGCTATTGGGCATGTGGTGAGTGGGACGCGCACAGATATAAGAGAACGGCATTGATGTGTATTTTCACGGTAGGCCCGACGGCGGTGCATATGACAAGGAGAAGGCAGCAATCGACGAAGCAGATCCGACTTCATTCGGCGATACGCTCTACGGCATCACAATCGGCTCCGAGGGCATGTATCGTGGCACATACGACGGCGATCAGCTCCTAGGCTGGATCTCCGACATGCAAAAGTCCTACCCTGATACACTGCTCGGGACCGCGGACAGCTGGAACTGCTGGAATAACGGGTCCATGGACGCCATCATCACCAGCGGCATCCAGTTGATGTAGGACCTGCCTGTTAGAATCTACCTTCGAGAACAACGCTGACGCCGTGGCCTACAGTCTCGCCAACGGGTTCGCGTACTGGCAATACCAGGACATTTCCAACGCCACAAAGACTTACTTTGACGACATGGCCGCAGCGCTCGGCCACGTCCAGGACGTCACAGGCAGTTTGGACAAGGTGCATTTCATGAATGGCGGTACGTTACTACTCCACCGCAGAAAGCAAACCACCGAAGAGTCTCAAACTAATATTTTTCTTTTCCGTCCACAGAAACCGGGTGGCCCGGCACAGGCGGCTCCGACGCCGGCGCGGCCAAAGCAGGCGACGACAACATGGAGACCTACTGGCACTCGGCCGTCTGCGGGCTCTTGGACTGGGGCGTCGATCTCTTCTGGTTCGAGGCCTTCGACGAGCCGAACAAGGCCGATGCCATCGGCGACAACGGACAAATAGCGAGCGAGAAGCACTGGGGCAGCTTCAACAGCGATCGCTCCCCCAAGTTTGACATGCATTGCTAGATTGGCTGCTGAGATATCTGCTCAGGTGAAGGGATGAGATGCATGGCTACTGTGCTAGATTGGCTGCGGAGATAAGAGATATCTGCTCTGGTGATCGCCAGGCCAGTTGGAGACATGTGTTTTGCATAAGGTAGTACATGGTGTACATTTGGCTGCAGCGCCGGTCTTCGGGTTGGGTATGACCAGGACCGCGCACAGGAATAGTACCTCATCTCACGCCACCCCTGGAGTACTCCTTGGTTTCAGCAATCAAGGGGCCACATTCGCACATTCAGACCGGGAAAGGATTGACCGAGAGATGTGCTGACAGCTTGACATGTGTCCTGAAGGGTCAAAACAGCGGTAGACAAAAATTCTGTTGAGCAGATCTGCAAGTCTACTCGTACATTTGTGTTCAGGTCCGTCCGAGATACAACCCCTACAGAAGGCTGACTGCAGTCCTTCCCGATGTAGTCCGCACTCGTATCCGTCCTTTTACTCATAGTGGTCCGATTTGTGCAGTCTGTCCATTGAATATACACTGTATAGGTGGACAAGCGTCCCAGCCAGTGGCTCGTGGCTCGTACAATACATGCCCAACCGTGCTCATTATCCCGTATAGCTCGTACTCCGAACGGGGCCGCTTATACCCGGTGCTGTGCGGACGCCCGATCCCAGTCCATGTCATGCATCCATATGCTCCGCTAACAAAGGACGATAAGATTGTTTATCTTTCAAATGTGACTATCACCGCCTCGACCGGGACCGGCTACTTCGCCTTGTTCTTCGATCGGAGGAACTTTCACTACCTGGATTCAGAAGTTAATAACCAGTTCACGTCCTTGGGATTAGTGGTGGGTGTTACTCACTTGAGAATCTGGAATCCGTATAGTAAGAGCTGTCGTAGGATACCGAGCTGGTCTTATCGCTGTGCCGGTTCTTCCTTTTCATGCCGAGCCATAGCGCCAAAGCGCCTAGACCGGCAGCCATCCAGCCCGCCGTGCCCCAGCCGCTCTTTCTCTTCTCTTCCACCACCTCGGACCTTGCAGGCTTGGTGCCGAACCACGTCCGTCGGCCTCTGCCGCCGTGGTGGGAGTGCCTTTCGACGTAAACTTCCTCCTCCGTTGTGCGTCTTCTTCTAGGGCCGAGTCCGAAGATGGCTAATAACCCGTCGATCAGACCTTTGAAGATGCAGCAGGCGCAGAAGAGGAGGAGCAGGAAGATGCCGACAATAACGCCGATCACGATGCCTGCAATTGCGCCGCCACTGAGGCCTCCCCCAGAATCGGTCTGTGACCCCACAATGATGCTGCCGTCCGTACTCACGGGGGTTACGAACGGCTGCGTGGTAGTTGCGCCTCCAATGCTCGTGACGGTGACCAAGGTGTTGCTAGTCGGTCGAATCGGAGCGCTGGCTGTGTTGGTGATGACCGTGGTCACGGTATAGAGACTGCTGTAGAATCCCGAACTGCCTCCGCCTACGGCTGCGCAAATACCAGCCGCTTGACAGAACTGTCCAGAGAGGCAGCAGACGTTGCCGCAAGGCGTCTCGCCCAGAGAGTACGAGCAGCTGAGTGTGGTTTGGGGGATGTATGAACTGAACGTCTGTGTAACAGTCTTGAGATCCGTCTGTACGAAGGTCGTGGTGTAGTATTGCCATTGTCCTGCAGCGGTGGTGGCGGCGGTTCCACCTGTTCCACCTGTGCCAGCGCCGCACTGAGCTTGGTTGTTGGCATCAGTGTAGCAGACTTCGTCGGCTTCACAGCACAGCTGTCCGTAATACCCGCATGGATTTGAGCATCTCTTTCTCACATCTTGAAGGTCTTCGAAACTGTGCAATAGGTCTGGTAGGAATCCCGCAATGACTGGTCTTGAGAGGAGGGCGGTGAGGACGAGACAGGCGAGAGAGGATAACATGTTGCCGACTCGCACAATCGCGGCCCAAACCGCAGTGTTGCGGAAAAGGGAGAGTCGTTGCCCGCAAATATGTGCGCGTTACGTTCGCATTGATGTCGAACCGAGTGGGTTGGCGAATACTTGGGTCGAACCGGCGGCGGATATTCCAAACGAGAGGCGTCAATCAACGAAAACAATGTACAGCAAACGAAGGTTCAGATCAGAGAGCATTCAGAGATGTGGTTGAAGGTTGGGCAGCGCTGTTGGCGCTTTTTTTGCGCTGGCAGCTTCTGAAGTACCAACCTCTTCCTGCCACACGATTTCTTAGACGCACCCCAACATGAGATCAGCACCAAGTCTAGCGGCCTGTTTGGGTGGCTGGGAAACAAGCTTGAATTGCTTTGATTAGATGGATGAATGTTTCGCGTCTCGAGATTGTGAATCACGCACCGCGATGATTTTGTTCACTCTTGATCTCTGGTGAGTGAAATGCCGGACCTACCGCCGAATGGGAGCTGGAGCTTGGTGGCAGCTACGTGGTGGGGGTGTGATGCCTCGGTCACATGCTAATCAGGAGGAGCATCCAGTGGGACCCAGGCTGCTCAATTTGGTTATCCATGTACTCCGTACCAAAGGTTGATAGACGCAATGAAGGGAGAAATATCCATACTGTGGATAATTCCAAGGTCAGACGCGTCCTTGGAAAGAGCAGACCGCGCTGTTGTCGCCCTGTTGCCCCTTGGCCCTGATCTCGCCGTGATCGCTTCCCTTTCCTGTGAGCGCAACTTACTAAGCCACTAGCCACTCCACTCCTTTTCCTCCCAGCCACCCGCCCGGCCGCCACAAGCTTGTTCCTCGGTCAACCTGCCTCGGAGGGTCGATGTGAGCAGCCGTTTCGTGCACTCGTCTGGCGACGAAGTACTCTGTACTCCTGTGACTTCGTACTCGACCCCCAAACTTCGGCGAGTGCGTATTTCCGGACGTGTTTTGAATGTCGATCCAGTGTTACACCTTTCAATCTCACACCTCGCAAATCTGTTGTTCCTATTTTTCTGGCGACGTATCAATATCTGGCCACTGGTTCACCGCAAATGCCAACCTAGCAAAGACTGGTGCAGAATGACATCAATGGATTCCTCAAGTTCCGTGGCTTCCTGGCGAGGCGGCAGAGAACCGAGGAGAAGCTAAGACTTCCTATCTGGCAAAGTCACGCATACCCCATGCTGCTCCGACCCAGAGGGAACTCTTCTGGAATCGAAGAAGAACACGTAAACAGGTGGGTCGGCCTACTTCGAATGCTAGGTGCACTGTCCCCCTACCACTACATGACTTTCATTCTTGCTGCGTCATTCACGACTGCACCGGCTGGATATCTGCAGTTACAGGCCGCGTTGGGATGAGAGGCGTCGACAGGGTGGTGTGACATGCGAGGAGAGTATCCAAGTCTTACTGGACGAAAGATACGTTTTAGATTGGACGAGATTGGAGAATCACGCGTTCAAAGGAAGCCTCTGCCTTCTGAAAGAAATCGCAGTGCTGTTAACGTACGAACCCGTGTTCGTCTGTACCGGCCTTACTACCCTTACACCTCCTCTGCTTACGACTGCATGGACGTTTGATAACGTCAGCTACTAACCATTTAACCTTCCCTCGGGAGTCGCCTATTTACCCGGCAGCCAATCATACAGTTCTTCTCCGAAATGGCTTTTGTTCGTGTTCCAACATGGCCAACGGGCACGTTTTAAACTCGGCCGTCACTGACGTCTAATCTCAGCCTGAGGTGCTGCAGAAGCGTGCACAGGTTACTGGCGTCCAAAAGCAGAAGTAGGTCGGACGCCACTGCTGGCCTCACAGTAGGGCTCTTGGGCACGATACTGGCTACGTTCCCGGATAGTGGCCCGTTGCTACAAGAAAGTCGAGAACAGGTCCTGTTATGCAGGGTTTCCTGCACATCGATTTTCGATCGACCCACGAGTCGGAGAATCTGTCTCGGTAGCTGGAGTCCACGGGCTTAGACGGGCAAGATGTCACTCGCGAATCACTGGGCGAAATTCTAGTTCGTATCACTCCTCGGGCTCGTTATTGCCATGCACAATCACCGCAGGAGGCTTCTTCGAAACTCCCGAGGTCGTGACGAGACTCCAAAGCTTGTTTGCACCCGGGGTGCAGCCATCAAGCCGCTATCAAGCCACTATTTTTCTCCGAAGAAACACTAGGTGACGGTCACGAACGCAGAGCCATGCTCGTGCAGCCGTCATTGTACTGCAACAGCTTGGCTTCATGGTAATTGCAGCCGGCTGCCAAGTACCTCGCAACAACACTCGCATCTCTGCCACCTCAGGCCCACAGTAGAGACCCATGTCACTGGTGGTACCTGAGCGCGAAGCTCAGCGAGGCTCAACCGCACTTGTCACCTTCCAGAACCTCGGTCTCAATCTGAAGCTTTTCCTGACTCAGGTCAGCGCCAGGATGTTTTAGTAGATGTCGAATCGGTGCGACCTGACAAGCAGAATTCCTGTGAGACGTTTTAATACGTGAGGACCTGGAGAAGCTCCTGCTGCCTGCCTTTCCGCCGACTCAAGCGACAGCCGCTACTGTTCCATGAGATGGGTGTCAAGTTAGTCTCACTGCTATGGTACGTTGTCAACAAGGGCAGTCCACTTCGACTATGCTGCAAATCACGGCTTCGTGCCAGAAGCTCGTACCTGTCCACGCATTGTAGACGCATGGTCAGTATGATATTCCCTCCGACATTTAGGTCAGAAAAAGCGAAAAGCTCACAGAACTATTTAGCTGGCTTGCCAACTCAGACGCAATTTATCATGAGGAAGAATATGCTCCGCAGGAGCATATCTCGCGTCTATAAACCATTTTGCCTTCTGGCCTTAATTCAAGGTGAACAAGAGCCCCTGTGTGTGTATAGTCCCAAATCAAGTCTTCACCCACACGCGCAGCAGCTGGTATCCGAAGTCAGTGGGCACTGGTTGATGTCCGGCTGTGCTGCACGCCTCCAGGCACCGTTGGGTCATCGACTAGCCACAGTCTATCGGATGTGCGGCGCTAATTTGTCTCTTGCGTGTTGGGTGTTTTGGACACTCCGTCCAAATCATCAACCATCCACCGACCACCGCATTCGAAGCTATGAGTGAACTTTCAGTGCTCGAGCTTCAATTGAGTTAGCTGCTTCGACTTCAAGCCACAATATACCTGAAAGGTGTTAAGAATTGCCTCCGCGCAGCGTGTATGAGGACACGTGAGCACACAGGTAACCCTCGGGGTTCTTGAGTATCGGGGGTAGAGCAGAGGTCAATGTCGAACAGATCGTCAGACGGGACACAGCACTTGTACTGTATCTCCTTGAGCGCAATGTTAACTGAAGTTGACTACACCTCCTATAGAAGTGTATCTAGCTGTGACTATATACACAGGTAGTTTTCCTATCTAGGAAAGTCTGGGCGTTGCATGGTTGCCTCCGTTGCGGCCCCATGCCCTGCAACGATGCAACATATGCAACGGCTTATTTCCTTTTTTAGGGTATCACGTGACCCGAGTCAGCCTTGCCAACGAGGCTGACTTCCTCGCTTGACCTTCCCTTCTGTGCCAGGCCCGGCAGGCCGCATGAAGGTCGGTTCGTAACAAAAGGGGATGGTGCGGGGAATAGGGAGGTCTCGAGCCTATCGATTCGGCTCAAGCTTCTGCCCGGGGCATGAAAGTTTGGCTGAGTCAAGCAGGATTCACGATCCCTGCAGAAATGAACACGGCAAGCCCTGGTCAGCACCTCGTACCAGTTCCGACAAGACAAGTGCGCCTGCAGAAAGAGGGAAAGCGCAGCTTTGGCAGCGTTCGTTTACCCATTGTTGAATTGTGCTCCGATTGGATTCGCGTGGGGACTGGGAAAGGCACAGTCATTCGCGTCCATCGTGCACGCTCTTCGCCCATATCGGAGGCAGACCACCTGCTTCGTACCCACGCCAGCCTCGTGTGCCACCGAGTCTTGTATAAGAGGACCCTTTGTCCCCACCTCCTGTCTCTAAGGACCCTCTCCAGGCCGAACTCACCGAGCTCACAGGAAAACTCTCAGGCAAAGCACAAGTCTAAAACCCTCAGACAACCACCACCATCAGAAGTCCTCGACCCAACATGGCTGACTATCAGTCCACCAACTGCTGGTCACAACAACCAGGCGGCTTTTCTCCTATGGATACCTCTTTCCAGTGGGACTACCCGGGCGTCCAGTCACCCAAGAACATGGTTAGCCATTACAACGACGTGAGCAGCCCTCCTGTGGGAACAGCAGCATGATTTAGCTAATACGAAGTTCAGCTGTTGCAAAGAGCCGCCGATTTCTACGCCACGCTCGACAACTCCTTCGACAGCATGTCATCCTCAGGGTCAGACCGATCTTACAGGTCGACTCCTGAGCGGCGAACCCCACCCACTACCAGCAGTGTCGTCGCACAAGTGAAAAGTTCAATTCCGGACAAGATTGAGGTCAATTGGAACCCCAACCCCAGCTCATCGCTCTACATCGGACTGACAACTTGACAGAGGAGACGAGAACAGAACCGCTCTTCCCAGCGAGCGTACCGAGAACGAAAGGAGCGCCATCAGAAGGAGCTCGAGGGCCAGATCGCTCAATGGCAGCAAAAGCATCAGCTGCTTTCTCGATCATACTCACAGCAGACCGAAGAAGTCGCGCGACTCAAGTCGCAAATCGAGCAACTCAACGGCGAGATCTCCAACCTTCAGAGCGGCTTGCCGACCCTATGCGGCTCACTGTGCCAGTCACCGCAAGAATTCGACCTGGTACCCTTTTTCAAAGCGGACTCTTTGAGCCCCCCGAGTACTCCTCGGATGTCCCATTCAACCCCCGGCAGGCGTGGCCCCTAAATACGCACAGATGATGCGGGAGTCTTTCTATTGCATTTGCATAGCGCAAGGATGGTGTGACAAGGGGGCGTACAGGTTGATGCTGATTCTAGGCGCTTGAGGAAAGAAGTCGTGGTCAAACTGCAACTGAGCGAAAGGCACATTGTGCGAGTGTACCCATCTACGACGAGGGAAATTGGCACGCGCATCCCACAAGGGACTTTTATGGAAGTGGCTTCTGCAAACACGAAGGCACATAATGGGATACCTAATTCTCAAGAGGAGGAGTCCATGGCTCAGGCCTGTCTCCATGGCTGGCGACCTCTGATAGAATTCTCTTCCTAGACTGACACGCCTCAGATGGAACGAGCGAACTGGGAAATCTCCACCGTAGAATTCCCGCGCCTGTTCATTTTCCCTGGGTCAGTCTTGCTCGTACGAGTGCTACTGCATGCATCCAACGTCAACACGGGATAGGCGATCATCCTTCCCAGGGTCTTCGGCAGTAGTGCCGGGAGAACCGTGCTGCTCTGGGAATTAGGTGAGCTGCAGGGCATGAGTCAGACATTCGCCCGGGCGTCTGAGCAAGTTACATAACCATCCCACCTGCAGAAGCCCTCTGCCCATCCCCGGTCTACCACAGTACGCGCGACCAGTAGAAACTCGGCAGGCAAGCAGGGTCCAGACGTCTTGGCAATTTCCTGATTGAGGATCCCCACGGAATGTGATTGATTGCCCGGGTGTTGGGCGCTGCCGCCACGTGGGAAGGGATGCGCTGGTGGGCGGGTGAATGATGACTGTGCTGCTTTCCCTTTCCCGGCACCGTTGTTCTGCCATTTAGGCAACGCACGGCACACAGATCACGGAATCATTCAGAACTTCGCCATTCGTCATTTCGAATATCAAGAACCTGACCTAAACAGTAGGCCGCTTGGCCAGCTCGTGGCGTGAGCTGTCGGTCTCCCTGCCGCCCATCTGTGGTTTCGTTGTTTCGTTAAGGGTAGGTACTGAATAATTATCACACGACCAAAAGCAGTCGATGGGCATGTCTCCCAGCTGACGACCGCCGTAGCTGTATTCAAGCCCAATCTCCGTGATTGGCCTCGTTTGACGAGGAGGAATACTTTGTATGCAAGCTGGGAACCAATCCTAACTACAGACCGAACACCCGGAATGGGAAAGACACCGACGCGTACTGGAATGTTGCAGATGAAGCTTTGGCGACCACCACTTGGAGGGGAGGGAGGGACGACACTCGGGTAGGGGACCACACGATACTATGGAACTGCACGAAGGGCACTCTCAGAATTAGCCTGCGTGACGTCGTGGAAGCCGTTGGGGGCAAGCCCATGTTCCTGCACCGAAGGGGAGGTCCTGGACGGTCACAGACTCAGACTTCAAGCTTACTACCTTGACACCGGCCCCTGTTTCCCCCCGTAGTTTTTCCGGACACCACATCCACCAAGTCTCCGAGAGTCCAGGCTTCGAGTCCACGGCTTCCCTGCTAGGCTAGCTGATCAACCTGCGGTCGAATGTACCGTTTACTGAAGGAGCACTAGCTACCACGAGTCTACGGCATTCGCGAACCTTTCTACCAACATATCAGCTGTCCTTGTACCGTGTACCTGTGGCTGAACGCCCGAAGAGTCGAGGACTAAACCACGGCTGCAGAGGTTACTAGGGCTCTTCGATCATGCCAGTCCCTTCCAAGTTCCCACTCCGCGAGGTCCGAAACACGCGCGGTATTCACACAGCGGGCTGGCTGAACCTCTCTGTTAGGGGGACCAAACCTTACCACGGTCTGCACATTGAGGATCAGTCTCCCGGGGACCGGCAGCCTCGTCGGTGTGCTTGTCCCCCGCGGTACCCGCGAGGCTGTGGGCTCCCGACTCGGCGTTGATGGCTCCCCACTATCACTGCTACGGGGTCCAGACTAGACGGTTCTACAGCGTACTGTGGAAGATCGTCGAGCCCCCTGCCGATCTCTCAGGGTCTCACGCATGCCCAATGATATCCCTACCCCGAGCGGCGCACGCAGAAACAATGCAATATGCATCCATCCTCAGAGGATGCAACCAGCTCTGCCACTCTGTCAATGAATGAGATTCGTCAGTTCTGATTGTGTGTCGGCTTCCTCACCGGCATCAAAAGGGAGTACTACCGGGCAGAATGCGGCGAGCATGAGGTCATCGTCAGTCAGGTCGAACACTCGGTGTGCAATTGTCCGATTGCACGTGTATTTCGGTAGGAAGACGGCCGGAGAGAAATAAGTACCTGGCATTCGCAGGATCGCTCAGAGGCCGCGACATCCAGTCTGGAAAACGGAATCCCGAAAGGATAAACAAGGCATAACGAGTTATCGTCCGCGAAACCTTTTCCTAGAACGGCAAAAGCTGGGGGGAAGGGGTGCTTATGCGTGATTTGTCAGGGCTGGACTACCTTGGATTCGTACTGAAAGCGACGCGTATCCATGTACGGAGTACTCCCTACGCGTACTCGACTGTGGACCAGATGACCTCTTGGATGCAGACCGCCCCACGCGGTCTACGCGTTCGCAGTACGAGGTTCACAGTGGATGATTTACACTCCCCCAGATTTGCTGGAAAAGAAGATGTCCCGAGGCCGGGATCCGGAGTCCCTCGTACTCAGTACAAGGCGCGTACATGCTCCACGATAACGGCTTCAGGATGGCTTCATTCATGGCTCACAGGTCAGGGATCGAAGTGAGTGTGCTTTCGTGGTTGTACCTCCATCTCCGCCTCCACCAACCGATCGGCCGCCTTGCACCCCGTGTCCACAGCTCCGGCACGTCCGGTCGGAGCCGGACTTGTGGACGGTAAAGTACAAGTCCAAGCTCATGCTCTTGGTCGCGGATGCCGGCGGAGTGAACGCGGCAACCCCGCCAGGCGCCTCGCGCACACGATCGTCGGAAAGTCGCACATCCCCTTTCCAACACTAGCTGTGCGTACACGGTAAACGGGGCGTTCCAGGGTTCGCGTTTAGGGTCCGCGTGGCGTGCCTAGCGGTTCGTTTGCCTGCCGAACGCATGGCCTGGCGTCGCTGTACATCGGTGTCCGCGCCAGCGTCGGCTCGGCGTCACCATCGGCAATCTCGACATGACATGATTAATGTACACAGTATACTTTACTCAACGTGTGATGCTGCGAAGACGAGCCAAAGCACTCACTTGGACTGAGCGTTGAAGCTACGGTGGTGGCAACAGCGTCTTGAGCCGACCTCGCTGACGAAACGATTGTGCTAGCAACGACAGCGGGCCTTATCTGTAGGTTTGCGTACGACACATACAACCTGCTTGTAATTGATTTGAACTGGCACGCCAGTGGAAGCACCGCACGTTCATCATGGTTCTTCGCAGCGGGACATGTATAGAAGTCTTTGCCGGCCATCAGACCACGTCCTAGGTCAGTAGGAGTCGGCCAGCTGCTGTGTGCCTTGAAAATGGGAGACGGTGACATAAAAGTCACACCTGCTGATTGCTGGACGAGCTTTTCAGCTCGTAGTGGCGGCCCATGACGATATCGACTTTCATCGGCGTTATGCCCAATCATATGAACTACCGTGCGGATCAAGTGGAAAATTCAGTCGACCGTGACGAACAAGTGCTGTGCGACGCTCAAAAAAATGGTGGACTAGGGGACAGCTCGCTCGAGGTAGTGGCAATGGTCTGAAGAGGATGTATCATGTTGTACTCATACTTGGAGCATGCAGTACTTAGTCATGTGCTGAGGTTGAGGTGTACGTCGTAGTAACTAGAGAAGGACTCAAGACGTCGCAGAGGCAGCGTGGATAATTGAGAACGATACTACCTGCTAACGAGCGTGAGCGATAATTAGGATTCACTTTTCGAGTGGCCGTCTCGTCTCTTGGTGGCCTTCTGCCTTGATGACACGTGTAGACCGTCTTGATGGTGGCGGGTCTTGGGGGACGCGGCTGTGTGACTCATTTGGAGGACATGATGAATTCCAGAGGGGTCTGGGCAGAGACCCAACTATATAGTTACGGAGGGCTATGTAAACAATACGGTAATATGTATCTTACAAAAGGGGTATGGTCCATAACGGCCCTTAGCATTGTCTGGCCAACCCTCGGGTAACCTTCCCAATCACATCTGGAAGTTTTACTAGGAACTTTTCCCGGCTCAGCCTTGTCTCTAGCGCGGCAGCCTCGTCGGGATTTTGCGGAGTTCGTGGGGACGGCATGTGCTTAGTCATTGGTGAACTCATCGTCTTAGCTGCGTTGAGACCAACATCATGTTGGTCTTAACGTGATTAGAGTTCGAGTGTTATTATCAACATCTAACCCTCGTCGTAGCTGGAAAGGCTCCACACGGCGGAACTCGACTTCATTGGGCTCGCCAACCTGGTCGATGCGCGCTCCCCCGACCGACACTAATTAACGCGTCGACGGATGATTTGTGACTTGACGAAAAATTCAGCTTGTGCTGAGCCTACGCGTGGTCCAACCATGTTGCTTGTCGAGGCATGAGTTCGAGCTCCTCTTCAGTCCACGATGTCACGGCGGCTTCCGCACAAGCGAAGCAGGCTGCCTGCTTAGAATGTCGCCGGTCAAAGGTGCGGTGCACGCGTGATGTAGGCGCGACCGTGTGTCGGAAATGTCAGCAAGCCGGTCTGCAATGCGTCACGCCAGAGTACCATGTCGGGAGATACAAAGGTGTCAAGAAGTAAGCCGGACCAGACACTCAATCTCGAACACGCTAACGTTGCGCCTTCAGCAAGAGGTCGGGGCTGGAAAAAGCAATCTATCAAGTCGAACAGGCGTTGAAGCGATCCAAAGATTGCCCTACAGGGCTAACAGCGGAGACTGAAGCCGACCTTCGGCAACTCATCAGCGCTCCTCAGACAAGCCCTCTTCTCCGCCGTCAATCCAGTACGGCTACGGCGACTCTGGTCCATCAGCAGTCCTTTCCCCAATCGCATGCCGGATTGCTACCCACTGAAAGCACCGGAACGACAGAGAATGGTCATGAAGTACCGCCTGTAGACCATGGTGAGAAGGCTGACGAGCTTGCGCTTAACAACGCCGACAATCCTTTGCAACTGCTCGCAATGGCATCGGTGTTGCCTGGCCAGTCACCCTCGACTGTGATGTCCACATCCCCTGCAGGGGTGGTCCCTTATGCAGGCACCAACGAAGCGAACATAGACGAGGATGCAGAGCTGCAACAGTTTTTTGGATCTCTGCTCCCACGCCTGGATAATTCCCGCGACGTCGATCCCATCAATCTAGGCTTGGTGACCCAAGAGGAAGCTGATTCACTTTTTGCGTACTTCTACGAGCGACTGTCTCATACGCGGTGGGGCCTGGATCCGGTCCTACACACGGCTGCCTTTGTACGCTCGCGGTCGGCCTTTCTCTTCACCTCTATTCTGGCTGCGTCTGCGTTGTTCTTGCCGAAAGCCGAGGCGTTGTCGAAGCGACTGTCGAATCATAGGAACATCCTTGCTCGAAAGGTGGTCTCTGACAGAAATCGATCCGTCGAGATTGTCCTGGCTTTCATGGTCAACATACCCTGGATGACTCCCGCCAAGCACTGGGCCGACGACGAGACATGTGCGTATCTGTCAATGGCCCTAGCATTAGCGTTGGATCTTTCGCTCAACAAAATCGTGGTGCCATCCCCCACCATCCGTCCTGCAGGATTTTTGGACCGAGTGGCAAAAGCAGAGTGTATTGACTCCGCTAAAGCCCTGCAGCTGGACGGATTCCCACAGGTTGACCCCTTGTCAGTCTGGGGAAGGCGACTACTAAGAACTCGTGAGCGGGTGTGGTTAGCATTATTTGTTCTCGACCGAGGGTATTTGGGACCTTTGCTCTTTGGTGACCGCAATCTGCTGACACGGGCTCCGCAGTATCTGCCTCGCTAGAGGACGACCGTACGCCGTGCCGATTGGACCATTAGTGGAAAGCTGTGATACTTGGCACATTTCAGATATCGCAGATCGGTGGGATGGTAGTGTCATCTCAGCAGCCGTGCTGAGGCGCGACTTGGTATGTCTCTGATGTCTGCCATGGGATGATTGCTTTTGCTTACATGTACGAGGTCGCCCTCATCACAAGTGTTCGCGAGTTCTGCGATGGAAGTCAGGGTATCAGTGGTGGCTCGACGGCTGTAAGATTGTAAGTGGGAGCTCGATACCTGTTAACTTCGCTCTGTATGCACCTGGGACGTTGACGGTGGGCGGCTAATATCTTGACAGTCTCAAGGATAAAATTGATCGCTTTTTCGAGCAGTGGTATGCGGTCTGGTCACGGCAGATCACCCAAGGAGATGGTAAGACTCAAGATCAAATACAGCCATGAGTGTACGTATTGACGCGGGATACCCTCCACAGGTCAACTGCCTCCATATGTTGAAATCCTAGTGTCACACACCAAGCTATCGACGTATTGCAATGTTGTCAACCACCCTACTGCATCCAACGACGTGAAACAGTTCTTCCGAGCTGCGGGTCTTGCATCTGCCATGAACGTCATGCGTGCCGCCGTGCAGGGTGAGAACCGACTGAAGTCAATGCCGAACAATACCGTCATCATGGTATCATTTGCGGCGACCTTCGCTCTGGCACTCGGAGCCACAAACCTGGGCAACCGTGCCATGCTGCCCCCAAACGCCAAAGCGCTAATCGAAGAAACGACGCAGGTGTTGGAGAGGATCGGAAGCTCGCCCCGCCACCGTAAAGGCTTGTCTGTGTTGTTCGCCAGACATATCCGTCGGATTATGCAGAGCTCTCTCCTTGATCAACCCGAGGAGAACCAGGCTCCACTGTCCGGACCTTCGGGCCATTTTCCACCACAGGCCCAAAACGTCGACTACAGCAATCCTCAAACCAACGCACCACGAGCTTCCACTGCTGCTCCGGAGCCGTATGTCTTCGACATGACTGACGATCAAATCCTAGAAGCCATCAATAATGCCAGCACTTCACAGGACTTGTTCCAGCTCGACGAGACGATGTTCTTCGACTGGCTGGATTGGCCGAATGTCACATGAGACCAAACCATCTGTGCCGTGGTATGTGGTTGCGAATTGGTACAACTTGGACTTTTGGCCTCAAATCTTCTGGGCAGGCACATTGGCCCGGGCAGGGTCTATTGAGTCCTCTTTTCTGGACATGGTCACGAGCCTCTGCAGCTGCTCGATGAAGATGAAAGTAAGCACTGTGTTCGGCCTACAAAGTGTTAGCTATGCCTCCGGTCGCGTGCGCCCTTGGGATGAACTTACGCAAGCCTGAGCCAGGCAGGTGTCCAGCCCCTCATCAAAAACCGTGGACCTTCCGTCCGCAGCGACTCGGTAATGATCCTGCTTACGCTCTATCGAATTGTATCAGCAAGAGCTCGAAAATTGTCTGGCGTCTATCCTTACTGGCTTTACTCCGTCGACGGCCACTGCGTTCTGGATCCGGCTCTTCAACACGTCCGCCGGTGCGCAAGCAGTTGTCGCGACCGTGCCTGCAACCAAGGAAGCCAGAAAGTGCGTAAATACTCCGTCTTTGAGGCCGAGTGAAGGGTTCGAAAGAAGACGGCGCTTGGCTGCGGAATACCTGAGAGTTTGTGAGCACTCATACACTCTATTGCCTGTCAGAAAGCGTACGTTGCTATTTGGGAAACATCTGCACCGTGTCAGCAGCATTCGCGAAAACCGTAACTTGACCGCACACATACTCATGATCACACTGCGGACGACGTTTGGACCAAGACCTCGAGTGAAGGTCTGTATGCCTTCCTCCCGACCGATTCTCAAAATCGCGTCGAGGGCGTGCTTGTACCCGAACCTCTGGGCTGGCGGTTTCGCTCCGTCGGCACACATCCTCACAAGAGCAACCTATACCGATGTCAGCGCGTTGGTCCGCCAAGCAATTGCTCTTTCAGACCTCTGTCGGATTCCCAACAAGTCCAGCCAGGCCACCAGCAGCACCAGCGCAGACAATCTCCCATCCACTCGTGAGTCGTGCAGCGCCTGACCGCTCCCGAGCCTTGTTGGCAAATTGATTGTACAGCCCAAACCTCGCCGTCGAGTATGTCGACTGTCGCAGCATCGAGGCTGAAATGCCCCACCACAGCGACGGAATGCCTGTCATTGACATGAGTCTGTCTTGGCCTGATGCCACGAATTCATGTGGTCAGGACTCACCGTCTCGGCTCGCAAACTGCACCATTGTCCGCAGCATGTTTTGCCTCGTGGCCATGACCTGCATCCTACTGAGAGCATTGTCAGTGCTTGTTCCACAGCGGAGCGAGCGGAAAAATCCAGCTTACTATTTGGTTTGGTCGAGAGGATGAGCTGCAATGTCACGTCAGTGGACCTGCACACCAGACTACTGAGGAAATCAGGGTATCATACTGAAGCACGCGGCCATCGATGCAGCAGCACCTCTGTCTCATGGTCAGCAACAAGTGCATCATGGTGGCGCGCAGATCCGATCACTCACCCAAGCCAGAAAGGCTGTCCTTGCTTCTTTGATTTGGGCATAATTGCTGGCTTGCCTCCACGGTATGCCGAATGCTGCGACTCTTTGCTTGATTACCAGCGACAGAGCTACGCCGGCTGTTAAGGGCTTGGCAGATCTATTTGTAACGAGGTGTTCTTGATTATGGCAATCTAAGAGCCAGCGTACAATGTCGAGGGTGCATTCCTGCGATACCTTCTACCCAGCACACAGTGGCAGCACCTCAGCACGTGGTTGTATATCCTTGCATCCTCTACGAAGTATTGCTGGGAGAGTCCGACATTGCCTGGTTCGTACATAGGGACGCGGACGATCCTCATCGGCAATATCATCTGGAAATCCCCCGTCACCCCCGCAAGCGCCACAAGCGTCAGGTTCTCGCCCGCAAAGAAGACGACGCGGCTTTAAAAGAATCCCCGGACCCAACTCCCGATCACGTGGGACAACCGGAAGACGCATGCGAGCGATGACATCCGTGCTGTTTAGCCGATCTCGCTGATCTCGCTGAGCTCTGCATTGCTCGGTTTGAAAGAACCATTTTTCCGTTGCCATTCCTCTGCCTGTTTGCTAAATCACTCATGAGATAGATTAAATCTCGACGCACATCGCCAGTCTCGTCGGCAGCTAAGTAGAGTACAAGACGGACGGTCAGCATGGCTTCCTCAACAGCAAGGCGCACACTGCTGCTCTGCGTCAATGATATCAAGACTGCGAGCTCCCCAAATCCTCACGTCAACAACTTGCTTCCCCGCAGAACTCTACACCAGCGCCAATCAAGAGTTCGACCATGGCTCGCCTCGCAACACCAGCAACACAATATTCGATACTTTTCACATTCACGGCTGAGACAGCGCGAGGCAGCCCCGTCTCCCAAGCTCGCAAACGATGACCAGCCCGTCATCGACCGCACCCGGTCGAAGCTGTTCAAAGACGCCGACGAGGCTGTCGCGGACATCAAGTCCGGCTCCACGATCTTCAGTGCCGGGTTTGGCCTCTGCGGCACGGCCGAGACGCTCATCACGGCCCTGCACAAGCGTGGGCCGGATTCGCTGAACAACCTCACTGCGGTGTCCAACAATGCTGGCGCAGCCGGCGAGGGCGGGTTGTCGCCGCTGACCCAGTCGGGCCAGATCACGCGCTGCATCCTCTCGTATCTGGGCAACAACAAGAAACTCGAACAGAAGTACCTGAACGGCAACATTGCGATTGAACTATGTCCGCAAGGAACGTTGGCGGAGCGCATCCGCGCCGGCGGCAGTGGGATTCCGGCCTTCTTTACCCCGACGGGTGTTCGTACGTGGAAGCCTCTTACGCTGCTTGCATATGTACTGACGCGGTCGTCCTTTCAGACACATTCATCCAGACGGGCGAGATCCCGACACGATTGGGCCCGGCAGACCCGGCGACGAAGAAATCCGTGGTGCTTGAACCAGGCAAGGCGCGCGAGACGAGGATCTTCAACGGCAGAACCTACGTCATGGAGACGGCCCTGACGGGCGATGTTGCTATCATCCGGGCATGGAAGGTCGACGAGGCAGGAAACTGTCAGTTCAGGTGAGGATTGCCCTGTCGCATTGCGTACAAGCTAGAGCTCGCGGTGCGGACTGTACTGACTGTGCAAGATACACAACCAAAGCGTTCGGCCCCATCATGGCCAAAGCCGCGCGCCTGACGATCGTCGAGGCCGAGAACATCGTGCCCACCGGCTCGATCGACCCCAACGACGTGCACCTGCCAGGCATCTTCGTCGACCGGATCGTCCCCGCCACGGTCGAAAAGAAGCTCGAGATCAAGAAGACGCGCCCCACTTCGGGCACAGAAGCCAAACCGGAGGGATCTGGTGGTGACAAATCCGACGCCCTCGTGCGCCGCGACCGCATCGCCCGCCGCGCCGCCAAGGAACTCAAACACGGCATGTACGTCAATCTGGGCGTGGGGATGCCGACGCTGGCGCCCAGTTTCTTGCCGGAGGACGTCAAGGTGTGGATCCAGAGCGAGAACGGCATCCTCGGCATGGGCGCGTACCCGACGGAAGACGAAGTCGACCCAGACATCATCAATGCGGGCAAAGAGACCGTGACCCTCGTGCCCGGCGCGGCCACGTTCGACAGCTCAGAAAGCTTCGGCATGATTCGCGGCGGACACGTCGACGTCTCGATCCTGGGTGCTCTGCAGGTCAGCGCGGCGGGCGATCTCGCCAACTACATGATCCCCGGCAAAGTGTTCAAGGGGATGGGCGGCGCCATGGACCTGGTCTCCAACCCTGGGCAGACCAAGATCGTGGTCACGACGGATCATGTCGACAAGTATGGCGCGCCCAAGATCGTCGAGGTGTGTTCGTTGCCCTTGACGGGGGCGCGGGTCGTCAGTACGATCATCACGGATCTGTGTGTCTTCCAGGTCGACCGTGAGAAGGGGACGTTGACGCTGACGGAGTTGGCTGATGGCGTTACTGTGGATGAGGTCAAGGGGAAGACGGGAGCCAAGTTTGCCGTTGCTGAGGAGCTGGGGTCGATGGAGTGATTAAGTAGATTTTTGACTGTTGTTTGGGAGCTTGGGGATCATCCCCGTGAGGGGATGTACAGTACGCTTGTATGGTATTTGGCGCCCTACAGTACCACCAGTTCACTAGTACCTGCAATCGGAATCGCGTATATTAGATCACATACGTGGATGCCTGCCTGGAGAAGGGATATCAGCATCTTACTGCCTAGATTGGGTTTTACTTTCTATTCCTTGTTTGCGGTACTGACGTGATAATCCATGAGTCGAGAGTCTGCAGCGTTTACTCCCCGGGTTGGGCCTTCGCTGTCTGCACTTTGTCTAAACTAATCACGGTATCATCCAGTGGTCGAGTGACTCATATCTCGAGCAAAGTATCCAACATTGAGTTTAAGGGTAGCTTTGTCTCAAACAAACAATGCGACATTTGACACAATTACAACTTCGTCAAATGCCAGTAGGCCAATCACTGTGTGTATCTGTCCGGTGCTTCTAAGCCCATCTTTTGCGCTTGATTCCCAACACGGAGACACAGGCCTAGACGCGGACATATATAAACCTTTCCAAGAACTACAACTTCGCCTTCAACTTCTCGCCCCCGAGGCCCATCCCCGGCGCAAACGTCGTGCCCCGCCCCTCACCGAGCGCCTGGACCAGCTCGTCGATCGTGTTCAAAATCCACTGGTTGCCCTCATCCGTGGCCAGCCACTCTCCGCCCTCAATGTCCCTCTCTGCCGAACCGTCCTGATACGCCTTGCGCAACCCGAACACATGGCTCGTGACCTGCGGGCCCACGCCCGTCTGCGCTCTCAAGCACGCAATCGCCGCCAGGGAAGTCAGCACGCGGCCCACTCGCAGAGGCGAGTCATTTGGCGGATCGGACAACAAATTCGAGTAATGTCCGTTGATGATATGGACCGGGAGATTGGGGTGCGATTGCGCCAGCCGGTCGAGCAACTTCTCCTCAAACGGTTTGTAGACCGAGTCCCAGAGCTGGCGGCCCCGGGTCAGCGAGTCGGCGATGTTCTGCGGCGTCAGCTGCCGGGTTGGTGGCGAGGGGATCTTGTCGACCACGTCCTTGGGCAGGCCCTCGCGGAAGGCGCCGAGGACGTTGATCGTCCGCGGGATGCCGTTGAAGGAGATGCATTTCAGGCCGACTTCGCGCATGAGGCCTGCTGTTTCGGGTGGTGAGGGTGCCGACGGGAGCGATGACACAAAGTGGAACAGTTCGACCATTGACTGCGGCGAGTTCATCGTCATGGTCGTGGCCGTCGAGATGGTCAGCCACGCGGGGATACCGACGCCTCGGTCATGGGCGCTGTTTGCTATGCGGGAGTAGGTCGAGCGTATGGATGGCGGGGCCCTGAGCGTGCCGGGTAAGGCGTGCGCGGCGTTGATGAGATGTTTTAGTGGCTCCGAGAGCTTCGACATGGTGTTTGCTGATGTGTGAGTGTGGGCGTGGAGGCGATGTGCTGTGTGGCCCCTCAGTGTCAATACAGAGGAACACAACTGCAAAAGACGGCTTGCCTACAGCTTTGTGGTTGACGTTGATGTTGTTGGCGCCGCGCTTCTCGCCACCGAGGTCGCTCTTCCTCTGTTTTCCTGGCGGCGTCGTCGCTCATGTAATAAGCCCGAGAATGTGCGATTGGTGGAGCGTTGACGTCGTATGCAAGGCTGATCTGACCGGGATCCCGTTGAGGAAGACTCAAATGTTGAGATGGCGCTGTTGGCGAGCTCAAACTCTGTGTTCGCTACGGTGGTGACGGTAAAATAAAGGTCCGATGAGCGGAAGATGAGGCGAGTCTGACCTCGGCGTGATTCTGGGCTCCGTCGGAGATTCTTCTACGTCCCTCCAATCGCCATCCACACCACGGCCCGGCTTCCGCCAATCACCAGCGGCCATTTCGCCCGCCGCTTTTCGGGGTCTGCCTCATCGTTGTTCCTGTCGAGCTGTGCAGGTGAATATGCGTGTCGGCTGCTTGACACGGCCATTCACCGATCTGACCGATGTCCGCCATCTCGTTCCCCAGCCCAGCCGAAGCTTGTCGTGCTTATTGTGCTTATTGGTTCCCCTCGAATCAGGTAACGTTCTGTGAGCCTTGGCCGACGCAACAACGTCGTGCAGGCCACCTTGTTGAGGAGCGATTCCTGATCACCAAATACGGTGACGGGACCGCACATCTTCAATGATAGGCGGGCAAACAGCGTGCATCGGCGCATCCCTGACCCATGGGGTACAACGACAGAGACTTCGTAGCCCAACGTTTGGCTCTTGATATAAAGGGAATAGCCGACCCCGGATTTTCATGACCTTTGCTACTGCTTGTGGTGTCAAAAGCTGAACAGCCTCGATCTCCTTCTCGTCTTGCTTTTCTAGTGCGCCTCGAGTCTGAGCGTCATCGATACTCGCCTTCCATTCCGGCAACCTCCTGTCTGCTTTGCGTTCCCATGGCTGAAGAGAAGGTGACGCACGAGCCTATGGCTGAAAAGTCCGACGATGCTCAATTCGAGACATCGAGTCAAGTGCTATCAGCTCACAAGAAAGACTCGATTTCTGCATTAGATAACGACGCCCATACCCGGGCGTTGACACGAAAGCTTCTATGGAAACTGGACACGAGGTATGCTCTCGCAATGCTCGGGTCCAGCCCCGATGCTATTGATTATGTTTAACCTCTGGTTTCGTGCAGAATCCTGCCAGTGCTCGCCCTTCTGTTCCTCTGCTCGTTCTTGGACAGAACCAATGTCGGGAATGCGAAGATCTTGGGCCTCGAGACGGACATCGGTGTCAGCAATAGCCAATACGCCAATGGTCTTGCCATCTTCTTCGCATTCTATATCGCCGCAGAATTGCCTAGCAACCTGGTGCTGAAGAAGTTCAGCCCACGGTTATGGCTTGCCTTCTTGACTTCGGCCTGGGGCATTGTCGGAATGTGTCTTGGATTCATTCGAAACTACGGCGGCTTCTTGACCGTTCGAGCTTTTCTCGGGCTTGCGGAAGGAGGGCTCTTGCCAGGTATGTATTTTGCCAAACCGATTCTACCAGGCGAGCGGCTGTTAATTCTCAGCCAGGCATGGTGCTGTATCTTTCAGGAATGTATACGAGAGGCGAGCTTGCACTCCGCATCGGCTTGTTCTACACAAGCGCATCTCTCGCCGGAGCCTTTGGAGGTCTCCTCGCTCGCGGGCTCTCTGCCATTGGACCGACTGGCGGGACCGTCGACGCGGGCTGGCGATGGATCATGATCATTGAAGGCCTACTGACCTTCGCTGCCGGAGTGGCCTCCTATTTCATCCTTCCCAACAACGTCTCGACAGCTTGGTTCTTGCAGCCCGAGGAGCGGGAACTCGCCACACGCAGGCTCCGAAACGATACGTCCACGCATCTGCCTGATGGTCAGCAGAGCGAAGGCGTCGAGAAATTCCGATGGTCGGAAGTCCGCCGCGGAATCCTCAACGTTCAGCTGTGGCTTAGCGCAACGGCCTACTTCGCCATCCTGTCCGGGCTGTACTCTTTTGGGCTGTTCTTACCGACTATCATCAAGGGGTTAGGCTACACGGCAAACGAGGCGCAGCTCTGGTCCGTCATTCCCTATGCGGTGGCAGCTGTCGTGACCGTCATTGTGGCTGTCATTTCCGACCGCATGAAGCTCAGAGGCGTGGTGATGCTGTGCACCCTTCCTTTGGCGATTATCGGCTATGCCGCCATCGCCAATGTTGCAGAGAAGGACAACCACACAAAGTACGGCATGACATTCCTGATGGCCACGGGCTTGTACGCCAGCGTCCCACCAGTGCTGGTCTGGAACTCCAACAACTCTGCTGGACACTACAAACGAGCCACGACATCAGGCATGCAATTGGCGATCGCGAACGCCGGTGGCTTTGTCTCTTGTAAGTGCCCGCTTGAGATCCCCATAGCTTGTTGAACTAGACACTAATGCGACAGCAGCATTCATCTACCAAACCAAGGAGGCGCCTCAATATCACAAATCGCATAGCATCATTTTGGGCCTGTTAGTCTATGCCTGGTTCGCGTAAGTCTTCATGGCGTCTCCTGCGTTCACCAACCTGGACTCAGCATACTGACGCCTTGGACAGGGTGTTGTGCAACGTCCTTTACTGCGCCAAGATAAACCGGGACAAAGCCAATGGCAAGTACGACAAATATATCGGGTACGGGGATGACCGAGATCCAGAGTACAAGATGGTCTTGTAATAGCAGGTCTCGAGGCGCCTCTATAACGGCTAGATGGGTCACTTCTGAGAAGCAAAGTCTTTCAAGATCAAGGATTCCAAGGCGAACATTGAGTAGTCACTGAATAAAGACCGGAACCGAGTTCATGCACCGCTTGATATGCTGCATGAGCGACCGATCGGTTTGCGGGGGTGAGCTTCTTTATTTGTAACGCCGGGCGGGGTACGTCGTACACCCATCATCCATGTAGAGACCGTCGACCTCTCAGTGATGAGTGAGTTGTCACCCGTAGTGGACCGCGTTTGACAAAAGCCACAAGCAAATAATACTTGTATAAATATCATTGTTCCGCTAATAGGACCACTTCCCATTACTTCAACATTGTGCTCAGTTCCAGGGCCTTCGTGACAGGCACCCATATACCACAGCGCCAGCTGTTCGACCCGATCTCATCAACTTGATTTGAATTCACTTGAGCTCATCTTCACTTCGCCGCAGCACACCCGCCGGAGCGCGCAACATGTCCACGTCACGTCCACCCAATCCCACACAGATCCCGAACGGCCTCCCCGGCCTCACCACCCACCTCACCGGCCACGATGCCAGCACGGGCAAAGCCATCGTCCAAGAAAGTCGCCCGGGCAACTGGTCAGTCTACGACGACAAGCTGATGGCCTTCAACGTCGTCTACACGACGTCGAAATTCCCAGCGGACCTCAACAACGACGCCGACATCAAGGCCCACGACGAGACCATGGCCAAGGGTAAGCTCGGCCTGGTCAATTCTCACGGCACGGTGTGTCGCGTCGTCGACTTCGCCCCGGGCTACGAATGTATCATGCACAGAACGCAGAGTCTGGATTATGGCATCGTGCTCGAAGGCGCGATCGAGCTGGTCCTGGACGGTGGGGAACGGAAGCTCATGCAGAGGGGGGATGTTGCGGTGCAGAGGGCCACGATGCATGCGTGGAAGAATACGAGCGAGAGCGAGTGGGCGAGGATGATCTTTGTGTTGCAGGACTGCGAGAAGTTGGAGGTTGGCGGGAAGGCGTTGAAGGAGGATCTGGGTAGAGGTGTCGATGGGCTGCCTCCGAGTGGTAATGATGCTTAGACATGGGAAAGGAAGATTCTGCTGTTTGAAAGGAGGTGGAAACGCCCGCAAGTGTTTGGAATGCTACCTTTGATTATCACCTTATGAACAATCCTTGGAGCATGTTCCGTTTCCATCGAGCTGTCGAGTGGCCCCCAGCAGACGTGATGTTTGTCTCGCATCGTTTAACGTCGCTATTTCTCTCCGTACTCTGGCTGTACTTTGTGTGCAGAAACGGCGCCCGGCACCATCAGGCGGAGTGTAACGTGGGGGTCTGCGGCGTAGTGTCCACGTCGAATGCTAAATAAAGGGACCAGTCGTACGACGGCCGGAGAAAATTGCAACGTTAGCCTGTCGACGGTGACACTTGAATCTCGGCGAGTTTGCAGATGGTGGCGCTTTTGTAGGGCGTGGGAGGCCAGCGTGTTTCAGGGGCGGCCGAAGACTCCGAGAGCCCAGAAACAGCGTGGATGACGAGATTGCAGGACCGATGGGACTTGATGGCGGCGAGGCAGGCACAACACGTCGGCCGCTGCCGCCGCGAAGTTGACGAGCGATAAGCGGCTGTGTAGCCAAGGCAGCGAGCGCTACATGGCAATCAGCACGAGGAGCAGGAGCAGGAGCGAGCGACGAGTCTTTCGAGTGTCACGGCTTTCACGTCGATATCAGCTGCATTTATCTTTCGGGCCTGAATAATTCTCGCACAACACATTCGTTGCGCATGCATCTCATGTGGCCACTGGCGAGGCCCTGCCGGGCCCGCTGACTTCTCGGAGGATTTTGAGCAGTGCCTGACATGCCGACAGGACGCCACGCGAGAGGCCAAGGGAAATCTGAAGCACGCCAGGCCGATGGGCGTCGAGGGAGACGTGGAGCTTCTGCAGCCATGAGTGGCTGGCTTGAACGCCCCTCACTCTCCTCTCCCAACGCCATGCTCACTGTTTCCATCGTTTGAGATTCTGTGACCGGCGCGGTTCGAAGATTGGTCTCAGCAGACGAACCCATTGTGGCCCCATCCTGCTTCAGCTGCCGACCCTATGCTCCCCATGCCCGACAATATCACTTTGTCCGACCAAAATGGCTGAAAGCAACAATGCTGATTCGGCTATCGAGAAGGCCGCATGGATGGTCACCAAGGATCGCGCACCTGCATTCAACCTCATCCATGCATGTCATGCCAAACCCCGGTCTGCTGGCGCCCGTTTGCTGCAACCGCGTGGTTGACAGGCTGTTCCCAAATGGTCTAAGTAAACCTTGTCATGCCGTGCACTGACCGTTTGCGAGCTTTTGTTGCACTTCGTGCCTCAATACTGTTTCCGACTCTTCAACTATCCGCGAACTCGGACTCGACAACCTCGACACCCTAGGCCGAACGACCACCGCAGGGCAAAGCGTGCCAGGCAGTGTCACGATGCTCACCTTGTAACACTCTCATGGTCCCACTGATTCCAGGGATCTAGAGCCGAGTCGCCAGGTCTCTCGCTTTTCACCATCCGTTTCCCAGTCACTCGTTTGCAAACGTTTTAATCGGTTCATTTACCTTCCTGGCGGGCCCGGGAATCCATCATGCCCACGAGGTGGTTATCACTTCGCAAGAGAAATCCTTTACATCAGAACGATCAGGATTTACAGCTTCCGGCGAAACAACAGGACTTCGATTTTGCTTTTGGAGAGCCGCTTTCACCTCCTCGGACGGACTTACCAAGAGTCGGGCCCAGGCTCGTTCAGATACGCCCAACAACATCTGGCGGCAACACAGGCAAGAGGAAACCACGTGTCGAGGTGCCTTCTGATATACGACCACGGACGACAGAGGCTCATAAACCCTCGCCACTGCAGAACCTCGATGGTATTTCGAAGTCGGAGGACAGTCTCATAGGCCTGGCCTTCGGTAGCCCCAGCCATCCGCCTGCGACTTTCGGTTCCCATGTCGAGGCTGGCGGTTCACCCGAGCTGAACCCCTTCGCTCGGCATACACAAGGACTCCGAGATAAGGCCAGCCAAATGCAATCCAAGAGATGGAGGAAGATTGGCACTCTGTTCAAGCCACGGCATGTTCTCAGACGGGACGAAGTGCCATCCGGCCCGACCATTGGCTTGCCTACGGGTTTCGTAGTGTTGGATAAAGACCCAGCTCTTGAATCGGACCATGGTTGGCAGGATAGGTTGGGAATTGGACAACCAGAGCAGCCAACGCGTGTACCACCTCCGCCGCCCCTTGGGAAGGATGCAAAAACAGCACCGAGAGCTGCAGACGTGCCTGTGCGCGACTCCGAAGACGACGGGATGTCCAGACCTTCCAGCGCAACTGCGACCGAGACCGGCTCCATCGCTGGAGAGCCGTACAGCAGACCACCACTACCTAAGCTAGAACTAGCCATCCCCCGCAACCTGGACGCTGCTAAGCGCTCCTCTTCACTTCTAGCAAGACGTAGCAAGACGTTGGAGAGTCTGAAATCGTTCGAGGACAGCCGACGTACCACCATGGGAACGATGGACGGTGGCCTAGATGACCCCTCAAAGCCTCACACACCACTCAAGCCACCCCGACGGCTAACCACCCCCACAATGACCAGATCGCCGGCAGTGAGCAAGTACTCATTATTCCCAACCACCTCCCCTGCCCCAGTCAAGTTTGTGGGCAGAGTGCCTGGCGCCGAGCATGACACTCTCTCAACAGGTCAACTGAAGAGATCACTCACCTCTCCCGCGCGGCTCTCTCCGATGCGAGACAACTTCGGCGATGTATCTAAGCCAATTCCACTTAACCCCAGGAGGATAGACACCGTCGAGCCATACTTTAGCAGCCCGGAAGACACTACAGCATCCACAGACCATGAAGCACCTTGGAGCTCCGCTCATTCTTTCAAGTCATCCGTATCTTCAGCCACCACAGTCGATGAGATCTTCTTCGACATCAAGTCATTCAGGGACTCGAAGGGTGTCGAGGACGGGCATTTTTTCATGACGAGGCCGGACTCTGCACAAGTCGAGCTGGCACGCACCAGATCGAAGCGGGCAGGCCCTTCGAGTCGCCTGCGGCAAATGGAGGCTTCCATGTCCGATGAAGGCCCGTCGGAGCCAGCTCCAGCATCTACCGGCAGCCAGTCTGCGTGGACAACCAAGCACACTTCTGTTAACACGGCTTACTTCGACGAGGCAATTGCCGCGGTGGAAAGACTCACCACGCCGACAGGGGGTGTTCCCAGTGTAGGTGTGCAGCCCCCCGTCCCCACCGTCCCAGTTGCAGACCTCGACGACAAACTACCACTGCCCTTGCTATCGAAGTTGCAACCTCCGAAGCCTGCGGACCATCATCTCAGGCTCACCATCAAAAGCCACGAAGAAGTCAGCCGCTTGATTCCTTCTCCAGTGGTAGAGTCAAAAGAAACTGACTCGCCCAAATCTGACGCGTCAACCATAAAGGGTCCCAAAACTCAACAAACCCTGGCCGCAAAAGCCGTCTCTCCCCAGATTGCAGCGGTCAAGCGTGTCGACCGGCCTATTGACGACTCGCCGACCATTCCTCAAGGTCCTCCTAGCCCCAGAAGAACTTCAAAAACGCCTTCGGCCTTGGAAGACAGGCCACCACCGGTACCGAAAAAGGACGCCAAGTTCATCCCCATGTCAAAGTACGCGCCCAAGGGTACGGTAAAGGCCATCGAACGGCGATCCGGCGTCACTCCCACGCGACCTGTACGGGCCAACACCGAAGACCTGGCCTCACGTCAGCCGTCGCAATGGGTGTCAAAGGACCGATCAGCGACGATGCCATCCTCCGGTCAGACGCAACAACCTCACCAGTCTCCTCCGAGCTCGTCCCTCCGTGGTCTCGAGAAGGCTGTCCCGCCTCGTCCCAACCCCGTTGCCTTGAACCCGACGGGACCCGCCGAAGTCGCAATTGCCCGGACGGTTTCCCTTTCTCGCAAACAATCTGCTCGTGTGCACATTGCTGGACCTCGCCTCGCGGCCCGCCGCGCGGAAGCTCAAGCATCAGCTCAGACGCAGACACAAGCTCGATCACAATCTTCTGCTCAACAGCACCAGCGGCAACCCTCAGCCCACCGGCGGAACCCGTCCACTGTATCGCAGAAGTCCAACAAATCACCCAAAGCACCCAAGGGCAGCATTCTAGGCCACCGGCACAACCGGACCGCCTCGTCCACGAAATCTATCCACCGGGCTTCAAAGGACCTCTCCAAAACCAAAGTTGTGAAAACACCAGCAGAAGGCAAATCCGGCAGTTTCGGCAAATCCATGTGGAGCAAAGAGTCCGAGAAGCAACTCATCAAGGAGGCTCGCAAGTGGGAGATCCTCGAGAAGAAGAGCTACTCGCCTATTGTCGTGCCGGCTGACTTGGGTCATCGGCCTGGACTCTCGGTGGGATTGGTCGTGGAGGGCAGCTGACCTGGGAGTGGTCTTGGAGGCTTCCCATTTTCATTTCGTTGTATATCGTGTATTGTATCTTTCCTATGTTCGTCCTGTTTGTTTGACGACATTTTCGGTTGTTCGTTTCGCCCATTCGACGTTGCACGAAGGGGGCGAATTGAGCATTGGGCATTAGCGCATTCGGCCAGGGGCATTATGTGGTGTATGGAGTATCACATTCGGCGTAGCGCGCGTGGCATTCGAAGAAGCCCCTTGGAGGGAATGGTAGGCCCGCAGGATAGGGCACTTCCGGGACGGAGGACATAGGGATGCAGGGTCCCTACAGGCCTTCCACGACTCTTCTGCTGTGTATGTACGGAGTATATTCGTATAGATGTACCTCCATTTTTGGGGACCAACCTACGGAGTGTGTACAGAAGACGATGGAGAAAAGGAAAAGGGGGGACTTCTACAGATATTGTAGGACGAGGAAAGCCTACCCGGTATGAGATATACCATAGTAGAGCGGAAATGTCGCTATCCCCTGCGCGGTCAATTTGGCTGAGTAAGTCTTGGCATCCCTGAATATTCACGCGGCAACCAAACTTGGGCTTCAAGTGTACTATTTTATGCCTTAGAATAGCTCTTATAGCCTACTACTACCGGAGATCTCAGGGCCGAGAACAAAAATACATGAGGTTGCCAAGTACGAGGTGAAGATGTGGAAGGTTACTATACCTATCAGACCACCGACGAGAGTAGGCGACGACCACCTAACAGCTACACGGCCTAGGTACTGTACATCACACTTCGTCTCTAGGCTTAGCAGTACTGCCTAAACATATAAACACCATAAATTCATAATTATGTTTTGCACATAGGTTTGGTTGCGAAATCAACATCTATGGATGCCAAGACTTTACTCGGCCAAATTGACCACGCAGGGGATAGAAAAGACATAATTACGTGGTAGGTACTCTGTACCCTGCGCCGTATTGTGCAATGGCGTGCTGTATCTGGTGAGCAGGCCATCGCTACGCAGGTATAGCTTCCTTTGGGACAATGGAGCAACGGGTGTACGAGGTAGTAATCAGTCAATCAACTGATACGGTGGGGCATGATGCTTGGGAACAGGAAAGTCCTCGGTTTGCTAAGTGTTCGCAAGCGGCGTCTAGGACCGAGTCTGTCCTAGACCACCTGGCGCGGGACAGATCAAGATCTAGGACGGCCCACCCAGGCTGACAGCACGACAGCAGCCCCTAGGCATTTTCTGTTCAAAGACATGTACAGAGTATTCTACTCACTGGTCCATCAACAGCACCTGCCCGCACCATCAAATTCACACCTTGCCACAAGTTCCGCTGCCTTCAGATGTTCTACATTCGTGACAGTACTCCACCTCACATTTTCCATCCCGTCTTCCTGTGGATTATGCTCATTCAGCTGAAGGTGCTATGATACAAGGCTACTGTCGACAATTGCTTTTCTCTCCATGACATCCCGGTCGTTGGAGTAACGGGATGGGTCAGTGATGCTGTCAAGCGCGACAAATGGCTTGGGAGGCAGAACGGTTCGAGGGGGCAGGCCGGGCATACTGTGCTTTGTCGAGAAAGTGCTGCAGTGGTTAAATCTGTAGCAAAGTCATGCTGGAGCTGGCAGAATTGAAGCTCGCAGCTGCTCTTCAGGGGTTTTTCAGTTGTTGTTTCCGAAGAAATATGGTCAAGACTTACCAAAAAGGCGTCTTGTTTGGCGAGCGGAATACCAGGTTTGGCCCCCAGCCAGAAAGATGGCCAGGGTTGTGCCAGCAATGAAGTATGCGACAGCAGACGACATTTCAACTTGAATGCGGCGGGTGACGTTGAAGAGTTTGATAGCGGTGGTATTGCGAATTGTGATAGCGGGCTTGTTTATCAAGCAGCCCCTCCAGGCGGTCGCGAGAAGCATCAAGTAACTTATAGACGAGGGCTTCGTGTCCAAAAGCGTCGAATGCGTCCACCTTGCACGAAATCCTCTGCGATGTTCCGCACCGTTATTTTCATCGACTATAATGTGCTAAACATGGAGCACTTCACACGAGGCTCATGCGCGGAATATCGTAGGACCCGCGAGCCCAGAACCTTGTCAAAATGCAAGTTAATACGGTAGCAGTGCACCTGGAACGGTGGAATATGGAAGCCTCACAGAGCAATCCAGCCAATCACAGGTATACATTGGTGATGGTTCGGAATATCGCAGCGCTAAGTGCCGCTAAAATACCAAGCCACCGCCATCAGCCAATGAATCAGACCTTCAACCACCAACATCCCGTGCAAATGTGTTTCGACCTGATCAAATGCGCCTCCCCTCAACTCAGAGAGGGAGAAAGATGGACATTAACTAGAGCCGCCACGAGATAGATATTATAAATATGTCTGCTTCTAGCTCTCCATCTTCCTTCGTTTCGATACACTTCCCCTCAATTTTGTTAGGTCGCAGCTGCCGCCGGCCTTTTTCGGTATGGATGGCTTCGACGATGACTATCAGCTGGACCTCCTGTTCCCCCTTCAGGCAGCGCCTGCGTTTCAGTACCTGAGCCCTACGCACCTCACCCAGACATCGATATGGGCAAGCGTCGACGCCGACCTCAACACTGACGACGGTCATCTTTCTTGGCCACTCGTTCACGACATCATCGACGACCCCCCGATCAATACAGCTGCGGTCGATGCGCCTGCCAGCTTTCATGTCTTTCCCCAAGACGTGACCGACATGGTCAATCGCAACTCTTTGTCAGATTCGGAACTTTTTATTGGTATTGATATTCCTCCTACTCTTCATATCCCTCAGGCACCCCGAGTCCCAGGATCGAGCCATGCTTTCCACGTTACGGGAAACTGTGAAGATCCTGCACACCTGCGCAGAAGGAGACGTCGTTGTTTATGTTGCCAGGTAGACAAGGGAAACCGTCCATGCCTCGGCTATCCACTATGCCAGCGATGCAGCATTCTCCCTGGTATAAAGGCAACACCTCCTTCTTTGACGGACATATTGTACCTTGACTGGAGACTCTGGTTCTTCCTGTGCCGCGATCTAGGCCAGAACATTGCTCCTTTCCGCGAGGAGTTTCTCAGTGCCTCGCCGATGCCTTTCGGAGCCCGTGCACCGGTTGTACTGGAGTTGGAACTTCAGGACAGGATGCCCAGCTGCTATCTCAGCAGTAACCATCTAGTTGTCTTCGAACCTGACTTGGGGAAGCAATCATTCGTTTCCGTTCCTGAACCAGACCAGACCCTGGTCCGTGCCCCGACCATCCGTACCTCGCAACTCGACTCGTTCGTAACAGGATCCGTGTGGGGAGAAGCTTACTCCGTGGCGACGTCCCACAAACTTTCCGGCGACGAAATTGCTCTGTTCTCGACTGCAAGGCTATTCACTGGATATTTCTGTCTTCTCCACAATCTGGGAAACACCGTAATCGACAGTGGTTCGACCTTTGACATTAGTCCAGCCCAGTTGTTGTCCATGGAACTGATCTATACATTGGCCTACCGGTTACAGATGCTATTCGCAGAGTTCGCCAAGCTTTGCACCAAGGTCACCCAGAAGAACGCGGACAAAAAGAAAGGCAGAAAGACGCATGCAGTTGTCGTCCTCTATGCGCTCGAGGTCGTCTACCGTGTCGTAGTGTCGATGAAGACATGCACTTGGGATGTCCCTGCGGAGAACCCTTTCCATCCTCTGCTTCGACTCTGGACGGGCTTCCAACGACAATCACGCAATATCCTATCGAGGATATTGGCATACGAATGCTACTACTCCGGGCTTGACAATGAAGGGAGCCGAATGAAGTTACCACCGATTGTCAAATTCGCTCGAGAGGGAAGCTGCAGGAGCCTTCCGAGCCACCTTAGTATTTTCCCGCAGAGACACCGCCCTATCTTTCTAACGGACCCCTTCCCATCACTGAACAAAGGCCGCAGTAATCAATACCTGGTCGACCTTTTAGCATGCCCCGACAACGACTTCTGGCTCAGTGTCGCCAAAGGGTCATCTCGGCCTCGCAAACGCTTCCCAGAGTACATGGTGGCTGAAAATAACTCAAAAGTCTTCCGTAGCGAGGTTGCTGTGACAACAAAGGATGACTCTGAGTGCACTCGGTCAAATCCTTCCGTGAAAGTGGAGGCAACACTTCCCCCAACGCGACTGAACGAACTCGAGCTCCTGTCGCATACCGTGGAGAGTCCATGCTTGCAGGCCCATGAAGGACACGACGTGTCATCTTCGGGCAATCAACATTTCGCTTCCGACGCCAGCTACATCGGAGTAGGTGTGTACCTGGATTCGTCGCAGCGCGGTATTAGTCCATCCTTCACTGCGATCGACTCAGATACCGATGGACTCCAAAGACTCTTGGCGTCATTTCAACGATGGAACAGATGGGTAGAGCAGCGAAACCTTGATGGAGCCTCCAAGACTCCACCTGTCGCACGTCTGAGCCAAACTTGGCGGCTGAAGCAGGCTTGTTTCTCTTCCCAGCGGTTGAAGCGGAAACGGTCAGGCCCGATGTTGGCGTTCCGCGATTAAGGTGAAGTTTGCAGCGACCGCGCGGGCTTTTTGCAAGTTGCCATATGCCGCTGGTCACGCGCTCAAGGCGAACTGGAAAGTTATGGATGTTATAGCTGGGATCGCTGCAAGGCCCGCGCCGAGACTCGTGGACCTTTCGGCGGCGCCCAACTGGTGGGAGACGTGTGATTGCTCGCATGGCTGGCAGTGAGCCGGGGACAAAGGCGAGGCGGACTTGTCGCGTGGCCCGACCCGGGACGAGGCGCGAGCAAGTACGGAGTACAGTAGTCACTCGTCTTGGCGGCTCCAATGACCAAATCACAGCAGTGGTGCCAGTTGCGAAAGTCCACCATAGCAATTGCACCACAGGCTAAGGGGCTTCTCGAATCCCGGTCAGCTCGGGACGTGAACATGGAATCTTCGGCCCTTCCTAGTCTGGAGCTCCTCCGAATGCTCAACGAAGCAGCTCTGCCAGGCCCTGTGGGAGTCGAGATTTGTGACGCGTGTGAACATGGAGAGGGCTGCAAGGCCAGAGGACAAGTGCTCATGGCCACACTCACGACCGCTCGAGAGCTACTCCACGCTTCACAGGGCGGCGACTGCTTCCTTATGTCCCAGAGCTTTCTTGCACGATGATCGCCTGGGAATCATCCGCCTCCTAAGGTGAATTCTGATGCACCTCGTGCACAGATCAGGCGGCACTATCCACGGCGAGACACTGTCGGAAAGCCTTACTGCTCCGTAACCTTCGTAAGCCAGGACCAACGACTGCCGCGAAGGGGAGGATTTTGGGATTGTAGGTATGAATACATTGTATTTCCTCGCATACCTCTGCTTCGCATTCGCCACGCCATTCTCAAACAACAGTAAGGCCAAAGTTTGTGAGCGCACAAGATGGAGCCCCCAAACACCGTGTGTGTATCCATGCGATGCTCGGGTCAAATATATTCAGAACACTCCGTACGTCGTAGAGCAAATATGCGTGCTCACCATCGTAGCGGAGATCAGGTGCCATGCTTCTCGCACCGCACCCCAGGAGGAACAAGGACATCCAACGCGAGCACTACAGGTAGAGATGGGAGTCCATGGCAAATCATCGATTCAAAGAAATCACCATTCCCTCGCTCGCTGGCTCACTCAGTCACTCGTCCATCTGCCACTGATAACTCAACTCCTCCATCCTGCCCTTCTTGGACCGCGCCTGGAACCACTCCCTCTCAAACCCATTACTCCGATCGACCCCATCCCACCGCCACCCCGGCAGGATTCCATACCGATTCGGAGCGGCCGGCGGGCCGGTATACACCTTCTTCCGGACATGCGCCTCCCCGCCATTTGGGCCACGGGACTTTGCTGGGCCACGTCGCGCAGAAGCAGACGCCACGCTTTTGGCCACGTCGTCGGCGTGCACCACCACCTCCTCCTCCTCCGCCCTCTTCTGCGCCATATACTCAGCCATGGGATCATCCCAGCGGATCTTGCCCCTCAACTCGTCATTCATGACCTCGTCGTCCACGCCGCGCGCGAGGGTCAGGAACTTGGCCCCCTCGAGCTGTTGCCGCTTCTCATCGCGCTCGCGCCGTTGGACCTCGCCCATCGCGTCTTCCTTGGCTTTTCTTTCGGCGCGGATCTTCTCCTGCTCCGCGGCGCGGGCCTCGGCGCGCTTGAGACTCACGTCGATGCGCCGGCCCGTGGCGTCCCTGTAGATTGTTTCTTCCACCTCCTCGTCCTCCAAGCCACGCGTGTCTTTGTGTTTCGATTTCTTGGTCTTCGAACTCTTCCGCCTCGACCTCTCCAGCGCGAGTTGTGCCTCTGCTTCTGCCTCCATTTCTTCGCGACGGATCAACGCGGCCGTGTCCGCGGCGGTCTGTAGCCCGGCTTTGGCGCCGGATTGCATGCGCGGGGCCGCCGTGGTGTCGTCCCCGTCGGGCGCCTCGACGACGGCAGGGGCGTCCTCATCTTCAATGGCCCGCTGGCGGAGGCGCGATTCTTCAGCCGCCTCGGCGAGGACCCGGTTCGCTTCGGCGGCGGCGGCGTCTCCTTCGTCGTGGCGAGTGTCTCCGCCTTTTTGTTGTGCTGACTCTGTAGATCCCGTAGTGGGACCGCCCGTGGCGACGACCTTCCATGCGCTGGCGCCTTTCTTTTTTCTAAACTCCGCGGACTTGACGTTCGTGTCGAAGATCGGGGTGTCGTCGACGTCGTCGTCGGCTGCGCCCGCGACCCCGGCCTGTGTTCGTCGTGAAAGAGACAGCCCTTCATCGTCGTCCGCGATCACGAGGCCACCTGGGTTGGACGAGTCCTTGTTCTTCCGCCGCTTCTTCTTCGGGCGCGCTGAGTCTTGGAAGTCTGGTGAAGTGGTCTCGTCATGGGAGGAGCCTTTGGCATTCGAGGCGGTGAGATAATTCTTCGCCAGGTAGGCGGCGAGGTTTGCACCGGGCATGTCTGTAGCATGCAAAGGCACAGAAACGAAAGACGAGACCAGCTAGGCGATCTGTCGTGACACATAGGCGTGAGAGGGCATGGGAAGGCTGTCTCAAATCTTTCGGTGGATTGGCAAGGCTGCGATGGACCCGGGAGACCACTCATGTTTGTCGTGTTTGTCGTGTTTGTCGGGTTTGTCGGGTTTGCACAATTACCGCCTGTCTACGTCATTGTTGACAAACGCGTCACATGCTACAAGCTCACTGACACTCGGGGCATTGTAACTGTCGATATTGGATTTCTAGGACACAGCCCATGCTAGTGTGCAGCCATTCCTGAGTGCCGCCTATGAGGATTCCAACGCCAACCATCGTCAATCTCGGGTGCCTCCAAGGTCATTCATATCCTCAAGAAGCGCCATGCCGTTCCCATGATGATAGTGTGTTGATACAGCCTCGCTTCCCTAATGAGTCCTTGGGGTATCTTAACGAACTGAAAACATGAAAAGCACTCGCAACTCAGTTGCGGTTTGTTGCTCGATCATTACAAGTGTGGCAAGCCAGCCAACAACGCCAAGTCCGGTTGAATCACAATCTTGGGGCCAGGTGCGTGTGTTTCCCTGCTCAGGTCAAGTAAGCATAGTCGACGAATTCGTAGTCGTTGTCCTCATCGCTAGAGGCTTCAGCCTTCTCCTTGTCGTCGACAACGTCGTATTCCTTGGTGATGAGCTGTTCTGTCTCCCTGTTCTCGAAACGCTGAACAGCCTGGGCGATGGCTTGACTCAGGATGTCACGACCAGTCCGAGGACCCGTTGCGTGATCGTAGCTGTACATGAAATCCGCTTCGACGGGTAGGGGGGCTTCGGACGCGTCTGCAACCTCCTCTCCCTCCGACGTGTCGGACACATGAGCCAATGGGCCGTCCATAGCATCAACAACCTCGTTGCGGAAAGCCTTGCGAGCGAGTGTGGCAGCCTGGCTTACAGACTTGTTCTGAAGGTCGTGTCTGTACTTGGCTTCGCCTCGGCCGACCCGTCGATCCTGGTCTCGTCGATTTGGTCTGCCTAGGCATCTGCGGCAGTTATCCTCATGCTGGGCATGCTTGTGGCAATGATGATCTGAAGGCTCGTGACCTCCTCTTGCCCACTTCTTGTTGTTGGTCTTCTCACGTAGGTATGGTTTGGCTTCGCTGCGGAGGTCGTTGGCGAGCAGGGCAGACATGATGGTAAAGCAAGACTCGATGGATAGCTGAGAGAGGTATTATTGGAATGTAAATGGAATATGAGGTGAGGAGTGTGGTAGGACTAAAGGCTATAAGCTGAACAAGCAGCTATTAGTCCTGGAAGTGGGTGTAGGTTGCCAACAAATGACGCGTGCAGGCGCAGACAGCTGTAGAAGAGGAAAGAACAAAGGAGAGTTCGTACAAGGGACCAACGGACTAGGCAGGTGATCAGGCTGGAAACAAAGAGATTTAGATTACACAGCAGAGTTGTTGCTGTGTGAAAGGCAGAGCAGACAGGTAGCCAGGCTACGGGATGGTCCTATATAAAGGTCGGGTGAAGCTGAAGGGATGACGAGGAAGACGGACTCATGGTGTGTCACACGCGTGGCCGCAACCCGAGCTTGTGGTGATGGCGGAGAGTACCGAAAGCGGGCACCGGCTTGATTGGAAATGGCACGGACGGTCACCAATGTTGGAGTCCTGACTCCTCAAGGAGGGCGCCAAGGGCATGTGTTGTTGCCTCGTTGAGATAAGGTGGAGGCGACGCAGGCTGATAGCCTGATAGAGGGGATCATGCACCATGCATGCATGCGAGGGCAAGCGCGACGCTGCCAGCGCGGGATGATCGCACGCGGTCGAGGAACAAGCGGGTGATTGGCCCAGTCGAAACACACTATCGGCGTCACCCACGCTGCTAAATCTGATCACAATTAGCGATTCGAGACCCGAAGCAAGTCATCTTGGTGGCTTGAGACCGGGAGATCAAGGCACGCCGCAATACGGGAAGCTCTGAGTTACGGCCTGCCAGGCTTCCGAGCTCAGCAGCCAAACGAACAGTCACGCCGCACTTGTGCTTATCGCCCCTCATCCGTGTTGCCTGAGCCTCGGTAGGATTGAGTCCGGCCGTCCGTCAGCAGAGGAGTGATGATATGACTGTTTCGTTGAGAGCCCGGGAGGATGCGGTATACGGAGTACAGACACAGCTACCTACCCATGCCGTTGGACAACTACTCGGACGAGTACGAGTTAGACCCTGGAATGTACAGGCACGACAAGTAAACAAGGTCAGCGAACACAAAGAATATGACCTCATCTCCCAGGCTGGAGTGCGCCATGTGATGTCTCTGCCTCAGCCACTTGTTCCTTGTTAGTTCCTCTGCCACGTTCCAAGTCTTGAAACTTTCATTTCATGTTCAAGAAAGTAACGGCCGGCACGTTGGCGATGATCGTCGACTTCATGACGTGCTCTGTGCGCCCTGACCTCGATGCCCTGCTCGCCGGCGATGACTCGATTCTACATAGCTCGTCGTCCGGAGCTTGCAGCTGATGTATCACGGCCTGCTAGAATCTCATTTCTGAGTCAAGTCGAACCCGTCTCGCCCGTTCTTCAGCTTAGCGCAAAAGGCCTACGATACTCGATCAAGGTGCATTTCACTTTGTCGTGCTGAATGCGCTTCGACACGCGTGGTACCTGGCAAGGTTGCTTTACGTCAGCAGAACGAAAGTGCTATCAGTAGAAATTCCCGGCCGGGGAGAAAGCACTGATGATGACGAGTGATAATGTCATTTGCGAGATAACCACCAAGTACCAGTCCTTGCCATCAAAGGACGGGCCAACTGACCACATCACCGTCCCAAGCGCAAGAGCGCCGAGGTGCCCCATGTAAGAGTAGGCGGCCACCCGTGCCTGCTTATGCCTGCCACGGAGACCTCAGGCCAATGTCGCGCTAGTTACACACTCGATGGCGAACCCAAAGCATCTCGAGTACCATCCAGGACCCCAATAACTCAATTCTAGACAATGCGGCGCGCCTGGAATGAACACAGTCTCAACTCTGGGAGAGTTTGTGAAGGCTTCAGTAAAGTCCTTGAGATCTTCGTAGGAAGCTTTGAACAGCCCATCTCGCTCTCCAATAGCCGCCATCAACGGAATCTTGACCAGTTTGGCATAGTCCTTCCAGTAATCGTCCCAATGAAACCTCCTGTCTTCGAATTCCACGAGAATACCACGATGGGTGATCTCGTCTGAAATGCCGCGTATGTGCGGGCTCGCCAAACCCAACTCTGAGTCACCAAACATGACCATGTCCTTGACACCGAGAGGATATTCCACATAACCGAGTCTCCTAGCCTCCTCCATTTGCGCTTCGCCCTGCGACTTCGTCAAGGCGGAGGTTGTGCTCCTGCCAGAAAGGATCATACCTTCCAACGGATACCGTGCTTCTGGCTCCCTGGCGTGCAGGGACACAGCAATGATGCAAGCGGAACAGCCCAAGGAGTGACCCATGAGTACTATCGACGTCGCTCCTGCTGGTTGACCGTAATCCTCCCATAGCTTCGGCAGAATGTATTGATGGAGATATTTCCCTTCTTCCTGGAAAAAGGTCGAATCTTTGGCTATCGATGCTAGGGCTGAGCTGTCCCTGTATCCTGGTCGGTCAAATGCCACGAAAGGTACGCCAAGCAGTCGCGAGAATGTCGCTGCTGAGTGATTTGATGCTGCATCGAAGTAGGTTGACGTATAGGTTCCCCCGTGGACGCCAACTATCAGAGGATAACAGCGGGCAGTGATGCTACTCTTCCCCGGCACGGAAGCGAGACCCGAAAGAACCGCACCGTTGGACAGGGTGAGTAGAAATGGCTCCATGGCGTTTTGCTGTCCTGTCACCCAAGCTCCAACGACGGTATCTCTTGGGTATATCGGACGTTTTAGCGTGAGGGTATAGCTATGAGCATTTATAGAATGAGACCTGGAAATGCTTAATTGCTGATCTCGCGGCCAGTGTCCGTCAAGCATGCTTACACAATGAGCATTCTGTTGACCATACACCTACCACAAGGGTGTCGTTTGCTCAAAAAGTGTGGTGCGCGTGTTCATACAACCTCGGCCATCGTCTTACGCACCATGGTCGCCTTGCGTGTCATCGTCACTGACGTCGTCAGGTAAACGATCAGGAAACCAGCCGTAGACGCTGAAATCGACGGTCATTTCTTCGATGCCTCTGGCCTCGTTGACTTCGACACCTTCCGCTCGTAGGCGCTCCGCCTGCCGGTTCACACCTGCACCATCATCCCCGCGCGGACTGATCCCACCTTTAGAGTTGACCACCCTCTGCCAAGGCACATTTTGATCGTGGAAAACGTATTGATCCGGGTTCGCAGGGTCAAATGTTGGCAAGTGCTTCAGACATACTCCGACTTGCCTCGCGCGTTTCGGGAAGTCGAGCAGAAGCGCGATATGTCCATAGCTGGTGACTTTGCCGTGAGGGATCTGTTGGACCGCAGAGTAGACTGCTTCGTACCACCACTGCGCTTCTTCCGACTTTTCTCGAGGCATGGATTCGTCAAGAGCTCGTGTGAAGGCTGCATATGGCCTGGGGGGAGGCTGTTAGTGACCCGGCCGACCGAAGAATTGGACGAAGCGCGTCCCGCCAAATCTTGCGCCAACGGCCACTATCGTCGATTCGTACCCCGCACCAACACCTTCCCACTTTCTGAAGCAGTGAACAGGTAAATGTCAGAGCGAGTCTGCAGAATACTATACTTGGATCATATTAGATTTCATATCAGAACGACCTTGTACGAGATCTGTCGCGACTAGGTATGGAGACAAATACTGCGCAGTACGGTGCACATGACCGGAGCCAAGCCACATGGGCGAAGTGCAACAGTAGAGATGCCTATTAGTAGGTCTGATATGTACACAAAAGCAGCGCGCCAGGATAGCCTTACTATATGAATGACTGGCATGCGGAGTGTCCCGCGTGTAGAGCGTGTCTTTGAGCGCAGGTTGAAGACCGTTCTCCGCGTGTCCAAGGGGAGGGTGAATCATGCGCGGCAGGTTTTGTTTACTTTTCCTTGGCAGTCGCTGTTTAGCGTCACTCGCTTCAGGGCGCCTTCCTGCGCCATGAGTGAACCATCGCGGGCCTGGCACCATCAACAACCACCGAATCTCCCCTTCCACATGCTGCCTCTGCCCTCAACATGGCTTTCCGCGGGACTGAGAGTCCAATGGATTTCGAATGGCAGGGTCATGGCCCCATTGATCCTAGTTCCCCCTTCCACCGACGTATGATCGACATGCAGGCAAAGAAACGTATGTTTTGCAAACAATAATCAAGTCTGCTGGTTCTAACGCGCCCAGGCACGCATACCGACTTCATGTCGCCCCAAAAAACCTCATTTCCCGCCCTCCGTGAACCCAACAACCAGCCGTTCTTCTTCTCCGATGCCCCAGCACCGTCGCCTCAACCAGCGCCATTTCGCACGCCATCGTTTACAACGCCCCGAAAACCCTTCGACATTGATTTCTCATCCCCTCCAGATACTTCATCTCCGTTGGGACAAACAGAGAACGAGGAGACGCCCGACGCGAAACCATTACCCCCCCTGCCAATTGAGTTCACGAGCAGTACTGCGAAATCGGAGAAGAAGCGGAGTTCGTTATCTGGTCTCTTTGGCAAATTTGCTGCAAGTCCAGGGCGAGGCGAGATCAGAAAGCCCAACGGCGATGCCATTGCGCGACGGGTACACAAGAAGCGGCGGCGCGCCCAGAAGTTTGACCGATCGTTGATACTCAGCAGGAATGGCTCCCTGGACGATAGTGACGATGAAAGCAGCGCGAGTCCGACTGAGGCAGCACCAAGGAGGAAAGCCGTGGAAGAAGTAGGATGGATGACTGGGCTGTTCACCTTCATCCACACCTATCCTGACGCGCCCTCTATCATTGCGAAATATCTCCAGGTCTTCTTCAACGCTGCAATCCTGAGCGGGTGCTTATACGTGTTCTGGTCGTTCTATGCTACTATCCAAGCTGATGTTGATCGAGCAAGCGAAGATACCATGGCTGAAGTGCTGGCGGAAATGGCGCAATGCTCCAAGAACTACATCGAGAACCGTTGTGGTGCCGACACCCGTCTACCCGCACTCGAGGTTGTGTGCAGCAATTGGGAGTTATGCATGAACCGTGACCCCAGCGCAGTCAAGCGAGCGCGGCTGAGCGCCCACACATTCGCCGAGATCTTCAACAGCTTCGTCGAGCCCATCAGCCTGAAAACTATGGTCTTCACCATCACACTGGTCGTGGTGGGGTTGGTGGTCAATAATGCTACATTCTCCTTGTATCGCCGACAACAGGAAAGTCACTATGCAGGCATGTATCGACCACCTTCTGCCTCATATATGCATCTTCAACATCCCGGTCCTTTTACGTTGCCGCCATCTACTCCATTGACACAGCCGCGTTACGTGGGATGGCCGGGTGACCGAGGCTTTGGCGGTCAGCAGCAGTTGGAGTACAGCCGAAGCCCAAGCAAGGAGCATCGATCACGGAGTAGAAGTCCAGAGAAGAAGAGGATCCAGCTCTGAAATTTACGACTGTTACGACCTTGTCCGACAATTGACGTCTTCGAAGTTGTTCAGCGATCAGAATTTGCAACAGCGTCCAACTACCACCATTGCCTGTATGTGTGTCTTTGGGACTTCCAGGAAAAACTGTCACATGGATAGGCGGACAATGGAGTGGGGAGCTGCAGGAACCGGATTCAAGCCTTGTAAGCCAAACTCATGTCATTGCTCCGCACTGTTAATTCCGTATCAAATTTCGGGGCGCGCCCTTCCACCGATGCTGTTGACTCGAAACCCTCCTACCTCTTGCGCACTTTCCTTACCTTGCTGACGTTTTATGTAGATTCTGACGGGCCCTAACCTTTCCAGTCACACTCTCTTGTCAAGAAACTGCTGGCGGACCAATTCGTCCTTAGCCCTCCCCTCCATTTTCGGTTCGACGCCCAAGCACGGAATTCTACAAACGAACCGGCTTCGCCAGCAGTCACTGCTCCTTCGGCGCAGGCGAACCACAGGCACGTTGGATTCCTACGTGCGCTAGTTTCCCACCAGCTTCTCGCCCCATTTACCTCCACACCGTCATAATGGCTGAAATCCAAACGTCCACCTACAAAATCCGCTACGCAACCCAACAGGACGTCCCGGTGATCCTCCAGCTTATCCAGGAACTCGCTTCCTACGAGAAAGCCCTCCACGAGGTCCTTGCGACCGAAGAATCCCTCCTCTCCTCGCTCTCGTTCCCCGTCGACCCCACAGACCTGGCCAAAGGCTTCACAGAAGGCTACGCCAAAACCCTCCTTATTAGTCCCGTACCCTCGTCAAACGTCAAGGAAGAGATCGCGGGCCTGGCGCTGTACTTCCACAACTACAGTACATGGCAGTCCCGGCCCGGGATATTCCTGGAGGATCTCTTTGTTCGGCCACCATATCGAGGTACAGGTTTTGGAACGGCGTTGATCCAGGCGCTGGCACGGGAATGTCAACGATTGAATTGCAAGAGGTTAGAATGGAATGTATTGAAGTGGAATACGCCGAGTATCGACTTCTACCAGGGTCCGAGTATAGGTGCGCAAAGAATGGAGGAGTGGGTTGGCATGAGGGTTGAGGGGGAGGCACTTCAGAAATTAGCACGCAAGAGATGAAGCTGAAAGCGTGGTTGGAGTCACGATAGATGGTGAACATGCTGCGATTTATGCATCGTATCGTCCACAGAGCCACAAGCATTTTCAGGAGCTGCCATGCTCTCAAGGTTGCTTTCAGAGTAGACATGATATGCAAACGCTTTGTGCTCAACTCTTGTTCTTCCTCTGACTCCGTAATTCGCTATGTCAACGCCTCAACGCCTGCTCTTCTTGCGTCCCCAGATCAACCGATTCTCAGGCCAGAACCTTACGTGGCAAATCCAATGCAATGGCTGCGCCTGTCGCAAACATCGTTTGCAGGTACGCCGCTCCGTCGTTAAACGACCTATCCGCGAGACAAGCCAGACTTCCGCTCCCCGTCGGTTCCACTCAATCACATCACCACACAACAACTGTTCTGCTTCTTGGCCTGCTGGTAGAACATCTTACTTTGCGCGCTCAGCCCGTCACTCTTGGCCACCAGACTGTCGATCTTCTCCCCTCTCTCCAAGACGCTCTCGATCGTTTTGTGCAGCACGATCTTGGTCTCGTCCAACTCCCGCTGCACCTTCATGATACTGTCCGCCTGCCCCGGATCCTGATACTTGGTGATATACTCCTTCAGCTGGGCGTAGGGCCGGGTCTGCGGAGGATTCGAGGCGTATGAACTGCGCGGGTTCTGCGACGTATACTCGTCGACGATCTTGGAGAGGAGCTGATGCGCCACCAGGGCCGGGTACTCTGCGTCGGATATGATGATGCCGCAGACACCCAGGGACGAGCCGTATGCGTGAAACGTGTAGGATTTCTCTTCAATGTCCTGGCGGACGCCGGGCCGGGTGCGTTCGGCGACGGTTTTGGCAAACACGCTCATGAACTCGCCGTAGCTGTAACACTGTCAAAAAGGGAGAGGCGGGCAGGAATGCAGGAACGCAGGATCGCACGTCTAGGTCTACCTACCTGTCTCGTGTGAAGCGGGAAAAGGACGAGAGGTCGCGCTCGACGGCGAGTTCAAGGGCAGGGCTCGATTCATTTCGGAGGACCTGGAATGGCTGCTGTCAGAATGGGGGACTCAACAGATATCCCTGGGTTGCGGCGTCGCTTACTCCGATGTAGAAGATCTTCATATTGGCGGTGTGCTGTTGGTGGTGTTGTGGCGGGGGTGAGTCGTAGAAGGTAGAGGCAAGAAGTGGCTTTTGGCAGAATTGTCCTGCGATACGAGTATTCGGTCGTACGTGTTGGCAAGGAGAGGGATTGAGACAGGTTCTATAGCACAGGAAGAGGCAGTAGGTGTGCTCGAGGAGGAAAGACACAGTATCGAATTCGCAAGTGCCTAGCTGGAGTCTGGGGACGTCACGGGGTTGGTGGGCTTGGTGGGCTGTCCGTCCTGGGAAGCGCTGGAGAGAGTGTCCTTAGTTAATCCGCCGCCGCCTCTCTGGAGGGTTGCTAGCGGGCTCCGGCTTTGAAGGAACACGCCCAACGGAAAGCGTTAGGCGGCTGCCTTCCGTAATTTAGGCCAATCAAATCCACTACCTCGCAGCGAGCCCCAAAACCCGTTCGTCGAGAGTCTGTAAGAGTCATGCATTTTCACAGAACGTGCACGTACAAATTCTCCCTCGCCTCTACCTCGTGTCTGGCACAGGCAGACCCAATTTCCAGGTCACAAGAGCGTCTTCGCCAGAAGGCTTCTTCTCTGCCTGGAGCTGACCTCAATATGGGTGAAACAACTTTTCAATCCGAGACACAATGGCTTGCTCAAATGAGGGCCATGAGACAGGCAATCGCCAACTTGAAGTTGCCACCTCTGAATGACGCCTCACAGATGTACGGTGCGGATCTGGACCTCGACGAAGATCTGAGTGAGGACCCCGACGACGATATTTGGGACGTGGAGAGCGCTGCGGACGATACCCCTCCTAGCGATTTCTTTGACGACTCCAGGAACGGCCTTACAACTTCAGATCTGGTCACTGACGGCGTCTTTGACAAGGCGTGGCTGCGATCAAGATGTGCTGCCTTTGCTCGGTCGAGATCTGGCATGGATGCCTCCGATCTCGAGCAGCAAATTACCGCTCTCCTGGTCTCAGACAGTCCTGACGATGAACTGCAGATGTCACTTGCCGACATCGTTGGGTATGATGACTTGGACTTTGTTATTGAGCTCATTTCTCATCGCAAGGAGATTTTGACAGTCTCAGCAGCCTCAACTCGCCAGACAGATGGACTCTTCCACGGCCTCGAGACCCGTCAAGAGCGAGAAGCAAGCCTAAGGCGACAGGACTATGAACATAAACATGCCGCCCTTGCCCCTGCGTTTGACCGATCTGGGCCTCATTATCCCCATGTGTACAAATCTGACGCTGCCGCCGCTGGCAACAGACTGGATGTATCGGGCAAGAAGTTTGCTTTGCACCTCGGTAGCACTCACAGTGACCATCCAAAGTACGAAGAATACTCCATTCCTGCCACCAAAGTCGGTTCTCTCGCTGCAGGGCAGAAGCTGGTCAACATCTCTGAGATGGATGGCCTGTGCCAGCGTACCTTCAAGGGGTACAAGAGCCTTAATCGCATGCAGAGCCTTCTCTACCCTGTGGCATACACCACTTCCGAAAATATGCTGATCTGTGCTCCCACTGGTGCTGGTAAGACGGATGCGGCCATGCTTACCATCCTGCACACGATCTCGAAGAACACTGTACCTAACCCGATCGAGGAACCCACTGCCACGGACTTCGTCGTGATGGCGGACGACTTCAAGATCGTCTATGTTGCTCCAATGAAAGCACTTGCAGCAGAGGTTACAGAAAAACTAGGCAAGCGTCTGGCTTGGCTGGGCATCCAAGTCCGGGAGTATACTGGCGATATGCAGCTGACCAAACGAGAGATTGCCGCCACTCAGATCATCGTGACAACCCCGGAAAAGTGGGACGTCGTAACTCGGAAGAGCACAGGCGATACGGAACTTGTTCAAAAAGTCCGTCTTCTCATCATAGATGAAGTCCACATGCTACACGACGAGCGCGGTGCTGTCATTGAGTCTCTAGTTGCCAGGACCGAGCGACAGGTGGAAAGTACGCAATCGCTTATTCGGATCGTAGGCTTGTCGGCCACCCTTCCGAACTACATTGATGTTTCGGATTTTCTAAAGGTCAATCGGATGACTGGTCTATTCTACTTTGATGCCTCGTTCCGTCCGGTACCTCTCGAACAGCACTTCATCGGTGTCAAAGGCAAGCCTGGAAGCAAGACGTCCCGCGAGAATCTCGATCAGGTGACATTTGAGAAAATCAAAGGGCTTCTGCAGCAGGACAAGCAAGTCATGGTGTTTGTCCACTCCAGAAAAGATACAGTTTTGGCTGCTAGGACGCTCAATCAGTTGGCCATTGACGATGGGTGCCCGGATCTCTTCCTGCCCGAGCCTAACAACCCTGCGTTTGTCAAGGCTTTAGCAGACTTGAAGACAACCCGTGGTCGAGAGTTGCGAGAAATAGTCCCAAAGGGCTTCGGATGTCACAATGCTGGGATGGCAAGATCGGACAGAAATTTCGTTGAGCGCATCTTCTCTGAAGGTGCCATAAGAGTGCTCTGCTGCACAGCGACGCTGGCTTGGGGTGTCAACTTGCCTGCAGCTGCCGTCATCATCAAAGGCACGCAGCTCTACAGCGCCGATGTTGGCAAGTTCGTGGACGTAGGGATTCTTGACGTCCTGCAGATTTTTGGTCGTGCCGGTCGACCTCAATTTCAAGACAGCGGTATCGGTTATATTTGCACGACTCACGACAAAATTCAGCACTACCTATCCGCTGTCACTCAACAACAGCCAATTGAGTCAAAGTTTTCGAAGAAGCTTGTTGACAATCTCAATGCTGAAATCAGCCTAGGCACGGTGACTTCCGTACAGGAGGGTGTCACCTGGCTGGGCTACTCCTATCTCTTCGTCCGAATGAGGCGGCAGCCGCAAGCCTATGGCATTGATTGGAATGAGTACCAGGATGACCCCCAGCTGGGACAACGCCGTCGCAAGCTTATAATTGACGCCGCTAGGACACTGCATAGAAGTCAAATGATCATTTTCAACGAGAAGACAGAAGAGCTTCGAGCGAAGGACGTCGGCCGCATAGCGAGTCAGTATTACGTGCTACACAGCAGCGTTGAAATCTTCAACACTATGATGCGTCCGCAAGCAACCGAGTCTGATGTCCTCAAAATGATCAGTATGAGCAGTGAATTCGACAACATTCAGTCTAGGGAGAACGAGGCCCAAGAACTGCACCGTTTGAAAATAGAGGCTACAGCATGCGAAGTCGAGGAGCGCAAAGCCGTAACGACAGGCTCCAAGGAAGACAATGAGAAAGAGCAAAAGCTCATCGAGAATCACGCAAAAGTCAACATCCTGCTACAATCATACATTTCTCGAGCGAGGTTGGAGGATTTTGCCCTTGTGTCCGATTCGGCCTACGTGGCCCAGAACGCCGCTCGAATCTGTCGAGCATTGTTCATGGTTGCCCTGAATCGTGGCTGGGGCTATCAATGCGAGGTTCTGCTTTCCATGTGCAAAGCCATCGAGAAGCAAATCTGGCCGTATCAGCATCCCTTTCATCAATTCGATCTACCGCTTCCGGTCTTGAAGAACCTGGATGAGAAGGCCCCTTCGTCGAACATTGAGAGCCTCCGGGAAATGGAACCAGCGGAGATCGGAAGCCTGGTTAGGAACCAGAAGATGGGGACCACGATTAGCAGACTGCTTGAGAACTTCCCAACCATGTCGGTAGAGGCAGAGTGCGCTCCGCTCAATCGCGATGTGCTCCGCATGCGGCTGTTTCTTTATCCCGAATTCATCTGGAATGACCGTCACCACGGGACTTCTGAACCTTACTGGGTCTGGGTCGAGAACTCGGAGACGTCGGAGATCTACCACCATGAATACTTCATCCTCAGTCGTAGGAAGATGCACGACAACCACGAACTGAACTTTACCATACCGCTTGCCGATCCGCTGCCGTCGCAGATCTACATCAAAGTCATATCAGATCGCTGGCTAGGTGCCGAAACGGTACACCCTGTCTCATTTCAACATCTGATCCGACCGGATACGGAGAGTGTGTACACCGACCTTCTGGACCTACAACCACTGCCTATCTCCTCCCTGAAGAACCCGGCATTAGAAGAGCTTTACGGTCAGCGGTTCCAATTCTTCAACCCGATGCAGACCCAGATCTTTCACACACTCTATCACACCTCAAACAATGTGCTTCTAGGCTCGCCCACTGGCTCAGGCAAGACGGTCGCTGCGGAGTTGGCCATGTGGTGGGCATTCCGCGAACGGCCTGGCAGCAAAGTCGTCTACATTGCGCCCATGAAAGCGCTTGTCCGGGAAAGAGTGCAAGACTGGCGCAAGCGACTGGTCGGTCCTATGGGTTTGAAGCTCGTCGAGTTGACTGGCGACAACACTCCAGATACACGGACGATCCGAGACGCTGATATCATCATCACCACGCCCGAGAAGTGGGATGGTATTTCTAGATCATGGCAAACAAGGTCCTACGTCCGGCAGGTGTCGCTTGTGATCATCGACGAAATCCATTTGCTCGGTGGAGATCGTGGTCCCATTCTCGAGATCATCGTGTCGCGGATGAACTATATCGCTTCGCAAGCCGAAAGTGGCTCGATTCGCCTCCTAGGGATGTCTACTGCTTGCGCCAACGCCACCGACCTTGGCAATTGGCTTGGTGTCAAACCCGGAAACAACCAGGGACTATTCAACTTCCGGCACAGTGTGCGTCCAGTGCCCCTCGAGATCTACATTGATGGGTTTCCCGAGCAGAGAGGGTTCTGTCCGCTGATGCAAAGCATGAACCGTCCGACATTCCTGGCCATCAAGACTCACAGTCCAGAGAAGCCCGTCATTGTCTTCGTGGCGTCGAGAAGACAGACCCGTCTGACGGCCAAGGATCTGATCAACTTTTGCGGCATGGAAGAGAACCCGAGACGCTTCTTACATTTCGACAGCGAAGATGACCTCCAAGCCACCCTTTCCGCGGTCAAAGATGCCGCACTGAAAGAAGCCTTGAGTTTCGGTATCGGACTACATCATGCCGGGCTCGTCGAGTCGGATCGAACGCTCTCCGAACAGCTCTTTGCAGCAAACAAGATCCAAATCCTCGTCGCCACGTCGACGCTCGCATGGGGCGTCAATCTACCCGCCCACCTCGTCGTCGTCAAGGGCACCCAGTTCTTCGACGCAAAGATTGAAGGGTACAAAGACATGGACTTGACAGATGTCCTTCAGATGCTCGGGCGAGCCGGCCGACCACAGTTCGATACCTCTGGTATTGCCAGGATCTTCACCCAGGACGCCAAAAAGGCCTTTTACAAGCACTTTTTGCATACGGGGTTCCCTGTGGAAAGCTCTTTACACAAGGTCCTCGACAACCATCTGGGCGCCGAAGTCTCCGCCGGAGTCATCACCACCAAGCAAGATGCCCTGGACTACCTGACCTGGACGTTCTTCTTCCGCCGTTTGCACAAGAACCCCACCTACTACGGTCTGGAGATCTCGTCGGAAGAGCAGCAGGAGGGCCAACTCAGCGCGAGACAAGCCGCCGCAGATTACATGATCACCATGGTGGACAAGTCACTGGACGATCTGGCAGAAAGCGACTGTGTCTCGGTCCACAACAACGGCGACGTCGACAGCACGCCCTTTGGCAAGATCATGTCCTACTACTACCTCAGCCACTTGACGATCCGGAAATTCTTGTCCAAGGCACGCAAGACCAGGTCCACGACCTTCGCGGACGCGCTGGCGTGGGTCAGTCTCGCCACGGAATTCGATGACCTCCCCGTCCGACACAACGAGGACCTCATCAACGCCGAGCTGGCCAAGAATCTTCCCCTGGACACGGTCGGCTTGATGGACAACCTCCCCATGTGGGACCCGCACGTCAAAGCATTTCTCCTCATCCAGGCATTCATGTCACGCATCGACCTCCCTATCTCAGACTACGTCGGCGACCAGATCTCCGTGCTCGACCAGGGCATCCGTATCATCCAGGCCGGCGTGGACGTCATGACGGAACTCAATCGTCTCGACGCTGTGGCACAAATGGTCCGCCTTCTACAATGCCTCAAGTCGGCAAGATGGCCCGAGGACTATCCACTCAGCATCCTTCCGGGCGTGCACGAGGTGTCTGATACCAAGCTTGAAGGCAAAGTCCCGATGGATCTCGTCACGACTGCCGTCTTGGCCAGTAGACACGGCGGCAAGACCATTGACGGCCTGATGCACCTTCTAGGGATCAGAGCCCCGGGTCCTCGTGCCGCTTTCGGCAAAGCAGTCAATGCACTCCCGGACATCGCCCTCACAGCCAGTGGAGATACGGACAATCTACAACTAACCATGAAGAGAGCGAACCGGCTACTGGACCACGAGGCACGGATCTACGCGCCGAGGTTCCCCAAGCCGCAGACGGAAGGCTACTTCGTGATTGCGCTCCCCAGCGGGTCTGGATCTGGGTCTGCATCTCCAAGAAATCCCAGCGCCGATATTCTGGCCCTCAAGCGCGCGAACTGGTCGACCACAAAACAAGGAACCCAAAGCAGGGCGATTGGAAATGCGACCGTCAAGCTGAAGATCCCGGCTGCCGCGGACCCTACGAGTTACCGGGAGGGCCAACAACAAGTCAAGGTCGATCTTGTTGTCATGAGCGATTCGTACCCGGGGATGGAGTGGCGGTTGGACAATGTCGTCGTTCCCCTTGCGAGGCCGAAGCTGACAGTGGAGAATGTGCAGACCGTCGAGGTGGAGGTGGATGAGAGTTTGCAGAAGAAGAAGTAGAAGGCGAAGGAGGAAAGATCGTGAAGGTGGACGTGGATAAGAGCTTACAAAAGAAGACAAAGACAAAGTAGAAGGAGAAGGAGAAGGGACAGACAGAGATAAAGATAAAAGACACCTTACTGTACCCACATGTCCACTCTCTCACCGCATTGTACCTTCCCGGCCTCGGGGAATCTTGGTTTTCGCTGAGGCGCGCCCTCTCGGTAGTGGTGCTCAGAGCCTATTCGACATCATAACGTACTGTACACGACGATAAATAATGAGGAAGCACTGCAAGTAATTAGTATTCAGAGTCCTCCGACACCCAGTAAAGGACATCCCATTTCCCATCCCATTTCCCATCCCATTTCCATTTCCATTTCCATTTCCATTTCCTTGTCTATTCTATCTACTCCTAGAACTGGACGTGACTACTAATTACCTACCTAGATATAGAAAGTAATTAATTAATGAATTCCATGTCCCTGTCTAATCATTATACTCCTAGGATTGGGCGTAACTACCGGTCCCTAGGTATGGAAAAGTGATGGATTTCCATGTCCATATCCATATCCATGTCCATATCCATATCCATGTCCATATCCATATCCATATCCATGTCCATATCCATATCCATGTCCATATCCATATCCATGTCCATTCCAAGTTCCACCTACTAGTATGTCCATTACCGTTCCCGTCCCCCCGTAGCTCCCAACGTAACCAAGAATCAAGCTCTAGAGCGGTCGATACTGTAGTTCGTTGGTAATCAGTCAAGCGCGCCGATGCACCTACTTCTCAGCTGATACAGTGATTACTTATCTGTAGGTATTGGAATCCTGTACAATACTCCATGTGGAGGCTATGGAGGATGCGGATTACGGCCTGGGTATGTATAGTCCGAACTCGTGAGATGGTTTACATACATACTGTATAAGATCCCGATAATTAGACATTGTCCGGGAAAGGCGCAGGTTTGAGTCGAACACCCCTTGCTCGTCGAGATTGAGTTTGTCCCAGACACTGGAAAGAATGCTTTCTTCCCTCTCTCCATGCATCCGGCTGTCTATGCACTGAATGACCACAAGAGATCAGACCTTCGCATACTCCTGTAATCAGTACTTTTGTCTCAACGCTCAACTCACATCAGCCCACCTCAGCCCACCGCAACCCGGCACGAAATCAACCTCCCACCCCTCCTCGTCCGGTCCTGCCACCCACCCGACCACGACGCGGAACCTACCAACCAGCCATCTCCGCGTTCGGCCACCCATCCTATGACCGATGCACACTCTGGAGATGCTGTATGAAGCTCGCCACGCCCCCAAAGATCGGAGTCACCTGCGTGCCGGCGATGACAGCTATTCTCGCGCCCGTGTTCGCTCCCCGTCCAGATCCGGACTTGATGCTCAGGTTCGACCCAGTAACTGGACCTCCCGCGACACCTGCAGCGTTGGACATGTCTAGCCAGCCACGGTTCCTCCCTTCGGCACAGCAGAAGATGCATCTGAACTGCCGAAGCTGCCGTCCTTGGGCGTGTCCGGCGAGATGGTGCCTTTCAGGGAGGCGTGGCACCGCGCGAGGAAGGCCCATCGATATGGGACCCCGCCGGCTTCAGATAAGCGCCCTCTCGGATCGAAGATCTTTTCTGGCTTGCACCTTTTCTTCTTAGCGCGGGACGTGTTGACAGTTTGGCGCACGGGCCTTTCGAAGTTGCATTTCTCCCACCGCCGGTAGAAGCTCATACCAGAGAGGCCGAGAGGTCTGTTATGGATGGTGTTTTCTTTCCTGGAGATCTTGGGAGGTACAGATCGTAGACCGTGCTGTTGCTAAATTGACGACCATCTCCTCTTACCACCCGATCACCGTAACGATCTGGGCGGGATCGATCTCCCGGGTTTCGGCCCCGATGACCTGTCAAGCCTTTGAACAGGCCTGGAGAGGAATGTATCTGGCTATTTGGCCTGGAGACATGTACGGCTCCCGGTCGGTTTCGTGTCCAGGAGTTGGAGGCGTCGGGATGGGTTGTCCGCCAGGTCGGGGGAACATCAGCAGGATATTGTCATCTAGTGCCAGGGTTTGGGACGACCTCCTACACAAGCTCCGATCATGGCTCTCTTCGATTCTGTGGGGGTTGACCGAGGTGCGAGCATCGGAATCTCGACAGCAGGCCAATGCATAGCCGCGGATTGAGGACGGAAATGCCGTCCCTGCGAAGCGGCAGAGCTCATGGGCATTTTGCGAGTGTCGAGCATTTTGCGCTCCTCGAATGTTGGGCTGAAAAACGGCAGTCCCCTATTCAGCTCTCCAACCTGTTCTGTCATGGCGTCGGGCCTCCGAAAAGCTTGGAAGGCTGTTGAGGAGTAAGTGCTGCGGCTGCTCGAATACCCCAGAGAGGGCGACAGGGAAGGCATGAAGCCAGAACAGCCCGACGAATTTGCCGATTGTTGAGGATAAGACGCCTCTGCCTTCGTCGAGTCCGACAAGCGCTGCGCCAACTGGCCCAGACACACCCTGGCGTTCACTCGACAGTCGTCGGATGTGGCCTGTAGCATATGAAAGTCCATCTCTATCTCATCCATGTAGATGGTCTTTAGATTTATTATCAAGGACATCTGTAGGGTGATCAAGACGTCCTTCGTTCGATCCCGTGCTTGTATATCCCCCACATGCATATGGTTCTCCGAAGCGCTTGAGGTCGTGCTCATAATGGTCACGAACAATGATAGACCCTAACGCAAGTGATGCTAGGAGACTTTGGGCGGCGTCTCCGGGCAATAGCTGGCCCTTGCTGTTCGCTCGTTGTTCGCGAATGCGCCGAACCGATCTAGTGGCATCGTCGAAAGCTGCGATCACTGTAGACTTGATTAGAATCAGAGCAACCATACATCAGCCCGAGCCATACCAGCTCGAACGAGCGTAGAGATGTCCATCTCCGCTTGACCACGCAGAGCGTGGCTACGGGACGATCGGTGTAGGTCAAGTCATCTTGCACGCGTCTGTGGTGGCCTGAGTCTGTACACCTGATGTGAGGCACTGGGAGGAGATACAGCGAGCCCATACGCGAGGACCAGAAGAAGAAACAGACTTACACAATGTCTCCTGTCAAAAGACCGAAGATGACGATCCTACCGTGGTTGAAGAAGCGCAGGCGCAACCGTCTGCCATATTAGCCTCACCGTTTGTGGATGCGGTGTTGCCACCACGAGTGCTGGACCAGCACCGTCAGTGATTGCGACTGTGGCACACAGCCAATTCGAGGCACGAGAAAGGTACTGTAGCATGGATTGCATGGCGAGTGAAACCGCGTGGAGCACGTTGCTTGACGAGCCGGAGTGTACATTAGTGGCCATCGATGGCAAGTAGAGGTTTGGGGAACAGGGCAAGAGAAGGAAGATGTTTGGTGGGAGGGAAGTTGATTGAAGTCACTGCTCTCGCTCGCTCAGTCCCGGTCCGCGAAAGGGCGGATACTGTGGTAGCCGCCGCCAGGCACTGTGGCCTTTGGGAGGCTTTGAGCGGGAAGAAGGAAGGCATCCTGGGTGGACATGGGGGAATAGGTGGGGTGGGAGGAAGGCTCACCAGGCGAGACCAGGCGAATTACGGAGTATGTACTGGCTAGACACACACACTGACTACTGTACGAACTGTTGCTCTCAAACACCTTGAGTTCTGGTCCCCAGAGCACTATTCCTATCCACTGCTGCCTACGCCGCACCGAACACGTTGAAAGAGACCTGGTGAACAGTTCGAGTGTCAAAGATCCCAGACGCCTCGGGAAGATACTTGTCACATCGCGTGAGTTTAAAAGCTTGCCGAGCGAGGCTCTACCTGCAACACAAAAACCTGGAACGTGTCTCGAATCCCGCTTCATCGGGCCTCAAGAAGCGGAACACCGAGTCGAGTGTGACTGAGAACGGTGCTGAGACGGACAGGCAAAAGGAACAAAAGCGATTTGGTCTGAGATAACGAATTGCCGCTTCAATGTCTCAAGGCAGATGGACACTACGTGCTGCCACCGCCACTATCTGTACATGAAAAGAAAGTGAAATCTAAAGCTACCAATTTCTGGAACCATTGCCAACGCTAAGCTCAAGATCCCATAACGCCCAGAATTTGCTGACACGATTTCTCGGTGAAACCATCTCCTCTTGTCCCCTTTATACCATGTTATGCCACGGTAGAAGATAGACGTCTGATGCCTGGATCGGTGGCATTCTCGTACGACTCCCAATCCTCCAGGATCTTCGCCAGGCGAGGCGAGTTGGTCAGACGGTATACCTCCTCAAAGTACTCCTTCGAGATCTCAAAGGGTTTGGCAGTGACATTCGGGATGTATTTGCCGACCAGTTTGGCCGGATCGATGCTGGTCTTGTTGATCTTCTTCAACAAGAAAGAGCGGAACGGCTTGACGCCAGAGCGCAAGAAGGTGCTGTGGAAAGGCACGTCGATGCCTTTGAGAGGAATGGTAGCAAAACCGCGCTCAAGTTCGATCGGTTGCGGCTTGGCCTCCGTTTTCTTGCGGCATTCGCCAATGATCTCAACCAGGTGCGCTTTCACATCGTCCAGGGACATCTGTTGCATCAATGCCTGGATGTCAATCTTTTGCATCTTGAGCACATTGAGCACATTGGTCATGCAATCGAGAGCCCGCAAGTCACCAGCGCACACGTATTGCATGTTGGCGACGTTGTAGTTGACGATCTCCACCAGCCAGCCCGTGGTTTCCGCAATATTCTCCACAACATACTGCAAGGCTTGCTCGTTGAAGGTCTTGGAGATACGGCTAGGGTTAACCGCGCACATCGAGTAGTTGCTTCGGCCTTGCTCATCGCGCTCGACAGCCACTTGCATGGTCAAGCCACGATAGAACACCACTGAAACCAAGCTCTCAATAGGCATGACCTCAGCGATCGAAGCTAGAGCAGAGTATTCTCCCAGAGAATGACCAGCGAAGCTGCTGTCGCGCTGGACCAGGCCCTTGGAGCGCATGTCTTCGAACGCGGCCTTCTCCATCAGGGTCAATGCCGGCTGCGTGAACTGAGTGGCTGACAGCAAACCAGTCGGTGAACGGTACGTGTACGAGTTGGTGTTCTCAGTAATCTCTTTGAAGATCTTCTCGGACTTGACTGTGCCGTCAGCATTGATGGACTCGAAGGTCATGGCCATGTAGTTCTGTCGAATGGCTTTTCCGCGAGGTCCACCAAAATGAATCGTGAGCTCTTTGGGATTGTTCTTGACGATGTTGATGATGGACAGACCATAGTTGTCCATGAAATGACGGTCGGCCCGATCCCACACCTCTTTGGCAACAGCGCTCCGACCGTAGAGATCCATACCCATGCCTTGTTCCTGAGAGCCTTGGCCAGTAAAGACATAAGATGAGACGGGCTGCTCGACTTCCGCTTCAGCGAGCAGGACTTTGTCGCCCGTCTCCTTGTTGGTGGTCTCGATCTTGATGATCTTGCGACCAGCAACCATACCGACGTGTTCAAGCTTGACTTCGAGGTCGTCATTGGGCAGAACCATGCCAACGAGCGACACGTGGTAGCTGCGGACACGGCCGATGTTGTTCTCTGCGGCCCAGGTCTCAACCAAGCTTCGGACAGCCGCGCTGGAGTACATGCCGTGCGTGATGGTGCCCGGCAGATTGGCATAGCTTGCAAAGATGCGGGACACGTGGATAGGATTGTAGTCGCCAGAGACACGAGCATACGTCTCGTTCGAAGCTGGAGCCTTCAAGGACAAGGGGGTCTTGCCGCTCAGTGGAATGGCGTTCTCGAAGTTGACGGGCTGGTCGATGGTTTGACCGTGTCTCTCCAAGTAATCAATGACTGGGTTCCCGTGGGAGACACCGGCATCATATTCGACCGATGCGACCTGGATGATTTCCTTGGTCGGCAATTCAAGTTCGACCTGGCCAACAGTCTCCACGTTTGAGAAAACAGTCTTGTTCTTGAAGCGGACCAAGGTCGAGAGACGGAAGGTCAGAGTCTGTCCGAGCAGGTCAATATCCGGCTCGTCCAGATGAAACCATTCCTTTGAACGAAGCACTGCAATGTCTTTCGAAGTTGCGAGCGTGACCTGCATGGGCGTCTCCTGTTTGCGCTGGAAGGTATTCTCAAAGTCCGTGTACGTGCCTCTGTAAAGGAACTGGCTCGTCACCTCCATCACCGGTTGCCCTCGGCGAGTAATAGTTCCGCAAACCTCGACCATCTTGCCAGAGTCTTGGTTGAGGACTGCATTGATACGGGCAGAGGTGTGAAGCTCGTCGCCAACTTTCAGAGGCTCCGCTCCCGGAAGCATGCGGTAGCCATTGGACAAATGAACAAGCTTGAGCAGGTCACCATCAATTGTTCGGGGGAAGATAGGTTTAGTGATCGCCTTCCATCCCACAACGATGGCGAAGTCCATGGGAGCAAATACTTCTTTGCCAGGCCGGTCGACGAAGGCTTCGCCTGTGTTACCGACGGCGTGCACGAAATCGGCAACGTCCTGAGTGACGATGGTCGCTTTGCCACCATCAAAGACATTGGTGGTGGGTGTATCAAAGGGCACCGTCTTCTCGCCAAACCAAATACGGTAGTAGAACTCTTTGATGCGATCGTTGCGGCCATCCATGACCTCATGGATTGGCGCATAGCCAGTCTCCGGATGGTAGACAAATTGGAAGGGCAATGCAACCGCGTCTCCCTCGGCAGTCCTCTCCTCCCACATGTTCATCAAGATCTCATCCTTGCCGGACAGGCTGATATCAAGGGTCTTGACCAGCTTGCCGGACTGGCTAGGCTCTTTAACCACAATGGTCGTCTTATATGGGTCCTTGGGGTGGGCAATTTCGACAGTCATGCCTCGAGTGGGGGCTAGAATGCGCCTGATGGGATTGTTCTGATACCGTGCACCCTGGACGAAGACATCAGCTGTAAAAAACGCATGGCGCCATGAGTAGTTCTTTCCAGCAAGAAGTTGGATCCAGGCCTCGGTGTCCGGGAGAATGGCAGATGGTGATGATGACAGCCGATAGGTAGTCCGAGAGCCGTCCGGAATGACGGTGACGCCGTCAAGCTCGACAACACTTTCTGGGGAGCTGATGATCTTCCCACCAAAATACTCGATGACAGGTACGGCTGATTCACGACCACCATAGAAATCTTGCACGAGACCCTTGATGTGATCTTGATGGATACCGTCCAGAATGTCTTTGATAGGCTCATCGATCTTGGTCGAGTACTTCACAGCCATAGGGCCCTGCAGGATACAAGTTCTGCCAACATCTTGATCAACAACAGCATCCAGATCCTCGGACTGCCAGAGGGAATCCTTCTTGAACCAGAACTCAAAATTCTCGTCCAAGGAAGGCACGAATGGCACTGGCTTCTGCCCACGACGCTGGCACAGCAGCAGGAAATGTTGGACATCTTGTGCGTTGATCAACTGGGTCTCTGCAGCGGGGTAGGCGGCGAGAACCTTGTCCACGACTGGGAACGGATCTTCGAGTTCCGCATAGCTCTGTATAAGAGATGGCTTGCCGGCGCCAACGGTGAACCGTTCCTCGACACGTCGGATGAAGTCGACCGTGAGGTTGCGGAGAGTGACTTCAATCCAGCGAGATTGGTGCTTGACGTACATGAGCTCCACCATCCGTCGGACGACTTCGGCGTAGGTCATGTCCTCGAGGTCAACTGTTTCGCCTGCAGAGTTCTTGCCAAACCAGACCTTCTGAAAGTCATCGTTCAGCTTCTTGATAATGTACTCGCGCTGCTTCTTAAGCTCTGCGACCCGCTTCTTCTTGTCCAGGCTGAAGATCTTCTGATCCATCTCGGCCCAAAACTTGACACCTCGAGTGGCGAGCTTGTGAATCGGCTCGCCCATCTCAGATCGGACAG